GTCGAGTACTCGTCGTCGTCGAGGTCTTTGCGACGCGCCGCTGTTGGCCAGTGTCATCTGTACGATTCATGGTAAGGGACTCGATGGAGCACAGGACACGTTCCAAAGGCTCCTCCGATCGGGAGGAAAGGTTCGGGGAGATAACCACGCAGACGAACTATGAATAACGAACATAAGCAATAACCATCCGTGGACGAACGAGTTCCTGATGCAATCACACATTGCCCTTGCTTCACGGCATCCTCACTTGCGGCCCGATCTGAGCCAAACCAGATTACGGTTCCACCACGTGCCGTTGCCGTCCGTCCAAGCCATCGACGACCGCGTTTCGAGCTAGGCTTAGTCGAGGCAAGTTTCATGAAGCCCGGCTGGGTGCTTGCATGGTCTGAAGTCTTACCTCGAGCGTCACCCATTCCCCCCCTTCCTCAAAATGGATTCATCGAAGGGGGAACAGACTCGAGACTCGATAGCAGGCCAATGGCGCGCGGCTCTGTAGTCGCTCCCGCCTCGGGGTCGCGTGTTTGGTTTCCCTTGGCGATTGGTGGCCCGTGAGCTGTGTCAAAGTTCGATAATTTGCCGCGTTCCCACGGACGACGACATTGGATAGGGCCACCCGCCCTCCCCCCCCCTTCCCAATTTGAGAGTACCACTGGGGGATGTGAGGAACCGGAGACCTCCTCGTCCTCTTCCGTCATTAGAGTCGAGGAGTAAGTTCCGGTGAGGCGGAGACTTGTTAGACGCAACGCTTTCCCAACGCATCATTTGTATGGATGTTGCCCGTTTCTACATTTCTGAACTCCCCGGGGGAGGAAAGCAACATATCTATGTAGCATTGGCGACTGACCACAACTTGCCGCATGCGAAATGATGGACGACGACATCAAATGACTACGGGCGGATGAACCGGATCATCAAGGGTCTGAAGTCTTGGGTTAGTGGGGTCCCTCACGCGAGCCGCGTAAAATCGTATCCACGAATCCTTGCGTATCCGTAGCTTATAGGCAAGGGGCTTCGTTACCCGTTGAGTAGTCGCTGCTACGGGCTCGCTTTACTCCGGTCTCGTGGTGGCCAAGTTGGGCCACGGAAGGGGTTTGATGCGGTCTGAAGACGCCATGCCATATGTTTCTCTTGAGCCTCACCTCGTGGCTAGACATCTCCCACCCCACTGGAACGCGGACCGGGGATGCGGGTTGATTGGCTCGATGAGAAAATCCTCAGAGGCAACCGAGTGGAAGGGTGTGCTCGGGCGCGGTGCGAGGGTACCCGTGTAGGTGCTGTAGCTGATCACCGCCAGCAGGATGATCGCCGTGGTGCTGATGCTGGCGGGAACGATGGCTGTCGACGGAGGCGGAGGCCTTGGTGACGGTCGCGGGGACGGGAATCCGGTATTGGATCCCGCTTTTGCAGTCCTGGAGGGCTAGAAGAGTCGAGACTCTGGTGAGGGACGTGGTTGCCGAACGAATGTAGGAAGTGCAGGGCGGACAAGATGAGGCGTAATCTTAGGGGCAATAAAACGTTGCATGGGGGCTGGTGATGGTTGCGAAGCGGTTGTCTGGAACACAGCCGGCCAAGGTGCCAACAACGATCGCGCCCGGTTGGAGGGTGGTACAAGGGACATGCTCTTCTAGAAGTCTATCAACGTCCAGAAAGGAAATCTTAACGAGATCCGGCTATTCTACGGCATCGGCTCATCTGAGTGATTCCTTGCCACAAGGTTGACAGTTTCTTGGTGCTGTGGTCACAGTTGGTTGAACGCGAGGCCAAAAATCTGGAGCCACCCGCATCCGTACGATGGGATTGAAGAATCAAGACGGACGACAATCCACCGTAACAGGCTGCGGGTGAGACAAGGGGCTACCAGGTCGAAGCCAATGCCTTGTCTTCCTTGCCTCGACAACGTGCTACGGCCTTGAGATGGCCGGGCAAGCTGAACCCAGCACCATTTGCGCAGGGACGCAAGCAAATCGCATCTCCACCATGCTTAAAAGCCATCCATGTCAGTGGGGCCAGGGAAAGGGAAGGCACGTCCGTGGTCCGGATATGCGCATGGCCAATGCTCGGCGAGAGCCCATGTCGCCGTCTCCAGCTCCTATCCGGTTCCCACAGACACTGCCACCGTTGAGTGACAGGCTGGGCCCTGGCGAAAATCCACCTCCGAATTTGAATGCTAGCGCGCGCCAGTAACAACGAACCAATGGCCAGGGTGGATAGGCCGCGCCATCACGTCAGGGGGGATTCTTTGCTCAGGGGTGAGAAGAGGCTGCATTGGCCTTGGAGATCTGGGCCTGAAGGGTGTGCAGGGTCTCATGAGAGAGAGGACGGGTACCTGGAAGATGTGTGTGGGAAGGGTGAGATGGCGATGCGTGACGGTGCGCGATAAGATAGGCAGATGGACGGGTGAACCAGAGTGACGGCTGAACGTGTGGGTGGAAGAAGGGGTCCAATGACGAGTATTAGAAGGGAAGATGCTAAGTAAGAGACGCCGACGAGAAGCGATTGAAGCTGGCAGGAACTATCGGTGGCAAGCTGGTTGCCAGTATTGGAAGAAAGGAGAGAACAGACTCCAAGGCTACTTCCCTCCCGCTGCCGGCTATAGAGACGATGACTGTGGACGAACGCACGCGAATCGTTCATGCCCCTCAGGTACGTACAGGTAGGTACCCATAGAGTAACGTTGGAGTGGCAGTGATCAAGTTAAATGGTTCATTGTTGCCAATACCCGCGCAGAGTGGTAGCGAAGCCCACACATCCTGGCAGGAACGGGGTGCGGTGGCCCTGTGTGGGATACCTAGGTAATGGGCTGCAGCAGTCGTGATGGGAATCCGAATCGTGCGTCTCTCTCGTTCTCTTATTCTCATCCTCATGACCCAGACGGCTTTGCTCTGCGTGTCTCGAATGTTTTGCCGCATTCCCCGTCGTGTCTTAGCGTCTTGCACCCTTTTCCTGCGAATTCTTGAACAAAGTCCAAGGGGTCCAGCTTGGCTGCGAGGTGTACGGACGTTGAGACCTGCGGCGCGTTCCAAGTAGGCTGGAGGCCTGCCTAACATTGCAGCAAGGTTTATGGGGGAAAGAGTTTGAAGTTTGGGCCATGGCGATAGGCTTCTCTTTTCTGGTCTCCACCATGGTTAGCTTGTTTTGACCGATCTCTGGCTTCGAGAGTCGCCCGCCCATGCCACGGCAATTGCTCGCGTACCCTCCATTCGAATCAATTTGGGTTGCGTTCTGGAAGCCTAACCTGCCCTGTCTGTCCTGGAACTGGGAAAAATGAGAAACCTATGTCTGGAGCTCGGTTGAGGGTCTAAGCTGCGTCCTGCCGGATAGCCGCCGGGTACTCCTGTTTACAGGGCATGCAACCGGCTTCTTGCGATGTCCTTCAACATGGCAAGCTGTTGGTTCATGGTTCGGTTTGTGTCTTGTATTTTGCTCTGCTTGCTCTGTACACTTTGCCCTCGAGATAGCCGAGATGGACGAGAATCAAAACGTTATCAGGTATCTGGGCTAAGTACAAAATAGGAAAGGGGCATCGCTATGAACATGGTCCTGCTAATATCAACTTGGACATCAGCATGTGAGCGGTTGCCTCCAGACTGCGTCTCCAGCGGCCAGCAAAAGAGATGATCAGCGCGTACCGTTATGGCACAGAGGTGCAATACAGAGTATACTCATTGATGGTAATTTCACATGCATCCTTCGGTGCATTCTCCAGCGTTGATCGTGTGTGTCTCGTGGTTCTCCAAGGGTACAAGACACATACAACGGCGGCTGTGCTCTCCAGTGTCATTTCCCCTCCTCCACACCCCCTGCCCCCCCTGTCCTTCGCCTTCCACTTGTGATGTCTCCCACCTCCTTGTCGCCGTCCAGCTCGTCCTTCCCGGCCCTCGTCCCCTCCCTTCGCCTCTCCTTCCCCCTTCCCTGGCTTCAGGTCCCAGCACCAATCAGCTGGGCTTGCACGCCAGGTCCAGCGCCCAGAGCACCCCGTCACCACCACCATTCCTCTCATCTTCCCGCTCTTTTCACCAGTGCGTCCCGTCCAGCAGGTCACAGTTGCACACACCATACCACGACGTCCACATATCGCACATCCATCAGTCTCCAGTCTCCGTAGCAGCAGCAACTGAACTCGCTAGCGGCCCAGATCTTCCCCCAAAATCCACTGGACTCGCCCGTTCACCCCCCCCCCCCCCCCCTTTTTTTTTTTCCCCTTCCAACCCCCAAGCAGCTTTCCCTCCCGGTCCGTCGATTGGTCGAGGCGTCCCAGCCAGTCACCTTGACGTTTCATGCCTCACCACCTCCGTCGCGGATTCTGCTGTTGTTGTGTTCCTCTGCGCTACTCTCGACCTTTCTTTTACACTACCTCACTCTAATTGGGCTCTGCTTTGTCCCTTTTGCAGTCTGTACCTTACCGCTTCAGCATTTCGTCCCATTGCTTCACTGCGGCATTTGCTTTTTTCTCTGCATCCTCTTTCGCCAACATATGCCCATCTGACACGACGTCCTCCCGCCCGCCCTACCATGCCGTGTCGCAACTGCAGTCCAATCTGAAAGAGAGCAGACAGGAACCCTTTTTCCCCTTTCACCCCCCACCGCGCCACCTCCGAGCGAGACATCGACACATTTCTCAACCATCTCCAACACTTACCCTCCCACCTTGAGACATAACCTTTAACCGACGGTGGACAAGAACGGAACAGAAAGAAAAAAAAAGGTTTCAGCGAATACGTGTTTAGGTTGGCCCTTGAGGTTTGGCCCGGTTTTGGGTACGAGCGTATTCCTCATTGGATTAGGATTCCGTCACACACGCCAGGCGATAGTGTGCAACAAAGTGGGAGAAGGAAAGGCCCTATTTACTGCTGCCCCCGATCGAGTTGAAACACCCGCCCTCCGACCTCGACTTCGACACTCCCTTTGTTCGCTGTGCTGCGTCGTTCCCTCTCCCTCTCTCGATCGTCTGCTGCTCGGCACGCGAAGACTTCCAACTCCAAAGCATCTCCAGGTTTACCATGAACGGTCGCAATGCGCCCTTGTCACCTGTCTCTTTAGGTGGAAGCGAGTGGTCCGTTGGCAAATACCCAAACAACGACGATCCGTACGCAAATAATCGCGGCAACATCATTTCGCCCCCAAACTCCGGAGGCTCCAACGGGGCAATGAATGGCGCTTTCCCCCCCGGCCCTCGAAGCGCCGGTGGCCCTTCGCCGCCGCCGTCTGTCGGCCGATCCAGCAATGGCACAAACTTGTATGCGAGGAGTGAGAGCGGTAGAAGCATCCGCGAGGAGCAGGCAGAAGGCATACTCGGCGAACACTATGTCGCTCTGAAGAACTATCTGAATGGTGGGCAAGGAGGAAAGCCGACACCCCCGAACAAGGCACGCGACAAGTTGCTGCGCCTGTCGTCTGTTCAGTTTCTCGAACTGAGTACAGATGTCTTCGACGAGTTGCTGCGAAGGCAATCCCTTGGTCGCCGACCTTCGGGCCCCGGCGCCCCGGGTCCTCCCCCTTACCTACTACCCGAATCCAATTTCCATCCGAAACGCAACCAGGCGAGGCAAAAATTGTCCTCTCTTGGGCCACCCCGATTCCGTGATCTCGCGACCGACGTCTTCTGCGAATTGGAGAGGAGGTTTCCCCGCTTTGCGGCTGGAGATATCCCCAGAGTGGGTAGCCCCGTATCGGTCCGCTCACAGGCGACAATCAATGGAAATGGCTACCCGCCTAGGAGTCAGAGTCGGATGCGGCGACCTTCCGATGCCAGCTCAATGAGGGGAGGGCCACCGCCGCCCGATCCCTACGGTGTGCCGCCTTCGCCAGGTATGCCACCCAATGGCGAGTATAACCGTCCGATGCAGAAGCAGTTCCAGAGCAACACAATCGTACCGAACAAGAGCACAATGGTGGAAGAGGACGACGATGGCAGTCCCAATGAAGATGACGGTGAAGCGTTTGGCCTCGAACGAACTGCCACGAATCGTAGTAAGAGAAGTGAGGTTACGGAGCGGAGCGCGGTGGCATCAGAGGTGATCTTTACCCATCTTGTTCTCGTATCAGGTGGAGACGTTAACATGAATGACAGGCCGACAAAAAGCTATTAGACGAGTACCAGGCCCAAGTTCGTGAACTGCGGGAAAAGCTGGATGTCATGGAGGATGCGATGAAGAAAAAGGACGACGAACTGAACAGCGTTCTCGACGGGGAGAGATCTCGATCAACAGCCGCCAACATGGAGAAGAAAGAGCTCGCCGACCTCCGGCTGAACCTGGAGAGCAAACTCGCCGAGGCTCAGGACCTGAACGCCTCCCTAAAGCAAGAACTGGATCGCATGAGAGACGACCACGCCAACGAATCCCGACAATTAAGAGAACAAGTCGATGAACTGCGGCAGTCCAGTGCGGCCGCTGCTACTATGAACTCTGGCAATGCGGACCAGGAACTGCAAAAGGAAAACCAGCAACTTCGCGCGTCTCTGCAAGAGCAACAACAGGTGACGGAAGAGGCTCGGCGCGAAGCTCGGGAGTTCCTACGGGAGATGAAGATACTCTCGCAACAGAGTGGCTCGACCTGGCAGAAGCAGGAAGAGCTGGAGAAGACGATCGAGCAACTCGAATCAGAAGTTCGCGAGTGGCGGAACCGATACGCGCGGACCAAGACGCAGCTTCGCAACATGCGCGCTTCCTCTCTGGGGTTGACTATTGAGCAGGACGCGGCTAAATACGTCCGAGAGAAGGGATTTACCCAAGAAAACGGCGCGGTTAAGGACGTTCACGTCACGAAATTCCAGATCGCTATCGACGAGCTACTCCAACGCGCCCGAACGGAAGACCCTAACACAGTCATTGATGCTATGAAGCAAGTTGTTGTCAGCGTTCGCCGTATTACTAAGGATATCGACACGGCGGCAGCTGGCAACGAGGAGCTCCTCCAACAGCGCTCGAAGCTCAAGGGCAAGGTTTCCTCCACCGCCAACCACCTCATCACAACATCCAAGAACTTTGCTTCGTCAGCCGGCATCACACCAGTATCCTTGCTCGACGCCGCTGCCACTCATCTCGTCGCAGCGGTTGTCGACATCCTTCGGGTTGCGAAGATCCGGTCCACGCCCGCTGAGGAGCTCGAGGAGGATGACGACGGTACAGTTACGCCTGTTGACTCGACCGGCTTCTTTTCTCCCAGGACTGCTTCGAGACAGGAGTCGATAATTCAGGAATCGTTACCGGCGGCGGCGCCATTCCGGGGCCTGGGCGGTGGCAGGACTAGCATGGATTCCTCAGCTTACAGTCCTATCAACTCCCCCCGTCAATCTGCCGACGCATACAACCAGTCTCGAGGGCCTAACGGAATGAACGGGATGAACGGGATGAACGGCATGGGTTACATGGGGATGAATCAAAACGGACCCATGAATGGGTACGGCAACGGCATGCGCCAACCGAACAACCAAGCCGAAGACCTTAAGATTTATCTTGAAGATCAGACCGCCATTTTGGTCCAGAACATCCAGAACCTGGTTGGCTCCATCCGAAGCGATGCATCGATCAACCAAATTTCATCCGAGATCAACGGCATTGTCGAAGTCGTCGATAAGGTTGTCTCTGAGACCGAGGCGTCTGGAAACGGCGGCATGATCGCCCGCCTCATCGCGTGCCGTGACCGACTCCTGGAAGCCAGTGAGCGCGGCATGGACATTGACCGGGGACAAGACGTGGGCGCCAGCGGGCGCAACGATCGGGAGTGGAGGATGTGGACGCAGACTCTGCCGCCCATCGCTTTCGAAATTGCCAGGGAAACAAAGGAGCTGGTTCAACGAGTTGACCGGTTGGCCGGGAACGGAGACGATGACTTCTCATAAGCTCACCGCACGGGCAAGAGTTGTGATCCATCGAGCCTAACTTCTGAACATGACGGCGGGCACTTTCATCCTGCCATCCCTCTACCGCACGACGATTCATATAATCTCGAAACGAGCCCCCCTTACACTTTTTCGCCGGAGAAAGCTTTGATACCCTTGCCGTCCTCAGGGCGGCTTTGCTTGCATGTTTGGGTTTGCGAGTGTTTGGACGCTGAAGAACCCGGAAAGGAGGCTAACTTATTTTTTCTGCTCCGTTCGCTTTTTTCACTTTTCATAATTTTATCTGGGGAGCGTCTCCTTTCAAAGGCTTGGGTTCCCTCATCCTGTCGGTACAGATGGGCTCACTCGTCCTCATAACAGCCTAGGGGCGTTCAATTTGCCCAAGGATTTTCTATACGCGCAGCATGAGAGAAGGACCTGAGACGATGTTTCTTACACGTCACGCGAATGAGTGAGGAAAGCAAGGAAGTGTTTTTTGGGGAGCGAAGTTTGGCTCTCCCACACCTGGCTACGTAATTCAGGGTGGGCAGGGTGGATGAGACATTGGTGACGGTGATGAGCAGATAGAATAGTCTTCAAAGGAATAGTTAATGTTGAGAGTGCCTACTAGGCATGGATCCAAATAGATGAACTTCCCTGTTCCTTGGTGAGGTTGTTCCCAGCATGGCTGATTCTAATTACGCCTCACGCGAGATTTTGACTGTAGCCACGGAGAGATAACTCGGGCGGTCCCCGATAGAGCTCCGTAAGATGCCGACTACACGCTATGATGTCTCAACATGCTTTTATCAAGCGAGCCGAGAGTTCAAGCTTATCCTCATTGGAGGCGGACCTGAGCCCTTCGTTCGCACGGCGGACCCCGCTGTAAACGAACTGGTGCGGGTGGAAAGTGTGTGTGGGAAAGGGTCCGACGAGATAGACTTTCTACACAACGGATGCCAACTCGCACCCTCCAGCCCGCGCCGCTCACCTGGGGTAGACGGATGTGAGGACCGCTGGCGGATGCAAAGTTTGGGCGTTGTTTTGCGGGGGGCATAATTGGGCGTGCATTGACGGATGTTTACGAGGACGAGGGCATCTCAGAACGAAACGTCTTGTTTTATTGCATCGTTTGACATGGCCTTGGGGAAAGTACTGAGAGAGATGGAGGAGGTCCGGCGGATCAGTCACCACCATATCGTGGCTTTTCGACATGCCTGTCTGATTCCAATTGGGGACCGCATTGTAAATCGGTGCTCCGGTGCGTATATGGCCGCCCGCTCTAGTGAGAAAGAAAAGTAAGGGAAAGGGTTCGAAAAAAGAAGAAGAAAGAAAACCGTTCGTGCCGCAAGACCTGACGCATACATGTGCGTGTGTGAAGGTCGTTGTCGGAGAGTGGGCCGCACAGATGGCCGACCCGCCGGTAAGACACTGACGGGGGCCGGGTTCATCCTTCGAAAGTGGGGGGAAGAGTCAGGGTGTCGAGCCGAAGGAAGGTCTTGTATAAGAGCTTCTTTTCCAATCGGATCTGCCAACCGATAGCCTCCTTGTTCGGAGCTGTCCATAATCAGCCCCCCTGTTTCGTTGTGATCAGGAAAGGGAGGCACATGTGCGGCAATCTGTTGCCATATGCTTGTGTTGCTGATTTGCTTACCTCGTCGTAACGTCGTCCAACCACCGCCGACAATCCACTTCACGCTAGGACTGGCTGGTTGGCTGAATGAGGGCCTTAGTCGGCAGTGTAGCTGACGCCCGCCAAGCTGTAAGCCCGGATCAAGCCCCTTTGGGGTCCGTCAAAGAACCATTCTCATTCCTTCCTTGCTACCGGTCAGCTTATGTTCCTAGGCTGGTAAGCCACCTCCGCATCGGCCAATGGAGCTCGCCGATTGTGTGCAGCTGTTCTCCGCCGTCTGGACGGGCTTACGACGGGACGTATGAAACCTCTGGAGAGAGTTGGCTGGCAATGCAGGGTTGCGGCCCAGTACGGGCTTGGCCGCAGGTGAGACAAAGGTGATATATGGTTTTTCGGACGCGCCCTTCTTGTCCATCCTTCGTTGTTTGTACTCACGCTTTTCCATATGACGCTTCCTTGTTGCAGTCTGGTGACGACTTCTCGATCAGAAACCCAGTTCGCTCTTGTTTTGACTCACGTTTGGTATCGCTAGGGGATTCAGCACCCCCTCGCCCATCGCCCCTTCTGGATACCCATGGCTTGCTGCGGCCCCTCGTTTGCTGCCTCATATACTACCCAGACACCCGCGAACGATCCGTGGGACATCATGTCCTGTACGTTAGTAACGGAGCCAGGGGCGAGGACAGATGAAGAGATTGCCAACTCAATGAGCCTTTTGGGAGGAGAGTGCCCGCTCTTGAGCCTCCCCCTCGAGATTCGACTCCAGATCTATGGCTGGGTCCACGCGATGCACCCGGTACAACACGCGCAGCTTGCCCCATGGTATCCGACTCCAAGACAAAGTGTGTACTTTCTCAGACTCGTCAAGCCCGAAGTTATAGCCGAGGACCTTGCCGTGAAGGAGATAAGCTCAAAGGTCAAGTCAGGCGAGGATGGCAAAGCAGGCCCGAAGCAGGAAGAGTTGCTGCTGTCACCTTACCGTCCGCTCTCTGGAATCCCCGCGGCCCTCATGTGCACCAACAAGCAGATCTACAACGAGTGCCGGGCCCTGCCCCTACAGGTCAACGAGTTCGTTTTCGTCAACTGGTTCTCCTCGGGCCTGTGGGCGGCGCGGGCCTTCATGCGCGGGCTGGAGCCGTGGCAGCGCGACATGATGCGGTTCACGCGGCTCGAGATGCTGGGGCGGGACTTCACGGGCCCGGCGCTCAAGGAATGGATCGAGCTGTGCGGGCACTGGGGCTCGGGGCTCCGCGGGCTCAGGCTCAAAATCCTGATCGGAGGTGGGATATTCGAACCCACAGCCACGTTCGCCGCGCTGAACAACAATGCAGAGGCACAGGCCATGGGCCTCAACTCGAAGACGGTACGGCCCGAGCCGAGACCCGAGTGGATCGAAGGGGGCCTGAAGAGGATGAAGGCATTGAGGAGGTTGGAGATTGAGCTCTCGGTGCTGGATTGGGGCGCCGACGAGAAGATTGCGTGGTGCGCCGAGCTGGAGAGGATGCTGAACGACGGGAGGTGGGAAGAGGGGCAGGCAATGGTTGTTGTGAGCTGCGTCGAGAGGCTCATGCAAGACAGCGGGCCGAAAAGGCAAGTCGTCAGCGATTTCGCGAAAAATTGAACTCTGCTGAGTTTGTTCCTAGCATAGAATGGGATATCTGGGAGTCGGGGTGACATTTGTTGGTCAGTGGAGGGCTGTGAGGTAAGATCGACTTGGCGGAGAGTCGTGTTAATGGTATCATGGAGCAGTCCATGGCCAGGAGTTTGGGCGATATATTCGAGAGTGCGGTACCAATATTATATTAATCGTCAACGCAGTAGCAACTCCTTACTCACACTGGTTCCAAGGCATGGTCTGTGAGTCTGGTGAATGAGGCCGATTTTCAATATTCTTGAGGAAGGAGCCCGGTAGGTAAAGTTGTTCGTTCCTTCCGTCTGGAGCTGTAGCTCCTGCTGTTAGCATGACTTCCTCCTACTTCACATCCTTCAGGATTTTTCTTTCTTGTCTTTCTTCGTCTTACAGACTACCACATCCTCTCAACCGCACAAACAACGGATTCTTCATTACCTTGAAACACTGTCTCCTCCTTCGGAGAATCCAATATCTCTTCTCAACCTTCCACCAGCATCCTTTGCGTGTATCACCTACTTTCACCCCTTCGTCAACCTCCGGCCTACACCTCGTCAACAATCCCAAGGGTAAACGTTCCCCTATAATCACTTGTTCACAGGCGAGGAAGAGACCGAGATCATATCTGGTGAGGTCTTCGATGCGTCTGGATTTTTAACAATGGCTGATCAAAACATATGCAGTCACGCTTTTTTGCAATCCTCGTGGATTTCATCAAGCAGAACCATCTGATTCTTTCAAGAACAACAAGAAATTCACCTTAGTCTTGATACTCTTTCAGCATCTGGTAAGCCGCGCAATATTCCAGGTACTCAACGCCCACTGACTAAGGCTAGACACAATGTGCGGCCACGTTATGCGCGGTCGCTTCACCGCTCACTGCTCTGAGTGTGGCATCGACTACACAACGGCCTGGCCTTATCAGACCCGCGTTTGCGTCCTGGTTCTCATCACTCTAGCCTTCATGTGGATGCATCCGGTCATCGCCAATACCGTCAAACGCGCCATCTGGATGGTGGTCAAGCCCCTTGCCATCCTTATCGGCTGGGCCTCTGTCGCAGTTGTTTGCTTCCTCATCTTCCTCTTCATCGACGGACCCAAGATGATTGCTATCCTCCTCACCCCCGACAGTCGAGAAAATGTTAACATCCTTGGTGTCGACGTCGAGAACAACACCAAGCTCAACACCATCTGGAGCCACCTCCACAACGACGAGGACCAGATTATCCCTGGCGGCGTCTTCGACAAGAAGTATAAGCCCTTCCTCCCTTCCCGCAACCTGAAGCTGTCTGGTCCTCGACAGCAGAAGGCGCTCACTCGCAAGCGTGGCGTCTCCTGCTAAGTCACCTCTACCTGCGGAAGATGGACATGCTAGAGACGGGTCAACTTGGAGGAAGTGTATCTTCTATGGAGAACTGTCGTTGCAGAAAGAGTCCTTTCGACTAGTCGGCTATTCGGCGATACGATGGAAAGGAGATGACATGGCTTATGATATTAATCATTGGGGATGAAATGGAGATGGCGACTTTGGTGTGAGCTTACGGACCATAAACAAGCCCTCGCGTCTCCAACTTGGATGTTCACAATGGTACCAGAGACTGGACTGTAGAGTTCTCTGGGGCATGGAATAGATGACTTGAGGCTTGCTTCCACAGATGGACCGGGTAAAATATGGGCACCTGAGGACAGGGAGTTTAGAAGCGGCGTTGTCACGCTAGCAGAACGGCTTGCTGTTACGAAGTTCTAGGTCACTCGGCACTTGGTTTGAGAAAGGCTTCTTCTGATGGCTCGCCTGAGATAGAAAGAAACGATGCCCTAATGACGATTATGCGATTGAGTTATGACATTGGGGTTTCGTAATAATTGTGATGTTGTTTTCAATGGTGACAAAGGTTGATACCGCCAGTGCTGGCGTCTAGCGGGTACGAAGAGGTGTGTTAGGTACGATTGGCCAATCAAACTGCAGAGATTGGGCCTTTATCTCCTCTTTGCGACCTCTTGAACAGCAACGCTTTCATCACTTCTCGGGAGGCTCCGTGGTCGTGGTTCACCTTTGGTCCACTCCTCGGAGGACCCTGTTTTCTCTCTGCTACTACAGATGTAAACCCCTATCCGACCCCTGGACGCTTCCCATGTGACTTCGCGACAGTCTCGCTCTCCTAGTCTCACTGAAGCGGTCCCAAAGTCGACCCCGCATCCCGGCCGTGACTCACGTTTTCGTGTTCCCCCCTAGTCACCGCTAAGCTACGCAGCAGTAGTTTCATTCGGAGAGTGTGCAGGTGCCTAAATGCCAAGTTGTGTTTATCAAGTGTTGAGTGAGGTATTAGATGGGTCGGCTTCGCGTCTCCCAGGCCGCGTGTGTGTCATGTGGTTTTGTCGGGGAGTCACTCGGTACAAAAGGACGGGAGGTTCCCGCTCTTGCGTTTCCGCTTCGGGCTACTTCTCTGCTGACTCCTCATCAATCGTCCTGAGGAACTGGTTCGCTTCCCAACTTACACGTGGGACTTAACCTGCCGCACTCTTACTCGCTCTTTCCTGTGCTCTCGTCAGGAAGAATTGCCGAGAGCTTGTCTGTAAGATTGATATTTACACCATGGTCTAGGCCGTACCTGACCACACCTTGGCTCTGACGTCACACGCACAACCCCTCGCTAACCCCCCAAAGGCCTCGACGGTTCCCGTCAATAACCAGAAAGACATACCGAGAATGGATGCACGATGCCAATGTGGCGCGGTGTCATTCAAGACGCCGTTGCCGCAGCCGCTGCGTCTGTACATCTGCCACTGCGAGGAATGCAAGCGCCAGACGGGCTCCGCGTTCGGGACGTCGGCCATCTTTCCAAAGTTCCAGCTGCCCAAGGCTGAGTTAATGGGCGTCTACGCGTGAGTCCTCACACACAGAGGGGAGTGAGAAGTGCCCGGGAGTTGTCGTGTGAAGGGGGGGTCAAGGGAGAGGGCAAAGGTGGTGGTGAGAGCGGTTGAGAGTGAGAGGCTGTGAGTTGTGACGAGAAGCCGACGTTGCTGACGATCCGAGGGCGTAGGAGGCCGACTGCTTCAGGAGCCACGCTGTACTGGTAAGCTTCCATCGCGAAGATAAGGTCGAGGCGTAGCGACTGCTAAGTGCACTTTATAGCTACTTCTGTCGAAACTGCGGGACCCGGCTAATCCACGCCACGCCGGTACGCTTCCTCCTACCTTGATTCGCACGGATTCAGCCTCGTTGGCAGTGCAGCGCATTTAACAATAGATTGTAGGGCAAAAATGTCGTCTCTGTCAAGGGTGGCTGCATCGACGGCCTAGATTGGAAGACGGCCATACACATCTGGACCAAGAACGCCATGGTTCCCATCCCCGAGGGTGCCGAGTCCCACAGCGAGGAGGCCGAGTACACGGACTACGGACCGAGCCAAGAGGCCCTGGACCAGCCGACGGATCTACGCGGCAGCGGCGGAAGTCTGCCGCCGGCTAAGCTTGAAGGGCTTTGCGAGCTGAGCGGGAAGACCATCGCTCCCTAATGTAGGAACGACGGTACGTCGTACTGTCTCCATGTTCTTCACATTGAAGAACCACATGTTCAGTAGTCAGTAGCTCGTTAGAACGAGCGGTAGGTCTAGGGTGATGGGGTGGTATTAATGACGTCTATATCCCAAAAAATCCATTATGATCAATGTCATCAAATCCGTAATGCCGTCGAACGCAAACACACTACTTGCTAGAAAAGATTCCCTGCATCCCCGCGGCCGCTTCACGAGTGCTGGCCAACGAGCGACTCCTCACCACTCGGTCTCCCGTTCTTGGCCGGCTTGGCGATGGATTCGTGCTGATGGCCCTCTTCGGCGCGGGCCCCGGCGTCGGAGTGCTTCGCCGGGTCGAAGACGTACATGGGGAACTCAAGAAAGACGGTGCGCTTCAGAACCGTCGGCATGCGGGCGTACAACTGCGGCGGGAACGGGATCAGGATGCTGGTGCGCTCAAGGTAGCGCCGGTATCCCTCCCAGTTTTGGCCGTTCTCGTACCGCTTCTTGGCGCCGGGCCGCTCCTGCAGCGTCAGGCCCGAGACGAACATGAGCAGCAGCGTCAGGAAGAAGGGGCCGAGGATGGTGGCGTAGAGAGCCTTGAAGGCCTGGCCGCCGACGTAGCCGTCCGCGGCGGAGGATACAGCAATCATGTAGATGCCTAGCGGGACGGTGTTAGTGAAGTGTATGGATTTATAGTATGTGCTTCTTCGCCGACACAACGGCCATGATTGTGGCTCGTGTGTTTCCGTCTATCTTTTTGTCGCGCACGAGAAGAACAAGGAACTGGCTTACCGAACTGGATGAGGATCTCGCCAAAGTAGTTGGGATGCCTCGAGACCTTGAAGAAGCCCTTGTCGCAGATGGCCTCGCGGCTCGGGTTGTCCCTGCGGAAGCGGTACTTTTGCGCGTCGCTGACGGACTCCATGACGAAGCCGACGACGAAGAAGATGATTCCGACAACGTCGCGGCCCGTGCCGAAGGCGTGCTGCGGGTACCGCGTGACGTTGGGCGAGTTGAGGACTGTGACGGGCAGCGAGACTGTCCAGACCCAGATCATCTGGAAGATCCAGAAGCCGAGGAACGGGAAGAACTTGTCGCGCTTGTCATCGAAACGGTCGTCCTTGCCCGTCTTGAGGATGCGGAAAAGGAGAAAGGCTGAGAGGCGGGCGCCCCAGAGCATGATGAAGATGGAGGCGACGACCTGGCGCGCATGGGCGTGGCCGCTGAGGGAGAGCGTGATTATTGCGAGAACCACAAAATTTGTGCCGCCGGCGAAGTCTGAGTTGACGTTAGTCTTGTGGACTTTCGGGCGGTCGCTTGTTTACGGTGAGAGGTTGATGGGTGAAGTTGAGAGGACGGCATTTTGAGATCTTACCAGTCAGTTTGTCGAACTTGAAGCTAAAGGCTATTGAAAAGAAAAACAGCTGATATGCTACGGTGATGAGTGCCGTGATGGCCAAATAGTAGTCGTCGAGGACGTGTATCGCCGCCATTTTGGACCGCCTGGATTCTCACAGTCGGTTTCTCACTCTCACTTGTGTATGTTGTTGTGTGGACGCAATTCCGTACCTGAGACGCTTGGGGGGAGAAGTTGAAACACCACAGTCGACAGCAATCAGCGCTATGAGTTGGATTTTATCGAACAAGACGAGTAATCGGAATTCGTACAGCGGCCACTCGACACAGTCATCTTTGATTCCGGAAGCCGTGGAACAAGGCAATGAAAACTGTCCGATACTCGTGAAGGTCGTCTGCTTAGCCTCAGCTCAGTGTCGAAGGAAAGCTTCGCTGTCGTCATCGACTTGTATGGCCCACTAGATTGGCTCATTTAGGGAAGGCTCATGTACCGATGCAGGCGAGTTTGTATGATGGAGGTACATCACGCGGTTCTTGAGATCGGAATTCCAGCAGCACCGAGGGCCGCGCTGTCAAGCCACGTTCTACCCATTTCCAGCCACGGTTGATTAGATAGGTAGTTTCTTCAAGCTCGGTCGTGGAGCCGACTGCCCCAGATGGGCGCCTTATGTCATCAAGCGCCCAGACTGTTAAGGACTCCAACCCACCGAATTGAGTGAAACGAGCAGAGGCTGGCGTCCCATCTCTCTGATCATGACATCCGATCCCTCGTCTTAATGGCGAGCTCTTATTGAAGCACGACTGGAGAAAGGTGTGAGGGGTGCTTTGACGGTACCTAATGGTGGTCACACGAAGTCTCACACTGTCTTGGATCCCCTGTTCTACGAATCAGGCGGTGCACACTCGGGGCTTCGGCATGGACATGTCGATGTTGGCATTGGGAGAAGGGGTCCAGTCTCAGTTTCGCCTTCTGCACCAACTGCCGCCCTCGGGATACTTATCTTGGGCCAGTCATTGGGAGGGAACGCGGGCAACTCACCTCACCCACGATCCCAGGTTGAACGGAATATTACTGACCAAACGTGCTATTAACTCGGCTGGCTCCACCCTCGCTGGTCGTCCAACAATAGTCCTGGTCCTTCTCTGGTCACGGCCACCAATATGTGGCCGAACGCACAACATGTGCTTGTCATCAAACGAGGCGCCTGGACTTGGTGTCGTTTGACCCATCGCGTCGTCACGTAACCCGCCCCGGCCATTTGAGGCAAGCAATGCTACAACGAGCGACAGCATTTCGCATCTTTTCTTCCCCTTCTTCCGGTTCTCGCCTTGGGACGACCCTCATCGTCTCAATGCTGTTATCCGGTCTCTCTCCAAGCGCGGAAGGGGGTCGAGGGGAGCAAAGGAGAGGCCACTGCGTAAGCGCAACGTACTGGCGACAAATCTTGTCTCGCTCATGGGCTCCATTCACCCGCTCAAAGGGACGATGCACGCGAGAAGTGAAGGGGGGAAAATAGGACGAAGGTGCTTCACCAGTACCTAGCACCCCAATCAACACTGGACACCACACACCCTACGTCAAAAGTCCATCTCCGCTGCGTCTGTGCCCAATTCGTTTCGCGGCGCGAGAGCAGATTTCGCGGCGGCCGCTTGTTCGCTTCGTACCGCAAATCCACAAATTGGTTACTGCATCTGATGATGGCATCCCACGCAAGATGATCTTCACGTGGGTTGTGCGGCAAGGCATTGTGGATTGCTGTCGCTGCGTTACGTTGCGTTTCCGGCCGTCCAAGCGTCGATCAAGCGCAGACACAGGTACCGTGGGCCCCGATCTGCTCCAAGCCCACCAGTCGCGATGCATCTTGTTCAGCGATAGCCGACTATGCGTAAGAGAGCGGAGCTGACGGAGACACGCCCGCAACCGCTTCTGGTTTTCGACAGTCGTCTTCCCAACTGCGACATGATCGAACAGTTCGCAGCGGTTCGCGATGTAATGACCACGTCGTTGACGGCGGTGAGCCGGGATTTGGAGAAAGTCAAAAATCCGCATTAGCCGTTGGAAACGATGTTTCACCCGTCTTCTTCACCACCACCAAGTGAAAAGGTTGCGATTGAGGAGTTAAGCATTGGAGGACGCGGTACACGTGAACACTGAGAGCTTACTAAAATAAGCGAGTGAGTTGAGTGAGCCCCCGTCTTCCTTGCGCATCACCATCGCACAACTTCCTCGTCAAACCAGGCATCACGTCACCCGTCACACATGCTTCTGGCTGCAGGAACACGGACAACGAGGGCTACAACGACGACAACGAAGAAGAAAAAGAAGAAGACGACTACGAAGCAGACGAATGGGTCTTTCGTTGCACGCGCCTCTTGGGACGTTGCCGCCGCTGTCATTGGATCTAGTGCCCGGATCTGCAGCCACGCTCACACTCGTAGCTGGGCTGGCGCTCTCGCAGTTTCGGGGCCCTGGTGCGAAGTTCGAGGATTGCACCCCACCTCAGACGGTCTCCGTCTGGGGCATGTCTCATACCCTTGAGCCTCACAGGGACCCCGCTCAGGGGTCTTCCTCGCCCATGCCACGCCCTTGTATGGAATGATTGGAACGTTCTCCCCTTGTGCGGCTGGGCTCCACAGCGCCATGCTACACACGGCTGCCATTTCCGATCGAGCCTCACACGATCCCTAGCCATCAACCCAACCTGCATCATGGGGCAGACGGCGGATCCCCCTTGCCTTCTTGGCTGCCCTGAACCTCACTTCTGAGCCTGCAGCGTTCCTGACTGCATCCTAGGGCTCCCCTTGCTCGAACGATGCCGGAGTCGATTCAGACAGGGACAGTCGCCCCTTGATCAGACGCCAGCACCATCGTACCAGTTCTGGCCCTGTTTGGCTGCTGTACAGCACTTGCCAGCGGCTCCCATGGGCTTGTCTAATGCATTCCACCGCATGGCCAAGCATTGGCAAGCATTTTAGCCACTGGTGCGCTGCAATATCAATTTGATGAATCGGCGCCGTCTGGGCATGTCGCATGGACGGGACCTACCTAAGCCGGGTCGGTTTTGATGGTCTTTTTGGTCTCTTCGAATAATCTTTGCGGCTTCCCGCAACTCAAGACTCTCCACCTCGTGTGTTATGTGGTTCCCGTCTCGTGCTTCGTCCCATCTTCCTCTCCTGCTCCCTCACCACAGCTCTCCTAACCCAAACTATCTGTCTGACTCTGTCTTGCCCCTAGTGGGAAGTCGGAAGAAACGGCATTCGCTCTTTGACCGAGAAGATTTCACTTCTCTCACGTTCCCTCGTCGTCACACACCCCCCACCCCACCTCTGGCCCATGATCTGTCTGGTCACGTCTCTCATCCATTCTTAGTACCCGCACACCCTCATTACTCGAGGTCTCGGCCGTCCTATCTTTTCTAAACTCTTTGGGTAATGTTTTGCAGGTCGCCACCTGTCTGCCCGTAACTCTCTCCCTCCCTCTCGTAATCGCGAAGGTTTGCGGGAAACAACCACTCCACCAGAAACCAGTACACTCTTTTCGTGTCTTCGTTCCTAGGGTTGATCCCAACGAAACTTCACCGACGGCTGGCCTGTTGAATCCGCTCTTTACACGAAAAGGAAAGAAGAAGAAGAAAAAGAAGGCATCGAATCGAAGAAGCGTATAAGCAGGATACTGAAAAAGAACCCGAAAACTTGGAGAAACGCTGGAGACGCACGACGGTCACCAGCTTTCGCCCCCGAGCCCACGATGAGACGCTGTCTACTCCTCGCCGTGGCAGCTCTATCTTCAATCGCTCAGGTTCGTTCCCTGTCCGCCACGCACAGCCACGGGATTCTTACGAGAAAGCAGGGCGCGGTCGTCGACAAGAGACAGAACATCAACCTTAACGGTGTCAGCATTGATGGAAACGGCAACGTGAATGTGAAGGGCAACGGCGCCCCGGCGGTTGAGGTGACGACGGTGGACCTTCAGAACGCCGGCGCAGTCTTGGGTGATGGAGGAAAAGGATCGAACCGGGGAAATCTCATCGCCGGCATCTTGGACGCTCTGAACGGGAACCGACACCAAGGGAACCAGAACACCGGCAACAACGTCGGTAAATGCCCTGCGGCGCCACCACCGGTCACAGTCACGAAGACGGTTTACCAGAACGCCTCTGTACCCGCGCCGTTGACGGTGTTCGTCACGCAAGCAGCCCCGTGAGGACCCCCCGAACTCCCCGGAACGCGGAATGCACTTGGACGGAGAATGCTAATCAAGCTACAGGCCTCCGCAAATCATCACGCAAATGGTCACCCAGACGCCGGCTGCCGCCGCTCCTCCCCCGGCCGCAACGCCCGCGGCCTCGCAACCCGGCCTCGTCATTCCCGGCCCCCCTCAGGCGCCGCCCTTTGCCGGTCTCTCATCCTCGTCGATCCCGCCGCCTGCAGCAGCAAGCCCCGCCCCCGTCGCAGCTGGTATGCTTCTCCCGCACCCCATATTGGACACATTCATGGAATCTCCGGAGTAACTAACCTGATGTACAGAGCCTGCCGCCACCCAGCCCGCCGCGGCTCTCCCACAAGTCGGCAACCCGGCCGCGACCAGCGGCGCGACGACCTCTCTGAACCTGGGCGGCCTCCGCGGCACCGCCGCCAACCAGCCCGCCGCCGACGTCACGCCCCCCGTTGCCGCGAACCCCGCCCAGCCGCAAATCGCCGTCAGCGGCCTCGCCCTCACCAAGTCTCTGCAGCTCGGCAACCTGCTGCAACAGACGGTCCAGCTGCAGGCTCGCGAGACACCCCCCGTGTAAAACGAAGCAGGCACCGACAAGCCCATCCCGAGAGCGATGTTTCGATGTTCCAACCTTTGGCACCTGCCTGGCCTGTCTTCGTCGCTATTGCTGGAGGAAAGCCTTAATCAGGAGGGGGGGGTTGTCGAAGTGAAGGGTTGCCGAGGGCGATGACGAAGTACATGGCATGTGGATATGGCGACGCCGTTGGCGACTTGAAAAGTGGTTCAGCAGCGGCATACGAAATACCCTAGATTTTTCGATTCTTGTGTATGTGGAACAGGGGACGACACGGACGTTTTGGAATGTAGTTGTGGTTGGTTTTAATGGCGAGCAGAATCTGAAAAAGGTAGCCCGGGCCTTGGTACATAGGAGAGAGACTGGAGGACGGGGTAGGAAAGTACGGGCAAAACGACACAAATACGACCTCCTCTTCTCACACAACGCACGCCTGCCCGTCGTCCGTCTGACGTCCCGCGCGGGGACGGGTGAGTTTGCGACACCACTCGGGCGATGGAGAAGAGTGTGTGTCGAGGGAAGAGGAGGACTTTGCACTCAACACATCTCCCCCCCCCCCCCCCCCCCCCCCCCCTAGGGCTGTATATATTTCTTTTCTTTGGGGACACAAATCATGGCAAACGTCGCAAAACATTTCATATCCCCCTATCCCACACCCCTTATATACGATAGCATTATCAAAGATAATTGAGCGAGTCTCATGATTCACCTGATGGGTCTGCCGATGCTTGAAAATCGTGTGTCTCGATATTTGCACCAAGTCCATCTACCACTGATCATAGACGTGCGTTGTTGCTGGTGTTGATGCTTGTTCTTTCTATTCCTTCTATGGGGTATCATAAAGCGTAAACGACGTGTCCGCCCAACCCAATGTTGACTTCCCTGACCACATCACCCTCATCTCTCGCCAAAAGGGGCGCTTGATCTACGCCGTCTCTTTTTCCTTCTCCTTCAGCGCCAGCCTCAGCTTCTTGGCCTGCCTCTTGCTCATCGTCTGCTGCGCACCATCACCCACCTCGTCAGGCGTCTTGCGCTTCTGCCCGTTCCCCCTGTCCTCGCCGCCGCCTTGCTTCGCACCCTTGCCCTCTTTCCCCTTCCCGCCATCCTTCTTCCCCTGCTGTTGTTTCTTAGCATCGTCCTCCCGTCCACCGACCTCGAGCACGTCCACAACCCCTCGGAACCCACTCCTCTTGATCCCCTCGTTGACAACGACCCCGCGCGGGTTCACCCCCAGCGCCTCGGTGCCCTTCTCGCTACCCAGACCCCACACGGCGAGAAGGTTCACAACGTCGTTCGGCGCACGCAGGCCCAGCGCCGAGCGCGCCTCGGAGCTGACCACGATCCCTCTGCCCTTCGTCGCGCGTACCAGGGAGGCAAAGTTGGAGATGAACGTCGCCCTCGCGCGGGCGTCCGTGGCGCCCAGGATCTGGGAGTAGCACACCTCGAACTTGACGCCGCGCGAGACAGCGGCCATGAGCGGCTTGGGGCGGAAGTGGAAGGGGAAGTGCTGCGTCAGGTCGAGGGAGATGAGGGACGGCTCGGCCATGGAGAGGCAGGCGGCCTGGAAGGCCTTTTCGGTGGTGGGACGGACGGCGAGGATGTCGTAGGCCGCGGCGAGGGCGGGGAGGCGGTAGTTTTGGGAGGGGTCGGAGAGGAGGACCGTCGCGCGGTGGAGGACTGTGGGCTGTTGCCTTTTTGGTTGTGAGGTGGCGGTGTTGGGTGTGGAGGTGGCTGCCGATGACGAAGGTGACGGCGGAAACTTTGGCAGGGGGTTCGTTATTTGCGACGGGATCGGGGGCGTTATTGTGTGGTTTAGGGCGAGGACGGTGTAGCCTAGCGAGGAGGCAAAGGATATCGTGCGAGACAGGTCGGCGGAGATTGTGGTGGAGGACCACGGGATATTGAGATCGTAAAGCATCTTGGGGGAAGGAGCGAAGCTATCGTGAGCTTTTGCCCATTGATTGAAAGATGGGAGTCAACGGTGACTGATTGGTGTTGTCGGGTCGTTGATAACTGCTGGGCATCCAGTCGCTACTGGGAGTACGTCGGCTTGAGTCTCGGGGTGGCGAGGGTCTTAGAATCTGCGCGGCTATCTCGTGATGTCGTGCAATTGGGTTTGTCGCGTGTGGTGTTGCTTGCGTCGTGATCGGACCTTATGCGCAAACGCGGGCGAATTTTTTTGGACGGGACGGAGGTCGGTGTTAGGTTGGTTCCGCGGGGTCGGCTGGGATGACGCTCTTTTGGCCTTTGAGAACGTGGGGCAGTACTTTGGGGCTGCATGGCGCTGGGAGTCTCTGCTAGCGGTTCTGTGACTCTGCCTGAGGGTGTGCCCTCGACCGGAGGTAGCAGCGGGAAGAACGGGCGGGAACATCGGACTAGAGTGGAGGCGACAGCTACAACTTGATGACACCCGTGGGCGATGATCTCATCTCGTTCAATCACAGGCTGCCTCCCGACTTGCAACTGGAGTTTATTCAAGTTGATGGTCAGCCTTCAGCCACCATGCTCGTACATCACAGCGAACTCAATAGACGGTTTTGGGGAAGCAGAGGGTACACGCAAGGGTCAATGGCGCAGTTCCTGTCTCCGGTCCCGCCTTCTCAAGGTCATTATTCCAGACGGCGGCATCCACGGATGACCCCAGGTTCTCAGCCGGGATATCTTTGCTGGAGTACTATGTACCGGTAGTACCAAGCAGCTGAGAGAACCACGGCGGGAAGCGAGTAACTTGTAACACCAAGCATGAAGCATGATGCCCCTTGACAGTTTCTCCATGAAAATTTCTCCGAATTGACAGCATTAAGAGCATTGATTGAGGGCCAGGAAAGCACGTCCCGATTGCCAAGGTATCAGACGGGGTCACGAGTCTCCCCTTTCCAAGTCTCTCTATTGTTCTTCTGGCGGTTGCCGAGTTGTCTTTGGAGAAAGCCATTCCGGGCGAGTGTCGGTAGAAGAACGAGGGTTCGATGTTTCCCAACCGCCAAGGATGCACTGCCTCGGAAGACACGCAAGACAGGCACACCACCACCGGCGCCATCAGAAAGTGTTCATCCCTCTTTCTCCAAAAAAGAATCGTCCGCCACTCACCAGTCGAATCGATCCATTTCCCCCCCAACTCACTCAAGCTTGGGCCACCTTCTAAACCTTTGCCTCCCCGTCTGGTTCGTTCGTGTTGGTCGACCAGGGCCAGTCAGGATTTAGGATTCCTCCGTCTCGGTAAGGAACAGCTCAACTAGCTCTGCTTAAGGGTGCCCTGCCCCAGTTCGAGGTAGCCCACTCTTCCGCCGACGTCAACTGTTCCTCCCGCCACCCTCGGCCCCTTCGTTCCTTCACCTCCCCGGAACGTCTTGGACACCACTACCTACCGCTGTGTTTCTCATCATCTCAGGCATCTACTACAAAACCACCTTTCGGTACTCTCCGAGTCACTCCACGAGGCGCATCTCATCTAAGCGCAACGCCGAAGGGCAGTAGGAATCTTATCGCCATCATCCGACCGGACCTGGGACGTCAAAGACCATCCATCATTCACCGCTCGCCACGCTCCGTCCCGCGGACCTGCAGCAACAACAGCGACTGAGCGTGCATACGTCTGATCTGTTTTGATCACCCAATCCACAAAACATGTTCTTCTTCTTCGTGTGCGGCGAGCACACCTTTCGCAAGCCTGTCGAGGGTTACGAGGGCATGGTCTGCCAGTGCTACAACTGCGGCAACATGGCCGGCCACGTCATCAAGAGCCACCCATGGTTCACCTTTTGCTGGATTGTAAGTGTCTGGATGTTCACTCCATTATCTCTGCGCCTCGCTTGACAATGTCGCCCCTTTGAGCTTGGAGTTTCGTTTGTTTTGATTCTCTTAGCACGTTGACTTCGTATCGCAATCTTTATGAGACCTTTGAGTGGACTAAAAGTCCAAGGACGGGGCATTTAGGCTAACAGATCTTGCAGCCCGTCATTCCCTTGTCTTTCAAGGGCTACACCGATGTTGTCTGTCACATCTGCAACTTTGCTCAGCCGCTCGAGAATCGTCCCGACGTAACGGCTATGAAGGGCGGCGGCCAGATGCAAACTCCACCTGTCCATGGACAGCCTCCTCAGGGATGGGGTCAAGCGCCGCCTCAGTACCGATGAGAGGCGAGGCGTCCTCATCTTTGGCCCCCAAAATCTTCGGCTTCACAAGTACTTCGCTGGGCGCGAACGACCGCATCATGGGAAGAAGGCGACAAGTACGGAGGACTGAGGAGGATCGATGAGACAAATTGTTTGGGAGGACCTGTCGCCCATCCTTCGTTTTACTGCAAAGGACAGGGTATGGCATTTGTGTTTTCTTCATGATTCTAGGCAAGATACCAAGCTGGCTAGGCGTTAGGGGTGGCCATCACGTATGATGACGAGAAATGAATTACTTGCATTTTTTCTCTCTCTATATATATTGCTTTCTTGGGTCTTTGGGAGATGGGATTATGTCTCTTAACGTCCTGCGCCATATTTGCAAAATTCCATGGATCAATCCTGGATGGTTCGCTCGCACAACTTTTACAGGCAGCTAATGGTGTCTGCGTCCTCGACCTGATCTCTATTCTGGAGGACCTCCCGATTAGAGGTTTGCTGGATCGCCTCTTGCACATGTACCATTGTTTCAACGACAGAGACCATGTGATTCAGCATCGCCTGGTATTTCTATGTTCATCACCCGTTATTGAAGCTGTGTTCCAATGGCATACTTGTCTGACGGGCTTTCCAATGCTGGCTAGGCTTGCTCGCTCAGGACACCAGGCTACATTGCCTTACAAAGCAGACTCCAAAAGAAACTCGTGAGATGGCGGATTAGATGGTCTGAATTCTTGTGCGGTCTCGTGCTGGACCCTTTTCGCTGCTGCCCTGTTGGTGTAGAGATTCACATACGCTGAGATTCGGGGCCTCCACTACCTTGTGTTTACTTCCCACCAAGAAAAGACAGGAATGCAACATCTCTCTCTCTCTCTCTCTCTCTCTCTCTGCCTCTGCCTCTTGAGATTAAGGGTGATACGAGGTTCGGGTTCGATTGAAGAAAGGCTGGAACACAGCAACGCTCGCTGGTGAGCGACGCGGAATGCTCAGTACATCAGCGGATCAGCTATGTCCTCGGGGGAGTGCAAGCTTCGTGCTGTTACCCAGTGTTATAGACACACATCTATGTGTTTGCAACGTGAATATGATGCGGAGAGATAATCAAGGAGACTTATTCTCCCTTTGCACATGTTTCACACTCTTTTTGGTGCCAGCTTCAACATATTGGTTACTGTCTGTTGATTGAAACGAGAGACTCAAGTGGAACGAAGTAGCATTTCGATTGAAGTAGGTTATCATCTACTGCACAAATTAATGTAAATATCGAACCCATTACTGTCGCTTATTGAGACAATCAGGTTTGTTATCTGACTACTTGATTTCGATTTAAGTTCCCTAAGAATCAAAATGAATTTCTCGACACCACAAAAAGGTTCAATAATGCAATGGAATCTTCAATGATACTGATATACAGAGAAGCAATCTGCAATAACTGTATCTCAACTCATTGTGAGAGGAAAACAATCATTGAACCCGACAGCCTATGACGTATGCTCCCAACACCAGCCACAGGTGGAAACTGTGGCGGTGCACGCGCTCTGAACTTTCCTGGACTGCTTCCGTCATGGCGATGCTCGCACCACGACGAATCCCCGACACGGACAAACCATCCAATGAACATTGGAATCCTACGATCACCAGATTAGATCCGATTCGAAACCCTGCATGATGCCCTTTGGACTTGTTGCGCAATAGAGACACCCAATCTTTGACCTACAACGCAACCTACGCCCCCCAAACATCCGCAACAATGGCGTCCGCGAAGCGAGGCCCATCGGTCCTGGTCCGTCACAACCTCCCGTCCCCTTAGACCCAACATCCATCCACCCGTCAAGACACTAATGCATGACTGCTGTAGGTGACCGACTCGCGAGAACGGCCTCCGCAGAGGGGCGCTCTCCAGCGACAGAACACCGGCATAGGTGGTGCTCAGGGCCGACCGGCAATGCGCTTCATCTCTGTCGACAACGTCCTGCAGTACGCCTCCGATATCCCCTCAGGCCAGCCCCGTGTCGTTCCCACGTCCCAGCGTCCCGCTGGTGGCCTCGCGAACGCCCGACGCGTCAGCGCTGGCCTGCCGAACCTGCAGTCGAGGACGGGACAGCAGAGCATGCCCTCACGCACGACAAAAATCAGCGAAAAGCTTGTGCTGCTGCCCGAGACGGACGAGAAGCCCGGATCCGACGAGGACCTCGACGAGGAGGCGAGCAAGATGGCGCGCGAGATTGAAGCCGAGGAGAACCGACCACTGCGCGACGAAGAGCTCGACGTGCTCCGCAAGAGGGGCGGCATCCGTGGCAAGAGTTACGCCGAGCGGCTGCCCAAGGTCCAGCGCAAGGAGAAGCTGGCGCGGTTGACGGCATACTGCACAGCGCAATCATACAAGATGAAATCGACCGCCGATTTCCTCCGGACCAAGCACGACGCCAAGACGAAGCTCTACGACGACTGTCTTTACGTGGTGTACTCGTTGCCTCTCCTGAACGGCACCGAGGGCTACCGCGTCCGTAGCCGGCCCATTGTCAAGACGCCCGGAAGCGGCAAGACGGTCCTGGACATGGAGATTGAGCGGAGCGAGCAGCGTGACTACCACGAAGGGTACTTTGAGGACGCCGTCGATAGCGGCAGCCCCATTAATGGCAGCCCTATGAACGGCAACGGCGTCTACGGAGACGATTCCTCTTCCCCGCGCCATCACCGCGAGCAGTCCCCGGACGACCCCAACATCTCGCCCATGGCGCGGATTCCGGACGCCAAGTCGTTCGCCGAGATGTTCCTTTTTTCCTACGGCGTTGTCGTGTTCTGGAACTTCACCGAGCACCAGGAGAAGGACATCCTTGCGGACCTGACGTTCGCGCAGAACGAGAACGGGCTCTCGTTGCTTACGCGCCCGCTCGATGAAGATGACTTCGAGACGGAGGAGTTCCACTTTGAGTACAGCCACGACGTGAAGCGGCCGCGCATCTTCAACGACATGATCACGCTGCTGCCTCGCAGCGACCACATGGTCAAGCTGACCATCAGCCACGCTATCGCGCAGAGCACAAAGCTGTGTCTGTTTGAGGAGCGCATGAGTGAGACGATGCTCGACGCGCAGCACGTTCCGAAGCGGCTGGCTCTCACGGGCGAGTTGAACATGACGAGAACGGAGATTGTCAAGATCCTGGGCCGGCTGTTCAAGAGCCGCGTCGATATCAACCTATGTAAGTTTCTCCCATATGCCTTGGCACGGTAAATCTGGAAATGAATTCCTGTGCTAATCCACCCCAGCCTCAAATATCCTCGACGTCCCCAACTTCTTCTGGGACTCGGAACCGACGCTACACCCGCTTTACGTGGCCATCCGCGAGTACCTCGAAATCGACCCGCGCATCAAGGTCCTCAACGAGCGCTGTCGCGTCTTCCTCGACCTGGCCGAAATCCTGGCCGACTCGGTCGCCGACGCCAAAATGAGCTACATCACCTGGATCGTCATCGTCCTCATCGTCATCTCCATCCTCGTCACCATGACCGAGGTCGGCCTGCGCTTCGGCATGCTGTCTAAGAACAACGGCAAGGGGCTGGGCGAGGGCGCCGGCGCGGTGCCGTTGATCGCTGCCGGCAGTCCCTCGGTGGCGAAGACGCAGCTGCTGCCGGGAAGTGTCAAGTGGGAGCTTGAGAAGAGGAACGTCAGCGTCGACGAGCTGAGGCTTTGGAGCCGGATGCTGAGCGAAGAGGAGGGGGCGGGCTCCGAGGTTGTAGGAAGCCGGATCGTGGGCAAGACGTTTGCTGGCGTTTGAGATTGCATCAACTCCACGCGGCCTCTCATTCCTTAACTTTCAATTTTTCATTTCCAAGTCTCTTTTGTATTATGGAATACTGCATAGCATGGCGTTGGGCGGATTACAATCTCCTTGCAACGTTTTCTCTGGGAAGAGGCGGAACAGCATGGATAAGGGACCGATTTTCAAAGCCTTGTGCATGGTCAAAAACAGCGTTGCGGAATTAGTCCCGTCATACATAATCCAGACGGAAGGAGTAAACTTTCCCGTCGAGAAACAAGCAACACACAAGTTCAATCACGGTTTTTTAAAAGTCATGATTCCACTCTTTGACTGATGAATTTATGTCTCATTTGACTCCAGTGCTATGCTACCAATAACTGCAGAAAAGCCAGAAGAAACGTATAATAACGCAAGGAACCGATCCGACTACCACGCCGGGTGATTTGGTTTTTCTCTACTGAGGCGGGGGAGGGACTCTTGATCCAAGCCTTACTTTACTGCAAGGGTCATACATCTCCCCTATTCTTTATATATATATATATCCACAAAACAAAACAATGGTTCAACTCGAAAACGATCCGCCGACGTCTTATTCGTCCCGGTCCGCCATATTGGCAAGCGGGACGTAGCCCTGATCTTGTGTTCGCTTGCCACGGATCTTGCGAACGACATACTTGATCCTATTGAGGATGCCGAAGCCGCGGCTCTTGGTGCGGGCCGAGGGGTCGACCATGTAGCTCGGGCGGGTCCAGAACTTGAGGAGGAGACTGCTGACAACGACGCTGACACTACTGCAGGCCATGGCGGCGCCGGCAGCCATGGGGTGGAGGTGGAAGCCGTAGGGGAGGAAGACACCCATGGCGAAGGGCAAGCCGATGGCGTTGTACAGGCAGGCCCAGGCGAGGTTAAGCTTGATGCGGTTGAAGATGGAGCGGGCAAGGTGGAGGGCGGCGGGGATGTCCATGAGGTCAGTAGGACGCATGAGGACTACGTCGGCCGCCTCCATGGCGACGTCCGTGCCACTGGCCATCGCGATACCAACGTCGGCGGTCGCGAGAGCAGGGGAGTCGTTGATGCCGTCACCGACCATGCCGACGACCTCGCCCTGGTCCTGCAGCTGCTGGACAATGGCCTGCTTCTGATCAGGCGAGACACCAGCGTAGACGTTCTCAGGAGAAATGCCGACGGCAGCTGCCACAGCGACTGCGGTGGAGCGTTGGTCACCAGTGACGATGGCGGTCTTGATCTTCATGCGGTGGAGGACAGCGATGGCCGCGGCCGCGCCCTCCTTGATGGTGTCAGAAAGGCAGAGATGACCGGTGTATTGGCCATCAATGGCGACGAAGATGTTGGTGGTGCCTGCCGAGGTGTTCTTCGCGCTGGAGTTGGCCTTAGCGTTCAGCTGTTCGGAAGCCTCGACCGCCTCGGCGGGGACATTGACGTTGTTTTCGCGGAGGAAACGGACATTGCCAAGGAGGACGCGGTAGCGGGTGCGGTCGTTACCCGTGGCGGGCTCGACGAGGGCATTGATACCTTTGCCGACGGCGGCCTTGAACTCGCCGACGCTGCCCTCGATGGTAGCCTCTTCTTCGATCCCAAGCTCGGTCTTGGCGGCACCCAGCACAGCTCTACCTACCGGGTGCTCGCTACCCATCTCAGCGAGACCGACGATGTGCCACCACAGTCGGCGGCGCCACTCGTTACCCTGCCAGGCAGAGACGAGGCTTATCTTGGCTACGCTCATCTTGCCGTACGTGATGGTGCCGGTCTTGTCGAGTACAATCTGGGTGATTCTGGTGGTTGTCTCCAGAGCAGCGCCGCCCTTGACCAAGATTCCGTTCTCAGCGCCGATGCCAGTGCCCACCATGACGGCGGTGGGGGTTGCCAGGCCAAGAGCACAGGGGCAGGCAAAGACAATGACAGAGATGCACAGCTTGACACACACCATGATCTTACCGCCACTAGCTTCTTGAGTAAAGATCTTGGGTGGGTTCTTGAGTACGTGACTGAGGATCATCCAGACGAGGAAAGTCAGGAAACCGAGGATGAGGATGGTTGGGACAAAGTAGCCGGCGAGCGTGTCAGCCAGACGCTGAATAGGGGCACGAGTAGTCTGAGCGTCCTGAACAAGCTTGACAATCTGGCTGAGCTGCGTGTCGCGGCCGGCTCTGGTGACGCGGAAGTCGACACGTCCGTGGCCGTTGACAGTACCGCCGATCAGGTAACTTCCTTTCTTTTTCTGGACGGGCATGGCTTCGCCAGTCACCATACTCTCATCGATATAAGTCTCACCGCGGACCATCGTACCGTCTGCGGGAATCTTATCGCCAGGGCGAAGGATGACGACGTCCCCAACTTGCAGGAGTTCGGTGGGGATGACCTTTTCCTCTGCTGCGTTTCCGTCGCGGTTGGGTGTCTTGGGCTCACCAGAAACCGTGGCGCTCTCCCAGCCCTCGGCAGCCTTCTCGGCGGCAATAGGGTCGGCATAGATAGTAGCCATCGACGGAGCCAGAGACATGAGGCGTGAAAGAGCCTTGGAAGTCTGGCCCTTGGCGCGGTTCTCCAAGAACCTGCCGAGAGTAACAAAGGTAATCAGCATAGTGCTGGTGTCGAAGATAGTGGACGGCCTTGTGTGCGGCGGGAAGAAGAAAGACACCAGCATAGCCATGATGCTGAAGAAGAAGGCACACGAGGTGCCGAGGATGACGAGAACGTCCATGGTCGGTGATCCGTGCTTGATGGATTTCCAACCCGAAATATAGAAACGCTTTCCAATGCCGAACTGGACAGGTATCGTAAGAGCCAAGCAGACCAAATCGCCAAGGTAAATGCCGGGGAGAAGCTCCCAGCTGCCGAAGTCCAAGCTTGGGAAGCACATGGGCAAAATCATGCTGATGAAAAAGACGGGAATGGCGAACGACAGAGACAGCTTGAAAGCTCTCCGCCACTCATTAATTTCTCGAGTCTTGGCGAGCGATTCGAGCTGAGCGTTGTTGTCGTCGTTATCGGAAACCAAGGCGTTGAGGCCCTCAGCCTCAACAGCCTCGACGATTCCTCGCAGGCCGATGAGGCTGGGCTGATGGGTGACCGTCAACCTCGAGGAGGCCAAGCTGAGCTTAGCAGAGTTGATGCCGGGAATGGTCAGAAGCTTTGCTTCCAGAGCCATGGCAGTGGAGGCGTCCGGATTTCCGTAAATCTTGAACTGCGCAGTGGAAGAAGCGCCATTGCCCTGTGCGGACGTCTCGAACGCAGTCGACAGGATCTCTGCGCCGAAGCCCCTGTCCTCAATGATCTCGGCGATTTTGTCTGCAGGAAGCTTCGTCGTGTCGTGGGTGATGACGGCGCGCTCAGCCAGCAAGCTAATGTTGAAGCGCAAAACACCCTCCATCTCCTTGAACCCTCCTTCAACGGCTGATGTGCAGGCGCCGCAGGTCATGCCCTCGATGGCGACTGTTGTTGTAGCGACGGAGCTTGTAGGGTTGCTGCTGGCTCTGGGCTTCTCCTGCTGGCTGCTTTCGCTGTCCACGATCTCAGCGCCAAAGCCTCGGTCCTCGATTATTTCCGCAATTTGTTCGGCAGTGAGCAGTGTTGGGTCATGCTCAATAACGGCTCTTTCAGACAGCAGAGATATGCTGAAGTTCTTCACGCCCGGGATGTCTTTGAAGCCTCCCTCGACGGCAGATGTGCATGCGCCGCACGTCATTCCTTCGACAGCGACAGTGGTCGTCATGAGTCCGCTCTCCTCCTCGGCATCGAACAGGTCCTGGTTTGTCGGGAACATCGGTGACGGCAGGTCGGTGGACAAAACTTCGGCATCGAAACCTCGGTCTTCAATAATCTCGGCGATTTTCTCAGCAGAGATGGCTTCGGGGTTATGCATAACCACCGCGCGCTCCATGACCAGACTGACGGAAACACTTCCTACGCCCTCAACACCTCGGAAGCCCGACTCGACTGCGGATGTACATGCGCCGCACCTAACAAGAAATCATGTAAGCAGACCGCCGGGGGGAACAACATGAAGCAGGGCGTTACTTACGTCATGCCTCCAACTTTAAGGGTCGTCGTCGCCCATTGGGTTGCGGTCGGTGTAGCGAGGGTGGCGGTTGGCCCGCCGGCCTCATGCTTCGCCGGTACTCTGATGGCCGGAGGAGCCATGTTTTCGGTGTTTTGCGTACAACGATGCGCTTGTTGATAGAAGAAAGGGTCGGAAATGCAGGGCCAGCCTCGGTCTTCGTTCGTACTTCGGTCTTGGGTCGATTTCCAACTATCTAGCACCAGCCTTCATGGTAGGGCTAGCAGTCCATAGAGTACGGGAGAAACAGTCGAGCTTGTTTCGAGGCCGGAAGAGGCGAGGGATATCGAGGCAAATAGTTGGACTGCAAGAAGAGGCTTTTGGGGAGGGGCTCCAGAAGACCAGCTTCCGAGTACTATGTACGACTGCTAGAAGGTGGGTATCGCGGGTTGGGCGTAGGCTATGCGATGCGTGCGCGCGAGTATGTGTAGTAGGTGCGCGATGTGTACGTGGTAGCGCAACAGGCCGGGTGGGAAAGGTTGGTAGGATTAAGAATCGAGGGCCGGGGAGGCTACGGGAGAAGAAAAATAACGGCGGCAGTCAATGGCACGGTTGGGGGAAGAAGGCAAGAAACGAGAGTCATGGGAAGGACGGAAGCGGAAGGTCGGGTTTTGTCAGCCAGATTCTTGCCTCGATGGGAATGGGGGTGGGAATGGCAAAAGAATCCCACCTGCGACGCAGCGTTCCATCAGCTGCTACACTGCTGAACTGCCTGAGAGGGATTGCAGGAGAGGAACGGACGGAACGGTGTGTGGGTGCAGCGCGCGAGATGGCCGGGATCTAAGGTAATCATCTGGCGCAAACGTGGGACTGGCGACCAGGGGTGTGAGAGGGAAGGGTGTGTGTGTGTGTGTGTGTGTGTGTGAGTGGGTGGACACAGATACTGGTACAGGCGCTGGAACTTCAACGGGACAGGGGAGTGAGTCTCTGGGTGCTGAGAGCGTTGCTTCCGACCTGCTATGTACTAGGTATGGTACATACAGGTAGAAAGCGTCCCAATGTTCCCGTCCATTGTGTTCCATTGCTGCTGCTGCTGCTACGGAGCAACCTGAGCCCTTCTCGGGGCTCGTGCGGGTGGTTTCTCCTCTGTTTTCTGGGTTAGAAACCTGTTCATTTTTTGCTACTCGGGTTTACTGTTAGACGTAGGTACGTGTGATCTTCACTTGCTTGTGTACCCATCATCCGTACCCCAAGCCTCCCTACTACCAACTTGCTGCAGCCCTGACCAAGATACCATGTATAAAAGATCCCCTGAGTCTCTGACAGAGTTGACTCAAAGCCACGAGTCGAATGTCTACCCTGGAAAAGGAGACACCAGACAAGCGCTTGCTCTCGGTTCGGGGTGGGTGTGCTGCAGAAGCAATGGGAACGTGGAGTTTGTGTGTGGGCGGGCCGTGGCCGAGCCGACCAATTGGGTCGCACGGGTGATGCCAGCCCGTGCTGTAGCTCTCGGCGCTGGGAAGTCGAGGGCGCCACAGCTGGACCGGGGGCTCCTCCCACGCCCTCCTCCCATTTCCCATTTCTCTTGGTCCTATTTCTGGGCGCATCTCGCAGCAACGAAGGAGGCGCTAGTGGCCATCTCGCTGTTTACCTACCTAATCTTTGGAGTTGCCCGATGCTGTGGCTATCTCTCTCTCTTTCTCTCTCTCTCTCTCAAATGGGCATTAGTTGACGCCTCGAGCCATGCTTTGTGCTACCATCTGCCGCCTGCCATCCCGGCAGCGAGGATTGACTGCTACCATTCCTTCGAACCGGTGGGTAACTCGGCGAGTCGACGCTGACTTCGGCTGTGCATCTCGTACAGAACGCTATTCATGGCTCTTCCCGGGGCGCACGTACGTGCGGCCTGTGTACATAGTAAGCCTGGTAAGCTGAGGTGATTGATGCCAGACTCGCCACCCACTGGTACCAGGTGTGTATGCAGCCCCCGCCCCTTCTCCTCAATAGTCTGTCCCGGACCAGGGGCACACGCTGCGCTACAGTACCGTGAGTACGGTGGTACGAGGACGACGCACCTGAGCCTGGTCAGCCCGGCTCACGAAACATTCAAGGGCACGGCACTTGAGGCAGTTTTTCCCTTGGGGGTTCAAGGGGACTCCTGGGTTCGGATCGAAAGCTTCAGCCTCCGACCACCAGAGTCGCCAAAACCAATTCGTCCGAATTGTTTATTGGATCTCATACGTCTCGATGGACTCGATGGTGGGACTCTGGACGCCATGCTTCATGCCCCTCAAGCCGTGATCCGAGCTCTCCTCTAGGATGGGTGGCTGGATACAAATCAACGCTGCCAGGTTGTTGTGATTAACTCCTGCGAAGCATTTACTTTTTTATTTTCCTTTTATTTTATTTTAATCTTTTATCCTTCGCCGAGTTTCGTCCATCTTCTATCAATCCTTCCCGGTCTCTGAAGTCTTTGCTGAGAGAGACATCTCGTAGTAGCTCGAGGTTCTCCTCAGAATCACTTTGTCACCCCCAGAACTAGGCCTAGGTATAGAATAAATGCGATTTGAGTTTCCGACGAACCAACCGATGAGTCTGTTTCAACCGCCGCCGAGGTCGGCTATTGATGCTTGGTCTCCTTATCAGCAACCTGTATCGCGCCAACCTCAATAACATACGATGACCATATCGAAGCCCGGCTGTGTCCGTGAGGGGAAACAAATCCTCAGTCGATTTTCTGCGCCAAGACACAATGTTAAGTAATGCTTAGGTCCTGTCAACCCGAAAGATCTGCCCCAACCTAGAAGGTAAAATATGTAGTGATTCGCACATCTGAGCCACTTGCTCGGGTGATTCTCACCATGGAAGGTCCAGTCCCCCCTGTCTGGAGAAAAAGCCAAGCTCCGGCTGGAACTTCCCGCAATTGCTTCGTTGTAGTGTTTTGGCTCCAGACTAAATGGACGTGGAAACAAGATCGCCCATAGGCCCCTTTGCCCTTCCACAGCCATTTCAACCACTCTTTTAACTCCGACAATGAACAGAGACAAAGAGAAACCCGTGATGTCCCGTCTTTGTTCCGTTCCATGACAGCGACTCAGGACCTGAGGCTGGTCCTAGGAGGAAAGTACGTTGAGGGATTGGTCAACTGCACTAGTGCGGGATGCCCCACCACACCGCCTAAACCGTACCTTCAATACCTGTCTGCCACGCCAGCCTGCCCCGCCCCGGAGCCGTAGCTGCCCCCCAAACCGACTTGCAGCCGCCTACCTTCCATTGACGGCACCTCAAACGGATCTGACACAAGCTTCGTCCTCAGAAGAGATCTCCAGTAGCAAACACTCCACGAACGAACCAGCGACACCCCCTCGCTTTTCACACCCTCCATCTAACGACGCAAGGGTCAGAATCCAAGCTTTGCTCTCAGCCTCGTCTCGTCCCATAACCACTGAAAGAACCACCCCAATCTCAGCCTCGCCACAACCCCACCTTTGGGGTATCACGGCTCGTGCTCTAAGTGACGACAGCTGCTGCTATCGACCGGAACCCCCACCTCAGAGAGCCTCGTGAGTATCGACGAGAAGCTCTCAAGATGGAGCAGACGAAAGCTCTCAATGCTCTCGAGGTAAGCATTCCCCTATTCATCCTCTCTCCTCTTCCTCTTTAAGCTGACCCGTGCCATCTCCAGCCCTTCCTGGCTCTGAGCAAGTCAGCAACTTCCCCACGTGCCGCGGCCGACCTCATCACCCGCGCGACCTCGAACCCAAACACCTTCCTCTTCACAGAGCTCCTCGAGACCCCTCAAATCCAAGCCCTCGCTCAGTCTCCCGACTTCCTTCCTCACCTCCGCCTCCTCGAGATCTTCTCCCACGGCACCTACGCCGTCTACCTCTCCTCCGGCCAACAACTGCCCCAGCTCAACGATGCCCAAACCCTCAAGCTCCGCCAGCTCTCCCTCCTGACACTCGCCCGCGACCGCTCGAACCTGAGCTATGCCGCCCTCCAGTCCGCCCTCGGCCTTCCCTCGGCCCGCGCCCTTGAGGATCTCGTCATCTCGGCAATCTACGCCGGCCTCCTAGACGCCACCCTCGACCCCCACCGCCAGGTTGTCCAGGTAAACTCCCTCGCCGCCTTGCGAGACCTCGCACCGGGCGCCGTCCCGTCCATGATCCGTGCGCTGCACGCCTGGTCGTCACGCTGCGAGTCGACGCTTGAGGGGCTCGAGTCCCAGATCGCCGGCATCCGCGAGGCCGCCGCCCGCCGCCAGCGAGACAAGGCCGAGCAGGAGGCCCGCTTGGCGAAGCTGGTCGATGAGGTACGGAAAGACCCCGAGGCCGGGGCGGGAAGGAAGCTCGCTGTCGGACACGGCGGCGGCGGTGAGCGCGGGAGCGGGTTCTTGGGACACACGTCAAGGGCGCAGCGGTACAACAAGAGAGGCAGCACGAGCATGATGGATAATACGGAGGAGATAGACGACGAGGCGATGGATGTGGATGAGGAGGACCCCGAGCAGGAGAAGAAGCGTGCCAGTCGACGGAAGCTTTAGTGAGCAGGGACGGCGGCTCTGACACGAGAGGGCACATGCTCCTTTTTCGGGGCAAGGCCTCGCAGCCGAGCAGTCAAACTGCGGCATTATGAGGACCATGAGAATGAGTGCCAGGTAATGGGAAGCGAGAAAGAGCGTAACTCAAAAAGCTGGAGCATAGCATAACCGGCACGCCAGCAACAAAACGTCACGATAGATCATGAAAACATTCAACTTTAGTCAACCTCGAACGTGTTGATACAGAGGGCCACTAACCTCTTTCCCATCTCGGGTTCTGTGGTACCTATCTAGCAAGCCAAAAATTGAAATTAAGGGAATCAAAAAATGAAAGTGAATGAAAGTGTCGAAGCCAAAAGCCCTCCCCGCCTCGTCCCCCCTCTCTCTGAGGCCACCTCCTCCCGTCCCCTGTCCTGCCTGAGCAGAACAATGTCTCGAACCCTCCGAAGTAATAGTACACCATGCCTTGTGTACATGGAATGAAGAAGAAATTAGATCTCTCTTTCTCTTGTTGAACGCCGAATGCGAGGCTGGAATCCCTTGTGGCCTCTCCCATTTGTCCCTACGCCGTACCTCTTTTGGTATCCTGGTATGGAAACCCGATGAAAACAGAAAATTTGGAAGAAAAAAAAGACTCTTTCGCTCAAAATCCTTGGGGTCGTAACGTTCGTGAAAGCTCTCTCAATAACAAGGGCCGAATATTAGTACATCTCTGATGTTGATTGGAGAGGCCGCATTGTTGATGTGTTTGGGGTATTGCAAGTCATTTCCTTTTTGTTTGTGGCCTAGAACACGTGGGCTTCTTACAGCCGTTTGCCCGGGACAAGGATGAAGAGCACACAGAGCGCGGCGTCGATCAAGAGTGTGACGGAGAGGACCATGATGGCTCGCTTTATGAGGAGCTTACGAACGTAGGGCTCGCGGATTTTCGAGAAGTTGAACGGGGTGTACTCGCTGAAGCCGATGAGAGCAAGGACAGGGTCCAAGGAGTACTGGTAAGAGGCAAGGAAGTAGACACCGACGGTGAAGGGAAGGATAAGCTGAAAGTCAATTAGCAATTGGATCTCACGTATAAGGTCATCGAGGGACTCACCCAGCATCTTGTCGTGCGAGCTGCATCAAGGAAGATGAGAATAAAGGCAGCCCAGAAGCCGCCAAACATGGACAAAAGGCCAACAATCATTCGGATCTGAAGGGTGGTCGGGATCAGGTTGCCGAGAGCCTTCATCCTCAGGAAGTTGGGAAAGGCATCGCGCTCCATCGCCTGGAAGACGTAATCCTTGGCAACATCAAAAACCTCCGGGTCATCTCTACCAAAGTCCTCGATGGCGGTGGTGACGTCCTGGGTGATGGAGCCCGGCAGAATGATCTCGCGTTCCGCGCCGGGGAGCAGGAAGGTGTACAGGATCTTCTCTGCAGAAGCGCGGATGTCCTGTCTCGCGACGGTGTGGGCCGGGGAGTTGGACTCGGTCGTCATCTCACGCGGGGTACTGAAGGCTCCGCTGGCGCGGCCGCGTTGGTCGCCGGTGCTGCTCTGGGGAGAGTCCTCGTGGGCCTCCTCTCTCAGGTAGGCGGACATCTGAGCATCCTGGTTCTTCTCCTTCTCTGATGCGTACATTGACGGTCCAGCAGCGCTGTGGCTCATATCTCCGAGACCCTCCAAGATCGCGGAAGACCGCTTCGAACCTGACTTATCCAGATCAGGAGTTCCGACAAGGACGGATCTTCGAAGTTCGCGGACATAGTGCCGGCAAAGAGACATGTGCTGAGCAACATCGAGCCTACGCTCCGTTAGTGAGAGAACGCGTGCTTTGGAGGCGTGGTAAACACGCACCAGAAGTCGAGATAGTCAACGGATTTTTGCTGGTCTCTCATAAAGATGTAGAAAGAGAAAAGGTCCACGGGAGGCAGGGTACGGCGGCTCAACACCTCGAACAGAGTCGGCAGGCGATTCCGGTGCAGGTCTGGCTGAGGCGATGGCGTGCCGGACGCCCCAGTCGATCGGTCCTCCATGATGTTGATCGAGTCGCGATTACGAGGAAAGTCGGGGTATCGAATTCGAAAGATGATCTGGACAGAAGAAATCGGTCGGGAAAGAGAAGTCGGGTTACGGAGTCGCAATCGATTGATAATGCAAAATCAGAGTCAAGGGCGTCGAGAGAGCGCGGGTTCGTCGAGGTTTGGCAGGTGCGCCCAGCAACCAGCAAGATTAGGCTTGGTAGTAGCGCGGCTATCTCCTCGTTGTCGCTAGTCTTCCTCTGGAGTTGGTATGTTTACTGAACGAGCGTGAGAAGGGAAGGATCGCGCACGGCGCAGACTGACAGCGTCAGTGTGGTTAACGATGGCGCTGCAGGCGTGATGGCTTGCGGCTTGGATGGCGTTCGTATGCGGGCATAACAGCAGATCAAGCGTTCGTTGGGACCCAGACACTAATTTCGTTCAGGTTGTCTGGTCAGGGGGGGAAATAGCCCACTCCGAAAGCTGGGCACGTACCATCGTATTCCCTGTGGAGGAGAGAAAGCGGCGCTTTTCCCTAGTGGGCGCTGGCTCCACGTCTGCTGCTCTTCTCCTGCCAAGGTTATTTCCGAGTAGGTAAGCAAGCCTACAGGAGTCACATGACCTTACAGTCTGTTGCACCACCGCCACTCACCAGCCGCAAGCACGGACTCCCCACTTTCTCACTCGGAAGGCGCTTTCTAGGGCTTGCACCTGCCTTCGCTTCACAAACTTTTCGTGCTCGATTACGGGGAAAACCATCACCATCGATCGAACTTCTCAGCCAACTCGACTCCGCGATCCCGACGACCGAACGCCCAACGAGAGGTACCGCCAAAATGTCGACCAAGCAGAAGAAGCCCGCCGGAAAGCAGCGTTCCGCCATTGCGGACGTCGTCGCTCGCGAGTACACCGTCCACATGCACAAGCGCGTTAGTATTTTCCTTGAGAGCCCATGCCGCCGTCGATAGTCGAATCCAACGACGTCGGTGATGGGCTGAAACCAAGCATGGCAACGCTGACATTTTCCCCTTTATAGCTCCACGGTGTTTCTTTCAAGAAGCGCGCTCCCCGTGCCATCAAGGAGATCAAGGCTTTCGCTTTCCAGGCCATGGTACGTCCTACTGCCCCTCGATAGAAAAATTCCGAAATATCCAAGCACACGCGACAACAATTCCCCCGACCCATCATCATCCTCCGTCCTTCGGGACAAGACGAAGAATCGACTTTTCGGCTTGGAGATAAACGGCTGCTAACCGCAATGATTGTATAGGGCACCACCGACGTCCGTGTCGACCCCCAGCTGAACAAGAAGGTCTGGGAGCAGGGTATCAAGGGCGTTCCCTACAGACTCCGCATTCGCATCTCCCGCAGACGAAACGACGAGGAGGGTGCCAAGGAGAAGCTGTACAGCTACGTCCAGGCCGTCAACGTCAAGAACCCCAAGGGTCTCCAGACCGTTGTCGTTGAGGAGTAAAAAGTTCTCTTTGGGATGGTTTAAGGGCGGCATAAAGGCATCGGAGTTGCATTCGGCATTCTAGTCTCACATACAAAATCGACGGAAATGTGAACAACGCTTGATTCCCCACACACGAATTCGACGACTTCTTACTAGTTCTGGACCCCGCGATGTGGTGGGATGTTATTTTTGTCTGCGCCGAGTGCGCGCGCGAAGGGAGCGTTGCGTGTGTACCAACCAGCAATGGTGATGGGGGACTTGGGACAACCGTTTACTTGAGGTTATGTTACACACATCGTCCTACAGGGTCTTTTCATTCGACTTCAGTTGTCTGCAAGACGCAGACAACAGGATATACCCAATCCTAGCCAGGCCCCAACCATGCAATGCAGTCCAATCCCTAACAAAAAAAGTTCCAAAACCACCAGGCCCGTAATCATACAAGACTCCAATTCTCCAGTGCTCGAAACAATTATTTCACTCCTTCCACTGACTGACCCCTACTTCGTCCGGGCCTAGGTACGCTCACTCGTCCTCGACGTCGCGATGACGAGCGAGGACCTTGCGCTTGAACTCCTCGTGGTCCTTGTCCCAAAGCTCTGCGGCCTCACCATTCAGAGGAGAGGCGCTAGGTCCAATGTTAGTAACGTATGACGGACCACTTTTTGCCGGGGCAACTCACTTGTTTGGCTCACCCAGCAGACTTTGCAAGCTGAGGAGGACGGTCTGGATGTTGTAGGCGGGCGTCCACTTGTCCTTGAGGATGTCCAGGCAGATGCGGCCGGAGAAATCAAAGTTGGGGTGGTAGATGGGCGTCTTGAAGAGAACCGTCGGCGGCGCGTAGGGGTAATTGGTAGGGAATGACAGGCTGAGCTTCAGCGTCAGGCCGGCGTACGGGGTCTGGTCGGGTCCCTCGATCGTCGCCGTCCATGACATGAGGTTGCCGTCTGCTGAAGGGAAAGCAGAGACACCGGGAGCGGGCGATGTCATAAGCTGCATCAACTCCGTTTGTAATCTGCAGTAAGACAGTTAGTCCATCTACGTGGGAAGAGGGTAACGAGGCCCTCGTACCTCTTGGTGACGCTCTGCGCGTCGGGTCCCTTCCTAGCACCGCCGAGCTTGGCCGCCTGGACGCTGCCGGGAGCGGCGTTCTGAGTGTCCTCCATGCTGTAGTCCATTGTTGCAAAGGTGTCTGATCTGAAGCTGAGAAGCGAACAAGTAATGGGGTCAGGAGCGCTGAAGTTAAGACGGAAGGGAGCGTCTCGAGACTGGAGGAGTGCTAGAGGTGAAGTGCTGGGATGAAGCAGGTAAGTCGTTTGGTGAGGCAAGGAAGTAGTCCGGCCGTTCAGTACTTATGTGCAAGGGGAAATGCAGCGCGCAGGAAAGAGAAAGATCAAGGGGCGAAGGAGGCAAGTTTGCAGGCGTCGAGAACAACAGAAAGGCAATTATTCCGTAGGGTGAGAAGGGCTTCCGGGATTGGAGAAACTGGGGACGCTGGTACCTGGGCGACGCGCTGGCTTCGACCGACGCTTTCGGGCTAGCGCTGTCGCTGCCGTACGACGGGAAGTCAACGGGCGGTACGTACCCCCTGAGACAGGTCAGCCTCCTCTGTTTAACTTCAACCCATTTCTCAGTCAGACGGACTTTAAAGTCCAAGGCTTTGCATTCATATCGCCTGTCTTCACCTTCTAAGCTAGTAAAAATAATTTTTCATAGGTTAGAATGCTGGGCTAGGTTTCTCACTATCTATGTACTCTTCTCCTTTCACAGATGGACTTACCAGGAACCCAAAAGTTGGAAGTGGCATGTTAACAGCAAAAGTCTCTACAAACATGGTCTCGTCCGATAATTCCAACCCCCAAAAAGCATTTCATGTGCTACCTGCGGAATCCCCCCCCCTAGCAAAACATCTAAATACGACAATTGAGCTGTCTCGTCGTTTGCTCTGAAGACACAAAACTTAACACAGTCTAGGCTTCTTCTTCCAGGATAGTTCATGGAAAAGGGGTTGAGAACAATGATTCTCTGGGCTTCACTCAGACGACAATGAACTGGCAAGTTCGTTTTGCTGATAACACACACACGCACACACAGAGAGAGATATATCTTACGATGATTGTTGAGACGATGATTTCGTCCCTAAATCAGCCTCAAAGCCCATTTGACTTCAGAAAATCTTTGTGTCTTTCATAGCACCGGAATAAAGACTTTGCAAACATGTGCTTTCCGTCAACAGGTCTTTTTGTAAGGCGCCCGGGTGCAATGATCTATTCACCAAAGCTATCGGGGAAGGCAGACTGTGGCCCTTCCCACTGAATCCTGATTAAATCCAATCAGTTACATTTAGCTCCGACTACCTAGGCTTGAAGCTGTTGAACCTATTTTCTATCAATTCGGCTTGGATCTTGTCCAGATCATCCGTGTCTGGCTGGTCCGCCTCAACCTCACCTTTTTCAACGTCCTCCACATCAGTATGGCACCCTTTCATATGTGCCCATGGGAGAATTGCGCCTCTGCTCACAAGCAAGAGCCCGTTAAGCAAGTCATTGGGTTGGTACAGAGCTAGAGCGATGCTGCTAACTTTTAATTAGGAGGACTATGTCCTCGCCTGAAGAGATCGTCAAGCGTGGCAACTGGGAAAGCTCAGCAGACTCGTCATCCTTTCCTGCTCTATCGCAAGTGGACTGCTGTAACGATGCGAGTATCCACCCGGGCACATCTACGACAGTCACGGTGGCCATCTCCGTATTGCAAGAACCCAAAGTGAACGAGAAGAAGTGGAAGAATTGTTGTGGTCATGAGAACCCACGGTACAAATGGACTTTCATCAACAAACATGGTCAGAAATGTGATGTATGTACGAGGAAGCTGCCAAAGTTCATATACCGCTGCATGCGATGCCATGTACAAGTTTGCAGAGCATGCAGATCCAGGAAGGGATGGATGGAGAAGTAAGTTAAAAATGAGGATATTGCGGAAGCGTTTCTGACGCTGGGATTTCTAGGCAACCACCCAACAACATCCGACTTTGGGATCCTGCCCATTAGGAGTTGACGGATGTCGGCATCATCGCCACGGATCGTCTTGCTTCAATGACCCGATGTGCGGACATGTATTCTTAGTCTTGGAAGAGCAGCGGTGAGGCAAACATGTTTATGGAATTGAGATTCAGCACTTCGATTGGGAGATGATGGTTTAGGATCACTTGGGGGACGCCACTTTTCTCAGTCACCGGTACGCGAGGAAGGGATTGCCGACAAGAGCTTATGCACAACACTTTTCAATCAAGCCAGGAACTCATCACATGATACACACAACCAATTCAATGCACTCTTCTTTAGGATGACTTATGTCATGGAGTCGCCCTCAAGTTGGGTGGCAGTATCTCCATTGAAGTATTAGGTGTGCTGGATTAGGTATGCAAAAGCGGCGACCCCTCAGAAGTGGGTTCTGTCAGTTTGGAGGGGGGTGGTGGCGGGCTGTTTACCGGGCCAACGCTGCAGCAACCACGATAAGGAGGCTTATCGGCCAACGGGTTCGCGTCGATGCAGGCGGCAATGAAACATGCCTTCACTCCAAACAAACACGCTCAGAAGCTCTTTACGCGGTCGAGACGCGCTTTGTTGGAGAGGCATCGCGTTGGAACGGTACAAGACACCACCTCAGTCAAAATGGTGAGTTCCTGTTGATTCTGGACCCTGGACCCTTTGTGCACAATCCGCCTTACGTTAGTCTGCTACGTCATCCACCCTGTCGTTTTGTCTGTTGTTGTTTGCCAAAAGAGTCATCGTGAATCGATATCCGAAATCCCTGCTTGCCCATCTCATTTCCCCTGGGCTTGGCCAGTCTCAGTCATGGACTAGTCCACCACCGACTTGCGCAGGAACCATCCAAACGTCTCTCCGACTGCGGTTTACTCACTAAGAAAAGATGCAACAGTCGCAGCTGGACCCTTTACCCACCGATCTGCCCTTCCGGATCATCTCCAAAACAATTGGGCGAGGCGCTTATGCATCGTGGGACGCCCCTCATCTGGATCGCTGCTGATGGAACCCCTCCACTGACACTTCAGTACGCAGAATCAAGAAGGCCGTCCCCCAAGACGCGCAAACGCCCGTTTTCGCCGTCAAGTTCATCCACAAGGGCTATGCCGTCAAGCATGGCCGGGTATCTGCGAAGCAGCTGTTGATGGAGGTGTCGCTCCACTCGCATGTCGGCCAACACCCGAACATCATTGAGTGGTTTGCTTCGGGCGAGGACACCAACTGGAGATGGATTGCCATGGAATTTGCCGATGGCGGCGACCTCTTCGACAAGATTGAGGCCGACGTAGGCGTGCACGAGAATATCGCGCACGTCTACTTCCTGCAGCTCATCAGTGGCGTGAGCTTCATCCACTCAAAGGGCGTGGCGCATCGCGACCTGAAGCCCGAGAATATATTGCTATCCGAGACGGGAAGTCTCAAGCTCGCTGATTTTGGTATGTCGACCATGTTTGAGTACAAGGGTCAACGGAAGACGAGTTCCACCCTCTGCGGTAGCCCGCCATACATCGCCCCCGAGATTCTCGCATGTAGTAAGGCGGAGAAGAAGACGTCGTCAAACGCAAGCAAGTACTCTCCAGATCTTGTCGACATCTGGTCATGTGGCGTCATCCTCTTCGTGCTGCTGGTGGGCAACACCCCCTGGGACGAGCCGTCGAACGGCAGCTGGGAGTATCAAGAGTACGTCCGGACGAATGGCCGCAGCACTGATGCTCTCTGGGGGAGGATACCGTCAAACGCCCTGTCGCTACTACGCGGCATGATGAACATTCACCCTGAAAAGCGCTTCTCGTTCCAACAGATCCGTCAACATCCATGGTACACCAGACCAAACCCGCATCTGACTTCGGACGGAAAGATTTCCGACCCAATCAACCTGGCCACGCAGATGCTGGAGAGCCTCAAGATCGACTTCAACAAGCAGCCGACGGCTTCCCAAGGCAATCCGTCGAGCAGCGATTCCATGGACATCGACACCGTCGGCAAGGTGTCCTTCACGCAGCCCGAGACGCCCATAAATGATGTCACATGGGACTGGGAGCGTCCTGCTCTGAAGGTCATGAACCCTATTGCCGTCTCTTCGACGCAGCCACTGTCCCGTAGTGTGAGCAGCGTCGCCAACAGACGCATGTTCTTGGAATCCCTCGCAGAAGAGCCGTCCATCAGCCAATTTTCGCAGACCCCCGGCGTCCCGCTGACCCTAACCCAGGCCGCGCGCCGCTTCCGCGACATTGTGCCGCCCGAGTCGCTCACGCGCTTCTTCTCGCACGTACCGCCGCAGCTCCTTGTTCAAATGCTCAGCGACGCGTTGCACCAGCTCAACGTCCCGCTGCCACCCGTGACGCCGAGCCTGCACGCGGACCACATCGTCACGATCAAGATCAAGACACTTGACGAGCGGCGGCAGTCGATGCACGGCGAGATCCACGTCGACAAGCACAGGCTGCCAGAGGAGCAAGAGCTCTTGGATATCCGGTTCGTGAAAATCAAGGGAGATCCGCTCGAGTGGCGCCGCTTCTTCAAGAAGATTGTGGTCCTTTGTAAGGATGGCGTGTATGTGCCGGAGGCATAGAAAGAGAAAACCCACCGTTGGGGCTTGGATACAACGATGGACGTGAATGACATTCACGCCGTATAGATGTATGGATAGGATTGTTAATAAGGAATGAAGAAAGTAATACCCCACAATCGTCTTGGAAGTTCGAAGCGGTACCGACTCGTACTTGAACTCAACTATGACGTGGCTATCTGAGTGATAACCTAGACGGATAACGTAACAGACGGTAACATAGCGGACTGTGGCCAGCGAGAGACTTCACTGTACTTGATAAATCAGTTCTACATAGGGAAGGCAACCCCGAGCTAGCTTCACGTCGACTATCGGCAGGTGAAGAGTCCTTGCAGACAACGATAAAGAGGAGAAGCAGAACGTAGCTTTGGCGTTTTTCAAGGACCTGGGAGGGCCTTGGTAGTTGACCGAAGTATGCCCTGGAACATCGAGAGCGTGGATCGACTCCTCTCTGTTGCTCCAGCCTGCACCCTCACCACCGCAACTTCCCCCCCTTTTCATAACAACACATTCACACCGACACAAACACACTCCTAACTGTTCGTTTAGCCCTAAAGAGAGTCTCGTACATATTGCGCAGGCTTTTCAATACATACTGTCTGTCAGACAGTCTGTGTTAGTGACAACGTCTTCAAGTGAGTCCAAATGATGCCGTGCGAATAACCTTAGCTAGGCAGTAAGTGAAGTGTCAGAGAGATATAACTGGAACATAAGGAAGTCTCTCGACCAAACACAAGTAACGTTTTTGCGCAACGCCGGCATTACTCATCGAACACTTATTAAACGCAGCTTCTACCAAGTAACAACAAACAAACAAACCACCAGGAGACACAAACTTCCCCAGAACCACGTCAAGTCACACTTTAGCAATGCTTGTTCCTCCTGCTACATCGCCCTTAACACCGTCCACATCGCGATTCTCGTCGGTCTCCTCCCATTGGGGGATCTTTGATCCAGGCTTGCGATAAGTGATACTCATCTTGGAGATGCCCTCGATCAGCTTCTCTGTTTGACAGACAAGATTCCGGGGACTGTCAGCTCTGAGAGGGAGCAGATCTCGGTCCTGAACATATGCCTTCCATTTCAGACGCTCCATGGCTTCCACGTCAATGTTCTTCTTAACGATGGCGGTACCGGGGATGCACTCATTTCTAGACAGAACCTTTAGTTTGGGGTGCCACTTCCAGATCTCTTCCAGAACCAGTGTGTAAAGCTTGACAAATATCGAGCCGTGTCCAGTCAGTCCAACTGTGTTTAGGAGATTTCGTTTGCACTGTTCGCCTTTGCAGACGAACATATTGAGGTACGCGTGGACCATCTCGTGCACTAGTGTTGCGACGTTCTGTGTGAATGGTAATTGTTCTACCGCCGTGCTACTGGTGTAACCCCACGGGTCAATAGACGAAATTCTGCCCCAAAGGCGTACACGGGTGTATGTATTTCCGAAGTCTGGTCCATGTGTAGTCGCGTCACCGTAACTGTCGAACGAGACGTCTGCTTTCAGGAGGCCGAACCCTGTTTGCAGAACCAGAAGCAGTTCCTTCTGTCCCCTTTGAAGACGTGTCATGGTGCCGAAAAAGAAATACTCGTCAAGATGCCTCATCATCGAGCGCAGCGAGCCCTCGAGGAACGCCGCCTCGACCTCGACCTGTTTTGATCCGTTTCCTTCCGCAAAGTTCTTCAGGCTCTGGGCAGGGAGCTTGGACCAAGGGGCTGCCCGGGGCAATGCCTCCAGGTAGCACTTGACGAACGCATCTCGGGCCGCGATTTGATGGGCTTGGAGCTCGCAGTCGAGAAAGTGCCCACAGGTCATGTTCAACAGAGGTGTTGCGCCGTATGAGAAAGGGGCCAGCGGAATGAAGGGTCGAGGCTCTCGTGTTGCATCTTCTGCACCTTCACCACCATTTGTATGTTGCAGAGTGGCTTTGGGGAGATTTGGGTGTCGGCATGGCTTTGCTTTCTTCACACGTTGGCCTTTTGGACGACGTTTTGAGCCGAAGCGACCCGTCTTCCTCTTCCTCGGGGGTCTCGACGGTGCCATGTTTGTTACTGGTTGAATAACTCAGTGTGCTCAGTTGGAAGCCTTCAACGTCATAGAGTGTTTGGTTGATTGTGGACGCACCTGCTTGGACCGTCGCGGTCTGCTTTCATTATATACAACTCACCAGATAACTAGAAGTTGCTCGTACGTTGAATGCGATGGAGCTATTAAACTTGCGCACCATACATCTAAGAAACTTTTCATTGAAATGTTTTACAGCTTCGAATCTAATAGAAATGTATGATCTGTCTTCTTCAAAGCCAAGAACGGGATACGGCTCACTGGTTTCAATTTGATTCTTCATACAGGCCTCAGAGAGCTTTATACTACCATTGCTTCTCAATTTCTGGAATTTAACTACACTATAAGCGGTGCGTAGGAATGAAACAGTTTTGTATGGAGGCGCAATGAGCTACCCTGCTTCCAGGAACGAAGTAGCTAGGAAGAGGGCTGATGCATCCTGATCTCAGAGACATCTCAGAAAACACACATTGGAGTTAGTCGGGAGCTATAACGAGGTTCTTCTAGAGAACAGGGGCTTCTATTGTGTACCTTAGGATTTGCTTAAAAGATGAGCTGAAGCAGCGGGGAAGGGCCTGAAAAGCATTGATGCCGACACCTTTTGCCGGGCAATGAATCAACCGAAAAGGTCTTGGCATGTAACAATGAAGTCATTCTCTCTTTTATTGTGGTTACCTGAACGCCGAAGGGTGTTCTAACGTTCTTTTATTCAATTTTGGTTGCCTTCGGATCAAAAATGTCTCGAAAACCTGCCTGGAAGATTGCAGATTGCGGTTGTCTCTAAAGGTAACTATTGAGAAAAACCTCACAAACCATTCTGCTCCCCACACCGGTGGAAACCCCGGCATAAACAACAATAATACATGCCTTCTCTCTACATCTTGTGTAGTCACCCGTGTGGTCCCTGAAACTTTAGGTCAAATCCATGCGTAATAACGCTCCCATCCTGCCGGACTCGATAGAGCTCTTGTCCGGCTAAACGCTAATTATGGCGGCTTTGATCTACAAACACGGATGAGCTGCCGTTTTCAATACATAGGTAGTACGGTAAGCCGGATTTATTTCATTTCAAATGCTTCAACCTTGGTTGATTTGGTGCGTTGGGCAAGCAGTTGTGCTATTTGCTGAAATGCAGTTGTACATTGTATGATTTATCTTCTGGTATTAGACCCTTGCTGAAATCCCACCGAAGTGGTACTGGGCCTCTTCCACATTCCTGTACCCAATATCATCCATCACGGCGCGACTCTAACGTTTGATCATGATCCTACAAACTCCATCACATCATTAATCGTAAACACAGATCCCATTCATATGATCTTTATACTGCAAGCGCAGGTGTTTGGCGGAACACCCCATTATGGAACTGCTCAGTATCGTCCGCAAAATTGCCAAAACCGGCAGGCTTTTCCCCCGGTGAATTTATCGTACTGGTATCGAACGTTCTGGGAGTGGGAGAAAGCGGCGCATTCGATGATGGCCCGCCGAAATTGCGGCTGTTTCGATTTGTTGAAGGGTAGGACCTCGAGTTCCCCGTACGGGTAGTCAAGAGACCCAAGCGCGTTGCTAGGGGCTTCAGAGTGGGTAAACAGAGGCAAACCATTGCCGCTGACAGCTCGCTAAGTGACCACATTGCGGGCTCTACGTTCCACCAAGTGAAGTCGGGTAGAATCTTGAGGAACTGGAGGCGAATGACGGAAATAGCTACGGTACTAGCAAGGACTACAGTTAGTCGACGGTTGTGCCGTACGCTCGGGAAGAGAGACTCACAAGAAACCGAGGCTGAAAATCGCCAAAAGATAGAGTTTTTGAGAACGGGGTATTTGAAGCTTGAACAGCGCTGGAAGCGGTAGGAGTAAGATGATGATGTCCGTGACGATGCTGCACGCTCCGAAGACGTAAAATAGGACCTGCTGGCCGAAGCATTTGGCTGGGACACGATGATCCCAAAAGCCCTCCAGGGGAACACAGAAAACGAAGGACATGACGAGGACGCTGAACCCCCATGAACCAATGAAGACCATTGCTGCGATGTAGAGCTTGCGCATAAACTTGGTGCACAACACGCGGTAATACTGAAGTAGGAAGGACATCTTGAAACACAAGTGCCCTAGGCTGTAGAACAATACGGAGCACCAAAAACACTGGATAGAAAAGATTTGTTAGCTGTCCAAAGTCAACGCTAATTATTCTGAGCGTGCTCCCTCACTTTTAAGAACTGTATGTGTTCATCCATTGTAACTGTCTGCTGGTGCCTTCCGAGGCCGTATCGTGTCACTATTCACGGTCAGATACATCGATTGCTCGTCGCGGTTTAGTCATCACCTACTGACTGCAATAGAGATTCCACATCCTAAGACCGACAACTGATCGAATCAGCCGGTTGTCGCCGAGTTTGAGTAACCGACAGGGAACTTCTCGTTGAACTTACCAATGAGAGAGCCGCGGCATAATCATCTAAGCCGATTTTCTTGACAATATGATAGCGCGTCCAAAGGCGAAGGACTAACACACCTGTAGAAATGACCAGACACATGGACACGACGCCAAGGACAATTGGTGACCTGTCCTTTGCCAGCTCCTCTGGAGATAGCTGTGGGAGATCCATAATGGAGCTTTGTGGAGACCCAATCCGTCAATGTACGTCCTTGATGTCCGAGTATCGCAAAGCTGAGCTCGCAGGTGAGAGGCGAAGGGTGCAGCTCGCGGGATGAGTGGGGCCCACTTCTACTTATGACGGTCCATCAAGGAGGACAACCTTGCTAGGCAGGGCGGGCTTGGCATATGGGCTAATATCCAAGACATCAGGATTCCTGAGTTGGGGCTCGTCAACCTGTGATTGTCGTGGCTGCGCATATTCGACGCAAGCAGTAGAAGGCGTTCTTCACTAAAGGGGTAGCCCCCCGATCTGTGGAGCGATTGAAAATGCGAGGAAAATTCGATCACAGCAAACCGTTCGTCGTAACTAACAGCGGCTTGCCAGACAACAAAGGCCTAAGGCTGACCGAATCTGGATCATGGTCCCTCATATAGAAGGCGTGGAATCTCGATAGGCTGGGGAAAAGGTTTTTGTGGCGCGGTTCCAGCTCGCGCGACACCATACAACGTTTCCAAGGTCAGCCCACCTGACAAAAGATCCGCGGAAAGTACACAAGCCACTTTTAGTAAACGAGAGAGGCTTGAGGCGGTGTCAATGGCCCGCCGGTAGAATCGGTAACTTCGAAGCGCCATTCCTTTCTTACTCTTGTGGGAAAGGCGAGTTCGGGACTCCGGTGACTTCGCCGTAATTGCCAAAAGTAGAAGCGCACGTGAAGTTGTTGGGACGAAAGAATCGCCGAATGGGAAAGACCGAAATTCGCTGGGCAGTCTTGTTGTGCGTGTTCTGCATCAGGTCAAGTTCCCAAGACTTGCTCTACGTGGAGTCCATGGTGGCTGACATTCCTCCATGAGACGATTAGGGATTCTGCCTTGGTGTGATTGCGCAGCAACTCGACCATCCAAACATGGTAGTTGCCGAGACACTTTCCTCAGCGTGTGTAAGTTACTTGATGACGTGGATCTTTCCACCAGCCGGGACCAAAACAGCGAAGTACTGTACTGTAGGGTGGTGCAGACGATGTTGGTTCTAGACCAGGCCAATCAACCATTCCTCCATCTGTCATTGTCTGTTGGCCTTTGACGTTACTTGGATGCCATTCAACTCTGCATTCGATCTCGAAGATGCGATGCAAGATGCAGTCTGAGCCTGATTGATGCATTGCATGGCTGCGGCACAGCTGTAATATGCACGTGGGGTGCAGTGGTGTGAATGCCTTTTCTCTTTTGGTAACTTCGTTTGCGGCCAAGACCTGCAAGAGGTTTCAAGCGGCAACGACTCCACTGAATGATGGCGTAATCAGCTCGCTTCGTGATCTTCCTAATCTTCGTGTTCCCGTTGGTTCGCCGTCCTTCCTCAAGTGCCGTCTGTGCCCAGAAGCGTTAATTACGACTTCACACACCGTATTGGGGAATTTTTTTTTTTTTTTTTGCGCGAGGTCTTTGCAACTCCAGCATATCTGACAGAACTCGGCTCTTGGTGGAACAGTCAGAGAGCTACCAAATGCCCAGGCGGCTTGTGTGATGGTAGTTTCCGCAAACATGGAATTGTCTCGGATGCTGTCTGCGCGTCAGACTGCGAATTGCCAAAAGTAAATTTGAGTGGTTGTAAGCTGTAACCCTCATGTTTCGATGGTACCACAGAATTGGACCATTGTTACCGAATCAGCCGTCCGCTTCGGCTGATCTCAGTATTCAGCAAACGTGTTACCTGGATTATGATGGAGCAAGCGATGCGGGTTCCGGAATGCATCGGCCACCGATGGAGTTCATACGACGCAAGATGCGTTGCACGCCTCCATTCTGCCCTGTTCTGGAGGTTGCTAGGCTTCTTAATAGATAAAGAAATGGGAACGGGAAAACAAGAGGATATGGTAGGGATATTGAGTCCGAGGAAATGAGAGCTTGGGAGATTTCATTGTGAAGCAACTTTGATGTCGGAGTCAAGTCCGAAGTCCATTATCCCGCACCATCCGACCAAGTTCCATGGTTGGTCAGAGGCGCATATCAATTATTGGGTCGCCATAACGTTGGTCAGAGAATACACCTAGCCAAGTTCTGGCGGTGAGCCATTTGTACGATATTAGCCGAACGTCAACCTTTCGGTTATTCCGACTATTGGCCTTTGGACCGAAATTTAGTTTCAGGTTGGTGAAGGTGCCAAACTGTCGGTTCTCTCGGTAAAATGTTGGTAATACTGAGGCGGAATCATTTGTACGTTCGCCAACTGCTAAGATACAATTCTTACGTGGGGGTTGGTAACTGCTTGCAAATCCCTGCAAGGAACGACCCTGGACCCAGCCGAGTAAGCGGGATTGGCGCAGGATATCTGCAGGTGTGATACACTGCAGTTCTTCAACGGAACCGAAATTCCCTCGGTTGGTGATCAGCCAATTGTCGGCGGGATGTCAACCTGCAACAGTATCCCCGAAGATTCAGTGTAACCTTGCACCGACAATCCGGAGTCACCTATCACTCTGCATAGAACTATTGGCCCCGTCAAAAGTACTATGTACGAGTCTTCATTTCTAATGCGACCCATTGGCTAGTTTTCAGGCGTGAAGTGGGCGGAAGGTCCCAGTGTTGTCGGGGCTTACCAACTGTCCTTTGACAACCTCGTCCTGTTCCGCCCGAGGTTCTTCATACCATGCAAGATCTTCCGCGTCTTCCGTCGCAATTCCGCGAAGACTGGCTATTTATACTGCAAGGTATCATTCCGCAGTGTCGAAAAAAAAAGAATAAAAGAAGTCAATTGTCTTTGCTCAAAGAAGCTAGAAGAAACTTTTGGGTATCCTCATCGTTACAACGCTAAAAACCATCCTTTCGCGGAGTCTCCTCCATACCTCAAGATAAGCCACCCTGGGAACAACTGACGACAACGATCTGGGAGAGACCAGCATGTTTTCCGGTTTCTCTCGGAGCTATGGTCAGATCTGGACCGCAAAATCGGCCCTTAACAACGCATGCCATGCAGCTATCTGGTGTCGGTGGACCGCGTGGATGAGGTAGCCCTGCTGCTCCCTGCCTCTTGAAGGATCTTGGCCTCTTCCAACGCCTCTCTCCGCGCAAATTCATCGAGCAGCTTATGCGCGGTTTCCAGAGGCAAGTCGGCTATCATTGCCGCCAAGTACTGTAGTCACAAAGCGAGTCAGTCCAACGCAGCTCTATCATGCAGCTAACCAGTGATCCCATCACGCTGCAGGCGACAGGTAAGGCAAAGGACGGAGAATAATAGACATACCTGGGGGAAGACATTGGACGGGTGGTACTTGAACTCCTCCATCATCCGGTTAAGGCGAAGGACCTGCTTCCACGGTACGATGGTGTCTCCAATCAGGAATGTAGGAAATCTGGCCATGGCAATCTCCTCCAGAATCCATCGGCGCTGGAAGTACGGACGACCCATGAAGTCGTTACAGCCGATCCAATGTGGCAGCATGAACGGAATCTCGCCATCGGGCCCCGGCTCCCATAGATTCGTGACAGCCTCGGCCCATTTGTGCGTTGGCGCGTAGTCCTCGGGATGCTTCTCTCGGTCACCGGGGTCTCCCCAGTGGGGCGGCATGGCGTCCTCGATCTGCGCCAGAGTTGCCATCGCCACGTCCGTGTGTTCCGTCTTCTCGCCTAGCCATCCGACGACGAGTTCCGCGTTGCGGTAGATGTTGCGCATGTCTGAATGCTGTTTCGTCTTCTCCAGGTCGTCACGCTGGTTGACGCAGAGGAAGTCGCACCACACTCGCAGCGCCCTCGGCTCGTTCTCGCTTGCACGCGAGCTGCTTATGCCGAATAGTTGCCTCAGCCACCGTGGGGCGCCGTGAGGCCTCCTCGCCGGCGTCCGCTGGAAGCGCTGCGAGATTGTCGGGTAGAAGACGGCGCGGACATGCTTCAGAGCCTGGGACAAGTGGGCGGTGATGGTGACAGGCTGGCCGCTTACGAAGATCTTGTCGGTTTCGGACGCGTCGCCGTAAAGAGAAGAGAGTGCGATGTACTCCCGCGACAGGTCGTCGGTGAGGCGGACGGTAACGAGGCGGCACTCGACGGGGTCGTTGATACTGCGCGCCGACTGAATCTCGAGCAGGCGGATCTCGCGCCTCGAGGGGTCCAGTCGCCTGTATGCGATACTCATGTTCAGATTGGGGCAATCAATCGGTCCGACGGGGGTTTGGGATAAGGTCTTTCGACTCTGGCCAAGCAGGCAGACTGTAGCAGAGACCGAGTCCTCTTTTTTTCTCCCTCTCTTGCTGCTCTCTGGGATCTTTCAAACTTCTGTTGGTTTGTCTCTCCAGTTTCTTCAGCAGCGAGCCGTGGGAGAGTGGAAAGTGGCAGGGCAGGAGTGGGGTTCCAGAGTCTGCAGATGCATCTCGTGTCGCACCAACAATGCAACGGCGGACGAGAAGCGCGTCCAACGCAGGACGGGATGCCGGCGTTTATACCAAGAACGCCCAAAATGCGGGCCCAACGGCTCGGGCAGGGTATCTCTGGGGCAGCGCACTATCAACTGTCCCTAATGCCACCTGTACCACCACTCGGTTGAGATTTTTCAAGGCACAGGGGTCAGTCAGAGTCGCAGAGAGACGGAAACGGATGGAGTCGTGGTGATTTCGCAGGGTTACATAATGTCGGCGGGGTGCATAGGGAACCTCTCATCTCTTGGTTGCAATCAACTCAACTGACTAATGCTGCTAATTACAGGTAATAACATATAATGGGTTGTTTGCTGGTAACAAGATCTTTACTGATCCTTAAGTTATCAGTTGTCGCCGACATATTTTCTCAACTCTTTTTTTTTTTTTTGGTGTTCCGGTTGCTTGGTTGCGTTGAGCGAGTGCAAAAAATTGTCAAAAGTTGCGGGGAGCGAGGCGTGGTAGCCACCCCTTTCAAAGACGTTTTCGTATCACACAGGGGCAGGGGTTTGTGTTCGCCATCAGAGACATTGTGGTACTCTGTACTAGTACTTTGTCCCAGTTGCGTAAACCCCGGAACCGTGGCAATGTCTTCTTTGCTCATCTACTGGCGGAAACGACCATGTAACCCTACTTTGTCGCGTGGTCAACTGCAGTGGACCAGTTGAGGACAGTGTTTGCTGCGTGCAGTCTTGCTAAGCCGAAAGCAACCTGGGCAGATATCATGATGTTGTCTATGCCGCCTAAGGTTTTCTACCCACAGTCTCTTGTGCGGTAACAAGTACCTTTCTCGAGTACGATGCGGACAGCCGTTGAGGACATCCTTCCCACTGCAGGCCCCGTACACCGCATGGCCCTTGGCACCGTTGACAGCATGGAGACGATCATGTCATGTTTTGGGACTTGGTCTTGGACGAACCCCGGATGACCCCCACTTCGTCCAAGCATGGGATGGCTTGTCGCGCCAGCTTTCTCGCTCCTCTTATTCTCTCTTTTCTGGAATGAACCCACCAGCTCCTGACTCGGTACTCTGGACTGCGCAGCACGTGCGTCGTCATCGCCGGAGCGATAGCTCAGCTAAGGAGATGCACAACAGACGAAGACAATATATCTCGCTCACTATATCGTACACCGGAAATAAAGCCATGTTGGGGAATCCAGATACGAGACATCTACGATTCCGATGTTTGACGCGAGGTTTCGGATCAATTTCATTCAATCAGCCTGTTGCTCGCGCGAATCAGACCACGTCTCCCGTCCCTCGAGGGCCTGGCCCCGGACTCACCTCCGGCCACATCTCCGAGATGAAGTGTGCGTTTTTCTCAGTTGAAAAGCCGCCCCCACTGACACTTGTGACTTGAGGTCGATTCGTTCAAAGATCCCTGGCATGTTCATCCCACAATCGCGCATTGTAGGCAAGTACCATAGTACATGTGAAGTCTGTACAGATATCACATGGGCCAACTTGCAGGTCCTGGCAAGGGCGGCTGTCATTGATCCATCCCACATTTCTCCAAACCCTACCTGGCAGCGCTTCCAACCGCACGATGATAGTCTTCCGCAGCAACCCCTTGGCTATCTTGTCACAGCCAGTTTTCTCAAAACGGACACAGAAGATCCATGTTACCCACCTCTCTCAGTATTGACTTCCCTGGCCAGGAAGCGATGTAGTCCTACGCTATTCATAAAGCTCCAGGTCTCCCCCGTCTGATGTTTCATGGATATAGTCGTTAGGCTCTAGTCTGTGCTCATTCTAGACCAAAGCAGCTTCGTTCACCGACTCTTCTTATCCAGTATAATCCCTCCGCATTCCTCTTCCTCTTTTCCCTTTCTGCCCAACACTGAGACCCTAGGAAAGTCTAAGCTCACCGCCAATGATCAGTCCGTCGCAACTCAGCCCTGGGGCTCACGACGCCGCCGTCTCGGCTGCGAATCCGCTGCTCCGGATTCTTGGGTCTTTGTGGGGGTTGCTCGCACCAAAGCGAATCCGCCTCGAAGATGATCTAGCAAAGACGCCGGCAAGGCTGGCCTCTCTCGTCAAGCCCATTTGCACAGACATGCTGCAGGAGCTGCACTATCCTGGGGTTCCACAGCTCAAGAAGGAGTCGGTCGAAGCGCTCCTGAAATACATGTACAAGAGGGCTGTCGACATTGGCTATCCCCTCGACACCCCCGTCTCCGCAAAAGCGTTCCGCTTGGGTTACTCACTAGGACTGGCACGTTTACCCCTTCACCATCTCGCAACCTACCAAATTCACGTTGTATACCCCTCAAAATGATGTAATTGCTGACGAGCTGGCAGCTCTGTCATCCTAATCACCCAACAGAAGTGCAGGGTTTCGTCGGGCTCTTCACATGGCTCGTTGTCCAATACGATGACATTGTCGGTCAGAACGACGAAATGGCCGAAGCCCAGCTCTTCCAGGAGCGGTTTTTCAAAGGCGAGACTCAGCCTAACGCCATGCTGGAGGGTCTAGCGTGCCTGATGCGGGAAGCTCCTAGCCTGTTTGACCCTGTCATGGCCAACTTGCTGCAAATATCGACCCTCAAGTTCTTAACGTGTAACTTGCTGGAGCGCCACGAAGGCTTCCGCAACATGACTGTTACGCGCGCGGGTGTCAAGTTCCCGGACTTCCTTAGAGACTTGTCGGGCATCAATGTGGCTTACGCCGTATTCTGCTTCCCCAAGGCCCAATACCCTGACGTTGGGCAATACCTGGAAGCCATCCCTGACATGGCCAGGTTTATCGACATTTCGAACGACGTCATGTCGTAAGTACCGTTGACTTTTGGTCCCCTTAAACACACTGCTAATGACCACTTAGTTTCTACAAGGAGGAGCTCAGCGGCGACACAAGAAATTACGTACACAACCGTGCAATGGCAACCGGGAGGCCAGTGCTCACTGAACTCGAGGACGTTAAGAACGAGGTGGTAGGAGCCGCAAACAGAGCTTCAGCAATCCTTAAGGGACGCGGCAAATACGAACAATCTCTCCACGAGAGTGTCCGAGGCTTGTTGGCGATGCACACAACAAACCCCAGATACAAGTTGAAAGACTTTGGCTTGGCTGAGGAGCATCCCCTGGCCCCATTCGAAGACAAGATTGGTGAGCTGTTTGACCGCATGAAGGCATGATTTGTTCTGGACTGGGTTTGCATTTGAAACGGCATGAGATATCCCTTGGGAGGCTTTCTGGTTTTATTTCGTACTTCAGATTTTCCTTCATTGTTAGTTTTGATGGTTTGGGTTCCGACACGGATGGACACATGGAATACTTCAAGTAAAAGCTACGACAGAGGCGGCAGGCAGTCCCTGTTAAAAGTTCTAGAAAAGACGTGTCGTAAGTTTTTGCCAAAACAGTACCCTCTACCTTTCATCATGTTTGCACGTTTGCACGGATGTTTTAGAATGCTTCGTAGAAGGATTCATCCCCTGGTTGTTAAGTGGTGATCGACCCCCGCTAACCCCCGAGCCATCTTCTACCTATGTCTGGTTCGGCTTAGTCCCAACAAGGTCCCTGGCAACCAATGCAAAACCACGACTCAAATGCCGGATATAATAGTTTTGCCAAGAATGGCTCGACCAGCCCTAGAGAAGGAAGAATAGGCTGGTGATTAAGCTCTCTAAAGAAAATTGTCCGGCAGTTGTCGGTGACTTGTCATTTTACACGGCTTAGAAAACCGTCCAAAGAATATGACATTGCTGACATAGGCCTTTCTTCAGACTGTTTCTTGATCACGCGATCATTTTGGTCAAGCAGACATACCCGAGAAGCCGGCAAATTTTACGGGTGCGGATACTGCCGCCTCGTCAAGGTGACCCAGTGACTAGGGACCACAAATTCACAAGATACCAGGTGGCTGGGAGCCCAGCCAAGTCCAAGGGTGATTTCATAATTCAGCGGTGACATTTTCGGACTCGCCATGTTCTAGAACGATTTCAGATTAGCCACGGCAGGTAAAGTCGGTCTGGCAATGCCGAAAGAAGCTAGTGCTGAACCAGGTGGTCACAAAGGGTTGATCTGCTGGCCTAAGGCTGTTGTACGACTGTCTCATGAATGTGGCTGCTCGTCATACAGTACTCTGTACCGGATTTATTGACACCACCCTCCTGAAATCACCGCGCCCTTTAACTTACGAAACTATTCTGCAGACCCAAAAGCACAATTGCCGATTCGTATTTTTGATAAAACTTGCCCAGCTGAAAGTCCATCTATGCTCTGAACTTACTTATACGAGGAGAAAGGTCTGAGCTAAGGTCTTGGAACGCAAGCGTACGAAGATACGTTGACCTGACGGCATAAGTCCATCCTTTATGGCCCAAGGGCCAAGTTGTAGAGGTCCTAGACGGATGAAATGCCCAAAAGGTGCAACGGCCTGACTGTGCTAAGATGGAGCAGTGACCAATAAACGTTAGATCAACTCCTTAGAGATGGCCAGGGGGACGCGCACGTACTGACTGTGCTCGAGTAATTTCAACATCTACTTAACCAGAGATACAGCCCTCCGCTCTTAAGCACTCAGTCATTCGCCCTTTTTCGCTACTCACTGCATCTTTACCTCTAGAACGAGAATGAGGCTACAGAAAACGGTATTGTGGACGTCGTTCCTTTTACCCCGTGTACAAGTCGCCTCGTCAACCGTCAGCAACATCAGATGACGTTATAAACTTCGGCAATCTGATCTGTGGAAATCATGAAATTGTTTCATATCTACAATCTAGGCGAGTTTCCCCAGTGCAGTAGCTAGTGCGGCTTCCAGAACCTGTACCAGTCTTGACGTACGACAACCCGAATCGCAGTCCTATTGTAGCCATTCATTTTGTGGAGCAGAATGAGACTCATCTATGTTTTAACTACGAAGATCGACCATCAACTCAAAATGTCCAACTTAATCTCAGATGATCAGACTGTGGCTACAGCTGTGAAAACAACGTGCTAGTAGGGTAATCACGACTAAGGTCTTATTGTTAACGCGCAAGCTGGAGCCAGTTCAGTTAACAAGCACTTCGTCCATTGTTGTTTTCAGACTCGCCCAAACTCGCCAGAAGCATGGAAAACCTCGTCGATAAGGATCGAGTGATCTTGATGTAGTGCAAAATCATCAGCCGGGTGTGCTAGAGAAGAAAAGCGGGTCAATAAGCTAGAGACAGACCACACGCGCGTGCTGGACTAGGTAATTGAATTCAGCTCCAAAGGCTGGTTACACAGAAACAGCCTCAATGAAACATAGGCACAAAATAAGTCTAGTCAGTAAGTTAGCTGGGATCTAGACCTAGTTCTGTCGCTTAAGTTGATGGGCTATCCACTGAAGCATTCCTATACGAAAGGCGAGCGAATGGCATCACCCCAAAGCAGAAGGTTCCCACGGATCCGGAAGACCCATAATCGCACGGTGTCTCTGGTCGAAGAACTTGGAAAACCCCTGCAACAATCAACCGCGTTATCAAATCGGAGGGCGTTGCTAATCAAGCGAAGACCTCAGACAAAGCAACATAGCTCCGGCTTGCACGCTGTACACAACTAGCTCACCTAAGTCTGGCGAGGCTCCCTCAAGGCCGCTCAAGTCTTGCAAGTCCTTCAAGGTACCTTGCGCACCGTCTAACGCGTCAAGACCCCTCTGGTGCGTCAAGGATGAGTAGTTCCTCTACCTGGTCCTCGGGACTCCTAGCCTATAAGAAAACACTACAAACATCATCCGTGCTTGACAGCCTCGTCATCGAAGGGCTCTTTGGCGGTCGGCTAACCGACTAGCTTTTAATGAAATGTACGGAATTATTCACAACAAATAGTAATTCAAAATCTTGCTCTGGACAATCGACGCGACGCATTTTCCTCCAGTCTCTTTCGTTACACTACAAGTACAGATTTTCCATGGCAAACAATGCATCATTCTTTCCTTCTTGATCGCATCTGTCAATGAAGTCTTCTCCAAAGTAGCCCAAGGTGCTATCCCATTCCTGTATAGTCTCAAAAATGTGCTTCATCAGCATGCGGGGATAGTGTCTGTGTTGACCTCTTTTGTCGTGAGCGTATTGGGAGCAGCTCCCATACTCATAGGAGAAGCCGCCTTGACACGAAAACAGCATCACGTAACCATGAACCATCTCATGGATCAGCATCTCAACAACCTGGCCAATGGTCCACATCCGTGTTGTGTCAATGTCAACGTCGACGACGGGAAGCGAACCGATGCCATTTCCCCGCAGTCCAGTTCGGAAGCTGCTGCATGAGTTTTCGCAATTCTCATTGCCATCTCGGATGTCAACTCGCAGAAAAGACAGCTTGTGACCGGACAGACATCTGTGTTTGTGAGTAAGCCAACCTTGTAAGAAGTACTGATCGACGATCCGCGCCACCTCGAGTATGTGCGTAAAATGTTCTTGTCTTTTACTGTCATAGAGCTCGTGGAGTCCTTCGATCAAGGCGTATTTTAACTTGTCTTGAGCTTCGATTGCGTTGTCTGGGTCTAGGGAGACGCCTTGATGAATGGTCGTCATCACCAATTCTCCGATATAATAGGCGCCGTACTGACCATGCGGCTGAGTCCCAGGACCAAAAACAGGTCTTATGTTATTCATATGGACAGCGCAGGGGCGAAGCACGACGTCTTTCCGGCGAGGTGTGTTATCGTGCCTGTGCATGGCTTCCGTTTGATCGTAGGCAGCAGTGGGCTCAGATGCTTCGGCGTTTTTGAGTGGTTGTAAAGCATCAATTTCTATGGCGAGAACAATTGTTCTTGTTATAGCACACCTGCGTTTCAAAGGCAAATACAGTACTGCAGCTGTTTGGTCGTCGAACTTAAAGACCAGAAACAGAGCCAAGCTTTGTTCTGACTTGACTGGTGACCTACGAAACAATCGAGAAGCTGGTCTGATAAAGAACGCATAAGATGCAGGATAGTTTAGATTCAAAGGTACCTGGACACCCAAAAGTGGCTGGCAACGTTTCTTTCTGGGCTGTCCAGCCATTCGAAGATAGATGACTAAAGAGCCTTCACACAAGACTCCGTGAACAGCGAATCACTGGGTGTGATTCCTCTGGTCTCTGCTGGAGGGCAATAGTCAGAGAACCTGAAACGAATTTAGACTAAAGAGAAATTCATGTTTTCGTGCGTGCAGCCTACAACTTAATGCTTCTGCTTTATTCTATTCACCTCCTCCTGAGATCCCACCCCCACCAACTGAGTATCTTCAACTGACAACCGGGTATAACCAAACCTCACCCTTCTATCCTTCAGCATTCTTGTCAAGTCAATACCATCCATGCGGCCCGCAGCAGGAGAGATATCCATAAACTTGGAATCCCGCACAACCGTCGAGGCATACCCTAGAATTTCTGGCCCGTGAACAAATTGCGTCACCACAGCGCTCATCGTACCTCCCAGCAGCAAAACCACACAAGAAAGTATGTAAAGCGCCATCCATACACTAGAGACATGGAAAACCTCAACCGGCGTTGCGACATCGACAGCAACAGTGACGTTCGGCTCAAAGGACGCCTTGACGTCTACACTCCCGCTGGGAGCATTCGAAAACGCCTGGCTGAGGAACACATAGGAGTTCACCAGCTGCGCCAGGCGGTATCCGAAATCTCTCGGCGGAATGCTCGCCAGCTCCGGCGGTGCTGTAGCGGCAGTCATCGTTGCCGATGACGGGTTCTCGAGGAAGTTCAGCGAGATGTCCGACGTGTAGCTCGAATCGAAATGGTTTGTCGCCTGAGGCAGCTTGCGTGAGACATAGCGGAATACCTGGACGAAGGAGAGCTGCGAGATGTTCTCATCGGCGTGCGGTCTCTGCGAGGGTCTCTGAGCGATGACGCTGCAGTTCTGACGAGCCGTGGGGGAGTCGCGGGAGCAGTGGACACGTGACTCGACATATTTCTGCGTGACGCCGCAGCGCGAGGTGATGTAATCTGGCGGTGCGCGGGAGCTGGTTTGTTCTTTTGCTTGGAAGAGCAGCGTCGTTGGATTCGCAACGACCCCCTTTTCACCCTCGAAAACGTCTGGGCGATTCGAGTCTTCAACATTCAAGCCTCGTTGGGTATACCAATCATAGTCATTCCACAACTCATCAACAAAATTGTCCAGGGCGAGGTTCCATCCCGCCCCGCGATCCTGATTGTTGCTGTCGTTGGAGACGATATTTGTGCCGTTTAGCTTGAGGTTCCATCCCTGCCAGGTGCCGTTCGCGACAGAGTTGCAGCGGCTGGACATGCACAGCGAAGTCTCGTTGAATAGGACTTCCTTGGCGAAGCTAGTACCAGAGCCTGGACTGTAACTGAAGGAAGAGACGCTGATATTTTCACACTCGAGGTGAATGTAGCTCGACTCCAGCGAGAAGGTGGTGTTACCCTCCGCAATATTTGTAACAGGAACACCAACAAGAGACGAAAACTCCCGTTCCGTGTCATTCATCGGAATCGACTGCCAATCCGAGTTGCTGAAATCACCGTAAGAGGATAACGCAGGAACCTTGACATTTCCCCAAACATCCATTGCAGCGCTCTTTACAGCGTCCGGGCTAAGGATAAGAGCGTTGTACATAGCGTTGACGATAGACATGCGGTTGTTGTTATAGGCGGAACTCGTCGGCGAGGCATCCGACCAGGATGCGAACTGGGATTGAGCGTTGGTGTCGAAATAGACCACATCCGCTGGTTGGGTCACGGTCCGGGAACGGGTTTCGAGCATGCGAAGAACAGACTGGCCGCCAAGGGGCGAGAATATCCAGATAAGAACCAGAAAAAGTGCGAGAAGGTTGAGAGCTCGCAGCTGGAAGTGAACGAGGAGTGTACCGCCCACCGTTCGACTTCCCATCAGCTGCTCAAGGACTCCCATTGTTGCGCCCTTTTCGAGTTTCCAGCGTGCGACTTGCGACATCAGACGACCGACGATAGCCGCGAAGATGATTGGGAAGAGAGTTGCGAGCTAAACATCCACTCATCAGCGGCTTCGCTAAGCAAACGTCACGCTTGGGGCAGAGCACTTACGATAGTGATCGCATTCCGATACTGTCTGGCAGGGGCACCATCGATATCCTGCCCGTCAAGCTTCAACACAAGAAACGCGAATGCAAGAAATGCAACAGGGCAGATGACTGCGAAGACATCGGCTAGAATCACAAATGGTTCCTTGTTGGCCCTTCGAAACTCATACGCCGCACCGCCGTCTCGGCCATCGCTCCGATCCAGCACCGCTTCGTATGCAGTGTCTTGGCTGTAGGTTTTCTCTCTCACCGAGGGCTCTCGAACTCCTTGCGTCTTTGCCGGTTCTGTGTTTTCAGAGTCCAGTGTCGTCATCAAATGACTCTGTTCTCGAGGACGGTTCTCTGAATCCATTGTATTGGTGGACAAAAAGCTCATACCGATTGTAGGGAAAAAGAAGTTTGGCGCGATAATAACCACCAGGCGTATCATGCAAGTTGGGCAACCCTTACGGACATTATCTCTAAAAACCACTCCCCACAAAATGAGTTAGGCAACAGAATTCTTTCTAGGAAAACTGTCAGATTATGGGTGATCATGCATGAGAAATCGCGCTAACATCACCAAACCCTTGGCAAAATGGACCCTAAGGATCGGTCTGGGCGTGTAGCTGAACCGCTTCCCATGGACAGATCACACCGTTCTCTGGCTAGGCAACTTGTACCAAACGCGCTTACAGCTAGCTTCAAGGTGGCACCGAGCCAATGATGAAAATCATAGAAGGAAGCATTCTGTTCTATAACTTGATCGCATTATGCTTTTGTGACATTTAAAGTGGCTTCGAAACCTGAAAAGTTTGCCTCGGTGTTTTATCAAAAAAGTCGGTTGATGCGAGTAATTGGATCATACCAAGATGAGCAACCTCAACATCAGCTTTGGTATTCATGCCAAATGTAAAGGACTCGGAACTGGAAGTGTCCAAAGAAATGCATACACCCATAATCGAATTACCTCGAGAAGTTAAAGAGCTCACCCTTACCCATGAATCTATGCCATGTGTTGGTTAAGCTTGATGTATGCATCTGGTGAGCAAGCTTGGAGTAGTCGCCTTTCCCGACCGAAGCTCTCCGCATTCCTGAACGTAGAACTAGCAATGGCAGACTTCAAACACACACACATACACAGTCCTCTTCCTATTCCAACTTCGTGTAATAAGTAAAATTTCGACTAGTTTTTGTTCACTGTTTGTAATTCAAAGTACCTACTGCTATGATTTCCAGCGGCCTTGTTACACGCCACTGTCTCGCTTAGACGCGCTGTACACCAATAAGTCCCAGAAAAAGAGAATCCTTAGCAGCTCCGCAAGTGATACAAATCCACAAACTACCAAAAACCAACGCCAACAACTCCATTGACACGGGAGCGAATCGGTCTGCAGACAATTGCATCTTCTCCGTTCAAGTTCAAACCTCTGTGCACAATCGCGGCTTCAGCTTTACATCGGCTTCGCAGCAAGCCACCAAACACGTTGCCCCTTACTCCGGGACGAGATCCTATCCCCTCTCTTCCACAGCTCGAGCCCAAAGTCCTCGTACGGGTGGATCGCCTCGTCAGTCAGCCCAAACTCGCTTAACTCCGGCGCCCAGCTCTGAATCTGGCACACAACGGCCTTCAGCAGTGCGACGAACGCCAGGCCATGCCCATTGCCATCCGCGTTACGATGCATGACGTCAAAGTCCACCTCACACTGCTCCCGGCGACAAGAGAAGAGCAGCAGATACGCGTGCACCATCTCGTGAACTGCAATCTGGACAAGCTCTTTGAGCGGTAGTTGTGTACTCGTGCCGTCGACATGGTAGCGGACCGTGCTCAGGCGAATGACGATGCTGGGGCCCCCGGGCTTGCTAGTCCGGAGGGGCTGCGTCCAACCCACACGACCCCGCGCTTGTCCGACTTCTAGAAGGACTGGGTGGGAGACGTGGTTGATCTGAGGTGTCGGGAAGAGTAGGCCCAGAAGGCACAGCTCATCGATGGCCTTCATGATAGAGAAGATTGTGCCGGCTGAAACAACATTAGGATTCGTTTCGGCACCTTGATCGGACAAAACGTGGGCGACAGTGTTCCTCAGCGACTTCTCGCATGTAGTCCATTGAACCGGTCCCAAGATGCTTTCAGATAAGGTGATGGCGACGTCGTTGATGTTGCATGACTGTGGTTGGATGAGGGGTTCATTCTGGTGAGCTTTCCGAGAGTGGTGCGGACATTGTTGCGGGAGAAATCTGGCTCGCTTCGCTTCTACCATTTCGCCCTGTCGTGTCATTTCGTGTGTGGAGGAGATTCTAATGTTTCTTCCTTTTAACGGTTATATCGTTGGTGTGATCATTTTGTAAACTCAACTATGTCTCGCGACGGCGCTTGGGTGCATCTGGCACATCTGCCAACTGTCGCAGCGCGAGCACGCTCCCCTCAAAGGGTTCTCAAGAGAGGCGCATGGTTTCGAAACAGAGGCTCGGTCGACTTGAACCTCTTCGTCAGTGACGGTGTGCGATGTAATCAGATTTTGTACGTTTCATAGCGGGGTTTTGCAGCTGCATTACTGTCAACAGCAGCCGCAAAGGCACGCGGGAAAAGCACAGTGACAATGCCACTGCTAGCTTGATGTGAAGAATGAAAGGGTAGTGGGGCTGTCCGCCTAGAAGGCGACCCCGTTGATAGAAGGTCTAGTTAAGGATGAGGTAGAATATGAGAGGGATTACAAGGTGATAGTCCGATATGATGATTCGTCCGCCAGCCTATAATGATGCACCAGATAGACCCCAATGTTGGTGGAAATGCCCGCGGTAATAGATGTAAGAACTCCGTCGCCATGCTTGATATGCTTTTGAAACCCACCCGGCCGCCTCGCCGTAAGCTCAAGACAAAGAAATAAGGAATAACGTGCTATACACAGGTAGGAGATGCGTCTCGACATCCCCTAACGTATGACGGGACAACCGAGTTTGGGGTGTTGCCGTAAGCTAGGGCGACGATTCCCCTCCGGTCGTCGGGACAGGCCCATCGCCCGTCGTATGAGATGGGCCTGTCGTGTGACTCATAATATCGTTCGCGATGGCTCGACACTTGCCTGCTGGGCACATAGTCGTCCGGGCATAAGCGTCGGCCACGTGGCTCGCGGATCTCGCCTTCTTCCAGAGGATCCACTTCTTCGAAATCCCCCTCAGTCGTCGTGGGGATTGTGGAGGTAGGACTGCTGCCCCGACTGACCGGGAAGTACCCACGGTGGTCATTGATGCAATAATCCCATCGGTCTTGGGATCGATATCGAGACCTCTCATAATGTTGGTGGTCGTAGTGTGTATGATGATTGGGGATGAGGTATTCTTGAACCTCGGGAAACACGGCTCTGAACGGCGCGTTCAAGGAGCTCATGTCGTTAGCCGGGAAGCACTCTTCATCCTCCCGAAAGTGATCCAGGTCAGCTTCCATGTTCTGGAGGTGTAAGTTATCGGAACCAGCCCAGAGATCAATGAGCTCTGCGATCCTTCGAAACCCTGCCGTGTGACCGCCGCATTCGCGAGCCTTGACACCGCATTTGATAAAGAGGTAGCTGTGAATGAGCTCATGCAAAAAGGTAGAAATGAGAAGTCGTCGGTTGTAGTTCTTGTTCTTGAGGATTGGGTTGGATAGGACGATGAGGGTCTCAAAGCCTCCCATCTTGGAACGTCGAAGAGCCGTAGTGCCAATGATGTGGTCTTTGTACTGAGCACTAGATGCATGAGACCAGTCCCATGTGACACGCTGCGATAAGCTGTTGTGGAAGAAGATTTCATTTGCGGCAGAAAAGATGCTCTCCAAAGCAGCGTTGTCAATGGAGAACTCGGCATCCCGAGACCGTGGCCGGATGAGAGACCTCAGGATTCTCTCATGCTGAGTGTCCTTCGTACGTCGCCGGCCAAGGTGCAGTCGGGCCTCAACAAGTCTGGCCGCGGCATCATCGTCCAAGAGCCTCAAATCGTCGTCATTTTCGGCGCTGTAGATGTTCGTATCCGAAGAAATGGAGAGGCCGGAGGCGGTTCGCTCCATTTGCGATGAGCTGACATCGGCGTCGGTTGGATCAGGTGATGGTGATGCTTGCTCTCGGATGACCAAGAAAGACAGGTTCTGAACGGGTACCGAACCCCGTGGCGAACGGTTAGGTTGCGCTTCGGAGGGGATGTGCGATATCCGGGCTTTCTTGTGTGGAGGCATGTCGTCGTGTGCGTAGGGATAGTCGTAGAAACCATTCTCATCAGGGTGACCAATCCTCCTTTTGCCACCCACAACATAGAGGTCGGGACTGAAGGCATAGCCCTCGCCCTGGGACAATGGCCTTGCCTCCCCGCCAACCACCCAAAACGCCATTGAACATGCTTGAGATATTGCGAATGGAGGAAGAGGGCGAAGTTGGAGGGAATGGGCAAAGCTCGGAGTGTCGGGGGAAGGATGAGGGATGGCAGGCCGGGGGGCCTCAAGGTGAAATACGGGGGGTCAGTGTTGGTTTGGTGTCATGTGCGCCCGGAAACCGCATGAAGACCGGTGGAGAAGAGTGGCCGGCGCCGGTTGTCCTATGGTTGCGTACGACGGCAACTAAGGAGGAATGGAGCTCGGGAGGACCATGCCAACGAAACGAAACAGGAGGGCCAGTTTCGAGGGTGTACGAAGTGAGGCGAGGAGCAGGTGGTTTCCCCCGTTTTCTGTCGGCCAGTCTGTTCTTTGAAGAGAGATAGCTGCATGGAGAGACCCAGCTCAAGGCAGGACAGCGTTGCATGGCCCGTCTAGGCCCCCTTGGCTTGCTCATCTGCAGAAGGATCCCAACCAGCGGAATAAAAGCAATGTAGTGATTTGGGTGGACGACAGTCAAGCAGCGGACAGGTGGTACTGAGCGGTGAGGAAGGGAGCTAAGACGGATATGCGTGTGCGGCGTTGCGCATCGCAGATTTAGTGCGAGGTCCATCGCTGCCACCCCCCCGACCAGTGCAAGGAACGTGGCGTCTCCAGGCGGATTGGCGTTGAAACTCGACGAACCTACGCTGTGTAAGCTCCAAGTCCCCCAACCTTGCCCGCTCAGACTGGCCGCCATTGCTCGCCTCAAATGTGAGGTGGTGGTAACGCATGCATGTATGTAATAGCATGGCAGACTTTGGATATAGCTACTGACTTGCATATATGTAGACCGTCAGCCCGACAGCCTTCTGGTCCTTCGTCGTCGCCTGTGCCCGGAGGATGGGTATTCGTGGCTGCCAAACATTGAGAATCCGCGAGTCCGCCCCAACTCAATGGTTCGCGGATTCCAACGGGGATCGGGAGAGGGAGTCCAGGTCGAGGCATGCGAGGGGCGGTGGGGGCGCCGCTGAGGGAGGCGAGGGAGGAGTCCGGGACTGGCTGTATTCAACAAAGATCTCTTTTTGGCAAAGGGGCTGGAATTTGGCCGCACATGATTGGCCCTGCATGCCCGGGCTCGGGATCCCATTGGTTGCCTCATCTCCGTGCATCCGCTGCTCCCTCGTCGGCTCTGGTCGCCTCCTTTGATGAGGCTTTCCGATACTCAGGCCTTCAAGAGATTGCCATCCACCGAAGCAACGCCCAGCCTCTCTCTTCTTGCTGACTTACAAAGTTGCCCATCATCCATGACGAGACCCACGGTCCACGGAACATCCTCCGATGCAAGCCCAATCGGAATGGCGAGGCATGAGCGGATGTGACCAGGAAGCTGACTCCTGCACCTCGTCAAGTCGGGCCAGTGTGCCTCAAACAGAAGTCGCTCCACGGCTGCTGCGCCGCGCTGCTATGCCATGCGACGTGTTTGCGATGATGCATCAAGGGTTTCTTGCCATTGTTTGTTGTTGATGCAGCCCAGCGAGACAGCGAGCAATAAAGGCAACCAGTGTCCAGTTCGTTGACAGCGGCATTTATTGCTGCATTGGTAACACTTGGGCACGAAACAATGCTCTCCGCCTTGTCTTCATCAGGGATGGGTCCCGGGCGTCCAGTGCGGCGCTGATCTTCACCGTTTCGGCTCGCGTAGTTTAGGATCTTGCTTGTTCGCCTACCAGTCGAGCCCAAGTCGAACCGAAAGGCGAAGTACTCTGTAATCCCACACATTCTTTCTCTTGTGAGGCCCGCAACACGATAAAGTGCTTGCGCCTGTCATCGTCGTCAGTCCCCCCATTAGGCTCGGACGAGACGAGCACGGACTGCGGGCAGCCCGAAGTTTATCTGCTTGACTCTTCGTCGAGGCTTCGACAAGAATCCATGATTCCAGCTTGCCGACCTCCCCATCCCTTCCCCTTGATATATGTGTGGGGAATTTAGAGTCCGTTGTTACGTGTGGGATGATGCCGCGATGCCGTCCCAACATCGTTTACTTCGATGAGGAGACGTGTTTCGTCTGCTGTAGATCGGCTACGCGCTAGCAGCTCGATTCCTATGATTGATGGACTTGTCGAAGCGGTCCGCCAAGTTGGACCTGATAGACCGAAAGGTTCAACTGTTGATCATAAAGCTGCGGGAGATTGACTGACGATAAGCGTCGGCCGACGAATGACCCGAATGTAAAAATCAGCAGACAGAAAGTGGTGCATGGTATGGAAACAGACGCCGCCGAAGTATTGTTTGAATTCTAAGGGTCTTTGAAAGCACAGGGGCGCTGCGACTGTGGCAGATCCCGGAATAGCTTCATTTCTGCCAAGATGTATGAGAGGGTCGTAGTGTACTATGCACTCGGCTCAGCTATGCCGGCTCACGGAGAGTGAAAGGCGGATCTAGGAAGGTTTGTCACAAAAAAGCAAGAAAAAGAAAGAAAAAACCCGGAGGCAGGGATCCCGGGGCTCAGATTTATCGATAAGATACACCATCTTTCTTATCACCTATCCCCGAAACCAAACTAGCGCTCTTGGGTCTAGATCTCTCGGCTAGCAAGCGGATCATGTGGGTTGCAGGTTGTGCCTGCCTTCCCCGACGACGTCTCACTCCTTCCCTGCAAGGTAGTCTAGATGGCCCGCGTTGCCGGTGTGACGCGACAGGCATTCACATCTCGCGTAAACGTCATCATTGGGAAACTCCATATGGAGCAGGCACGGTATACTCTTAAACATAAGTTACCTTCGGGCAGTGGGTTTCGAGAGAGTAACTAATTACACACAAAGACCAAAGTACCTCTTGTCTCCAAACCAATTCTTAGTATTTATGGGCGGGTTTTCAATCACCCTTTTTTTATAAGTAAATAAGACAATGATTGCAAACACCAGACCTTTTTTCTGCTTCGCTTCTTTCACTTAGGCCTTATTCAACTTATCCTTGTCAACCTCTTTTCACCACTGGCTTTTTTACCAGATAATTGGGGATGAGTCGGTTCAGTTGGTGATTGCAATATCATGTCTACTATGCTAGCCACGAAAGTCAAACTATGCCCTCACATGGTCTGCTGACTGTCCTTCCAGTCGGAATTCAATGTACTCGGTAGTGATACGGTGACGATGACCTTCTTTCCGTGGCTCAGGCGGTCGAGTTGCAGATGGCTGGCATATGGCTAAGGCCATTGTATTATCAAATTTCAATACAGCCCGGAAGTTGTTCCGAGTATGGTTCGTAGTGGGCATTACTAAGAAGTATCAAGCGACATGAGATACAATGCTCAAATGCAGACCAGTACTCACACCAGAGGCATCATAAAGACACCAAATGTTCTGGTGACAATATTCACCTTCTATTTACTCAAGGACGGAAGCTGCAGTGCTATAGTGTAGCGCACGCCGACATGATGAACCGCTCACCAGGGTGTGGGGGTTCAGACTCCGGTCTTCACCTTTGAGCTGGTTAACATCTTGAGCCTAGCACCGCGTCTCTCGGCCACACGACCAGTTCTACACGCGTTATTGCTCCTTCCCCTTTTTTGAGCAGGAATACTGCTGGGAATCTACTGCCTCACAACAACACGGACTCCCTCTGCTGCCGTCGAATTTCTGTTGCTTCTCGCTCTTTTCCTCCACCGCGTCTCGAGATACCTATTTCAGCCGTAACCTTTTTCTTGCACTCTTCACTTTATCCATACAAAGTTCTTTCTCAGAGGCACCCATATTCTTTCTGTTTTCCTCAAGCTTACATTCCAGTCTATTTGAGGAAGCTGATTCAAAATTCTTTCTTGACAAAGCTCACCCTATAGTGCCCGCTTTGCGCACGGCTGAGGGTTCTGAAGAACTTCAAACGCACAGGTATACCGTACAACAGGACCTTGGATGTTGTCGTCAAGATTATGCAAGTTAACTCTTCATAATTGTTTTTTCCTAGAAAGTCCAGCTTGTACCATCAAGGCAAGTGCTCACTGTTCACCTTTGCTCTTGGCGGCCAGGGTTGCTCAAGAATTTCTCACGGTCTTTCGGGGTTTCACCGACTCTTAGTGATCCCGTCACTTCTTTCTTGTGCTTTAGACTGCGGTCTGGATCAAAAAGCCAGCGGACGAGATTCAGCAAAAAATATCATTTGAACGGCAGCCTCGATACCTTCAAATATTCAACACCTCACAGGAGACCCCAGGCACTCAGTTGCACTTTTCTGTCCTTGTCGACCAACAAGACTTGAGGAAGAATTGCTTTTTTTGTGTCAGCACAAGGAGATTCAACTACGGCAAAGATGTCAAGCAACCAGGAAGGAAAAGAGGTAAGGACTCCTTGTCCAGTCCTTTCGTTTAGAGCAACAAAATGACTTTGTTTAGCAGCTTCCCAAGCGGTCTTTTACACCCAACCGTCCTCTTTACGACTCTTTCAACGAGGCTCATCGTAAAATTGCCCCCGCCACTCCCAAAGTCCCACTTGAGGAAGAACTTCACGTTGAGGAACAACTTACCAAAGAGCAAGTCGAAGACATCCTGAACGAGTCCAATCCGCACAAGGAGCTCAAAGAACATGTCGAATCAGGACGGTCGCAGCAGCCTTTTACAGAAAATCAGTCTGACCATGAGAGAAAGTTCACTAACCCGTCTTCTGCCTCTGTCATCGAGTTTCAGACCAAGACAACCGATCAATGTCTACATGCGTCCGTCTCCCCCTGCCAGTCAGATATCAAGACAGCCTTCGTCAACAGCTTGATCTCTTCCATTTACGAAACGGAGAATCGAGCCAATCAGCACAGCCCTACTGGAGATCACTTTCAAGACCAACAAACAGCTGTCGACTACCCTGATGCTTCCTCCTTCTATCCGGAAGATGGTGGTGATTATGTCTTGGCCTCTTCTGACGAAGACTCTGTTCATGGCAAGGTCAAACTCGAGCCCAAATCTTCCCCCGCTCTTGCATCATCCCCCGTTCTTTCTCCCCCGTCGCTTCAGACCCCAAGCTCCCATCCCAAGAGTTGCTTCGGCCCCATCTTGACGATGTCATCAAGAAGAAGTCTACCCCAGACTACCTCGATACTACCCATCTGTCTGGTCAGAACGGAACTCAATACCCAATCTTTATGGACCGCGGTGTTCCCCCCCTCCTGATATCCCCGTGACGCACCCTCTCCCTACCACAGAGCATATTGCCCACCCGGAGTCCCAGTATGATGGAGACATCTCGGAGGTTTCTGAGGGCCAATTCATTGGCCAGGGCAGGGAAAAGAGGTCTGTCAGTCGTCTCAATCCATTTCATGCTTTCTCAGGAACGTCATCCCATGCTTCAGACACCAACGCTCAGTCATCCGAACCTGAGAACAAGAAGGTCTTCTTGCGTCCTCATGCCGAGAAGGAGGTCTCTCGAGCTCTTCACCATGTTACCGGACTCAGCCTGCCCTCTAGCGGTCTCATTGTTCGGCAAGGCCTGACTTCACGTACCTACGATTCACAGCAGTCGCCTTATCGCATGCGCTCCGGTCAACAAAAAGACGACTTTTATCACGCACCAGCCATACAATCCGACTGGAAGATCACTCAATCCGGCATCAAGGTGCCTGTCTCTACGTCATACAATGAAGACGAGATCAACATGCAACCCACTGAACCCTACAACGCCATTGACAACACCCGGATAGCAACTGTGGCATCGGGCGACGCTGAGGATCGCACCGGCCTTGAGGGGGATGAGGACTGGCGAACCGTCACTGATGACCGTGAATTTCCTACAGGCGCTGTTGGTCGTGTTATGACTGGCAGCAGCATTGCCAATGTCTCCGACGCACTCCTGATTCGACAAAAGCACCACACTGGAGCCCCTGCTGGTCGCAAGCCCTCGGCTACCAAGGCCTGGTGGGAAAAAGGCGTCCAGTTACCGTCGGTGCCATCACTTTCTCCTTCTCCTTCCTTCCCTGCACCTCCTGGTCGTGTTCTCCACCAGACACAGCGGCGACAAGAAGGTTGGGAGGAGATTGAACTGGAACCGGTGCCCACCCCCTACAGGGACTTCTCCTGGCCTCGTATCCGTGCTGAACGTGAGCGAGCTCAACAAGCAAAGGAAGCAACGCAGACTGGTAGTAATGCGTATGCCAACCTTCCGTTCCCCTTGGTTGCCCGCGAGGACGCTGCCAGACGTCAAGCTGTCCGCCGTGCCAGCGGTCTTGAGGACCAAACTCTCTCTGGCCGTATTCTCTCGCCTGGCCTGCCTTTGTCCTCTCAAGGTGGCAGCTATGCGCTCCCTCGTCCTGCTGTGCGAAAGGATTCCGCACGCTCAATGTTCTCTCGGATTAAGAACCCGAACTTCGACTGCCGCAACCTGTCAATCCCTGGTAAGTACCCGCTTGTCTTGTCCATAACCTCTGCCCTATATGTCCTCCTACTCCCAAGCTAGACGCCCCTTCCTCTTCCCCTTCAACAACAATCCTTTCCAAATACACAATGTTCGAAATTTCGGCTCGAAATCCTACAATCATAATATCACGTTCGAAACACACCCTCCCTGAAGCTCGAATTTCTTCCTTTGGGCACTTCTCTGGGCCAGCAAGTCACCCCTTCACTTCGCATTTACCACCAAGAAAACCATTGGCTGACTTTTCCCCTCAATTTAGCCCACCAGCAGAATCCCTTTGGGCAGCCTGCCCATGAGTACTTCTCAAACCAGTACTCTGGGCGGGCTCCCACCCCGCAGACGGGGAGGGAGCGGGCCTCGGCCATCGACCAGTCGGTGGGCCGGAGGTCCTCGCCTCACCTCTACTCGACAGAGGTGATGGCGAGGTACCGCGCCTTTCAAGCTGTCCGCCAAGCCGGCGGCTGGGGCACCGACTCCGAGCTCGCCGACATGGCCGCGACCATCAGAGACGTCCCGCTCTCCGAGATGGCGGCTCGCCGCCAGAAGAAGTTTTACCATGCGATCATGGCGACCACCGGCCTCCTTCCCTTCGTGGGATTCGCCATCCTCGCCTTCTCGGCGGACAAGTTGCTTGCGGGCCTCACCCGCGGAGAGTGCTCTGGCCTCTCCTTTCAACAAAGGCGCAACTTGCGCATCATGCTGCTTGTCGGCTGTGGGGTCTGGGTTGCGGCCTTCACGGCGGGCCTGATCTCTTTGCTTGCCCTCCGCAACTGAGCGGCTGGGACCTTGTTTGTTGGATTAGGACGTAAGTTCTAGTCACTCCCTGCTTTCACTAGTAGATTTTAATCCGAATGTCAGTAGACGATGTTACGACTACTATCTGGCGGTTACTGCCTACGGGCATACCCATTTGTTCTCACTGTTCTGTTTGTTCTAATCTGGATTGGTCTGCTGTCCTTGGTGTGGCTTGGGGTGGGGGTTGGGGATGTGGTCTAGTATTAAGAGGCTGCGGCCTCAATTTTTTCGGAGGGAAGCCGTCTCAATGCTCAATGAATTCTGTTTTCGGCCACTATATGTACTTCTTGTCTCTATGTCTGTGATGTACGCATGTGAATACTTCCTCTGTGGCTCGAAGCTCCAGCTATGCTGGCAGCACGCCAGGTGACATACCGAGCAAATACTTTCTGTCACGCCTAGCTTGAGTGGCACTCGCCATCTCAAGGAGTGTTTAAGTACCGGCACACACTCCCGACGGTTGGTACGAGAATCCTTGATCAGGCAGGACGACGTGGTATCGCATAGCTGGGCATGTTCAAGGTTCGAGTCAAGCGGCAAAAATCCAGCAAGGCAACACTACTTTCGGGGCTATAAGACGCGAGTCGTTGCGTCTTAAGTGCATCTCGATCAGCTGTCGTTTACCCCAAGCTCACGAATCAGACTCGCGTTTAAGCTCATCCATATGGAGTGGAATTGAGCATCACTCAAACTTTTCTATGATTGCTAATATGAGAGAAGCTCTGACAGAGATGCCTTCCCGCTCCGTCACAGAGCTTTAGAGCCGATATGTCATTGGCAACATCAAGAAAGGCAAGTGACTGATAGGTGAGCACAAGACTACAAGCAGTAGCACGCGTTATAACACATCGACAACACGGAAACACGTTCGGAGGCACGTATTTGAGAAATCTGCACACATTGAAAGCCAGGCAAATGGCCAAAAATGGGTTGAAATGTGCTCACTGTATTATCGAAGCAACAGCATGGTATCTAAACGCCCCGGCAGTTCCACAGAAAAGGGGCTGCCAGCTCCCTTGGTATCTTGTACACACTTAAGCACGGCGGCGCGTGCTGGGTCCTTTCTTGGGTGTCGACGTGGCCGTGGAAGAGCCGGTCGAAGAAGGAGCAGCGGCGACAGGGACCTTCTGCTTGCCCTTGGCCTTCTTGGACGGCGCGTTCCAGTAGTACGCCATCTGCGACGCGAGCACGGCGTTGAGGAGGAAGCCGGCGATGAAGTTGTACAGAATGAGCTTGTCGTCGACCTCCTGGAGGGTGGTGAAGATGCGGGAGAGGGAGCCGGCGAGGTAGTTGAAGACCTGGAGACCCACTGAGTTAGCGACTGACGTCTCGGGAAAGGTGAGGGAGCAAAAAGACTTACAGCGAAGGCGCTCAGCTGTCCGGTACCACCCTCCTGCCAGATGGCCAGGATCTGCGGGACCTTGCTCGCAACGCTCAACACGCCCGCGCCGGCCTGCAGGTATCCGAGGGTCTGCATATCTACTAGGTTGCCCGTGAACAGCGCTGCGACGGCGGCGGCCAGAGCCGTCACGAACACGGCCGCCAGGCCTGCACGGCCGGTGTAGTTGAGGACCAGGACCGTGATGATGACGTTCTGGCCCATGATGAGCGCCGTCTCGCCGTAGGTGCTGAAGGGGAACTGGTTGCGGTAGTTGTAGGCCAGGGACACAATGTACGAGGCCGTCTCGAGGAGGTACGAGAGCACCGAAATGCCCTCGCCCGACTGGGAGGCCGTGAGCTTGCGGATCTGCGGGAGCTTGACGATGCTCGAGACGCCGACGATGCCGAGGCCGACGCCCTTGGAGAGGCCGAGCTTGATGCAGTCGACATCCTCGACGTTGATGTCCAGGAGAAGGGACTTATAGCAGTGCTCGCCAATGATGGAGACGCCGAGGTCGCGGATCGGGGCCGGGAGGTTGTGGGTTACCGGCTGGAGGGCGGAGCGGACGGCGTCCATGGCTGCTGTGGTGAGGCTTCTGCCGACGGGAGGGGAAACTTGGTGGTAGGTGTGTCGGATGTGTCGCGTATCGCAGACCTTTGCTTTATCACGCCGTCAAAGTGTGGAGGGAGCGCTGCGCCGAGAGTCGGGAGTGGGTGGGGGGTAGAAGGGAAAAATTAGAGACGGCGATTGTTGAGGCTTACTACCACACGACGGACACGTTGACGGAAGGGTTGAGGTCACTATGAACCCTGAGAAATGTAAGCCAGGGGTGGTGAAGTGATCCAGTCGGAGAATATCATGTGGGGAGCTAAGCTGGGCTAGCTGGCCAATCTGCTGTCGGCAAAAAAACCCAGCTACACCACCTCACGTCATCCCGTCCCCGTGCAGTCCTGTCCAGTCCTGTCCGCGCTCAAATGCAAAAGCAACCAGCTTCCAGGAAGAACCCCCAGATATTCTAGTAAGCTCGGTTTAAGGCAGCATTTTGATCCTCTTCGGTTCTCGGTATCCTCTTTCCCATAATCATTGAACGCCCAAAAAAAGACCGCGACGACGCAGAGCCTAGAACCAAGCCAAGTTGTCGAACTGAGCTTCGACAATGGCAATGCAGATCAAGTCGTTGACTTGACCCGAAAACACTCCTTACTTCCTTCCCCTTCCCTTTTGAGAGTTGTTAAAGTTCTTGATCAAGGAACTGCATTTTTCGAGGTTTTCCATCGGCTCCCAGGTGTTGTCCTTTGCGGCATAGCCTTTCCACTTGACCATGTACATCTGATCCTTAGTGATGGGATCGAGGCGGGAGTCGACAATCTTCTCCACTGCATACTCCTCCTCAGTGAACTGCGGAGTGCTTGAATTGCCCTTGCGGGGAGTCTTCTTCGGACGACCAACACCTCGGCCATGGGTGGTAGGGGCCTGCCATTGTGGCTGTCAATTACGAACTCCGCTACGTCGATGACTGGGATATGAATACCTTCTTGGCCGGAGCAGCTTTGGCAGGAGTAGTTTTGGGCACAGGGGCTTTCTCAAGACTATTGCGAGTCGTGACGCGGGCGGCTCGGACTGAGTCTATCAACCCATATTGGTCAGTTTCTACTTGTTGCTTGGCGAGTAGGATCAGGAGACGAGCTGAAGCATCCCGGCGTCGAATTTCGATAGACTTGCCTTTGTCGGTTGTGTTGACCGGGGTAGGAATCTGAGTCTTTCGCGGGCGGCCACGCTTCTTAGGAACTGAGACAGGCTCCGGGGCAAGGTCTTTCTTCACATCATAGTTGCCCTCGTGTAAGTCGGTGCTAGTCCCATTCTGAATCAACTCTCGAGCAGATGGCTGCATATAAGCCACAGGCGCAAGTTCCCGGTTGGGCATAGCCTTGGTGTTCTTACCAATCCTAGTGGTCTTCCGGTAAGTGGGCGAGGGGGACTCTGAAGTACCGTCGTACAAGGCCGACGAGTTCTCGGCCGATGTGGGCACACTCTGCGAAGACTCAACGGCAGCCTCAGGGTTGACAGCCTGTTTGAGCTTTTTGGCGGCTCTGCTTTCCTTCGGGGACGGCCTGCCTTGCGCTTCTTGGGCTCGGTGACGGTAGGTCGTGCACCGGCAGCTGGACTGGCGATTATGTCAGATTTGATCAAGAGTATCTCCTCATCCTTGAGGTCTTCCATGACTGCCTTGTCCTTGCTATTGAGATCTTAGTACCGGTGGATTTTGGATCGATGTGTTGCTAATAACTTACGCGGCATCGCCCGGATTGGCGAGCTCCTCCATTGTCACCTCCTCCTCGCGGCCCTTGAAAACGCGAGGCTCAGCCATGCCGAAGCTTGGTGTTGGCGACAGAGAACTCGAAGGGATGATGGGAGCAACAGAGGGCATAGTGACGCAAGCTGAGGGCTTGGACGAATGGAGAGAAAGACCGAAGCTCTCCAAGCCAGGTCTTCTAGATGAAGGGGGGAAGGAAGAAAAGTCGACGTTGGGTGGTGAGACGTAGCTGGGCAGTACTTTATACTGGTCAGTCGAGTAGGGTCTTCCTAAAATTTGGGCAAGAGCTTCAGTCCAGTGCCTCCTGTCTCGCGTTTCTTTATGGACAAGAAGGGAAGGAACTTGCTGAAAAGTAATAGGCGGATTGTTATCGGGTCATCTCTTCCTCTACTTTGGTGATCAGATGCTCAACATGAGGCAGGTGCGTGGATTATTACGGAAGACCTCACACTTGCCTCACTGGGTCCAAGTGCTACTGGGAAAGCGGAGAAAAGAGGATGGAATAAATGACAATTAGTCTCTGTTATGTTGATGGCTGGGTGCTTTAAAGCCGGCGCACATGTCTGAGAAGCATTCACGGAACAAGCACGAAGAGTATCATGCGGGAAGGGACTTAGAGCCCTCATTTGGACTTCAGTAAAGTGTGTTAGGGAGTCAAAAACATATTCAATGCCGGATGCACGTTTATTTTTTCTCAACTGTGTTTTGAGTCGTTCGAACGCTCCGCTCAGTCATCGACTTCCTCCACTCGTTTGTCTCCAAAGTCGTGAAGCTGCCCGGACCTCGCTGCCATCTCGACTGGGTTTTGAATATCAACAACACCCGTCTTGCGCAATCTGCCACATCGTTAGCATGAGCTCCAATTGAAGGCCGGTCTTGGCTTACCTTTCAAACAGCACGAAAAGCCTCTCTGCCTCTCTCATTTTCTCATCTTCCGTCATTTCCGGGACATCCACATGCTTTTCAGATTCTATAAACTGTCCAGTTATAGGGTTGACTGGCTTCTGAGTTTCGCCACTGCTGAACGCTTCAGATGCATTCGCCGGGATCGGAATGTTTTTCTGGAAGAGGAAACCTGACGCGAAGCCGTAACCAACGTTCTCAACAAACTTGGATGCATCCTCGTCTGACATGTCGAAGAGGAGAGTCGAGATGGCCTCACGCAGATGAGGGGTCAGGGGATTCGTCGAGTTGCGCAACAGCCGCGACGTCAGGGATGTGCCGCGGCCAAGAACCTCTTTCCTATCCTGCTCAGTTGGAAGAAGAGTGCCCCTGATGTACTTCTTGACTTCTTCAGGAGCACCACCATGGACCCGGCGCAGGACGCCAACAAGCGGCGTAGCAAGCTGCTCGAGTTCGTTGTCGGGGTAGGTCTTCAACGCGGGGTCCAAGATCTCGATCAACCGCTCCGCCAACATATTGGGTTCGGCCTTTGGGTAGACAGACGCTTGAATGTCCTTATCCTCCAACTTCAGGTCGAGTAGAGCGTTGACGAGAGCATTGAACGGCGGGTCGAGAGGTTTGTTGGTAGGTACGTCATGCTTCCAAAGCAAGGCGATGATGTGCGGTATGCAGCCCGTGAACGCATCCACCTCAGAAGGGCAGTAATGTGATACGTTGAAAAGCAACTTCAAAGTCTCATTTAGCGCCATGTCCTCCATAGGGTCAATAGGGGCTTTTGGTGGACGGTTTGTCAACAACTTGGCATGCTTGGACAAGCTTTCGGTGATGGTTTCTGCTAGCCGGTGTTTCTGGATCAGTGCCAGCAAGTCAATTTTGGTGCCGTACGTTGTAAGAAAGAGCACTCTCGAAACAAGGAATTCATCGTCGAAGCTGTCGTTTCTCAACTTCTTACAGGCTAGGTCTTCATAGCCGAGATCAACGAATGTTTGCCGGGCCACGGGGTTCAACAGCATCGAGTTGGCCAAAACCCTGAGAGCAGCTCTAGCTGTCGAGTTTGAAGGGCTATTGAACGCGTGTTTCGTGAGGATCTCGATACCCTATGGGTTGTGAGTAATGAATGCCCTCAAAACAGCGAAGAGGACCAACCTCTCGTGTGAAGATTGGATCAGCGTTGGTGGGGTCCCGTCCGTATATCTTGAGTTCTTCAAGTGCAGCATCGCGTTCTACACTAATTCAGCTGCAAGCTCTTGTAAATGCACATGATTCAGAGTGAAGCTTACGACGAGGGAGCAAGTTAGGTTTCTTTAGGTCTTCACCGAGCTTGTCCATCAAGCTTGTGACAGCCTCAAGTTTCGCTGATGAAAAGTGTTAGCGGAAGAGATACGAAACTAGATGGAGCGACGGGGACCTACCTGGGCCGGTGAGGTTGGCCTGCATGGTGAGGGGTTGCGACATGGTGCGGCGAGTGGAACCGAGATTTGGGAGGAGCTTCGGTGAGCCCGGCGAGGAAAGGCTGGGGAAGCTTCTGGATGAAGAGAATCGTCGGTCGACTCTGTGCTCCTTGACGCTTAGCATTCGTTTCAATTTGGATGGCATGCTTGGTAGGGATACTCGGGTGTAGATGAGGCGAGTAGGAGTTTGAATTACCTATGTGTTTGAATTCGACGTGATGATCGCTTGCTTGCAGCGGCGAGAAAGCTTGTAATGGTTCAACGGATGTGATTTGTGGCACTCGACGTCGATTTCAAGTGGTGGCTTGATACCTGACCATGACAATCTCGGCTAGGTTCGGTGGTGCATCAATCACAAGCTGAAGGGTCTCGATTAGGGACGAAACAGAAACGTTGATACCAGGGATTGAACCTTGGGGTTGAATGTATGATGCGTGCGTTTCAGTATTCTCAGCGGGATGATGTCGATGTTCAAGTGAGGTTGAAGGCGCTATGGAAACCCATCTGCTGAGAAAGGGGAATGAACCAGAACATTGGCCACGAGACCCCAGTGTTCGTTCACTCCACTATCGGTCGTTACACCAGAAAGAGGGGCGCCGTGGTGGCTGTCAGGCAGTTAAGCAGGACGGAAGCGCACAGTCCTCTCTCGGCGCCGCAAGCGTCGGTATCGGGCCTGACAAAGCCGTCCTCAAACCTCAAACTAAGGGGGGTCTAAAGCCACAGGTGAGCCGAGCCACAATTGGTACGAGCTTGACTAAGCATTCATTGCCATTCCATGCAGTTGCTGTGCTACGGGCATTTTTACAGGCCATGCAAATTTGGAGATGGAAATTCCACCGCCCCACTCGGGGTCGTTCAGCGGCCCAGCCCCCGGGCAACCAGGCAACGAAACGACGGGGGTACACGACTGGCACGGGCCATTACTTTAAGTGGTTTCGCGCGCTCACCTCGCGTTTTTACGTGCATCGTGGACGTGTTGAACCAAAAGTCGTCAAGCGTCAGCCAATTAACCAACTTGCTCCAACCTGACCTATGACGGGAAGGTCGTGCTACGAAAAGTACTCGCGAACCACGACACTAACCACGACTCCGGCCCCGTCCCCATCCTCATATTCGTACACGGCTTTGCTCTTTCTTCTGTCTCCATACGGAATACCTTACTCTCGTTGACGCTGAAAGGCCCCCTTTCCCATCCTCGTCCTTCCTTTTGCATAGAGTAAGAGAATTGTACATTACGTTTGGTTTCGCGCAGCATCATTCCCTCCGTTTCTGCTGGCAGGAGTCCAACGCACGCATGCGCCAGTCGAGATAGGAGCAGAGCTTGCCGGTGTTCGGTGTTCCCTTACCACGCCCGACGGGAAACCTCGCAGCCATGGGATCTGTCGAAGTCGTGTCGAGCCGACTAGAGTCGTTACCTCCTCGTCCACCGACGCCGCCCCGCGAGGCCAGCCAAGCTGTTGATGCCATCACCGCTCCGAAGCATCTCCTCGTCCTCCCTCCCTCGTCCGACCCTTGTTCCAGCCTCCATACGCCGCCCAGTGCCTATTCACCACTCTCCGGAGCCGGTTCCACGAACCCGAGTGTACGCAGAGCAAGGAAACGTGTGGGCTTCTCTGCAAAGGCCCAATACAACGAGGCACCACATTACCCAGGCGTCAACGCTTCCAGCCGGCGATCACCTCTCTCGGCACCATCGTCGACCCAGCCCAAACCCGTCAAGGGCATTCTCAAGCAGACCTCTTCGCCGAGCCCCCTCAGCACCAGTGTCAAGGCAGATGCCCTGACGACCTCGGCTAACATCTCCGACATGCTGGAATCAACGGTGAAGCAGCTCGCCGGAGCCGACAGAGACTCGAAGCGAGATGCCTATTCAACTCTGGTCATGACGCTGAAGACGTCCAATAATCTCCCAGACCGCATTGCTCTTCAAGCCAAGATGGGGCTGTTTGTCCAGTTCATTCAGCGCGACATAACCTCCAAGAATCCTGCCACGGGCGGACCAGACGCGCCTCTCGTCAACAACGCCCTCTCCCTCCTCGCTACCTTTCTGCATTTTCCTGCCATTGCCTCGACGATACCCAGCGATTTCGGCGTTTTCTTCATCGACCACTGCATCCGATCCTTCGAGGACTCGACTACACCGAAAGATGTTGCTCGACACCTGATGCACGCTGTCGCTACACAGGACTTTTCTCCCAAAGTCATGACTTCTGATCGTGTTCGGCGTCTAGTCGCCGCCCTGCGCAACATCGAAGACAACCTCAAGGGAAAGAGCATAGTAATGTCTCGAATCCTGATCTACAAGCGCTTGGTTCAACAGTCGAGACAGCTAATGGTGCTTCACTCGGATTGGCTGAACGATCTTTTCACGGATATGTTGAGCAGGGTTAAAGAGCTGCGATCTGCCGCGATATCTCTCGGTTTTGAGGCTGTCTACACTTTTGGAAAGGAGAAATCTCTTTCACGCAAGGTGATGGAACTCTTCGATACATCCATTGAAGAGATGAAGTTTGCAGAGTACTATCACCAGCAACTTCGTTCCATGGCCAAGGATAAGGATGACAAGCAGTTGACTGCCTCTGTTCCTAAGATTTGGAGCGTCATAATCCTTTTCTTGCGTTGCCCACTCGACCGGTGGCAGTTCTTCAACCAGTGGCTGCAACTGATTCAAATGGGCTTCAACAACAACGACCATCCCCAGACCAAGCAAGAGGCAAACTTTGCCTGGAACCGTTTTGTCTGGTCCATGCACACCGAGGGGCAGTCTTTCGTCAAGCTGCTACCCACGCTGTACCAACCTCTAGGCAGCCAACTCAAATCGAAATATACTAGTAAGCACATCCGAGAGGTCGTTTTCGGAAGCGTCTGCAACCTCTTATACTACACCTTTAAGCCTGGCACGAGTACAGCCCTTCTTGATAGCTACTGGGATGCCTGTGTCAAGCCCATCACAGAGGCCCCAGAACACAAGCAAGGAATCCCGATGCAACCGACGAGCACATGCGGCAGGCAGCCTCGATCCTGACCGGCCTTTTCGACTCGACCACACCACGGCTATGGAGGGAAGAGCGCATTAGAGAGACGTCTCTTTCCCGACCACATGAGCTGCCGGCTATTGACCCCAAGTGGCTTCGGCGCAACTCTCCTCGTGTGTTTCAGGTTATTGAGCCCATCATGGACAGACACTTCCTGGAACTTTCGGACAAGAATAGCCAAATCCATCGCTTATGGCGGACATTGGTCGGAGCGATGGTTTCAGCGGCATCCAAGGAAATTAAGGTCTCTGTTGACACGACTGCCTTCATATCACAAATGTGTGGTCTTTTACTCAAGCATTGGGAGACTGGTCTTGCCGAGATGGAAGACTCAGGCCCCGAGACAGCAGCACGATTCTTGGCCAGTGCTCGGGAGATTATTACGGTCACTGTGGAGGCTCTTGGTCCTCTGCCTTTCACCGAAAAGAGGATCTCTCTTGGACGGCTTCACACTTTTACGCCTGTCTCGACTCCCTCTCATAAGCCCATGAAGAATACAGGCGATGCTCGGACACCACTTCAACATCTTGCTGGCTTGGTCTCGAGGCTACCTCCAGGCATCGCTGACAACGAGGAGTTTGTCGATTTTTATCGGACTGTTTTTGACCCATTTTTCGCGCCAAAGTCAACGAAATCTCGGTTTGAGTTGGCACAGGAGATGCTGTCAGTGACACCCATCTGGTCCTCTCCGGTTACTCATTCTCCGTACGCACCATGGGTCATCGCAGCAGAGTGTTTGGCTACTACCTTTAGTTCGTCACAGAGCAGCGCGCAAACCACCAGCTCCACTGGCGAGCCTGTTCTTGGCCACGAGTATCGCACAGTTGTGCGCCTTTTGGAGCGCGGATGGAAGGAAGCACCCAATCTTCCCTGGCAACACTGGTGTTCACTCTTTACGCTCTTGTCCAACCGAGCCAGCGAAGAGACTGGCGAAGCTGGCCGAGCCCTGGGAGTTATTGAGCCTCTTGCGAAGATTGTCCGGGAATCTCTTCCTACCGACCGCGCCTCCGTGATATCCGCGAACACTGTCAAGGCTGCATCAGAATTGCTCTCTGTCGCCAACCATCCATTGGATAGGCAGGCCGTGGAAGCAGCTCGACGCCGGCTTTGGGGTACGGCTGTTGCAGGGCCCAGATCATCCTCTTTCGACCCGTTCGATAACCTGTACAAACTGACCAACAACCTCCTGGAACGCCTCTACGAGGCCAGTGAGCGCGGCAGCCTAAATGAGTCGGCCACTCCATTTCTCAAGGAATGTTGCGGGTTTCTGTCTCGTTGTAACCCCGAGCTTGCCCCAAGAACTGTGTCAAACTTGGAGAGTGGCCTTGTCATGTGGATCCGGGATTCGCAGGGTATCCTGAAGGCTCGTCAGAGCCCTGCTGCGTCTGAAGCTGTAAGTTTCTCGGTCGAATACAAAAGGTCTTTTGGTAACCGTGAACAGCTCAAGTTCCTCTGGGATATTGTCGGGAAAATCATTCTGCCTGACACTACGTTAGCAGAAATTCAACTCGAAGCGTTTGAGGAACTCTTCTGTGCTGCCTTCGAAAGCAAGCACCGGCATCTTGTCAACTCCATTGCCCAGACATGGAACCGCATCTACGAGAACGCGGAGAGCATTCAGTACCCTCAACATCTCAAGACCGTTTTGCTTGCTATTCAACCGGTCGTCGACATTGTTCTACCCGGCCTGGAACCTACTCACGCGGCACCCACGGAACAGAACCATTCCTTCGTTGAGTCTCAGGACGACATAGAGATGCTCACATTATCTTCGACACGATCGTCACGGAATAGGCCTCAGCCATCTCTCTCAACTAGCCGTTCTTCCCCTCTCAGCTCAATCAAGCCGCCGTTATCCGCAAGGAAGAAGCTGGACAGCACTCCTAGGAGAACTCGAAGCAGAGGCAGACGCAGTGCTGCGACTGCTCGTTTGAGGCACGATGACTCGCAGATTCAATTTGCCCCCATCGAAAAGTCGCCCCTGAACCCAACAGTCAACCCCGAGTCTCAAGTGCTCACTGAACGCCAGAAGGAGATTAGGGAGAGGCAAAAAGACACTGCGGCATTGTATCCGGAGATGCGCTCTAGCCCCCAGGCGCATCCGCAGGAAAACACATCTGTCGAGCCTGAGTCTGCCGTTCCTGACAATGGTCCGGAGACACCCAAAGACGTCACGCCAAAGCGTAACGCAAGATATGAGGATTTTGTTAGCTCTACCCCGACACCTCGACGAGGCCAAGCTTTGGCTATGGCGGAAAACGATCAGGATATGACGGACCCGCCGTCCTCGCCCCCAGAGCCTCGGCCGTTCCCATTGTTACCTCAAATCAAGTCCCGAACTAGCAGCCGGAGTGAGCTTGACGACTGGCAGTTTAGTTCATCGCCGGTTTCTGGTTCGCCGTCCCCGGAAATGGCAGTAGCGACCGATGAACCTACCGAGCTTCATCTGGCAAACGGCAATGATTCTCGGCGTCAATCTGGAGAAGCCAGCCCAGATCTGTCAGCAGTCGATGATTCGTTCCAAGTCGTGCCCTCTAGTGCCGTTGAGGAACCGGAGCTGCCACCTCCTGCTTTCGAACCTATCAAGGAGACAATGCAGTCTCAGCATTCTGAGCAGGCGACAACCGAGTCTGCTGCAGAACCGCAACCTGACAATACCCCATCGACTCCCAAAAACACTCGGGTAATCAACATGGAAGAGCCAAGGTCCGGCAACGAGGTGTTTGTCGACGCACCCTCCAGCCCCCAGCCCACTGTTCTCACCAGATCCGCGACTCGTGCTGCGGCTAACAAGGATCGCTCTTTCGACATGAGCGATGGGGATGAGCACAGCATGTTGAGGCTTGTTGTTGAGTTAGACCGTAGAAAGTGCGAGCTCCCGATCAACGACTACCCTGCCATCTCGCCCCCCAAACCTTCCAAGAGTCCCAGAAGCGCCAAGAAGAGGGAGGAGAAGCCCGCTGTCCTTGATTGCATCACCGTCCGTGGCGAGGATGACGACGAAGAGGAAGACGAGGATGAGCCTGCAGAGCTTGCTCTTTCGCAGCCCCTGACGCGGTCGCGCAAGAGCAAGTCTCACTCACCCGGGAGACCTTCGACTCCCGTGACCAGGTCGGCCGCGTCCTCTCCGGATAAATCAGCCAAGAAGCGGAAGAGAGGCGGTTCATCCAAGTATGAAACTCGTCGCAAGAAGAGAAAGTCCGTCGACGAGGCCGACGAAGAGACTGACGAGATGGAGCCCTCCCAGCTCACCATGTCACCTGTCCTCGGCGAAGAGGCGACTCGCGAGAGCCACGGCTCGTCCATCCACGATACCCCGTCCAAGCGCTCCATCGGTTCTAGAAGCGAGGATTTGGAGGCCGAGGTCCACTCGCAGCTGGTTCATGAGCAGCAAGAGGCGGACTACCGCGAGAGCCAGTCCTTTGAGGAACCAGAGCTGGAGCCGTCTTCGACACAGGCACCCCCGGCGGTTGAAGACTCAATGGACGTTGACATCGCCGATGCTACCGATGCTATCGTCGCGCAGTCCGAGTCTCATGACCCAGCCAACACCAAGGGTGTGAGCATGATCGACTCCTTGAGCGGCGTTCTCACTCATCTTCGTTCCGCGGCGCTATCGCGCGAGGAGGTGTACAAAATGGAGGACATTCTAATGGACATCAAGAGAGAGCTCTTCGCAGCCGAGGCCCGAGGACGAGCCTGAGGTCACGAACTGTCGGCTCAACACCAACCAACCACACCAAACACCACCACCATTTTGTTATAATTCACGTCTTTTCTTTTTTGTCAAAGTCCTCATGAGGACATGTGGATACTCTTCGCCCTACGTACATGTTTTGATGACGACGAGAGGTGCCTGGAACCTCTCCGCATTATTGGCGCAGCTCTTTGGTTACGAGGTCGATGAGATTGAGAGGAGGAATGGCAAACATTACGCTTTTTCTGTTCTTATACGAAGAAAAACAACAACCCGGGGTTTAGGAATTCTCGGCATGAAACCAATTGTTATAGCATGGAGGGGAAGATGTCATAGGTCCCCCATCGTCATGTATTAGATTGTCGCGATCATCGCATCTGGAGGTCCATTGCCGCCCCAGGACAATGACCAAAGAAGGAAGAATAATGGATCAACATGACCCTTTACCACATCCGCCCACTTCACAAGCTCCTCTGGTGAACATGCGCGTGCCGTTTCATCGTGATTTTTATTCCAAAAAGGGATAGTTTCCGGGCTTGCTTTCCCTTTGCGCGCCTGCTTGTTCGTGATAACATTGGGACCCCACATGTTTCGGCCGTCTAAACATCCCCTTCTAGCTGACTCGAGATTGGACCCGTAGGGGTTGTGAAATGTCTCCGGGATTTTCACATCATGGCTTCTTTTCGACCAAGTACCTCGACCGTAGAGATCTTCATACGTCCTCCCCCAACCAATGGGCTCTCCTCCCACATGGCGCCCTCACATCCTCCCCTGATCCCCTCGCCTCAATTCACCGTAATGACCTGCGCGCCCTCGAACGCGTCACCAGGCTCGAGCTTCTGCCAGCCCTTGACGGCGCCGGGCTCAACGCAGAGCATGTTCTTGTAGCCGTCGTCCGGGGAGAAGTCGCCGATGCTGGCTGCCTTGTCGGCCCAGGGGTTCCAGACGACGACGTTGTCGAGGTTGTCGCGGACGACCGAGTAGACGGGCTTGCCGTCCTCGAGAACGACGACAGGGGCCTTGGGACCGGCGGTGGGCGTGTAGATGCGGTCCGTCTCGGAGGTGATGGCGACGTCGCCGGATTGGGTCTTGGCGGCGCCGGCGTCGACCTTGTCGGTGTAGGGGGCGCCGTCGAGGCCCTGGACTGTGACTTTTGTGATGTCCTGCAAAGGGGCGATTAGCATGCTAGAGTTTATGGAGAGGAGGTAGGATGGGAAGGACGTACATTGACGCGCAGGTAGGTGTGCATCAGGACCTGGCAATCAAACGCCTCCTCGCCCTCGTTCGTAATGACCATGGCGGTGGACAGCGTTTCGCGGTCGAGCGAGACGCTGTAGATGGCGCCGAACTTATACCCCCACTTAGCCTTTGTCTCTTCGTCGAGGTTGGCCGATGACAGGCCGAAGTCGAGCTTGACGGAGGACTCGGAGCCGGCGGACCCTTCGCTCGTGGACTTGCCCAGGAACTCCCAGCGCGAGCTGCGGGCGAAGCCGTGTTGGGAGAGCGAGGCGGTGGGCGGGTGGGCGTCGGAGGGGGGCCGAAGACGGGGAAGACGAGGGGGATGCCGCCGCGGACGGGGCGGGAGCCGTCGAGGGCGGTGGAGGAGGAGAGCCAGAGGCGGTCGGCGCCCGAGGCGGACTTCCAGGAGAGCACGGTGGCGCCGTGGAGGAGGACCTCGACGGACTCGCCGGTAGGCAAGGTCGCCGAGACGCGCGAGTTGCCGTGGGTTATGGAGACGGTGGCCTGGGGCGGCAGACCGGGCGTGGTGGCCAGGGCAGTGGGTTTGTTGGGCCGGTCGACCATGGTTGCTGGCTTGCCTGTTTGCTTTTGCTGTGATGGGAAGAGGCTGTCTGAAGTGTTAGGATGGGACGATGTTTCGGTAGGAGTTTCTGTGAGCGCGGGGTAAGAGGCGCGCAGTGAAGTGGACTGACGAGGGCGGGATACGCTGTGGGCGGGAACGAAGGCTTTGTGACGAAAGCGGCCGAGATTGGAAGAGGTGAGGTTGTATAGAGACTGGGGAGAGGAGAAAAGAAGGAGGATTGGGCGTTTGGAAAGGTTGGGAGGTTTCGATGTAAGGTAGCAGCAGCAGTAGCTGTCGGATACAATGGCAACGGGGCGGATGCACGGGCGAAAAGTCCAGCGCCAGGGGTGGGGAGGATCGGTCGTGTGTAAGCAGAGGTCAAGTCAAGCAGGATCTGCGAAGGCCACGGGAAAAAGCAACCCAAGGTTTTCTTACGTCGGGGTGTGAAGTCGGTCTGCGTCTTTGTTGGCGTCGAGAGATGGCGGGGCGGAAGGGGGAGCGACGAGAGAGGGGGAAGCTGTTGGTGACGGGTGAGGGGGAGGGGCAGCCCTGTCTAGCGTGTCGAAGGAGCTGCCTAGTAGTGTATTGTAAGGGAGGCATGCTTGTGTGAGGCGCGCCCCGTTTGCTAAGGTTCCCCGTCCCTTCTCCACCTTGTCATGGTCGGACGTCAGACACTCAGGAGCTCTGGCAAAAAAAAGCTGCGACCACTGGTATGTGGGCATGTAAGGCGGTACTATGTTTGTAGAGCTGCGGCACAGTTGAAGAAGACGTTGACCATTTGCAAATTCGAGAAAAGGGACAAGTGCCACAGATTCTTGCCATGGCCATTTCCATTTTTTTTTCTCCCTAGCGACGGGCCTCTCTTTATTCAATCACTCACTTTAAATCCATTTTCGAGTCCTCTGGCTCGATTTCTCTTTTGGTCATTGGGAAAAGGCCATCACTATACTATTCCTGACGGATTAATGCCCCCGTTAATCGCGCCCGTCACTCTGAAACGAGCTTCATCCCTCGACCAGCTCCCCGAACAAGACTGACCCCCCTGTCTCCCAAACTGCCTCGGTAAGCGGAAGAACAATCTCCTGGGCTAGCTAGATCATCCACAAAGCGTGTGAACGGGGAACCAACCTTCAGGGGGTTCGGCTCCTAGTGGCGAAGCTGTTTCTCTCTTGGGGCTCGTGAAAGAAGATCCTGTTTTCTGAGAAGCAAGAAGGGGAGAGAAAAAAAAAAGCTCAGGCCCACTTCCAAGGAGATGATCCAAGGGGAGGGAGGCTTCTCTCGCCCAAAACGTGGCAGGAGAAACTTGCATGAAGCAGTCCAGGCTAGGTGCACGACGATCAAGCCCCATTCTGTTTGTGGAGATGGGCCCGAGTTGGTCGCATCAGGGGCCCGATGGATTGGGTTTCTAACCTTCGCGTGCATGTTGCTAAACATGCAACGATGCCACCTCATCAGTCATCGACTCATTGTGACGGGGAAAGGTTGACCACCAGAAATCACCAGAGCATCGGCCACAAAAATACAATGGTAACCCTTTATGTCTATGAACAACCCAAATGAGCAGAAAACCCATATCACGCCTATTCCAGCTTGAACCCGATGCTGTCCCGGTCATCCCTCACTACGCGACCCCATTCTAGCAGCAGTCTGAACAGGTAAATCTCCATGTCCTCCTTCCGGAGCGCCTTGCCTGCCCACCGTGCCCCCTGTGTCGCAATCCACTCGGCGTCCTCCCACCGCGCCTCAAATTCCACCTCGCGCCCGTTGACCTTGCCGCGGCCCTTGAGCCCGACAAAGTACGCCACCGTGCTGTGCAGCCCCTGGAACCGCGTGTCGATGGGAACGAAATGCAGCCACGGAATCAGCCGCTCCGAGTACCACTCCCCAAACACCGACGACAGGAATGGCACGCTGCCCGGTGACCGGATCGTCCGCAGTACCCCTGGCGGCGGCGCCGTGTCCTCGTCCAGCAGCAACACGTACCGGTTCTCAAGCGGATCACCCGATGCCGGCTTCTGGCCCAGCTCCGCCTTGACCGCGTCGCATCCAGGGCCGCCCTCGCACGCGTACTCCGAAATGCCGACATCGAGCGGGAGTACGGTGTTGGCCTCCCGCGCATCGACCGTCTCATAGCTGTACCAGTTGCCCTGCGCCGGTGCGCCGAGCATCATTGTGATATCGTCCCCGGCCGTCGCGTTATTGACGAGGTGAACCAGCCGGTGCTTGTGATTACCGCGCAGCGCCTCATCGCTGATAGGCTTGTCGCCGACCTTGCCGCGCCAGTACACGCTGTCCTTCCGCTGCCGGAAGTCCTTGGTCACCTCGGGACCCTCGTCGGCGGCCAGCGGCATGAGGGGTATGAGAATGTCGTTGAAGCCGTCCGCCTTGTACCTGCTGAAGACGGGCAGCAGCTCCTGAAAAGGGGCGATTGGCGGCGCCGACGTGTGGAAGCTGTGAAGCCGAGTGAGGTCTTGCTGGTCACACAGACTTTTAGATTGGGGGTAGCGTCTCAGGAACTGCTCGTCGGAATGCAGCTTGGCGCATGAAGTGCAGAAATCGCGGACGTTCCAGTGTAGGCCTGACCTGCCTGGGCTGTCTACCGGGCACACGGCGGCTTCCAACTCCCGCCATGCCTTGGTGGACGCAAACATGTCTTCTTTCCTGTGAGGTATGACAACGGACGAGCCTCTGACAACCTGAGGTTCTGTGTTCGACTTGTCTCCAGCGTCTTGCTTCTCTAGAGTCTGCCCCTCGGCGGCCCCCTCGGATTGAGGAGTATCACCAGCACTGCCCACCGCTGGATCCTCAGCTGAGCGCGACGACAAGTGTTTGAACTTCTTCCTCATCCCTGCAACGTCTATTTTGCGAAGATCGTACCATGGGGTCAATACCCTTGGCTGGTTGCTCAGGTTGATGGGCAACTTCATGTCGGAAAGATGCTCCACAAACTCTTGGATCATGGTGATGAGTTCGTTGAGCACCTTCTTGTTCTCATCGTCGCCTTCGTAGTTGTGTGATACTTGCTTGTTCTCGATCGTGACGACCGCGATGTGCGGCTCCTTCACAATCCTCTCATTATAAGCTTGTCGAATCGCTTCCGGCTTGACGCCCCAGAAGGGAAACATGTCACTCTCCATCTGCTCAAAGTGGTCTGTGATGACCGTCTTGCGCGCCTTGGCAAAATCGAACCACTTGTCGAAGTTGGGGGGCGGATCTCTGCCGTAATGTCGTTCATGATACACGCCGACAGCGGTGCGAATGTTGTCGCTGGTCATGGCATGCCGGAGCCACCGGTCCGATTCCACTCTGGTGTCATAGATGATTCTGTTGAGGGGATGGTATTTCTCTGTGGTCGATTTGACCAGACCGGTAATAGTCATCCCAATGAACGTCGCCAGTAGAATGACGAGGAGAAACACCCTTGGGATGAAGAGAATGGAGCGGACGTTTGTGCTGTACAGAAACAGGCTGTAGCCCGCAGTCAAAAGGTAAAGTGGCCCGATGGCGACAACTTTTGACTGCATCTGCCAAGTCCCAATGCGACCGATGTTGTGGAAAGTCGCCGTCATACCACAGATGAAAGTGATGACACTCACAGGAGTAACAGGACTGGTCTCGCAGATGAGGATTCCTAGAGAAATTACAAGAACGGCAAAGGCAAAGCTGTCGATGAAGACATCGAAGATGTATAACGAGTCGATCCCACCAATAGAAGCCGGATAGCCCTCGCTGGTGGAGATGATCGGGGAGATGAGGATCTGAAAGACCTTGATGAAGACTCCCGAGAGGAGCAGGATAGAAGCCAACGTTCTGAGACGAACCTTTGTTGTCTTCGTCCACGCCAGGATGCGCCAAAACAGCGAGATGATGACGGCGTCCAAGAACAGTCCGGCAAGTTGAAAGGCCAGGGTTGACATCCGACTGTCCGAGAGAGACGAGCAGAAGAAAGTCGATATGGGTTCCTGTGAGACGGCGACGAAGGTGCCGTAGCAGACAAGAAAAGTGCTCCCCAGCGCGAGGGACCCTGAGCCGTTAGCCCAAACCGCAAGATCGTCGAGAGGGGTTGCCCAGGGGTCTTCTTCTGGAGGTGGCGGGCGGGCTTTTTGGTAGTAGAGAACGTGGTATAAAACCAAGTATATGCACAGAAAGGACTGCGGTTGTCAGCCAGCCTGTTCTCTGGTCGAGGAGGTTCAAAGGGGGGGGGGCTGCGGCTTACCTGGATTCCCGGCATGGAGCACTGGAGCTGTGAAGTCACTCGGTGAAAAACCTCGACGCGGAGGAAGATGCAAAATATCAAAAGGGGCGCGAAGTAGCGCCGTGGTCTAGCTGGAATAACCTGCTCGATGGCTCTCTTGGAGTCGGACCCACGCTCATCTGGGATACAGTTAACATAAGTTGGATGTTTGAAGGGGCATAAATCAAACTCACCAAAACGACCATCAGCGCCAGGCAGCCATGCCGCGATATAGCTCGAAAGCCATGTCAGACCTCCTGATACAAGCAGTATCAAGACAGACGACAGACGGGGGTATACTAGAAACCGATTGCGTCAGTCAACAACTTCACACATGGCCGCAGCGGGCAATTCCCAGCAAAGTGCTACATACCGATCAGAGAATGGTTCTCAAAATTGGACGAAATCCATAAGAAAGAACCGACAGCACTTTGGATCGGTTAGTCAGGTGTCGTTGACTGGATGGTGTTTAACGAAATGGAAACGGGGATTAGAGCTTCATACCAAAGCGCCGTCATATGTACATGCGCATCGCGCGCCATTGAGAGAGGAAAACCCGCCAACCTGGGTAGGTCTTGGCGATTAAAACGCAGCCACGGGTGGAATCACGAGTTCATCCGAAACAAACAAATAGTCGCACTTCAATCAGTAAGCCATGAATTTTCTGTTCAGTTATTCTCTCCCAGTTGATGGAAAACCTGATGAACTTGGAACGTGGTTAGGCAAGAGTAATAGCCCACAGGGGCTTGCCAACAAGCACTCGGTTCTTACATAATCCAATTAAACCGCCCCTTACTGAGACGCGTCCCACCCCGTAATTCCTCCCTGCACTGCCCCCCTGAACCGCGTCAAGCTCCTTTTCACAGTCCTCCACCCGACGATCCGTACCCCGAGCTGTCCGTCCGCCCCGGCACCGAAGGCTTCATAGTGGGCTGACATCACCTCTGGCCTCCCGAAACAGGCCTCAAATCCTCATCGTCCGGACACCACACCTCCCCGCCGAACCACGCTCCCTCTCCGCGATTTCGACAACCCCAATGGCGCAACAACAATGGCCGGCCTCAACGAATCCCCTTCGCCCTTCCTCAAACGCCTTGCCGTGCCTGGCGTGTGCCTGTTAATCGCCTTCCTTGCCTACACTTCCCAGCTCCTCTTCTACGTTGCCGATGACTCCCTCGCACCCGGCCGCCTCTCTCGCTCCCAGACCTATACCTTCAACATCCTACTTCTTTGCCTTTGGTACACCTACTACAAGTCCTGCACCGTCGACCCGGGCCGCTATGCCTTCCGCGACGCCGTCATCGAGGTCCCCGAGCCGGACGAGCACGGCCTCCTGCGCCGCTGGTGCAGGAAGTGCGCCGCACCCAAACCTCCGCGCGCGCATCACTGCCGGCATTGCGCGCGCTGCATACCACGTAAGACCAATGCTTTCGAATACCCGGCCGTGACTGTTTTGCTGACGAACCGCTCCCAGGCATGGACCACCACTGCCCATGGACGGCAAACTGCGTATCCCTCACCACCTTCCCGCACTTCCTCCGCTTCCTCTTCTACACGAACGTATCCCTCTGGTACCTCGGCCGCCTTCTCTACCTGCGCTTCGCCGCCATCTGGGAGAACCGCATGCTCCCCTCCTACCTCGGCCCCTCCCTCCCCGTCCTCGTGCACTTGACGATCCTCTCCCTGGTCTGCTTCTTTACCTCTTTCGCCCTGGGGATTCTCTTCTTTTCCACCGTCCGCAGCTGGGTCCTGAACGAGACCATGATCGAGGGCTGGGAGCTCGACCGCCACGCCGCCGTGTGCGACCGTCGAGACCGCCTGGACGGGAGTGCGGGGGAGTTCTGGTCCATCACGGGCGCCGACGGGAAGAAGGTGCGGTTTGGCAAGGTGGAGTTTCCTTATGACATTGGGATCTATGCGAACCTGGCTCAGGCCATGGGCACCTCGAACCCACTGATGTGGGTGTTACCATTCGCGGGGAACCCAGATATAAGTAAAGATGGGAGGGGCGTGGGCTGGGAGTGGCCGGAGAACGGCCTGAACCATAAAGAAGGCATGTGGCCGCCGCCAGACCCGAATAAAGTGCGTCATTCTGCGCAGGGCGGCTGGCCTGCCGCGCGGGATGCGGAGAGTATACGGGTGCCGCGGTACGGAAGCAAAGAAGAGGAGCTAGAGGCGTTTAAGACGCGGCAGGAGGCGGATCTGCGGCGGTGGCAGGGTCAGCGGTCACAGTTGATGGCGGAGTTGGAGGAGGTGGATGACTACGACCTCATAGATGACGACTCTGAGGACGGGTATGAGCAGGGCGCGGATGGAGAACCCGGATGGACGAACGCTGATGGTGAGCGGTTGCAAGATTTCGGAGTCGATGAGGACGAGGACATGACTGACGAGGCCGACGACGATGTACCACTTGCTGAACTACTGCGCCGGAGAAAAGTCCTGCAAAAGGATGGGGAGGACTAAAATGGACGGACGATAGATGCATAAGAGAGCGTGTAACGGGGAAATCTCTTTTTTTTTGGGTCATCTCCCAGGTTTCTATACTAATCATCGCCTGAAACCAACAACAGGGGCATCCAAAGAGGGCTTTCCGCAGGCCATGAATCCCCTTGACTCCCGAATCTATCAAGCAAAAGGTGCACACAAGACAGGACGAAACCCTCCCTTCCATCCGAGGTTGCCCTGATCCTGTATGCAGAGAGAACTCAAAACAAGTTGTTGGTCGTGAAATGCTGGTCTCTCTAGACGCAATTCACAATCCACATTCCCGCCTCCACCATCGGTCCAAAGAGCAATCGTGTCGTGCAATCATGAAGCATCATTCCAGGTTCTAGATCTATCGACCCAACCTCATCCCTGACCTTCCACACGCGTCGCGATTACCAATCGTCATCGTCGTCCTTCTTCTGCATCGCGTTCTTACGAGCGAGAAGAGCGTCCGCCAAACTGTTGCCCAAGCTGGGAGTCGGGGTATTGCTGCGGCTGTTGTCGGATCCGCTAGCACCATTCAGGCTCAAGCCCGAATCGCGCGGCTGAGCGACAGCAGGCTTGCGGCCGGCAGCAGGTCGCTTCACCGGCGGCTGAGGGGGAGTAGGCTTGCCACGGGCAGCTGCTCCGTTCGCCGAAGGGGGAGGGGGAGGAGGGCGAGGAGCCACGACGGGAGCAGAAGCTTGTTCCTCGACGTAGGCAGCAGGAACCCAGGCTTGGCTGCCGCCGTTCTTCCCGAGCCACCAACCTATCACATACAAGATTAGCTTCCATCTGCGATCTGTAGGACAGACATAGAGTGCGCTTACCGTTGTTTTCCTTCTGGACGATCTCGATCATGTCGCCAGCTCTGACCGTCAACTCGTTCTCCTTCTGGCCTGCAAAATCGTACAGGACCTTTGCCATGATCTTATTTTTCGCCGGAGGCGCAGCGGGAGGCGGAGGGGGCGGCATCCTGGTAGCTGCCGAGGTTGCCGCTTGCGGTTTCGTGTGTGTAGGAATTGATGTTGCAACGGCGGCAGCTTGTTGTTGTTGACGCCCGAAAGGACCAGTCTTGGCCGAGCTGGCTGCAGCAGGAGGTTGAGGAGTAATAGAAGGTCCGGTCCTCGTAGTGGAGGCGGCAGGTCGAGGCTGAGGTGTCCGGTTGGTGTTTGTCATCCGAGATGGTCTACCGTTGGGACCACCGGGCTTGATCAGTTTGCCACGGGTGATAGGACGAGCAGCAACCGGCTTGCCCTTTGGTGTAGGCTTGGAAACAGATGAAGGGGGCTCGCCCGGCTGAGTGTGCACAGCTCCGCTCTTGTAGTAGTCGGCGGGCTGCTGGGAGTCTTTGAGGACCTTGACTGTCTGCATCTTGCCGGGCTTCTTTGCATACTCGATCACTTCAGCGATCTTAAGGGTAAAGCCACCGGGCATGACACGTTGCATCTGTGTGAACATCTCGGTCTTCAAAACACAGTTCAACAAAGGATCGGCCTCCTGGGGCGATCCCACACCGAGAGAAAACCAATCGTCGCGGGCCGTTGAAGCTCCAATGAACTTGATGGCGCCCAAAGGCATCGAGCGTTCGACCGAGATCTGAGGCTGGCCGTTGACCAGCATCTGGGCAACAATGTAGAATTTACTACTGGTAACAACGAGAATGCGGGGACTGGGCTTGCTGGACCTGCCAAACTTGGCTTCGAGGATCTCTCCACGGCAGGAGAAGACAACCTTCTCGTTGTTCGAGATGCCGATGGCGTTTCTAATCTGGGAACCGGGACCCATTGACGCGTTGATGCCGAGATAGTCGCCCAAGAATCTTCGAGAACCGAGCAAGCTGTATCTCCTTCTCTCCTTGCGGTTCTGAAGGACTCTGTGGCCTTGGTCGCGCAGCTGCAGGTACTCGGCACCAGTCCTCTTCTTACGCCAGAAACGCTGGATACGAGTAGCAGACTCAGCTCTGTAGGCCAGGTATGCTCGCCACATGCGCTGGATACGCGTGGCCATGTTATGCCAGTATCGATCTCTCATATGCTCAAGAGCAAAAAGGGTTTCGGGAGACTTGATAAAGGCCTTTGTCGTACCCATCTGCCATTCCTCCTTGGGGATGCTGGTGTCCTTGAGAATCTGCTTGACGGCATCCTGGAACGATCCCTGCCAAGTGTACTCACCAGCGTACGACGTCGCAGGCGATAGCAGGAAGAACCGATCCACAAACTTCTCGAATGTCTGACGGTAGGCAAACCCAGCACGACGAATACGGACGTTCTCCTGGAGACCGAGGTATTTGACCTGATGTAGTACATTGGGGACATTGTATTCAGAAGGCGACTTGTTCTCGTTGGGCTTGATAGTTCGGATGTAAGAAGGCTGGCACTTCATCAAAGTTTCTACCAGCGCATTCGCAGAAGCTCTGATACGATCACCGGCAGAAGGAGGCTGTTTGCGGTTGTCCTGGTCGACCTGGTTAGGGAACAATGTGTGGACAAAGCGGTTGTTGCTACCGGAGAACAGGTTTAGCAAGCCCTTCAGGAGCAAGTCCTTGTTCTTGTCCGTAATTCCGTCGACTGTGTAAGACACATCACCGGCATAGTGCTTGATGATGAAGCTGCCTTGACGGGGAGTCAGGTGGGGGTTGGACATGCCATTGATGCTCTGCATGAACGTTCGGTCAGAAGCGGCGGGGTCTGCGTGGGCCGTCTTGGTGGCATCCTTCATGGCAGAGAAAACACCTGGAGGTCGAACCGACTCGATGAGATCGCACACAATCTTGTTATCGAAGTACTTAATAGGTGTCCACTGAATCTGTTCACGCGCGTACTCGTCCTGCTCAGCCTTCAGCGTGAGCTGAATAAAGATTTGCTGCAGCTTCTCGTTGACGTAGTTGATGCAAAGCTGCTCGAAACTGTTCTTCTCGAAGATCTCAAATCCGTAGATGTCGAGAATACCAATGTTGGTGCTCGTCGCCTGCCTCGCCTTGAGAGACTTGTTGACACGCTCAACGATCCAGTCGAACAGGTTGCTGTAGATGGCTTTGGCCAGGGCGTCTCGTGTCGCAACAGCCTGAGCTGGGTTCGTGGGGGACTCGATGACCTCTCCATTCCGCGGGGTAAGGATACGGATGGTAATGGCCTTGATGAGCTGCTCGGGCGTCACCTCCAGGAGGTATGCCAAGAAGTCTACGACCGACTGGTCGCTGACAGCTGCGTAGCCATCGTCGCCTTCATGGAACTGAATGTTACCCGCCCACAGGATCGCAGACAGCATGCGGAATATCTCGTCTTGTTCTCCCTGGCTAAGGCCAATAATCTTCATAGCCTCGAGCGTATCGTTGAATTCCGCCAAATCGTCGATTCCGTCGACCTCGAGGCACTTAGACTTGCTAGTGTAGAGGTACGTCTCGGGTGTCTGGATTCCGAACTGCTGCCGGTAGGTCTGAGAGGCTCCCTTGGTGAATTGGTAAAAGATGTGGAAGTTTCGCTCGTTGGTGATCTGGCCGACGACGCGGGTCTTCTCGAGGAGGTAGTTGGTGATGTCGGCACCAACGGGTTCGCCCTGCGCATTGAAGTGAATCTGCAGATACTTGCCGAAACGAGACGAGTTGTTATTTCTCAAGGTCTTTGCGTTGCCGAAGGACTCCAGTAAAGGATTGGTAGCCAGCACCATGTCCTTGATCTGCTTGATGTCGCCCGTTTCTCCTCCTGAAACGTTGGCGATGTATTGCATGATCCGCTTGGCGGCCTCCGTCTTGCCAGCACCCGACTCTCCGGAAATGATGACACACTGGTTATCTTGATACGCCTTCATGTTGTAGTACGCAGATTCGGCAATAGCGAACACGTGCGGGGGCATTTCGAGGCGGTTTTTGCCCTTGTAGCTCTCGAGGACCTGGTCGGTGTAGATGCCCAGATCCCGAAAGGGGTTGACTGACACCAGCACATGGCCGATGTAGGTGTAGATCTCCTGGCCTTCGAATCGCTTCTTGAGGTTTTCGTTGATGGCTTCGTTGGACACCTTACTGAGCAACGTAAGATCCGAAACACCGATCTCCTTCTTCTTGGTAACCTCGTAGGTGGCCTTCTTGGGCTTGCCGCCGCCCGCTGCGCCGGACGGGCCGGCAGGACCCGTCTTCGCGGATTTGTCCTTGGGACGTCGTGAGATACCCTATTGAAAAGCATACGCGCATCGGTCAGTCCTGTGCTCTCGTGGTCGGTGGCCGGGGGATTTTGGAGTCGCTGCAGCCGGATTGGAGTGGTGCGCGCGCGCGGGGCATGAAGCGTCTCACCATGCTGGGCAGTTCTCAATGGAGGGAATGCCGGTATCTCTTGTTGGTTTGCGCAAGCAAGCTTGACAGGTTATTTGCCCGCTGGTGGTGAATGAGCAAAGATTGCGGGTTTTCTCCCCTCGGCTTGTTGCTGAGTGAGAGACTGGAAAGAGCGCGCACCGAAGGTGACGTTGCGGTGCGGACGGAGGGATTACGCAGGTGTAGTGTGGCTGGTTCTTGCCCGAGATCCAAATCCAAGCGTTGGCCGACTGTCCCTCCCGCCGGTGCCTGACGACAACTCCCAGTCTGTCCTCGAGGGGGGGCTTGAGGGGCTCAGTCGGCCAATCGCAAGCGTCTCAGTGGCCCAGCACAGCCTCAACCCGGAGAATCGGTGGCGCCAGATTCCGCGTAATGCTCAGTAGTGCTTTAGCGCCGTTTAAGCGAATCTCCACTCTTCACATCTTTCCCCTGTCCATCCCGCAGAAGAGCGGGAGACTTTCTTGGAACCTTCTGCCAAAAAAAGGATTCTCCGACCCTGTCGTCCCTGTTCTGAATAACGGCTCTGAGGTCATAGCTTTCCCTACCTCTAAGGCTATTGGTTGAGATGGGTTGTCGTGTGTGCATGCCATGCCAAAGACAAACCCCTCGTCTCTGCCCAACTTGCAGTCTCATGTGCGCATGAGCTCAATTTAAGGTCTGGACATGGTTCGTCCCAGACGGTGCTTATTGCGTGTTGTAATGTTTCACGCTGAGAGTTGCTTGCCGCCGTCACTTGGTCGACTACCTCCTTCTGGAACAGCTCTGCTGCCTGCGCCGATGTCGGCATATCTTGTTCAATATTGACCGACAATACAGAGTAGTTTTGCATAGTCAACCTATTGGCTGCTACCCAAGGTAGTACGCTCTTTATCCACTGTCACTCACGTGGCACCCTTAGTGCGGACCGTCCGGAAAACTTGGCTGGACGTGGTCTATTCTGCACTAGGTCATTCATCGTAGAGCCCCCTATGGCTCATTTGGCCTGTATTCCCGCTTACTCAATTTACCTGGCTGCGCTATGAGATGGATGTTCTTTGCTCTGGCCGCATCGTACAGTCCTCACATTATCCCATTAAACCCAAGCCCAGACCCCTCACGAAACGGACATCGTTCGCTTGTCGTTCAAGAGCAAGCCTCATTCTCTCGCCATACTCTTTCTCTGCCTCTTCTACCTTCGCATCTTCTTCCGACTTGGGTGCCGGCTCCTCAAAGTCATCTGCAGTGAACCCAGGCTTGCCAGAGAAACTGACTAGACCAAGCTTTTCACCCGTCCAGAACAGAATGTCGTCGTCGTTTACGTTGTCCAGTCCGTTCCGTGTTTGTGTTGACAATATTTTCCGTGCAAGATCGTCTGAACCAGGCATTGACGCAAAAAGAGAGGGACGTTCCGAAACCTCGCTGTGGCCAATCTTGTGCCGCCTCACTTCGGTGAAGCCGTCGCGCTCGAACCACTTTAAAAGCCCGGAGCCGTCCGAGAACACAATGCGAGTACCTTGGTTCGCGACCGAGAGGATTTTGGACTGCGAAGACGTCTGCCGATTCTTCATTGTGGAGTTCTGCATGAGATCCGCAGACGAGTCTCCCGGGCGCGGGCAAAGTCCGTACAACTCCAGTGAGCCCTTGGTGTTATATTCACCCCCAGCAATCAGAGTACGGCCGCCTTCTCTCATCTTGGACGCCATAACTTGCTCGGCGGACAGGTCACTCCTCCGACGCGTTTCGCTATCAAGCGTAGAGAAAGGATACGGAAGCGCCGCGAGGCTGGCCAGCCGAGCGCCCGAGTGGATGGAGCCTATGATGGAGGGGAACGTGCGTCTGTCATAGTGGAGGATATTGGAAAAGCGCCCTGCCACGTAGATGTCGTCCGAGAAAGAGTACTCGTCGCATGGTTTGGGCAGGTGTAAGATGCTTAATGGCGTTGGTTGTGACAAAGGTGCGTATGGCGGCAGCGGATCGTCGAAGATGTTCCTTGACCTCAGTGCGGAAAGCCCACTTCCCGTATCCATTGCCAACACATCGATCCGATCGACTATCTCACTCGGCGACCTTACCCGCGCTCTATAGTCGTATAAATGAATTCCCAATGAAGTTCCCACGGTTAGCGGTAGACCTGGGGCGGCCGAAGACAACGCCGTAATGGACCATTCGAATGATTGCTCGCTGACGACCTGCAGATGGTTCAGATCCACTTCTAAAAGATGGCCCTGGACTGCAACAAAGGCCTTGTCAGCGAAGCTGTCGACGCTGATGCACTCTGATACACCGGAGTCGATCTTGCGTGACCTCCCCATGGTTTGGGGTCCGTCAAGGTAGAGAATCCCTGCCGGACTCGTCGCAACCATCGCGCCTTTCCGACCTCTAGTACCCTTCACGTCCCACAAGCACACGGACCCGTCGTCTAACGGTGATACAGCCAGCAACTCGTTGCTTTCTCGATTCGGGCTGTAGAGGGCCATTCCCCGGACATCCAGCGTATCTTCCTCGTTCCCGTCTCGGATCTTGGGCTGCTGCAGCCAGCTCGTTGTGACAGGCGCATAGCGCTGTATGTACTCGTTGTACCAAAAGACTGGCTCTGTCGGAAACGAGGGATCCCAATTCGCCATGTCCTTGTATCGCTGCAACTCACTCTGCTCTCTCGTTTCGTCCTCATCGTAGAAGTGCGGGGACGGTTCTGCATCACCATGCTCCTGGCTTAACTGCACGGCAGCGCTAAGGAGAGGCTCGTCAATAACGTCTTCGTCGATGATACGGGTCAGGCGCCGGCGCCGTTGGATCGACTCTAAGAAAGGTGACTCGTCGAATGTTCTTGACCGCCAGTGGTTGTTGTCGAGAGAAATCTTTTGGAGTTTTCGGCATACGAGTTGTAGGCCGGGGAAGTCGTAAGGCTCTAAAACTGAGGGGCACCAGGCTGTCAGCTGGAAATCTGGGGCGCGCTGTCTGCTAAAGGAACCTACTCACAGGAAAGAATGCGAAGAAGAATCTCGTCCGGCAGATCGTCCAGCTTCTTCGTAGGGGCCGGTGACACCATTGTGGGAGAGTTTTGGAGAGTGCTCTCGCGGACGCTCACTCGGTGATTTTGCTTCTGGCCGGGCTTCCGGGGGAGGTAAAGTAGAGGGGAGTCGCGGACGATATCCATGGAGAAGAGGGTCAAAGGGTGATCCTATCGTTATCGTTATCGGGCATTGCCAGTGCCCTAGCCTATCCAGGATTAGTGCAGATCCGGGGGTGGACCAGACAGAAACGCCTGGACTCAGGTAGGTGGGCTGCTGGCCTGTCAAAGCTCCAGTTGTTTGAGCTTTTCCCGGTCCTCGCCTTAATTGCATGCTGCAATTGCAAGCTTGTGTTGACTCCTGAATACCCACAGTCGGTCCTTGTCAACTCCTGATATGTTGCTAAAAGCTGCGGCGAACTCAGCACATGCCAGTCGTTGGATTGCAGCAGTGAGCAGTTGACTTCTGAAACGCAGTACAGCCACGTCCCCCGTATTACAGTTGTCGGACAGGACCAAACGCGCGCGCACCAACACCGCTTGACACTCAAAGCCGGTGTAACGGGGTTGGGCAGCTGCCGATGCCGCAGTCGCGGTCGATCTCTAGGTCTGGAAAACACCGTACCAGCGTTGGGTTGCCCCTCATTATCATGGCTTTGCTGGTATACTGAGCATTGTGAGTGTGCGCATCCAACAGACATTCTGTTGACAGGTTATCATTGCAAGAACTGTAGCCAAGCCTCCACAAACCAACTACCGTCTCTTATGTGTCATGAATCATTGCGTAAACTAGTATCGGAAACCCAACATCTGGTGAGGCAATACAAGAGTCGCGATTGCTTCAGAATTACACTCCCCTATTGCGCCTTTTCCATTCGTATCACCCTTGCGTTCACAGTCTTCGCTCTTGCTAAGTACCGACCAGCCGATTCCCTTGTCATCTCTCTTGGTGCTTCGGAAGGCCACGATGATGAAGAGCAAAAATAACCAGAGAGAGGAAGCAAAGGGAACGTGCAAAATTATGTATCATGTCTAGCTCACCTTGCTCACATTATTCATCAAGACCCGGTGAGCTCGCGTGGCTTAACGGTCAAGTAGTTGGTTCGGTCTATCGGAATGGCATGATGGTCCAGCTCCGTATGCAGTGGTACGGGACGTGATACGGTTGTCATCGTATCAAATGTAATTGGTTTCTTGCAATTCGAATCAACGGCGGTCATGTGATGGGGAAAGGAAGCTATTTAAGGCGATTATTGTCACAATAGGTAACACAATTGTTTGATTAACTATATAAAACGGATATTGAGATATGTTGAATATCATAGCAAACACCTACATTCGTTACAACTCACATCAAGCATTCTCCTATTATATGTAAAGCGCCGCCAGCAAAAAATGATCACGGTCAATCCTATCACAAACGATGAAGGTAGGCGAATGATACGACTTGCCGCCTGGGCTGCACAAAGGCTCTATTAAATTCAAACTCTACTGCGTTCCAATCGACGTCTTCGTTCATCATTCGCCTAGTCCCCTCCTCCCATGTGCTCCAAGTACAAAGTCCAACTCGCATGCAAGGGCCATCGAGCCATTCTCTACTGTCTCCAGCTTGCTCTGTTGAGACTGCTGCGGGACACAGTAGTATACCAACGCTCCTTGGAACGTGTCCCAGCGTAGGATGAATAGATCCATCCACATCTCCCAGATGGAAGATCCACAAGCCGCATAGATTCAAAGGCAAGTTGGCACTTTGAAGGAACAGCCAACGAAACCCAGGTATATCGAGCTGATATGAGTAGCTGCCCAGCTTCAATTGCTTCTTCGCGAAGCCCGTATCTGTAATGATTTGTATACAACTGACACAATGTTCCACAGTCTTTGATGCAAGAGTTCCTTTCTCGGAGAAGTGCCTGTTTAATCTCATCTTGCACAGCCAATGCGTTAGCCAGACGGCAGACTCAACCGGATGCTTTCATGACCCCAGGGTCCTGAGAATTGAATTTGTATCGAAAAGAGTAGTTCGAGGTGGTTCTCAGGTGGGTCGGTACGAAAGAGTTCTCTGTGATGCGCCAGCTCGTGAACTTTTCGCGCTTTTGCGTGTGAACAAAAAGCTGTTATAGACTTATAGTATAGGGTTCTTGGATACAATTGCGAGAGCAAATTATTGAACAAGTTCCGCTAGTGATGGGTTATCCTGGGGGCGAATGGCTTTGCCCACGCGTAAATCGTACGTCTGCATAATGCCATAGATGCGATCCACTGTCTTGAGGTTTTTCTCGACCGCGCTATGCTGCAGGGTATGTTCGGATTTGACGCTGGCAAATTGTACATGCCTGAGCGGATGAGTAGTGACAGCATGTGATTGATCTTGATTTTCATATCCACTTCCCAGTCTTTGAGAGTGTTGCCGGTTACTTCATGGTACTCAATGCCTCGTTGCATGTTGGAGAGGTCCAAGTAAATATTATTGCAGACATTGACAAACATGGACAAATGAGCCCGATACTCTGTGCTGTCATCTGCTGTGGTCCATGTACAAGGCCAGCCCTCCGAACTCAGAAGCAGAGCGTCGTTGCGTAACACGGCCTCCTGTAGAGTCCAGAGGGATAAAAACCAGGGATCCTGTAGTACTGCATGGAGCCCAGCGTCGACTCTCGGGTTGTATTAGCTGGAAATATGGCTTGTGCTAAAGCAACATTGCTCATGGAGGAGGTAACATCAGTCAAAGATGGAAGAAAGAGGGTAACCGAGATATTGGGAGGGTTTTAGAGAACGCTCATGTCAGTGAATGTCTCCAAAGCACTCATGCAACATGAAATACTGGCAATTGATCTTTGACGGAGGTGTTGGTTCCGCCGACAATGGATATTGTTTTCAAAAATAACGAAGTTTATATGTAGATCCGGTATTCTTTAGTTTAGTTGTCGTATCAGACATGATATGGAAACTCAGATAACGTTTACAATACTTTCCCATCGACCTTGGTAGGTGGAGGCAGAGGAGTTCCCTCAACATGAAACTCCCGATGTTGTTCAAATAGTGTTTTCCAAAAACAGACAGAGTCAGATCCTCCAGCAATACACCATGTAGCAAGACCAGATCTTGATAGAGAGCTATCGCATAAATGCGTCACCGCCCATAGCTCAATTCCTTCATTATTTCCAGCACGTTTTTGACGTTTTTCGTGAGCAAATCTGACTTTCCATTTTCGTCTTCCTGCGCAAGAGCGCAGTTGATACTGCCTGAGATGATACGTGTCCCTGGCTTGTCGTCGGATGTCACGGCTATGCCAACCAAGAACATCGTTACACTGCCGTCTTCATTGACTGTCCACGTGGCCACAGCTTCGTGGTCGTGTCTATCGATGTAGGTATGCTTATACGAGCCCGAAACGTTGTAGAACCAACCCTTCGATCTCGAAACCGGAAGCATGTACACAGGTAGTAGAGATCCCTGACTGCCCTTGGGAACTTCCAGTTGTTGACACCGTTGTGACGGTTCCTGCGCTGGGCATTCATAGCATCCGTGTCATATGCATTCGGATTTTTGAAGGGTGCTTCGATGGGTTCTTCCAGCCAGTTGTGCTTTTGGGTGTCCCTAGACTAAGTGCGCGAGTATAATTCAATCTCGGGACAGAGAACACACTCTTGCAGGGTCCACAATGAGGAAAACCAGATGCCCGGCTCGCTTGATGTCGCGTCATCAAAGTCAGCTTGGTCGTCCGCCCCCGTGAGGGCCTTTCTCGTTAATACTTCCATAGGGACCTCGGCCGCCTTGGTCACTTCGAAAGTTCTTTCTCTGATTGCATTCGTGCTGCGGGTTAACGTGAGTAATTGGGACCAAATGCTCATCCAATCCAAGGCTGCCAACACACCATCCCTTGAATCGACATCATTGATCCAAGCGATGCAATGGCTTGAGCCTCTGAATATGGACGCCTGGTTTGCAATCTCCAATTGGGCTCTCTTGCTTTTGTCCTGCGGTATGCAAAAGAGATCAAACCATATGTAACGGTAACCTAGTCGCCAAAGCTGCTCCGGAAGATCTCTTAATTACATTGTATCGCGTGTTTTCAGGGACGAGCCATGGCACTCCAGAAACGCTCGTATCGGTTCTTGCTCGCCAACGTTCCCAAGTATGACTGATGCATACATATTCGGGGCACTCTGGGAGGTCTTCCACGGTCACTGTTCGCTGGTTTTTATTGTCTCAAAGATGGTATGGCCTGATGCGAGCCTGGGCTGATGTTGTGTCCTGGTGGTCCGCGTCGTTTTGCACTACTCTAGGATATGGCCTTTGGCCATCAGCCGGAGAGGGTTTTGGATGAAGTACTGCGTACGAGAGCTTCTGGACTGTGACAAGACAAGATGATCAATATCTCGAAGACTGGAGTGTGAAGAGTTTGAGTTGGCAGAGGAAGGGTTCCCATAATTGCGGATGGAATTCCAAGAGGACCAGTCTGAATAGGTGCGAATGGTAGAGACATGTGTCGGTTTTTACCATGTTAGCGACGCGATGAATATTGTCGCTTGCGGCAGGGTCCGATATTGTCTTGACGGGCCTTCGACCTTCCAAGTATGTAATGGTAGCGCTCAAGAGGTCTTTATCGCACCAATCCGCTCTCCGCCAGGATTCAAGTAGATGTAACGACCGCCTTTGAACGCGCAACAAGGTATTGCGAAACTCGGGATCATCTCGAACCATTCGCTGCATTTCCTCCGCAGTCGTCGAGCAAAGCCCACTGGATCTCCGGTGAGCGTCGTAATCTGGCCCGCCATTATACCTCGCTAGTTGAACCCAAAGTGGTCATATTGGCCTTAAACGCCTGTCGACAGGCTTGAAGTAAAACTCTATCGTATCCAAATATGATTGTCGCTCTTTCTCGAGGGTATCCTGCCATCCCGAACGTGGTGCATTTTCAGTCTGACGCCTCTTTTCCACTTCATCATAGACAGCCCAGCAAGGGTTCATTAAGTATTCTCACTTGGGTGAAAAGATATAAGCTACGCGAAAATTATTGTCGGTCTTTTCGCTAAACCTCTCTTTGTGCCACTCTGTGAGTTCTACAGTGACCCTCGCATCCACCGACTTCATTCTTGTTGCCTAGGCATGGTCAGCAGCTTTCTTTACGAAGCCTTTTCTGCGCCGTAGAATATTGTATGCGTGTTCGCAACTCAAACGCATACCCACTTTTGTTGTTGTCGGCAGGGGACTTCCGAAGTTATCAGGGCCGACCATGTTAAACTTTTGCCCACAAGAGAAATTGGACCTGCACTATAATCCGACAAAGCCGCACCCGTTGTTGTCGTAATGCTTGAAGCAAGAGAGTTGGAAATCGGTATTCTCGGGCTTCAGCGCGCCCCGAAGTCCCATTCGACATAATTGTGGGTGAACACATGCACGTGAGATCAGCTTCGCGAATCATCTTTCGACAACATATTGCTTCCTGGGGATGAAGAGAGCGAGTGCCTGTGCCTCCACAAAAAGGGCCACATATGGTTTACAACATTTTCCAATATCAAACTGAGATGGCCTGCTTTCCTTCAGGTACAGTGCAGCGTCATTCCTTCTACCCTCTCTGGCAAACATTCGATTTAACGTGCTCTTGTCGCCTTTGGCAACATACCACCTATTTATTTGTAGCACTGTGAAACACAAGAGACCACGCGTTTCTGCTCCAGAAATGAACATGATTCCGGCTTGTTCTCGTACTTCAGACTTGATCCCTTCAAATCCCTTTCACACCCGCCCTTTTGCCTTGCGCCGTATGTGTGTCTTCGACCGCGACTGCCACTGTCACCCTAAGGGCCTCCGGAGTCTTCTCTGCAATCATCGAGCTGCTCAACCTCGGCGGCACCGGATTCGAGTTTTACATCGACAGAGGTATGAATGATGTGAACGTCCTTTTCTTTCGATGTCTATGCGCGGATGTCAAGCCTTATCCCAGAAAGGGCTTGTTGAAAGAACCTTGAGTCGCAATCACGGGCGTATCCGGAAAATCCAATATCATGATCAGCTTCCTGAAAGTGGATGTTCAGTTATTCCCGAGACGTTACTTTTTCGCAGGGCCAGCCTTAGAGTCCAAGTGACGCATACGTCAATTGACAAGTGACTTGGATGATAACCAACTAATATCGAACGGGAACGGCAGCAATATTATTTGCATGGAAGGACCGCCATACCGGTTGAGAAGGGTTGAACCGGTAATTGAAAATTGTATATTTGAGTTTGTTGAGTCGTGCTACACGAGTTGCGAAGGGCATGTGTTCAATAAGTGTTGACAGGGGTAAGGCCTGAATACTGGAATATGGATCAACTCTCAAGTCAAATCTCCACACTAGGCTTCACGATGATTAGCTACTCGAGAACAAACCCCACATGAAGCAACAACGTTCATTTCCAACATGTTGTGACTGCGGGTATCGGCGTCCGTAGACAAACCCAAAGTAAATGAAGACATTTCCAGAATTGCAGCCTCACGTTAGAACATGACGACGGTGGACCTTCCGCATGTACCGCTTTCGGCCGGTATGACTAGGTGACTTTTATTTAATCACGGTCACCTCTTCCTGGTGTTGATTCAAGCTCTCTTTTCTAACCAACCAACCAACCAACCAACTTTGTCACTCTTTTCCAACATTGGTCCATCACTCTTTCAACTTCAGTTTTCAAATCTATACTCTTTCTACAAGTTAGCAGTTATAATTACATACACAAACGCCAAAATGCAGATTTCTATCTTCACCGTCCTTGCTGCCGCGGCCAGCTTCGCTGCTGCTCTTCCTGTATGTCAACAGCAGTCCTCTTGCATGTTCCAGACACAACTAACAACCGCCTGCAGACTGGTACTACTGCTGCTAATGCTACTACCACCACTGCCGCATCTCCCTCCGCCACTTGCGGCAAGCTTGGTGACTTCCACAAGACCACCGTCAAGGCTGGCCAGACTCTGACCACCATCGCCGAGCGCTACCACTCCGGCATCTGCGACATCGTTTCGCTGAACAAGCTCGCGAACCCTAACGTCATCTACCCGGGCCAGTTGCTCTTGGTCCCGGTCAACGTTTGCAAGCCCGACAACACCTCTTGCATCACCCCCACGGGCTCCGCTACTTGTGTCACCGGTGGCCCGGCCACCTACACCATCAAGTCCGGCGATACCTTCTATGTTGTTGCTCAGAGCCTCGGCATCACCACCGACGCTCTCACCGGTGCCAACCCTGGCGTCGTCCCCGAGAGCCTTCAGGTCGGCCAGGTTATCAACGTTCCTGTCTGCAAATAAGCTACGAGCTCTCGCGAAATTTACGGACTACATTTTCGATCCCGTGTAGTTCTGAGCAGTGGCATCCGATCAAGTTACACCACCAGAAGGCAGGCAACCATAGAGCATTAGTTTAAAAATAATACAGACATCTGCATCGCTCGCTGGTACCTTTGTCGTCCCCCCGCTTGAACCTACGAGCAGTAGATCACGGTCTAAAACCTCTTGGGTCTCTGACATGCTCATGCGACGACCCCTAAAGGCATTCGGCGGAAACTGTAACAATAGGTGAAGACCAAAGATGCAGACAAAACGGCGCTGGATCGGAAGAATGAGGGAAGGCCAACCGATTTCCCCTAGTCACTTCTCAAATATCCCAGGTGGCCATCTTTAGGGCACAAGCCTTGACAAATGTCCTTCAATCAACAAACTCTTGAAAACCAAGGGGTTCAACAAATTCCTAGATCGATCGTCTACATGTACCCTCAAGCCAGATCCGTTGTATCACGGGTGAAACATGACACCCATTTACTACTTGACAGCCGTAATTAGGTCATGAGCAATACACATCGTGTTGTTATGTGCATCAAAGATCGTAGGAAACAGTCCGAGTCAAGCCCTTGAAGCCTCTGGAACTTTTTCGGTTAAAGTTTTTCTCTTCCAGGATTCTCGGCAATCGGCTGCTTTGTAAGTGTATCTAATGATACAGACCTGTGGGCAAAAAAACAGTCGGCTGATGTATGACGAGTCATGAGGTTTATAGGTCTCCGAGTGAAATAGGGTTCTTACAGAGTTTCTCTGCAGACCTTTTTAGATTCTGCCATATGCGTGCTAATTGAACGGTTAGGGGGTTGTTTAACATTCACGGGGTATACACATAATCTGGACCTAAGCAGCGGCTCAGTTTATCTAGATATTTCGTAGCGGTCTGAATAGTAGCGCAAAGTATACGCGTTGAGAATCTGCATGTTGTAGAACGGTCACATCTCAGAAGCATGGCCGTCAAGACGCCCTCAAGAGATCTGAAGGGGAGAGGAGCGAAGACATGTCGAAAGGCGGAATTATACGTCTGGTTGTCCAAGGCCGGGAAGCAACAAACATCGGGTTGAGGCCTGCGCAGAACTTACCATTTCATGCTCGTGCAATGCACAACAATACTGAGACTGAGGATTCTCGGTTTCATCCCTCCTCCTCCGTACATCACGCCTCTGACGCACCAGCTTGTCGCCGGGAGGGGTACAGCTTCAGAAGTTCAGATGCGGAGAAATCGGAATGCATGAATAGGGACCGAGCCGACATCTGTAAGAGAGAGACTTGAGGCCCCAAGACAACTGTTCATGTCAGAGCGCAACGTTGTACGGCGCTCTCTGCGACCCGTGCTGCATGCAGATATAGCCTCTGAAAGACGAGGAAAATCTTGCATGGTTTTGGACCAGGCTTTCAAAACCATCACACAGCTCCAGTTCCTCGTGACGGAGAACCGTACAAGGGCCCGTTTCCAGGATAATGTCTGATACTCTCGATTCGTGACAGTAAGCTTCTTCTGCAAGAGCCCAGGCGGCCGGCTCAGTGGTGCGACGTGATTAAGACAGGAGTGCTAAAGGATCAGCGTGGACAGAGACGTCTAGAGCCTTGTAACCCTTTCAGAAGCCCCCTTTGTCGATCCGAGAAGGCGTGGAGGCCAGATGTTCGGATCGTAAACTCGATTTGAAGCAGTGCAGTTCGAGAAAGAGGCCATGGACTGGTTCCGCCGGGTAACATAGCGAGGTTCGAACTCCATGCCGGCAACTTCCACTGTCGGTAAAATGCCCCTTGCTAGGTTACGAGTAGTAAACTAGCGTGGCGCTTGGCGTGAAATGTGGAGACAAGTTGGGGATCCTTGAAGAGGCTTACTGACTTGAGTCTGTGTCAGCGACGATCATGCAGGTGGGTAGGGTTGGTGCTTCATGCGGGCATGAAAGCCGTTTTGAGTGCGGAGACCCGTGCTAATGTTTAGCGGTGCCCGTTTCACCAGGATTCGGCATTGCGGTGTCAGACTCGGAGCGATGGCGCCGCAGCAATACAGAGGAGCCGACGGTTGCAGTGTGTGTGCGCCCTAGGCGAAGCTGTCGCAGGTTCCAATCCAAGCTGGGGGTTGTGTTCGGGCGAGGCTGGCTGATAGCGTGCGTCACTATTGGGTCGCAGAGGGTCTCGTAGACACAAGACAGCGCTGACGGGCCTGGGGGTTCGGAGTGCCGATGATACTGGAGGCGGAACAAGTCGAACTGGGGCGAGTCAACCCGAGTATGAAGGATAGGTGTCGGGGTCCGTCTGCATTGGGTGTGTGGAAGAGTCGAGCTGGACAAGGCGCCAAGCTCCGAAACGAAGTAGGGCGGTTGCCAATGCAGAGAGTGTCCTGGCAGTCGTGTGGGTGGCCAGAAGGGAGCGAGAACGAGGCAAGACTTCAGCCTCGCTGGGAAGAAGACGTCGAGCCAAGAGAAAGATGGGCTGATGGATGGGAAGAAGAGGGTGAGATGCTTGATCTCTTTAAGCTTGAACTGGGGAGCGAAAATACGGTTGATTTGGTAGAGTGAATAAGATGAATCAAAGACAGGTGATCTGTAAACAATATCGTACGAGTCTGACGTGGAAGCACGCATGGATGGTCTGATGGAAGGCTTCTTTGCTGGGTGGTGTGGACGACTGACACGTCGAGCAAAGGGGGCAGACATGGAGAGAGAGCGCGCCTCAAGGTGGAGGACGTTGTGCCATTGGACCAGAGCGATCCAATGGCTTAGAGTTTCCGTGCGTGCCATCGGAGCAGCCAGCCATCTGACAGAAGAGGCCAGGTGGGAACAGGGGAAGAGGGACGAGGGACGAGGGAGAACGCCTGTCATGCGAACCTTGCTCGGGCGACAGGTGGGTTGATGGATCGAGTTGGCTGACAGGCGTCGAGTTTGAACTGGGTTGCGCGTGTTAGGCTAGCGTGGGATGCTCTCCAGCTACGTAGTGAGGTAGAGTCGATGGCACGGCGACATGACAAGGGATGTGGACGTGCGCAAGGGCTGGAGCCAGAGTCTCAAGGTTTGATGGACGGGTTGACAAAGCCGCGAAGGGTGTCGAAGGTTTCATGACGGAGGATAAGGTGTGGATGAAGGAAGGGGTTCAAGACCGAAGTGCTGGGATGACAAAGTTGATGCTTGACGGATGGCGCACGGACCAAAGCATGCAAAATGTGATAACGAGGGACGGCTGTGGAGAGGGGGCCCCCAAGCATCAGAGTGGAGGAATGCAGCACCCTCAACGCATGTGTAACTCGAGGCCCCTGCCGTCAATCCTAAAAGGGACTAGCGCGTCTACGGGGCTACCCCCGTGGCCCTTGCCGGATTCCCGCCAGTCCCTCATTCTTAATTTTTTCTCTCCGTGGCTTTCCCGACGATATCTTCCTTGGTAGGGGGGATGATTGACCGGCACGCACGATAACGGGGAAGACGCGTGACGCGTTTTGAACGGAGAGAGGGAAGGGTTCCCCCAGATGATGGAGGAGAAAAGGTCAGATTTCCGAACAACAGACGGTCGAAGACGGTCGAGAATGTCGATGGGCACAAACCTTAGTCTGTACAGGGCCGTGAATCACTGGGGACGCCCCCATGGACGATGCTTTCTCGTGAGCGACTGACGGACCATGTCCGTGTGGCCAAGAGCCTCCCGTCGTTGTGTAGCCGAGTCGCAGTCTGCAGAACAACACATATCTCGACCTTTTTCTTCTTCTTCTCGTCTTGCTTGGCCCCCCCCGTCGTCACCGGACCTTGTAATCGATAGCACATTGTTCTTCTCCTTCCTGCCCCGCTGCTAGGCACTTGCCGGGCATCTGGGCACCCGGAAGAGCTCGTCATCAGGGGTCGCGCAGGTCGTAGAATTACACCGATAGCGCATCACCGTGCAGCAGCGCATCTCGGTAGCAGAGTCCCATGGCCATGGCCAGAATAGAATAAACCACAGGTGGCTATTGCTGCTGGGGCTACCACCAGCGAATGGCGCGTCACCAGCTTGCAGCCACAGCGTCTTCCCGTGCTGCATGCCTCACCTTCTGGGCCATTTCTCTCACCCCCATCGACCGTTAAGCGCCCAGCACCATGGGCCCGGCCGAAACGGGTCTAGCGACCGTGATCCAAAATTAATTCCAGCCAGTCAGCGGCCGCCATTCCTTCCTTTCCACGACTCCCGTCACCTCCTCACCCGTCCACTTTGAGATCCGTTCGTCTAGGCGGGCGGCAAGAGAGCAAAAATACATGGGCGAATCTGACCGACTGACCATTGACCGTCGTCGCCCGACACGACGCTGCTGGGAAGAATTGGACAACAACCTGCCCACCGCAACCTCACACCTGCAGGCCATGCAATACTCACGGCCATGGCGGAGACCAAGCGGATGCGGATGCGCGGATATGAGAACCTCGACTCGTCGTCCCGATTGATCGTTTCCCTTTCTTTCCCTTTGTTTTCCCAATTCCTGCTTTTCCCCCTCCTCTCCCTCTTCCCAACAGCGTGGTACCCTATCCATATCCGGTCTTACACTTTTGTGTTGGTTCCAACACGCAGCGACTGAACACCATCCATCCCAATTAATTACGCTTTTACAAGAGGAAAGGGAAAAAGTAAAATAAGACCCTTGTTCATCGCATCGCATCCACCGCATAGCGCATCGAGCCGCATTTTCAAAAGCGGCATAGCAGCAGAAGCACAGATAGGAGAGAGAGAGAGAGCGAGAGAGGGAAAAAAGCGGACACAACAGCCACTCCCCTGTTGCAACCGAAACGTCAGAATAGCCTCGGAGCCCCCTCGTCAAAGCGCCTCTAACAGAAGTCGTCTCAACTCTGCCCACCACCTGTCGCACCTGGCCCTGCCGTCCGATCTGTATCGCCTCTCGGATCGGACTGATACAGCTCCTTCCAACTGCGAAACCCCTCCAGCGTCTGATCTACCAATTCGTCCAGTACATCACCAAGAAACCCACCCCCCTGCACTGGCCCGTCCGCCGTCCAGTTCGCCCCCGCCAGTAACTCTGTTGTTTTTCCCGCCTTGCTCTCTTTCCCATCCACCCATCCAGCAGGCCGACGAACAGCACCCTGCTCAATAGCCGTTTACGAGGTTTCATGGGACACCTGACATCCGAAAAGTTGGCTCCGACATCATCATTCACCCCTCCATTCCGCATCGCACGGCACCACCAGCAAGCCTCCTCCACCACCACTCTTCATCGCCGGATTCAAGTCTATCCAGCCCTCAGCGACAGGCCTCCCCCTTCATCCTGGTCCCCCTTCAAGAACCGATTCTCGTCCTGTACCATCCTTGTCTAGCGAGCCTCAGGCCCGACAAGTCGAAGAAGCCCACCGCCGTCAGTGCCGCTCGGCCTTGACCTCAGCCGTCATCCGGATCGTCTCTTTATGACTTTCCCCCCACCCGCTTCAAGATTCATCTCGTCTTCCTACACCTCTTCTCCTTCACCCTCATTTTTCTCTTCTTCTTCTTCGTTGTTTCTCGGCTAGGTCGAAGAGTCAAAAGTCAATCCTCGAGCCCTCGCGACCAACGAGATTCCTTTCTTTCCTTCGCTGCTGGCTCAGATCATTCTTTATTTAAGCTATCCAAATCCGTTTGGTTGGTATCTTTTTCCTCCGTGTTCACTTGCTATTCTTCATCGAGTGCGCCACTTCGGGTATTTTAAGAGACGTTTTTAATACGGGGATCGAGAAGGAAAGAGACTGGGGAAAAGAAAGACATTGGCACCGCGACATTGTGGTAGACTGGGTTTGCTGGAATTCATCGTATCGCTCTCGCCCGACGCCCCTCCCGAGCCGCGACCCTATTCGCCAACTCGTCAATACTGTCGCAGGTCGACACCCTAATACGCCAACACAAAGGAGGAGCATCCAACCCAAATCAAGATGTCGGGTGATCTCAGCTTTGGGGTCTTGGTACGGAAGCAGTTTACTCCTTCCAAGCTGCTCTTCCACTTCCTCTTCTGGACCTTCCACTGGGGCATTTTCGCCTATGGATGGTAAGCTTTCCTGCCTGGTCTGAACTATCACCTTAGCTGCATACTGACTCCCTTTCAAGGTGGAAGCAAGCCGCGGACGCGAGATTGGCGGGCCTGAACACCCTACAGTACTCCGTCTGGATTTCAAGAGGTGCCGGTTTGGTTCTCAGCGTCGACGGAATGCTCATTCTGCTTCCGGTCTGCCGAACGGTCATGCGATGGATCCGACCCAAGCTCCGCTTCCTACCCCTCGACGAGAACCTTTGGCTTCACAGGCAGCTTGCGTACTCGCTGCTCATGTTCACCATTCTGCACACCTCTGCTCATTACATCAAGTAAACCCCCCGACCCGCCACAAGCTCGCAGATGCTAACACGCACAGCTTCTTCAACGTCGAGGCAACGCAGATTCGCCCGGTAACGGCCATCCAGATTCACTACGCCCAGGCTGGTGGTATCACCGGCCACACGATGTTGCTGTGCATGCTTCTGATGTACACGACCGCACATGCCCGCATTCGCCAGCAATCCTTTGAGACTTTCTGGTACACTCACCACCTTTTCATCCCCTTCTTCTTGGGACTGTACACCCACACCACCGGCTGCTTCGTGCGTGACACTGCTCTGCCGTTCTCCCCGTTCGCCGGAAAGGACTACTGGGACCACTGCATCGGTTACCTTGGTTGGAGGTGGGAGCTCTGGACCGGTGCTTTCTACCTCATGGAGCGTACCTACCGTGAGGTTCGCGCCCGTCGCCGTACCAAGATTACCCGTGTCGTTCGCCACCCCTATGGTCAGTTTGCCATCTCGCAGTTCGTTCTTGCTGTGATACTAACTCATTTTCAGACGTCGTCGAGCTTCAGTTCAACAAGCCGTCGTTCAAGTACAAGGCCGGCCAGTGGCTCTTCCTTCAGGTTCCTTCGATCTCCAACTACCAATGGCACCCGTTCACCATCACCTCTTGCCCATTCGATCCCTACGTCTCCGTTCACGTCCGCCAGGTCGGTGACTTTACTCGGGCTCTCGGTGACGCTGTTGGTGCCGGATCTGCCCAGGCCAAGCTCTACGATGGCGTCGACCCCATGGGAATGTACGAGGTCGCTCTCCAGAACGGCCAGCAAATGCCCGATCTCCGCATCGACGGACCGTACGGAGCCCCCGCCGAAGACGTCTTCGAGAACGAAATTGCCGTGCTGATCGGTACCGGTATCGGTGTCACCCCTTGGGCCTCGATTCTCAAGAACATCTGGCACTTGCGCAACAGCCCGAACCCGCCTAGCCGTCTTCGTCGTGTCGAGTTCATCTGGGTTTGCAAGGACACCGGCTCGTTTGAATGGTTCCAAACCCTGCTCTCCTCTCTAGAGGAGCAGTCTAACGAGGCCGCCCGTGTTCCTGGCGGCTCGGGTGTTGAGTTCTTGAAGATCCACACTTACCTCACCCAGAAGCTGGACATGGACACGACACAGAACATTGTGCTCAACTCGGTTGGTTCCGACCACGACCCCCTCACCGAGCTCAAGTCCCGTACAAACTTCGGCCGACCCAACTTCTCCAAGCTCTTCAGCACTATGCGCGACGGCATTCTGGACAGAACATACCTCAACGGCTTGGAAGGCAGCATGCGCACAACTGTCGGTGTCTACTTCTGCGGTCCTTCTGCTGCTGGTAAGTCCCAAACCCCCCAAGATGCACGAACATTTGCTAACAGGCCTCTCAGCTCGCGATATCAAGACGGCTTGCAAGGATGCAACCATCCGCGAAGTAAACTTCCGATTCTGGAAGGAGCACTTCTAAACGGGAATATGCCCATTTTCACACAAACCAAAAGCACAAAAAACAAGCAACTTCAGCGACATTGTTGGGCTCTGTACATGTAGGAGGAAATTATGCCGGGAAACGATACCTACAGATGTCGGAAGCTTCCCAGCAACGAGAAATTGGGGAAGACGCCCCGAGGGACGCCGGCTGCATGGCGGCAAGCGGAACGGCGTTGGCTGGAATGCATTAAGACACCCCTTCTCAGCGATGTTCATCATCTTACATCTTTTGCCGCCACCCACGCCTACATTCTATTGTTTGTTACCCGTCATGGGGCGTGGATGGTTGGCGGTCAGTGTTCTCTCACATATATAAGGCCCATTATATAACATTTTTCAAGTACAGCAAATGGTTCATTCCTGTCTTAACTGTTCCTGTATTGTTTAACGGGAGAAGTCGCAGAATATCGACCCAGTTGAATAGGGCCATGTCACACAACTTCATCTAATATGCTCAAGTCTCAGTACGAACCGCTGTCAAATGCTGACGTGAACACCTTGCTTTCACCGGATGTCAGCGGCCCGCTGTGCTGACTTGATCCGTCAAGACAGGGGATGCCGGTTGAGGCGATGTAGTGCATAAAGTCGCAGGGAATAGGCGGTATGATGTTTTGTCTTCTGGCGGTTGCCAAAGGCCTTCCGCCCATGCGGTCTAGCCGGCGGGATGAAGTCGACGCTGCCCCGGTCTCCTGTCCCGCAGCTGCCGGGGCTGCTGCCGTGTGGTTGGGCCAGAAGCCTGGGCCCCACTTGGCCACAAGACCCCACTGCCGTGATTTGAAAACGTGCCTGTACAGTATCCCAAGAGCCCTACGGTGGCCTTTGCGGAGAGTGAGCCAGCCTGAGTAGGGAGAGGAGGGACTTGGCTCTGACGATCAAGTGGAGAAGGGGGTTGATGCCGTGGTGGTCGGTGCTGGCGATTGCTGGTTGCGTGGTTCTGGGTGCCGTCGCATTCCAAACCGTTGGCGTTTTGGGTCCGTTGAAAGGGTCCCGTGGCATGGCTTGTGCTGGCTGGGGGCGGCTACACGATCTGCCGGTCGGAGTGGTTCGGTCAGTGCTGGCAAGCCATTCGGGGGGGGGGAGCCTCTCTGCTTGCTGGATGGCAACCGATGGATAAGAGGATTGAGGGATCAGCACATAGTTGAACGGTCACGGTTGGTTGATGGTATGATTGCGCCATGATGGGAGCCGACACGGAACGGCGGGGGGCGTTAGGGAAGACATCCCGGTGGGGGGCTACGAGCAAGCGCAGTACACGAAGTAAACAGGTGGAGAGGGTCTGGTTTGACGTGCCCAAGGCAGGCAAAAGAGCGGCGGTCCAGTGACGAATGAGGCGGTCTCGGGTCGGCTGCGCGGTGGAGGGCGACGAACATGACGTCTCTGTTTGCGGTTTCGCGTCCAAGTCGGCGCTTCGGATATCTCCCGAGGTTTGTTTATACTGGGTGAGTGCCTGGTGCCCTTGCGGACACGGACAATGCGTTGCTGAAGAACAAAACTCCCCGATTATCTTGCGTTCCCTCCCCGTTTCTGAGCAGAATTATTTTTTATTTTTCGAGGGGTGAGCAGATTGTTGGAAACTCGACGGGTTCGGGCCCATCGTCTGACGCGTCGCCTTGGGGGTGTCACTTTTTTTTCTTTCTTCGCCTTCCTGTCGTTCGTCTTCACCTTGGGACGGTCGAAAATAGGTGCATAGCTGCCCTGTGCGACGCTGAGCTATTTCTGTTGGCTGGAGAAAGTTTTAGAAAAAGTTCGTCCCAAAGCCCCAAAACGCTTTTAATCTTGTGTTGTATATTGGGTTTGAGGGTTGAGATGAGTTTCATCGCGGATTTTGAGATGGAGTATCTGATGCTAATTTGAAGTCGCACTTGGAAAAGGCGAGATGGCATTCTGATATGAACGTTTATCGATTGATCTTTCCAGAGATGAAGGCAGATGAAGTTGGAAAGTGTTCGGAAAGCGTTGATGATGGCAACTTCGCTAATACGACATATGGTGACCATCTTCATCAAGTACTCAGGCTCAACTTAGAGCTGCTGTGACACAGCCAACTTTACACGTCAGGTGTCATCCATTGAGAGAAGCCATGAGCTGCATGCACAAACGAGTCTTACTATTGTTGTATTAGCAACATGCGCTGAAGTGATGGCGGTCGGGGAAGCTGGCGCGGTTTGCAATGTAGTCTTTGGAGTTACCGACAAATATCTCTTTTCTCCAGATTAGGCGTCCTTTGAGTAATGGCGGGGTTGAAGACACTCAGTAAGGGAAGTAGTGGCTGCCTTTGTCAACCACATTTCACCGTTGTATTCTCGCAAATATTCTTGATACGAACAGGCGACAGGGAAAACAGAGAGGAGATATGGAGGCCATCGGGATGAATGTTTCTTCGATGTGTCTCTTCCAAATACCCCAGTCGCCCTGCTTTGAGGATTCAAGCTACAGTCCCGGCGATTAAGATGAGACATGAACGATGGTTTTAGTCAAAGTTTTGCATAGAGCCCAGATTGCTTGTGTTGCATATGCTACACCTAGAGATCTCGTTAAGACAGAGTACGTGTGCATCTTAACCTAATATGATAGACTCCCTGCTCAAACCTAATCCTTCTACTATCTCTACCCATTCAGTATCCTCAACTAAATTGATTATTCCGCTTCCTACCCTTTCAAATACGCTGAGGCCCTCTTCTGTTACATCCGTTTCTGTCTGTACAACTCCCATAATATGATCACACGTATTGGACACCCACGAGTCAGCTCCATTGATCCATAATAAAGGACAGAATACAGCCTTTACTTTCTCTTCCGACCTTAACATATCGTACATGGCATTAGCATCATCCACAACTATGATGATATCTTCAATCCAATCCAATATACTATTGGGCTTCGTAATATGGAAGGAAAATCGACAGTATGAGTCTTGTTCGTGATAAAAGTCTAGCTCTCCCTCAACGAGAAAGACACTGAGTTGGAGATAGACTGAGGGAATTTGCGTTGCTTCAGAAACGTAACTAATAGAGTTGTTGATGACTTTCTCAACAACTGCTAGAGACGCGTCACTGTTCTCTATATTAATACCCGGAAACGTTTCGTTGAAATGCACCGTCGCATCAACCGACGCCCAACTCCAGGTTGGGGTTCTGAGGGAGGTTTGGGTGCCTCCCTCGTTTCTCTCGAATGAAATTCTTGAGGTCGGGTTTGCAGAACTGACTCCATGCGAGCTGAAGCAGCTTGTGCTCCAAAACAGACTTCTTGTGAGTGTTTTCCGAAAGTGGCCCTTGACATATTCGTCCCCCATAAGGTCTGCCATGTGGTCAGCTATCGCTGAGACTGCAACCAGTTTGTCCCTTTCCGGAAATGATAGAATGCGGCCTGAGTATCTTTGAATCAGGCTATACCATGCAACCAAGAGTAGGTGGGGATCAAAGGTGGATGGCAGTGATTGTCCTCCCACGGAAAATATGGTGTCCTCGGGAAGGTGCGAGGTTCCATGTGGAAGTGACTCGGATGCGTCCGGTAATTGCTTGCACTTCCAAAAAACTTCCCCAATACCAAATCCAACGAAGCGCGAGGGAAGTAGCCTTTCCTGCAAGGCCCATGCACGCGATCCAAGAGGTAGATCGAAGAGTGCGTCTCCATAGTACGTTCTGGATACAACAAAGCCAGTGTGGTAGGGGAATAGATCCTTATCGAAGAAACCTTCTGTGTTGACCTCAAACGGGGCTGCAAACTTCGGACTCGGGCCACAGAAAACGCTCTCATTTGGATTTGTAGGTCGATAGAGAGCGAGGCAAATTGTGCAGTTGGAGTACACATCCTTCATCTTTTTGGACTCGCGTGACCAGTCTTCTAGCTTGTTTTTGCCTTCTTGGATAATGCAAAGGCAATCAATCCAAATATATCGAACTCCCAGGCCTTTTGTGAAATCAATAGCTTCACGAAAGGCAATGGGCAAATCGCTACCATGGATTCCCAATTGCAGACGCTCCATATTTGAATCTGAGAGACGCAGAAATTCATGAGGCTCCGGCCCCCAACAATAGCTTAACGCAGCGTACGAGCCTGTGATAGGTTCTTGATCTGTGATGACGAGTCGAATCTTTGATCCGTACAGGTCAAGGAGTCGCGTAGGATATGAGGTTGGTTCGTCGTGGGTTACGCATTCGTCATGTTCGTGTGAGCAAGTATCCATCCACTTCAGAACAGCTTGAGTACAGTCCAGTAGTGGGAGCTGCCCATTCCTGGCCCCGACATTGGGAAACGAATCGAGATTACGAACAGGATTCGGAATGATGTGATAATCTACTGTAGTCCATGCTTCAGGGTGCTGGACGCGGAATTCAAGATGAATATAGGGCTCTAGTCCCTCCTCTGAATAAACGCAGGTTGCATATGTCAAGTCTGTCGGCGCTCTATTTTCCCGAGTAAACGATAATAAATCATTACAAAAAGTACAGCCATCTGACGCAGACCTGGCGAGAGACGCTATATCGGGTTGATGACTTTGGTAGGTATTCCTCCCTGTCGGTCGTTGAAAAATAGGGATACATGCGTCGCAGAGCATCCTTGCTAACAGTGTGTTCACTTTTTGAGGAAGAGTCGTATTACGTAGATGGAGCCCGTAGCACAGAATTGAATAGGTTGAGGCAAATTAAGAGAGAAGAAGGTGATATGATGCAAAATGGCTAGTCTGAGGGGTAATGTCAGCTTAACAAAAGGCGCGGGGTGATATTGCCAAGGCTTCATCGCTGAAGCCGCTCATTTGTGGAAACTACCTCACCCTGGCTCTCGGTTAACCTCGGAGCTGGGCGGCTCTGTCGTCCGCCCTAGGCCTGCCGATTTACGAGAGGTTCTTCTCCCGAGTTGTGTGCTTCAGCCATACCTAAACGATGTAGTGGCACCAACGACTGTGCGAAAGCTCCTAATTTCCTCTCCCGATAATAAGCAGTGGCAAACAGAATAACTGTTCATAATGTGTGACTCCCATGGGCATAGCCCAATTAAGACCGTGAATAACAACAAACGGGTGCTACTCATTTAGCACCGATTGTACTGATGTGTTTGAGTGATATAATTATTCTTATCAGAGAAGCTGATAGGATTTGCAGTGACAGTCTCTAAAGTTACTGCCAAGTGTCTCTATCTCTTAGTTGGGCGTCCTTTGAAAGTGATAATAGGTTCATCGGTATTAGCGAGGTGAGCAGCGACAAATTCTATCAATATTAATCTCCCATTTATTTCTCGCAAGTGTTCTTGATAAATGTTGGAGATGACAAGACAAACAGAAGCGGAGATGAGGCTCTCGGGATGGGATTTTTTTCAATGTCTTTGTGAGTACGTCAGTCGCTATGCCTTAAGGGCCAAATGCTAATATTCCGGCAATTTCGGCCCTCAGGCATGTGTGAAGTTTCTAGCCAAGATTCTACATAGAGTCGCAGTTGCTCATGTTGCATTCGCCGCACCGATACCGTCTCCAATGGGCGTGAAGTACACTTGGACGAAAACATTACAGGGAGCAACTATGCCGTCAACCATTCAAGTGCCGGACTGTATCGATGATGATTCTGCCAATCAGTCTACCCACCCGTTCAATTTCAGGCATAAGTCAATGATGTCGTACTGCAATATGGGGACCGACCATCTTGTCATCCTGTACAATATAGCAATGTGAGAGTTCATGCGAATTCCTGCCGTTCTTCTCCGGCTTCGCTCATCCCGGATTTGTTGGTTCCAGCGGGTAGAAGCTAGTTCTTCCAAATCAAGACTAAATTTCGACAGTACGGAAGAGAAAGTGTGGAATGGATTCTCTCTTCCTGAGAGAACCCGTGTATACGATCGTATCCGGGTTAAAATTTAGGGTGAACCAAAGATTTATTTTCCGTAATTATCTTCCTAACTACAAGACTTGGCTTTCGTACGCGAGATATATGATCTCGTACGTCCCTGAGTCAGTTCGGCATGAATATACTTTGATCCCCTTAATGGATAACCGAGGGCCGAATATCCAGTTTGTGCCCTTTGCCATGATGTGTGTCCTTGAGTCGTGCATGTCGTACAACCAGCTGGTGCTGTTATTCCAACAGAAAGACTATATGGCAACTTCACACCTCTCTTCCGCGCACAGCTCCCGCAACTGTCCCTCGTGTTCTACCTGCAGTAATCACTCTTTCCACTACCGCCATCTTCACAGTTGCCGCAGTATACATTCCAGCGGATCCATCCGTCACTACCGCAATGGAAGAGAGAATGCCTCTCATACGGGTCTCGGGTAGGAAGCCCGACTCTCTTGAGCTCATTGTCTATCTCGCGCATGTAATTTCCTTTGTTCTGATAGTCAGCATAGCACACAAAGAGTGAGAGGAGAGGAACTTGCCTTTTTTCAGCAAGTTGTAGCCGCAGTACTCAAGACCCTCAGTACAAGCCTTGGCCTCGGCAATGGGTAACAGGACACCTGTCAATGCGAGAAGGATCGTGATGGGCTTCGTCATGATGGTTGTGCTGGCAGGAAGGCTATTGAGAACCGGAAAGTATGGTGGAAATGTTCAAGGGAAGGAGTGTGTTCTAATGAAGCTGCTCTGATGGTTCTGTCTTGCTTCCAACGACTTCTCAAACTTGGGAAGATGCTAAACTTATAGTTCTATGCTCCTTGAAATCGATTGTCTGATTATCTCCAAGTTCCCATGTCAGCGCTCCAAAGATGACAGCCATCAAATGTTGTCTACCCCGATGGCCCTAACTGAGTACCCAACAGAGTTGCCTCTTAGCATGCAGCTTGTGGACCTGTGCTTACTTACTGCGGAGTTCGAGGTCAATCCTGCGACTAATGGTGAGGAACGAAGACGTATGCATCGCCGACTATTGATAGTAGTTATCATCTGCATCCGCCACTTACTGCGGTGCGTTGTTGAGTGCTGATGCGATGTTATCCGCCTAAGTCACTGGTCTTACAGGACTAGGTAGCAACTTGTCGCACAGAGCTATTGAGCCTATACTCTTCCTTTATCTACTCGCAAAATAGATGTACAGAGACGCCTGATCTACATACGATACCTTGAAATGCGCTTCATCAACACTACCGAAAAGAGATCCAAGAGTCTCCATGTCCAATCAACCCTTTTCGGCAAGTGGATGCGGAGCTTGGCTTTGAAGGCTTTTGCAGCCCATTTCCCCCTCCTCGTAGGCGAAGGATACCATGGAACAATGTTTCACTAATCGTAAGAACATGAGCATTTTGTAATAAGCTGCATTCAGCTGGGAAAAAGCGGTCATGTTTACCTGCAGTAAGATGACAACTGGCTAGCATACTTTCGTTGCTAGTTGAACTACATGTCTTGGCATGTCTTGGCATACATATAGGGGAGCGGAGAAAATGTTGTAAACAAACTTAAGAACTGACTTGTGTATGAAGAGACAGAAAAGGTTCGGCAACAGGCGATTAGTCATGGGGATGGGCGCGGCTTGCTTCTTCTTGGACTTCACGATGAGAGCTCGTTGAGCTCATAGCATCGTAAAATGAGCAGACCGGAGCTGGGTTCTGGAACACTAACTTGTAGAGACGCTGTAAGCATAGCTATATCTTATTGGGGGGAAACGCCACGCATATTGCGTGGGGAAGTAAATGATATTTAGTCGTATCCGTTGCAAAAGGCAGCATCGCGGACAAATGCCTCGCATCGGGGAGTCCGGATTGACAGTTGATTGTAAATGTCTCGTTGGCTCCTCACTTATCCACTTAATGCACGGGGCTCACCAAGCACTTGCTGAGCTGGTTGTCTGCATGAGACCTTATTCAAGCCAGCTTTCAAGGCACTTTTTGCCATTAGTTCTATGCAAACCATTTCTTTCGGCTGGGGTGGGCAACGCTAACTTGCGATGGCTATATTGAGGCTCAGCGTTATCCTTCGCACCTATCCCTTGACCCCTCTGTAACAATTTACACACCCGAGCGCTATATGATAGTACGATGGGCCAAAAAAAGAATCAATGAGAATGTGAAAAGGCCTTCCAGCTTCAAAATTTATGTTTTGTAGATTTTGGTAAACGAACGTAATGTTTGAACGCTGCATGTGCAGAATGCAGATAGTAAGCTTATTGCACCTCAAACAGCCCACATTTGCAAATGAGCTGGCCTGGGCTTTTCTTTTGCATAAACTTGCCAAAATGACAGAATGTTGGCACACGTATCCACTTCAGCTGCGGCCACTAACCATGCAGTATAAGCCGGAGAACCCCGTCTGTGTCTTGCATCTCCGCTGGGCTGGCATCAAGCGGTACAGTCGCCAAGATAATTGGTACACGTAAAGAAAAGATGCTGGTAGCCCGTACGAGGGGTTGTTCCTTCACGCCACTAGATTTCAAGTCGCTCCAGCTTCATACTTTATGATGAACCTCTCCTAAAGCAATAGAATTACTAGCGACTATAAGTATATCGCCTTCGCAACCAAAGTTCTGTCACCACCAGGGCCAGTGTCTTAACATTTTCTCAAGTACAAACATCTCATCTACATTTTTCACAACTGTTTCTACACTACCCGCGAATCATATAATAAGATGCCTCCAACTCTAGCCCGGTTTTGCTCACTGCTAGCAACGCTGTTCATGGCGACTGCTGTTCTTGCTGAGACCGGTGTCACCACCCGATACTGGGACTGTTGCAAGCCGTCGTGTGCTTGGCCTGGCAAGGCACAGGTATCGGAAACCGTGCGAACTTGTAACAAGAATGACAACTGGCCAAACCCGCTCAACTCCAACGCGCAGTCGGCCTGCAATGGTGGTGACGCGTATACATGCAGCAACAATGGCCCATGGGCTGTCAACAGTAACCTGGCGTATGGCTTTGCAGCAGCCAAACTTGCTGGGAAATCCGAGCAGAATTGGTGCTGCGCCTGCTACAAGTAAGTTTAAATTGCTCCCAGCGAGCTCAAGCAGTGAAACATGAAAACCTGGAGGGTCGATGGCGATGACATTATCACTTTTTTCCAACTCAGCTAACAGTTTTACTTCCACTAGACTTACCTTCACGTCAACCTCCATTGCCGGGAAGCAGATGATTGTCCAGGTGACCAACACCGGCGGTGAATTGGGAAACAACCACTTCGATCTCGCTATCCCTGGAGGCGGTGTGGGTATGTTCCCACAGGGATGTCAATCGCAGTTCAATGGCGCCTGGATGGGTGACACATATGGCGGCTACCGGAGCAGGAACGATTGTTACAATCTTCCCGCGGGCCAATTCCGCGACGGCTGCTTCTTCCGCTTTGACTGGTTCCAGAACGCTCAGAACCCAACCATCGAGTTCCAAGAGGTGTCTTGCCCGCAAGCTATGATTGACAGGACACACTGCGGCCGCTGGAGTGCTAGGGGCTTAGTCGACCAGAGCCAAGACAGGCTCTCCGAACAGGTAGGAGAAGAGTTGTAGATTGGCCGAAGAACCATTCAGGTCATAGCACTCGGCTCAGTAAGGGACTGGAAACTCCGCCATTGCATTAGGAAAGAGAGTAACAAGAATGAAAAAAGCCATACTTGACAGTATTTGGGAGTTGCATCAGGATCACGGGAAGAAAAAAACCTACGGTAACCATGGCCATCAGGATGAAGCCAGAAGTTCACGACGATGAGCAAAATCTCATTAAGGGCAAGAAAAAGAGTGTGAAGCTGCTGCAAAGTTTGGGGGGATGAGATAAAGGGCGTTGGTTGCTGTCTGCAATTAACAACCTTGAGTTTGCAAAGGATTCCTCTAGTCATTATTGAGGACACTGGAGAGGAAGATACGGACTGATCGGAGAAATCGAAAATTAGTTCATTAGATTACACGCCCGCTGGTTTATGACGTTAGTTACTGCTAGTCGCTGGAAACTTAGAGCAAGACCACTGCCACATAGTTAGTTTTTAATAATATCTCCAAGATAGGCTTGGATGTTTGCTTCCATGCGGTGCCGGAGAGTTTAGAGACACAATGAGCATTGGCGAATGAAAAGCACGAGCTTCATTGTATGTTAACCTCTAAAGGTCTAGCCCACCAGCAGTTTCCGCAACCCCGTTCGGAGTCTCCGCCCCCACCTCGTCCGCCGATTATCAAAGGACAGAAAAATCAAATGACGACAACGACAGAGAGTCAGGCATGTTTAGCCGAGTTGTGCCGCGTTGATATACAGCTAGAGAAATTAGCAAAAGCAGGACCAATAATACGACAGAGACTTTGGGTCGGGTCGATTTGTTTGCCTCGCAAAAGCTCGACTTCTGAGACATGGCCCCCTTGGCTGGGGATACATCACTTCCAAAGGTTAGACTAGAAATTTAGAATGAATTTCTTGTTACGTTAAAACAACCCTGGATATTGCCTGCCTATCGGTCGCAGCAAATTCTGCATGTGTTCATGACAGACCGTTGAAACCCGCCAGAAACTCGCTGGGCAATGAATGGTCGATGCCAGGGAGCAGGGACTCACTCTACAGCCTGTAACTTCTCAACGAGCAGGTCACCGTATGAATATTGCTACTTTTGGCAAACGTCGAGTGGCGGTTTCAGATGGATTGACAGCCATGGAAGGCATGAGAAGTTGAGCTACCAGTGACTCTGAACAGCTTTGATTTGGTTCCAATGGCAGGAATGAATTATGTCCAGGTGCTCCCGAATCATACTGGCATATGGATCACAACACCTCTATGAGCCTCCGATACTCGTATAACACGACACCAAATCATTACGGATGTCACCAGAGTACTAAACATGTGAAGACAAGACCATGATTGCAGGAAGCCTGATTTCGGGCGTCACCCGTTGATCTTGAAGAACATCGGTTCGCTCAATCAACGACTGGATGTGCTACTGGTCTTGTTACTACCGCTACCCGGCAAAGATCACAATCTCGCTAGTGCTACCATCACTCCATTTGATGTAACTCTTGGCGGTCAGAAGTCTTTTACAGATCGCGACTCGAAATATCCCTCTGTTCTGTGCATTGCAGACTAAAAGCGGTTGATGCCCGTTAGAACAACATCTTCCGCCGAAGATATAAACTGCTGGCAATCCTCCTTCAGAATCTTTTCTCCGCTTCTATAATTGCTTCAGTTCGATCCGTCATCACCGTCATTAGTTAACGTTTCCTGGCTTTCCTGGTGTGCATCTCCCTCACAACTCGCCTCCCGCACGCCTACACCTACCTACACAGCTGAGGCCTGTGGTTAGTGACAGCCATGTCAGAAGTCCAGAACCCGCCGCTATGGTTCTACACTGACGAACCCTTGAGCTTCGACTCGGAGAAGCTCGGCCGGGTCAAGCCAACCCTAGCCCCCGCTGACGACACGGGCTACGGCCTGAGTGTAGCTGAGCTAAAGAAGTACTTTGGCATCGACGCCGTACGATTCGGCAAACTCCCCAAGCGCATGATCATACCCGTCCTTCATAGCTGGAACATTGAATACCAGTGGTACCGGACCGAGGGCTACCTCTACCTGGTCGAACCTGTGGAATGAGTGCCGACCGTGTCCCGCGAGAGATCGCACCCTCTTTCGTGGGTCAAGACAACCATCAAAGAGGAGACGGAGACCATAAGCGAGACAAAATTAATGGCCAACGCGTCGGCATCGCTGTTCATCTCGGCAGACGGCTCGTACGCGGGCATCACGGCCTCGGCCAAGGTGTCGAGCGACATCAGTTTCGGCTACAGCGTCGAGTCCTCGCACAGGGAGACGTCCGAGTCCAAGGTGGACGTGGGGAGCACGTTCGTGGCGCAGCTCTTCGTCTTCCCGAACCTCAAGTGCAAGGTCATCAAGCAGCAGCGGATCGTATACACCATTGACGAGCCGATCTGGAAGATGAAGATCCCCGGCGGGGATATGAACTGGGGGCCGCGGCAGATCGCTGTGGGCCGCCTCGACGGCAACTATCCCAGGATCAGTCCCGTCCCGACGAAGGGCAAGGGCCTGGGGGAGATCGCCCAGCTGTGTCCCATCTTCACCTTTGTCGACGGGAGTGAGGACGAGATGAACACACTCATCAGCCGCACGGACTGGGAAAAATGGAGTCTCTACGACTCGTACCCGTGGACGGAGCCAACGAACCAGGCCATCACGGTTGCCGTCCCGGACAATAAATGCACCTTCAGGCCAATGGTGAGGTGGGCCGCCCTGTTGAGACTCTTCCACAGCCCCGGGCATCTGCAACACTGGTTGATTGGCCACAAAGCTGACCAATATCACATTGACAGAACGACGGCTGATGCGAATCTGGGCCAGATTCGTACGCTCCTGAGACATGGCATTATTCTGGAGAGTTCATGCCATCTTACCCTCTTTACTATGAGTCTCTTCACGATGAGTCTCATTGTGTCGGGAAGAACCTCACAGGGCCAAAGACAGTTGTCAGCCAAGACAGTAGCAATTTGTTTCAACTGGAGTGCTGGGAGAGAGAGTCGACAGCTGCCTGACCAATCAGGTCCAATTTCGAGATCAGCTATTCATTCGTTTGCGCACATCTTTGTTACAAATAGAGGCCACTCGCTGCCTTGGCCAGTTAGTCCAATATATTTAGTTGATCCACAAACCCACACGATTGTGGCTGGAGCCGATCTTGAGACCCATACCTTGTGTAGGGACTTGTCAGAATAGACATCTGGGTTGGAAGGATCACTGGATTCTTAAGCCCGCATGTATGCCTTGTACGGACTTTCTCGGCTGACTGAACTCGGCCTCAAAACCAATACAAAACAAACTTTTACTGTTCAGGATCAACCATCATATAGTTCCGATCTGCTTCATGATATCACACGAATTGCTCCAAAGACTCGAACAGTATGCAACGGCCGCAGAAGATTGGCAAAGCCATTCACCGAGATACCACTGGTAGATAACCAACAACAGTCCTCATCATCGCAGTAAAGTCAACACTGCTCCATCTTATGCATCTCAGATCAAGTGGCAGAGATGTTGAGTTGCACTAGTGTGGGTTTGTCCGTGGAGTTTCGTAAGAGCAGGGGGTGTAAGCATTGCAAAGGACGAGGACAACAGCAATCCCCATTGCGCAGAAACGAAGGAGTAAATACTCTCTTTTTTCAAGCAAGCTGAGGACATTGTTCTCAGACACGCATGTGTGCGATAGTAACCGGCACGCACGATTCCGGTCCTCGATGCACTCGCCAAGCCGCCCCAGCCCCAGCCTTGATCAAGTTGGGTACTGGGTGGCTACATCGCCGCAACTTGGGCCTCGGACAAGGGAAGACCCATCGCTTCAAAACTCGAGGATGATTTGCAACGACGTGACGAGAGCAGCAAATGTCAGAATCCCTCAGAATGTGGTGTTGATGGCCTTCACCCTCAACCCGAAGGGCGCGTCAAAGCAAAGTGCCAACCAAGCTCATCTCAACAGGACGCTTACCAAGCGCAGATAATACTCTGCGCTTAACGTGCGATTTACGAAAAAAAAGACAACCAGAAAATGCAGCCAAACTTCAAGGCAATTCACTCGACGTTGCGGAGATGGGACACTCAAGCTGTCGGGTATCACAAGCAACCGAAAGCCTCACCCTTGTGATTGAATGTTGAGAGGGTGGCGTTTGCTCCATGGCAAGCCCAACACAGGTGAAGGAGGCACTACGCGTTGGGCTTGTGGGTAGCTCGGTCATGTGAGTTTGAGCCGCAGACCAACCTAGCAATAGAGTGATTGGCCTTCACCGACCCCGTCGGTACACAAACCCTGTGTGACACTACCACCTCCACATGTACCAAAGAAACGGCGAGCAGCTGTCGAAGAACCCTTCCATTTTACAGCGACTGCCGAGGCTTTGTCTCACGACTTTGAAGTAATGCCTCCGTGGGAAGTGTGTCGGGTGACTGAGGCTGAAAGTCTGGTCCATCGCGTCGTCTAGACGCCGGGCGCCGACCGACCCAGAGGCCGTTCGCGCCCGCGTTGCCGCCCATCGTCACACCTCGCTGAAGCGGCTTCGGTCGGCGGGAGGTTCGCGAACCAGTCCGAAAGCGGCAAAGTGCGATGTCGGAGCTGGCCAATCCAGTTGAACCTACTGCCGGTGGAACCATTGTCTTTCATCCCGCCGTTCCTCCACCGCGCGGGATTTGAGACCTTCCATCCTCTTTCAGGAACCCAAACCTTTAGAAATGGGCAGATGGATGAAGACCTAGCCAGTGAGGGTCTTCGCCCCGTCACCGGCCGCCTCGTCAGTGGCCGGAGGATGCAGACCGAGACGAGCGATGAGCCCGGAAGGGTGGGGTCACTTGGGCTCACCGGGTCCCGACAAGGAGAGATGTGGCATCTGCTGCCTGTACCCGCCACCCTCTTTTTTCTTCCTTCTGTCCCTTCCCGTGTTGTGCAAGGACGGCAGGCGCCACCGATAGACCTGGTTCGGCCAGATGTGAGTGGCATATGCCGCGTTTGTTGTGGTTGGTCGCTCGCCATTTGACGGGTTGGGATGGTGAAATCGAAAGCCTGGAGAGCAGAAGATGCGTATCAAGAGACGTTCAGTAGTCGACTATAATGTTGTTTTCCTGCACACGGCATGCAAGCCGATGGAAGCAGACGGCGCGACGGCTATCTGAAGCGCGAATCCCACCAGTGTGTGCGTGACGTGCATATGCCGCTAATCATAGACACACATTGATGGTGCCAGGTCGCCGACGCGGCAGGAGAGTGTGGAAGGATGAACACAGACGTTCCTTAGAAGTGGAGACGTGCATACTGAACGGTCTCGATGTCGGCCCTTTGTCGAGCGAGGAGTCGACTGGAGTTGCAACGTTGATGCACCCAATCAAGGAGGCATAGCCACGGTGTAACTTGAGAGGGTGGCTGGTCAGTCGGCACAAGATGGCGATACCGCTCGCCCTCGACAGCTAAGCGATGTCAAGAAGCAAGACAAGATGAGCAGGCCGTCTTCATCCGTGATCCTTGTCACGGGCAAGCCAGACATGGGGGCAGCATATTGGGTCTTGGGCAGTTGCATCGCGTATCCGTAAAAGGCGAAATCCATAGCGAGAATGCAGCGAAACGTTGCGAGCTTCATTTTGTTCGAGGGGAAGTGCAGATGCAGCGGGATTGGGAGGCGGATGATGATTCGTGAACCAGGCCAGAAGAAAGAAAGATTCAGTTGCTAGTGTGGGGGGATGAGCGGAGACCTATCGGAAGGAGAGTTGCGGTGAGGCTGGCGGTATATCCCGGTGAGGGCACGGCGCCATTGGCTGAAGGGTGGCCGAGAGGAGAGAGAGAATGAAAGGTTGCAGCACTCTGGTGATTGTATCGTGGGGCGGCAGGGGGACGGTGGTTGTGGCCGGTTCAAAGGCAGCCAGCCTACCACGGAAGCGGATACTGAAGGTGAACAGGTGAGGATTGTGACCGGAGATGGGGAAAGATGTGGGTGCTCCGTTCCAGGTAGAGGGTGACTTGAGGCGTGACTATGAAGAGACTCGGCCCAGGGAGTTGTTGCGCCATGAGGTTAAAAACTGAGCTGGTCCTTGGGTCTCATAGGTAGTCTTGGAGCGTGGAATCGGTCATGTTTGTCTTAGAGCGTTGGGCCGCTGATGTCTGACTTGAAGTGTGGTTGACTACAAGATGAATCACACGATTGGCTACGGCTTATGGGAGGATTGAGTGGTTCCAAACGTTTCCATTGGAAATCGAGAGTTGGCGGGTAGTTGTTGGAGTTGCAGCCCAAAGGTGACAGAGCGACGACTCAACTACCCGATCTCGTTACTCGGTGGGCGGAAGAGCAGGGAGCGGGCGGGCGGGACGAGACTACGAGATGAGGAGGTGCGGCGCAGTGCAGCGCAAAGCGAAGGGGACGGTGGCAGGGACCGGACAGGGTCCACGTGGTGCGCATGACATGTCTTTCTTTGCCAGAGCCATTGGCATTGCATCCGTCGCCGCAGGCGCTCCCATCATCTGTCTCGTCGCGACTTGCCCTGCGAGGACGGGCATGGTGAAGTCGCCCTTGGCTCCGGTCGGGTAGGCAAGAGGCAGATTGTGACGAGGTGCACTGGTTGACTGACTGTGACTGACTAACTGTCTCGGAAAAAGGCACGAACTGAGGTAATGCGGCGTGACGAGGTGAGGTGGTAGACGTGCCGGGCTCAAGAGGTTGAGTTCCCAGTTCACGTCAGTCGCCATCTGGTTCCCGCGCTTCCCCATGGTCAAGCCGCACACATGCCAAGCGTACGGGACATGGCTGAAGTGCCCCTCAGCCGAGACATCGAGATCAAACGTACACACCATCTCTGGTCGGTGAGCGTTGTGGGTTGTTAAAGATCATCGGCCGGGCCGTAGACTTCATCTGACGGGCTGGGCTTTACTGACCATGCCTTGGTGGTTGCTCAGGGAGAGGGAGAGAGGCTAGCGCACCCTGCGAGACTGCCTGCCGGTCCGTCGACATGACGCATTTCCTTTTCCTTTGGACGAAGCGGGCTTCATCGTCTGTCGCCGTGCTCTGCCCCTCTGGCGAAGATACCCGTGTGTGCGCGGGTGTCAGTGTGTGTCCCAGACGGGGACGACGTCGGGTACCCATTCATCCTGCTGGACGCTGTTCACTAGGGTTTGGGAGACGGCTTGTTTGGTTTTGGTTTTGTCGACGGCCGTTGCAGTGTTGGCCCGAACGAGGAGCACGCCCCCATAATTCGCCCTTATTCAAGCATCTCGTCTAGATCTTAAAGTGGATCGTGGGGGGGAAAACGCGCGCTTTGAGGCATAGGAACACACCAATGACAGTGAGGAGATGATGCGGGAGGAAACGAGGCTTCGAACAGAAGGCTCGGAGCAAGGAGCAGCAGCGGTTTGGCGGCAGCAAGAACCGTCGCATTTTCTCTCCTGCTGGTCTTGTCCCTTCTTCTTTTTATCTTTGGTACTTTTCCGCACCTGCCAACCTGAGAATGGAGGAAGTTGCATTGCTCACCGTCGCAGCAAGTCACTCCCCTGCCAAAAGACATGACGATGTACCTTGGATGTGGGCTTGTCATGGGAGAAAAGAGGTGCTCTTTGTCCCCGCCTGGTGCAGCAAACTGTCTATCCGTCTATGGTCATCCCGCACTCACTACCTACCCTCTATCTCTCTCTCACTCTCTCACTCACTCACTCGCCATGTCATGCACTCGCATTTCTACTTTGCTGTGTCCCACATCCCTTCCCCTTCCTTTCACACCTTTTGCAGAATCTGGCGCGTGCGTGCGTGCGCGTGTGGAGGAGAGGAAAGGTCAATCACCCCCTGGACCCCTTCCTAGGGAGCCTTGACATGACATGCCAATGGTGCCCCACGCCTATGCCCTCCCAGGCCAAGGAGCTCTTTTCCCCTCCTTCCCCTCCAAGGATTGGGAAAACTAGAATAAAACGGTGCCGGGCCAAGCGCTCCGCAACGCCTGAGAAGTGAGGTGTCCCATGTATACCTGCCCAGATGCATCGCATGTCATGGCCTGGGGGTATGAGAGCAGGAAGAAGAAAAAGCCGCGGTGCAATGGCAGATGCAGCAAGTGCAGAACAAGTGCAGAGCAGGTGTGGGTGCGGCTTCCTTTCCGAGATGCGGTGCAGCTACCTAGATAGAGTCTCAAGGCCGAGTCCGTGTTTTGGGCATGCGCACGTAACGTGTTCTATTGGCAGTTGACATGCTATTGAGACGAGGTCTCTCGTGGGTGTAAAACACACACACACACACACACACGAGTAGAGAGAACAGGTGAAGTCGGCTGGCCCGTGTCGCGCGACCTTCAACCTCTCACTGATTCGCTCACTCACTTCCTCCGCCCGACCGACTTCTCTCCTCGTCGTTCTGTCGTGTCCTGCCAGGCTTTGGTTTTTTTCTTTTTTTTCTTCCTCTCCAAGCATCATTCCACCTGCTTGCCTTCGAAAAAAAGGCTAGTTGAGATCCGCTCTCATCTTGCATTGAGTTTTTGCAGGGAAGTAAACGATCGCCATGTGTGGGAAAGAAACTCAAGGTGAGGAAAACCTTGTGTCAAGAAGAAAAGACGATTTCGTAAACTGACATGAAGTCATGGGAGGGAAGTGAACAACCACTTCGAAAACCCACGACGCCAAGTCCACTGCCGGCAAAACCGTCTAGAAATCCGGGAGGCCGTCCCGGGTACTGTACTTTGCGGTGGTTCAACTTAGCAGCACCTGGCCAGCATTGACAAGAAGCAACGAGCAGCTAGCTAGCTGCACCTTGGCCTAGATCGGACATCGGGATATCGAAAGAAACAAACGTCCCAACAGCGCCGAAAACATCGGACCAAAATCCCAGACCCAGATCCAGACCCAGACCCGCTCGACAAAAGTCACAACCCTCACTCAGATCCCTTACGTACCGTACTCATTACTCACTCACTCAGCAGCAAAAAGCCCAAGCACCCAACTCTCCAAACCCCAAAATCCACAACACCCACGATCCCTGCCACCGGGTCCTCACCTCTCTTTCACCACACAGAAGCGTCCTTTGACAAGTCGCTTGTACGAGGCCATTTTCGCCCGTTGCTCCAAGCCTCGTTCTATGACATGGGCGGAGATCTGAGAGTGAGAAACGGTAACTCGATCGTCTCGAACTAGCAGACACCATCAACCCAGCTTGGCACGATCTTCCCGTCTTGACTGTCTCGCTTTCCTCGGCCGAGACCACCACGCACACACACGCACACCCCAACCCTCGTCTTCCTCTCCGTCTTTTCCCCCCGTCCATCTCAGTGTGACATCCCGGGCCGGCCTGGACTGATCGGTACCTTGCCCAAAGGTACCCCCCTTCCTCACCTTTCAAGTCTCCTCTCTTTCACACGCACACGGGCACACACCCACCGACACCACACACGGCTTTGAGAGGTACCCGTCCCGCCAGAGTAAGCGACCACCACCACACCACCGCCCACCCGACCTTATTCACCACCACCACCACCACCGCTACCCATTTACCGTCCACGACAACCCAGTAAGGTACCTACAGTACTCAAGCAACCATACCGGGGGGCCTGGTCTGTGCTTTTTCTTCCCTCTTTCCCTCTCCGGTGCTCGGTGCACGTACCCTTAAATCTTGACCGACCTACCTTATTTTTTATTCGTGCACCTTCGGCCTCGGCCCTCATCCTCCCACCTTCACACACCTCGAATTGGGACGGTCCTCCACCGAAAACCAAATACCTCGTCACTTGTCCTTCTTTTTTATTCATCCTCGACCGTCTCTGCGGTGTTTCTACCCGGCCTCCGGGTCTCAATTGCTCTCCCTCGAACTCGGCGCATTCTGTGTTTGGCTGCTCCCCGCCGGAAGGGACCCGTTTCTTTTACCCCTCACTTTTCTCTGCTCGCACGCTCGCGTCGGTGAATCTCGGTGGGGCTCTTCTCACACAATCTGCTCCGACGTCAAAGAAAACGCGCGCAACAGCCACTCGGCGCAAAAGTGTCAAGACAGAGAGAGTTGGAGAGAAAGAGAGGGAGAAAGTCACAGGGTTCTTCCCTCGCCACACCTCCTCTTCTCGCCATCTTTTCTTTTTGCCACACACACACACACACACACACACACACACCGCTTTCACACCGAGGATGGGTCGAGGGTAGTTGCTGCTGTGACAAAGGGATTCAGACAACGCACTTGCAAGCATGCATCCGGCTCCGAGTCTGTTAGAGGCACCTCCGAAGAACGGCAGCGAGGAGTCTGGCAACAGACCCCAAACTGGCTCGCCTTCAATGTCGCAACATGAGCTGCCTCAGTCTCAGCACTCTCCAGTCCAGCAGCACGTGCAGCCACCATTGCAACAGCAGCAACAAGAGCAGCAGCAACAACAACAGCAGCAGCAGCAGCAGCAGCAGCAGATCACACCTCAGCAGCGCCAGTCCTCGCAGCAACCTCCTCCCACCCCCGGCCAGTCGGCTTCTCCTCCCCTGAGAAAGGACACCAATTCGTCCATCTCAACTCAGGCAACTGCGGCCTCCGCAGCCACCAATATGTCTGCGGACACAAGCAACACATCGTACAGTGCCGACACCTCTCCTAACTTAACATCCATATTCCATGTCAAGGATGGCTCCGACGTCTCTAACCGGGTCCGCGCGAGCAGGAGGCGAACCGGTCCTTTGTCCCAGCAACAGAGAGAGAAAGCCGCGCTCATCAGGAAGCTCGGCGCCTGCAACGACTGTCGTCGTAGGAGAGTTGCAGTATGTTTCCTCGAACCCCAGCTCAACCGTGTCTCCCAAAGTGCTCACCCCTGCTGACTGTTTTGCCTCCGTCAAGTGCCATCCCAGCCATCACAACATGACCTGGGAGGATGCCGTTAGGAAATATCATAGGTCTCATAGTCCAACGATCCAGGACATCGCCCCGTCCATGTCGGCGCAGCGCCCGCTCAGCCCTGCCCCTGTCATGAACAATGTGAAGCAAATGTACTCGCAGGACCCCCAGGAGATGGACATAGACTCTCCAACACCTCCGGGACAGCATCGACTGAGCGAATCCCGCATTCGCACGCCACTCCCGACCGGCCCCAGGCTCGACAAGCCGCCAATGTTGCCGGGCATCGAGAGCCTCAAGTCGGACCTGCAGACCAACGTCTCGAGGATCCTGTCCACGCCCAGCCGCAGCCGCTACTCCAGCGCACAGGTCCTGCTGTTGTACTGGCAAGATGACCCTGACTTTAGCGTCGGAAGTTCTGTCAAGGAGCTGGGAGAGGTCTTTGACCAGTATTACCGGTATACGTTTTCCATCACCACGATCCCGTCTGCCTCGGAGGCCTGCAAGAGCCCGTGGAGGTGGCTTTCGCGGAAAATCACCGACTTTGTGGAGGACCGCGACCAGCGGGACGTCTTGAAGATTGTCTACTACAATGGCCACTCGTATCTAGACGGCAACCGGGAAATGGTGCTTGCTAGGTGAGTTTTTTTGCTGCCGGGGTGGTTCGCGCCTGGACACTGACTGATCTTCCCCTAGCTCCAAGGACAAGGACAGGGCCGAGACGATCAGGTGGAGCGGTATCCAGCAGGTATTGGAGGAGGCGTGCTCGGATACGCTTATCATCATGGACGCCGCCTTCTTCCCGTCTTCGAAGATGCACCGCCAGCAGGGCGTCTTGGAACTGGTTGCCGCTGCCGTATCCGAGGAACACTTCGACGCCCTGGACCGCTGCACCTTTACAAAAGTGCTCACCGAACACCTCAAAACGCGCGCCTCACAACGCTTCACGAGCCCCTTCTCCGCTGCAGAGCTTCACTCGAAGCTGCTTTCCAACTACCCGTCCCTCGTACAGGACAGAAATCCTGAAAAGGAAACGATCACGAGCTTCCCCTCGCCGTTGCACATGCAAATGTCTGGAAACGCTCGACTGCCCTCGATCCTCCTCGCCCCGCTCAACATCGGCCCCTTGAGGACAAGCTTGCCATTCAGCACCGAGGGCCAGCAGCTCGTCCTGTCCTTCCGGATAGGCGATGAGCCCATCGATATCGACAACTGGACCGAGTGGCTGAGAATGATGCCTGAGGGGGTCAAGGATGTGAGGGTCGACGGGCCTTTCCGGCCGTCGAGATAGCCTGTGGCCGGCTTCGAACAGCCGCCATCTTATACGTTTTATCAGTTTTCGTGGGCTCTTTGGATATGGCAACATTCTCCGACAATGGGCACACCATCAGAGACAACGAGGCAACAGAACATGACGGGGCCATGAGTATCCCGCCATCGAGGTTGCAGTTGCTACACCCGCTCTCTCCTCTGATACTCTTGTCTTTCTCCCCTCAATCTCCTCGCTTCCTTACACAAATCACCCCTATTCTCTCGCCAGCCTTTGTCGGGCTGGCCTTATTCATGCGTTAATGACTTATTTTCACGACACAATTGCATCATTCATCCCTCTCGTCAGGCTTGGGGGAGGGCGAAAGGTCGGAGTTGGAGAGTCAAGCCACAAATCCATATACAGTCTACACTCAACAGACACAACCGGCATTCTTCCCCGTCTTTTGGTTGGCTTTGGGATGTTGACATACGTCTCGGCACTACTAGCGAGGGTGTGTTTTCAGCGCGGAAATCATGGAAAGGGAGGCAGGCAAATGGCCAATGGGACCTTTCCCCCATGGGGCAATGCATGCACCGCGGGCAGCAAAGCCAGTGCGGATGCCTTTTTTTGTCAATTTTTGAAAGAGTTCTTTGCATTAGTGGATATCCCAAACTCGCTTTTTTGCAAGACTACTCCCCGAGGAAGCTCTCTTCCTCTCTCTCTCTCTCTCTCTCCGTCATGAAATAATTCGTCATCCAAATGCTGACGACCCCTTTGCCATCCCAGTGTCCTGTTTTCCTACTCTTAAGGAGTGAAAGTGCAAGAAAAAAAAAGTCCCCTGGACCACATGTCCGTGATATGTACAAAAGGCCGTTACGAGTACGCACTTCATTCAAGGCTGCTGCTCACTGGGTTCAGAGGGCAAGTGCCATGGCCACAACCGCACTCGTGACACTTGCCACCACACTTACGGCCATCCTCGCCGCGGGGCTGTTGGTCTCGATGTTGCCAATGGCGAACGGGGGATTGTACTCGACGTCGCGCGTGTCGAGCGTACCGTTCCAGCAGTACCGCTGGAAGCAGCTGGTGCACGCCTCGGGCACGGTCTCGCGCGTGCGGTCCATGCTGCGCGAGAGGACGGCGCAGGCGACGCAGATGGGCCACTGCGCGTCGAGGGTGGCGTTGCCCTGGGTGGCCGAGTCGTAGCCGTTCTGGATGATTGCGTCGCGCTGGCTGAGCTCGTAGCTGGGCACAAAGGTGGACACGTTGGAGTGGGTGACGTAGGGCGCGTTGGGGAGGTAGACGACGAGGGGCGGCACGCGCTGGTTGCCCGAGAGGGTGAAGTTGGAGGCGTTGCAGCCGAAGAAGGCCGGGCGGCGGTTGAGGCCGAGGTTAATGAAGGTGTTGGCGTCGGGGACGGGCGGGAAGAGGGTGCCGTTGGCGATGGGCTCGGCGACGCGGTCGTAGGTGGCGCGGAGGGCGGTGCCGTTGGGCCAGTTGTAGTTGGTGTCGGCGGAGGAGTCGACGGCGAAGATGACGTCGACGGCGCGGCGCGGCTGGATCAGGGGGTGGAGGGGGATGTTCTGGAGGTCCTCGCCGCCGTCGACGAGGGAGAGCTCGGTCTGGTTGGCGTTGACGTTGGTGCTCGGGTTCCAGCCGAAGAAGGGGTTCGGCACGTACTGCGCGATGTCGTTGTTGTCCTGGTCGATGGCGTTGAGGATGCTCGTCAGGGCGCTCTGGATGAAGTCGGGGAGGCCGGCCGAGGAGATGTTTTGGAGCATGAACTGGTTGAAGAGGGAGGATGAGGTGCCCATGACGAAGCCGGCTTGGTCGAAGCCGCGGACGCAGGAGCCATTGTCGGGGACGCGGCCGGCGGTGAAGTTGGAGGCGAGATAGCGAAGGGGTGCGAAGCCAAAGGCCGTGTTGTCCCAGGTGCCGAGCTCGAAGGGGTTGAACTCGTAGACGGTGGCGTTGAGCGAGATGATGCGTTCGCCGGGGGCGCGGCCGTCGGCGACCAGAATGGGGAACGGCTGCGCGCCGGACTGGAAGTCGGACGACTCGGCGATGGAAGAGAAGGTGTAGGCCGGGCCGCCGTCGGTGGCGTTGACGAGCTGGTACGAGAGTGCGCGGCCCCAGTAGTCCGTGATGGACACCTCGAAGCCCTTGTCCTTGGCGTCCACCTGGTGGGCGACGTCCGTCCAGTACTCGGCCGTGTTGAGGATGGAGATGCCAGACTCCCGGGGGCCGGAGAAGATGGAGCGGTCAAACTTCCAGACGGCGGAGCCCTCGGAGCCGCGCTGCAGGTCGACCACGGAGGAGAAGTTGTTGGTGTAGATGGAGCCGACGAGCCAGCCGCCGCCGGAGAGGCCAGCGAGGTAGGTGGCTGACTGGAGTAGGCCGCCGATGCCGCCGGCGGACGTCGAGTTGGGCGTGCGGCTATCGGCGGCCGCCAGGAAGCCGGCGCCATTCATGAGGGCACGATAACCGCCTCCCGATACGGCGAGGGCGATATTGGGCAGCTGAGACGACGAGGCGCTGACGCGGTCAATGTAGGCGCCGGCGTCGAAGTTGGGGATGTTGACGCGGGTGAGGAACTCGCGCATAGGTTCGACCGTGGCGTTGCGCCGGCGGGGGAGCCATGCCGTCTCGTTTGGCGACAAGGCCGATGCGGAGCGGATTGTGGGACGGGCCGCCGGGCAGTCGACGATCGCCGGAGCGTAGCCTCCCGAGGGGAGTCGGGGAGGGCGCGGGGGTCCAGGGCCTCCATTACGAGACCAGCCGCCATTGGCTTCACGGGATCGACCGCCCACACCGGGGCGATCGCGGCAGCCACTGCCAGCAGGGATGGGGGTAACATTGTGCGTCAGGCTGCCTTTGTGGGCTTTGATCCGGGACGGTAAGAAAAGTCGTAGGGGTATCTTATGAGAATTGAGAGGCAGAAACAAAATTGGGGAGATATCAACAGGTGGGATTGGGTACGAAAGATATAAGGACAACCAAGGGCCCTCGACAGGATGAGAGGTTCGGAAAAGACGGCAGAGAGACAGCGACGGAGGATGTCACTAGTAATAATAGAATCGCGCGATTGTCGACCCTGTGGGCATTGTGCAGCGGCTGTGCGGCGACTCGACGGGGATTGAGAGGCTTCGGCTTTCTTACGGGCCCGTCGCGCTAAAGAAGGTTTACACACTGGCGTCGGCAGGGTATGACGTCGAATTGGGGGTTTGAAGTGCGTGTGCGAGCGCGGTCCCCTTCCTGTCAAGGACGTCGTTGTCTTTGCTTTTCCCGAGAGTCCCTTGCTGGCCGATGCTTGTCGGGTGCTGACTGGGGAACGATGCGATTCGATGGACGGGGCTCCTGTGCTGTGCTGTCGGGTGGGTGTGTGGTGTGCGGTGTGAGTTGTCAAATGAGCAGAAGCTGGGATGAGATGAGTTTGGGCTTAAGTGAGAGACGCCTCCCGCGTGGCGTGCTGTGCGAGGGAGGCAAGTTATAAAAGGCTTGGGAGGTTAGTAGATGCTTGAATTGACGAGAGGGCAGAGTGTAAGAATAGAAAGCCTTCTCGACGGCAGGGAATCAGCGAACAATTGAATGCGAACAATTGTATGTCGGTGTAGCCCGTCCAAAATCTCATGCAGAGGTGATCTCTGACCTCACCCTGTGGACGGTGAAGTTTCAAATGCGGGCTGGCGACTGAGAGGGAGATGAAAGGCTCGTATGACCTAAGCTCGGCGTTTCTGCGGTTCTGGGCAGCTGAACGCGGGACGAATGGGTACGCGGAAATTGTGGCTTTGGAACGAATAGGAGCGTCTGGATCGCCCGGCTTGGCTAGTGATGGTGGGAGGTTGGGATCCAAAGGGTCTTGGTAACACTCTTGTGCCCAAACGGGGAATACTGGAGGAACGGCGGCCTCTTTCTTCGGGGGGTGAGGGGTGGCTACGTGGAGTCCGTAAGGAGTACGCGGGTTCCGAAGACGAAAGAGGGCCGACGGGATGATTGTAAACCGATGCGCGGGTGATGATGCAAGGAGACAACAACAACACCAATGACAAGCCTGTAAGAAACCAGAACCAGAGGGGAAAGGGACGACCGCGGGGGGCTCGAGGGTGCGATGAGGCCAAGCGCCGCACTGCTGAGGCGACGGGTTGGGTTCTACTCCTTGCAGTCTCGGGTGCGGCGTTTTATGAGACGGGAACTCGATGTGGCCCTCTTCTGCGCCGCCTGTCGTGTGCCTGTGTCTGTGCATGTGCATGTGCCCGAGTCGTCACTCTCATCTTCGCAACGAAAGGGCTTTCAATGGTTTCCCCTGCCATTGCATGTCTCGCTGGAACCGGGGACAAGGTACGACACGTCGTCCACCGTGCTGAATGCGGTTCATGGCCTGCGACCGTATGCGATACGGCGTTTCCTGCCTTCTGGAGTCCTGATTCCACCCGTAGGTATCATTGTCGCTGAGCGAATGGTTTGCTCAACTCGACGTGACACGTCGAAAAGTGGCAGGCTACCCAGAGAATGGTGCCTGGGATCGATCGGCAGCAACGGAACTGGCGGAGGCTAGTGGCTGGTGCTGGTGTGGTGGGGGTGTTTTGGTGTGGCCTGCGCCATGCTTACACGCTCATTCGATTGCTGACTGCGCTGCTGCGGCGATTCCTGCTGCTCCTAGGACGTGGTTCACATTGGGCTGCTGACCCGCCACCAGCATACACGCCGCGTGCTCACGGGGAAAACGCTTCGGAAAGAATGGAACAGCATACGCGTGTCAGCTTTCTCCTCTAGGTAGCCTCTTCCAACTCGGGCGACTACCCACCATCCAGATGTGAATGGATGCATCTGTACTGGAGTGCTTATGCACTGGTGCTGGTTGAGCCCTCGACTTGCCCTACGGCCTGCATGAGCTTCCCGAGGATCCAATGGCGGGTCGATCCCGCGCGCCAGCCCTCATCGGAGCTTTACAGATTTAGAGCCCATGCCGTCAGACTGCCCGCAGCACAGCGACTGGCAAGTCAAGTGGTGGTGGCGGTGGTAGTGGTGTGTGGGAGAGCGTGCTTGTCTAGGGTATGCCTTGTCGGTAGGGACGTGCAGTCCTCAGCACAAAGTAGGTTACAGATTGAGTGCGGGGAGATGCCCTGTGTTGGTTGAGAGCTTTTGGAGGGCCGACGCAGCAGAAATGGCGGACATGTCAATGTCGATGACATATCGTCGGTCGGAGGTGCTGTTATAAAAGTTCAGTCGTTTCAGCTAGATCCAGAAGAGTCCAGAGGACTTCGCCGCACATTCTCCGCGACCTTCCTGTTGCTGCAGAACCGCAATGACGATGGCATTGTCGTCATGATGAACTGCAGTCCAGTCTTGAGCAATCTATAGCTTGTCTCGTCATGCGATTTCAGGGTTATGTCCTTCTCGTCTTCGGTCGTCAACATCCGTTGCTCATATCCATATTTGGCACAAGATCGAGGTTTACTGCCGCTAGGGACAAGAACAAACAATCGGGAGGCTAGGTTTCAGTGCGTGCTGCGTGTCTCAAAGTCTTGACTAGTCTGGTGCCTTTTGTCAAAGCCTACGAAGGGAGCGACGAGGGCGAACACGGAAGCCGTCCACGAACGGCTTTGATGATGTCGTGTCTGTGTGTTGTGAGACGACCACATTCGCTATCGTCGTGTGGCAGAGAACACTAGATCATAGATTGGGTTACTCGGGGACAATTCAGGGTCGGACAAATGCATCAATCGCAAACGATTCCGTTGTTTATCAACAAGGCTGGTGCTGGCGATCTGTTGTTGGCTAGAAGCAACACCGGCGTGGTGGCTGACCTATTGGACTAGGTACTGCGATGACGTGGTGTTTTGACTGCTTTACCCGAGTGGCTGCAACCTTCGAGAAGGGTTGACTGGCTTGAACTTGTTGTTGAGCGCTGTGAGCAGGGAGCACCCAACGGCTGGCAGATACACCACGCCAGGTGTCAAGGGCGCACCTAACACCACGACGCGGGCAAGGGTTGCAGCGTTCCGAGAGTGGGCCCGTCATGATGTTGACCTGGCAACGGTATTTACGCGAAGCTCCATATCAACAAAACCCTCTGCTCGCTCTTCCCTGGCTTTCGAGCTTCCAGTCCATCACACAGCATCATGTAAATAACCCACAACATACAATCGACAACCTCATTGTACTAACCACTAGCGAAAAAAATCACCACTTCTTCTGCACCATCTTTGTTTCCAACCCCCATTATCACACACAAGATGGAGCCCCAATCGCCCCCTAAGCGCATCACGCGCTCCAGAGCTGCAAAAACCGGCGACACCACGACAAGCACGAGAACAACAAAGATCGTGACTGCTGCTGCCAAGGCCAAGGCTAACCCCACTGCTCCGACGCGATCCACCTCAGCCAAAAGGAAGACCCGAGCCGACGACGTCGAAGATGAAGAACACGACGAACAATCACAACAGCCCGAGACAGCGGCTCGTACCACAAGAGCTACAAGGGGACGTCCGAGGAAGACAACAGAGGACACCGCAGAGCCAGTAGCCTCATCATCAAGCGGTGTGCCCGGCAGGGCCACGCGTGCACGAGCTGCTGCGCGCAAGGTTTCCACCACGGAGCCCGCCGCCCCCAAAGAAGAGCCTGTGAAGCCCACCCGCGGCCGACCCAGAAAGACGGCAACTGAGGACGTTCCCGCCAAGGAAGCGGAACCGGTGAAGAAGACGACGACGACGACGCGCACTCGCGCAGCAGCAGTCACAACAGCAAAGCCCGCCGTCAAGAAGACGGTAACATTCCAAGAACCCGAAAAGGAAAACATCGCTCCTGACGCAAGCAAGAAGACGACCGACAACTCCACAACTGCCACTGGTCTCCGAGCCAGACCGGTGCGAAAGCCCCCCGTTCCCAAGGCTCCTCGATCTACAAAGGCTGCCGCCACTACCACCTCCACTTCGAAGCCTGAGAAGACTCCTCTGAGCCCTAAGAAGGTCACACAGGTGCCCTTGCCTCGCGACTGTTCCGAGGACGAGTTGGCTGGCCCAGACACGCCTCCGAGACCCATGATGAAGAGTCCCACGAAGCCCCCCGCCAGTGCCCTCGGGTCCTCCAAGAAGCTTAACCTGTTGCCCTTCGACAAGGCGGCTGAGACTGAGCATGCCGAAGACGACGAAAACAGCGCCAAGTCGGAGGCACAAGAAGACGAGGTCACGAATTCTCTGGCCTCGCCTGCCAAGAGACTGCCTGCTTCGCCCCACAGAGATACGATGAAGTCTCCAGCTAAGCGCGCCGAGGGTGTCTCACTGTTGAAACCTACTTCTTCCATGAATCCTAGTGCTGAAGGTGGTTCCAACTCGCCCTCGAAGGCCTCTCTGCTTCAGTCTCCCGCCAAGCGCCCGCAGTCTCTCATGAAGCCCTTCACTTTGCCCTCGGCCCACGAGGGAGAGAAGATCTCCAACTTCAAGGCGTCTCTGCTTCAATCACCCGCCAAGCGGCCGCTATCTCCCATCAAGGGTATGAAGCCCTTGGAGGCATCGGGGCAATTGCAATCCCCCGCCACGAAGCCTCTGCTTCTGTCTACACCGACAGCTCTGCGTCCAGTGAAGCGATCGTCTGAGAAGCTCATGGCCGAGGAATTGAACGGCCATGACGAAGAGGGAGACGACGAGCTGGACGAGGTCGCAGAAGCCATGCTCAATGAGTCCATCCACCTAGAAGAGCCCATGCAATTCCCTGGCCGTCTTTCAGCCGTTCTTCCTAGACACGCGGACCCTGTTCTAAAGAAGGATATGCCGGTTTTTGAGGCTGCCAAGGAGCAGGCGAAGCAAGTCGAACAGGCCAACTACTCCCAGCAAACCGAGGCAACTTCAGAGTCTGATGTCTTTACGGACGCCGCCATTGTGGATGCTCCCGATTTCAACGGAGAGCCTATGATGGTTGACGAGGAGTCGTACTTCCAGTCTCAGCCCCAAGACACTACCCAGGCTGCCCCTCAGCTTACCCTCAATGCGCCCAGCGGGCTCTTTGGTCTACGCCAAAAGGATATGGACCCATTCAACAACGTGGACTCTGATTCGGATGACGAGCTTGCCAACAGTCCTCGCGTCTCTGCAGCTCACACCCTGGTTCCCGCGACGCCTACTCCCGCAAACTCCCGCCAAAGCCCTGCCAAGTCGAGAGTCTCCAGCATTGGCTTCACCCCTCTAGCACAGCAGCTCAACGCTTGGTCTGCTGCCAGCCCCGCCAAGACGCCCAGACGGCCTGTCACCCCGGGGCGTCCTGCCGCGACTCCTCGTGCCGAGGACTCTCCCCTTCGAAGCACTTACTTCGAGGATGAGATGACTGTCCGAGCGGACATGGATGCGCAGAATGAAATCGAGGATGCCATTGATGCCGAGATCTCTGCCGCCGCTGACGCAGAGGATCCCGAGTTCGACGACCTCATGGTCACCGACGAAGACATGGCTCTCGCCGCCGAGGCAAATGAGATGTCTCTGATGGAGCCTGGGCAGCTGGACGAGATCGTCAACACTTCCAACAGCTTTGACGACACTCTCTCGGAGGCCAGCCAGGAGTATGGTGATGAGAACGAGATGCCTGTTGATCCTGCCATGTTCAATGGTGATGTTTTTGTGCCGCCAACCACTCCTAACCGAGTTGTTGCGCGCGAGTTCCATACCGTATCCAAGGTCCCCCTCAAGCCCGCAGACGAGTCGACTCCGCGCCCCAAGAAGAAGCGTGCCGCCAGCATATCTCGACTCCCGGTCAGCCGCCCGAGTCTCAACAGAAGCGCGACTGTCATCTCCTACTCGCCTAGCAGGAAGCACAAGGCCGAGGCGGAGCAGGAGCAGGAGAATGAAGAGGAGAACGACGAGAACGAGTCTGAGTTTGCACCCGTCACACCGGCCAAGTCCGATGTCTGGTCGAGTCTCGGAACGCCAGCTCGCACTCCTCGCAGAGACCTCAACCCGGGTCTCCTCCGCGGTGCCGTCGTCTTTGTTGATGTGCACACCACCGAGGGCGCAGACGCCAGTGCATCTTTGTCGAACTCCTCACTCAGATGGGGGCACGATGCGTCAAGACCTGGGCGTGGAATCCCAGCGCTGCAGGTAACTCAGATGCCGCCAAGATCGGCATTACCCATGTTGTATACAAGGATGGCGGCAAGCGTACAATGGAGAAGGTCAGAGAGTCCAACGGTGTGGTGCAGTGCGTTGGTGTCAGCTGGGTCCTTGAGTAAGTGTTCCTCTGCCTCATAAAATGTCATACTAATCAGGCCAACAGCTGCGAACGCGAGAATGAGTGGCTTGACGAGGCACCATACTACATTGACACCTCATTGGTTCCCCGAGGAGGCGCCCGCCGTCGCAAGAGCATGGAGCCCAAGTCTCTGGCCAACCAGAACGGCATGCTCGTTCCGACGCCCGTCAAGGCTGGTCGTGATGCCAAAACGGCGCCGAACACGCCCATGAACCGACGTGACAGCACCGTCTGGATGCACACCCCTTCGGATGAGGCCGAGGATGACGACGATGACTGGCAGGGCCTGATCTCCCCCGTCCCCGCCACGCCCGCACCGGAGGCACTTGCCCGCTATGCTGCCGAGACGCCTTCCGCGTCGACCGAGTACGACTCGTCTCCGACTAAGGCACTGTTGATGCAGACTTGCCCGCCTAAGCCAAACAACTACGCCCAGATGGGCGACGGCATCCTCAACAGGGACAAGGACGAGAGCGTCATGCAGCGCTTGATGGCAGCTCGCAGAAAGAGCTTGCAGTTCGCTCCCAAGATTGGAAGCCCGTTGGCCAAGGCCTGGAAATAGAAACCTGCTTTTATCGTTATTGTACCCGACTGTTAGTTGAGCAGCGTGGACATTTGATTTTGACGGCGTTCACACGGATATGGATACGGATTCGGAAGCTGGATACGGCGTTTAGGTTATTAGATTGGTTGTACATTACACAGAATGCGATCGCAACGTCGCTTGTTGTGAGAAACTTGCATAGAATGGTCACTTGCAGAGCCGTTTTCAAGAGAAATCATGTCCGTTTCTACTGTTGAAGCCCTTCGGACCCTTGTCCATTTCTGGAAAAGGTGACGCATGTTGCCGCGCGTTCTTTTGATTGGACCAACCAACACCCGGGGCAGACTTGACTCAGGTCATTGATTGATAAGGGACTCTGTCGACGCACATGAGACCCAAGCTTTGATACCTCAAACGGCGTGGCGAATATGACTTTTCAGACTTGCCTTTCTTCAACTTTTTTCATGAATTTGCCGTCGCGATGCGTCCAAGCAGGCTGTTGCGGTCGTTGACGAGCTATGTGCTCGCGGCGCAAAGCGTCCTCGCCGATGCCGGTTCGCAGAAGCCCCTCGGGACTTTGCCGGATTCCGAAACGCTGCGATCGGCTAAGGCGGCGCCCGTGTTGAATGGCCTGGCGACTTCGTCGTGGCACGCAGCGAGGCTGAACTACTCGTCGCCGGCGCCGCACCTGTTCGCTTCGACGTACGGGCTACTGCAGCAGTGGAGCAACACTGTGTTCCCGAACGGGCATACGATGGCAGCGGTGGAAATTCCGGCATTCACGTTGCTATATCACGGGAGGATGGATGAGGAGGGGGCGCCGAGCCCCGAGTGGCTTGCTTTTGATATGTGAGTCCTTTGCCGCCTCGCAGTGTTGCAGTCGGGTTGTTTGCGTAGGAGACTATGGTCGTGCTACGCTGTGGACGATAAGAAAGAAGGGGCTATATTCATGCGAGTTGTGGACCGTTTGACGCCTGAGATGGACCCTGGAGTGAGAAAATCGAGCTGACGCGACGGACCAACACAGCGAGATGGCCTACGGCATCATGGGCAGCACGCGCCAGAGCTTCATGCTCACGTACCAGAGTACGCGGCCCGTCAAGGCGCTCTACTTCGACGGCGAGTCCGCCGCGCTCATGGGGCTGGGCCAGCTGGACACGCAGATGCTGCACCTCTACGGCAACGTCTCCGGGCCGAGCAGCAAAGACGGACGCTGGCGCGGCCTGGAGCCCGAGTATGACCGGGCTACGGGGCTCTGCGACTGGTTGCTGGAGAAGAGGTTGAGGGGCGAAGGGTGGGGGATCGAGGGGTAGTGAGGATGAACGCGGGGTTCGAAATGATCTGGTGCGACTTTGGAAGCGGGAGTCTGAGGCTTGTTTCCAGGGGGAACGTTACGGCGCCGCAGACGAGGGAGAAGAAGGAGAGGAGCGGAGGGCAGAGTGACGGCGTCAGGGAGGTTCAGCAAAGGGGTGTGCACGATGGAGAGGTCCCGACGTCGGTATATCCTCTCCCGCCGCAACCGACCCTAACGGACCGCCCTGTGAGCCCGTCCCGCCCGCCGGTGCCGCCCAACTGGCGCGGGATCATGGGTCCCGTTGATCGGGAGCCGTTCCTACAGAGCCAGGGGTGGGGATGGTTCTCGTCCGCGACGTGGCATTACGGATCGAACGGCGCCGGATTGGGGAGGGGGGAGACGAGGGCCCGGGTGCTGGGGTGCGGGGTCACGAGCTGGTACTCGAAGGGCGTCTGGGGTTCCCTCGTCGACGAAGAGAGGAAGAGGTTGAACCTCACCGCGGAAGGGTACTGGGCTGACGCTAAGGATATCGGCAACCGGAGCGTGGCGTTGAGCGAGCTGGGGAGGAGGAGGCGGCTGCATCATCTGGAGGGCGCGACGGCGTCGCAGGCGACCGACATGAGATGGGAGACGGAGCTGATGCTGAGGGATGCCGTTGTTGGCAGCGGCGGGTGTAGCGGGATGGAGTGGGTCGGGACGATGGGCGAGATCGTGCAGCGGACTGCGGGTCACCTGATGGCGCTGGAGCAGGGCGCGAGGTTCGGCGGTGATTGGGGCAACGAGACGGAAGTGAGGGAGTGGTTGTACAGGCTGCGCGGGCAGAGCCACATGTTCCTGGTCTCGTTCCTTGAGTATCCGGACGAAATCGACGCGGGGACGTGGGATTCGACGGGCGAGCTTTTCGGCGAGACGTACTCGCGGTGTCGGTACCGGTACACGAGGCTCCTGGTCGACATGCCGCTGAGTGCGAGAGAGCGGGGTCTGAAGGACGCGGTGGAGGAGGTCATGGGTGGCATCTGCGGGGTGTTGTTGGAGGTCGGTTTTGGCATCGAGGGGGCGTGGTATGATCTCGAGGAAGGGGAGAAGTCTCGACTGGAGGTCAATTGGAAGAGCTGGGCGGACGCGGTGAGGCGGCTGAGGGCCTGGGTGGGATGGGAGGGGGAGTTTATCCGATGTGACAAGGTTTGCGGATGGGATGAGCGATGCTACATTCCCATGTGGCCGATGTTGAGGTCCACGTGGGGCGGCAGAAGGCCGAGACCACCGCCGGAGGACGGTCCGGGGAACGGGACGGAACCCGGGGATGGACGACCGCCGCCGCCACCACCACCGTATAGGGGTCGGGGACCTGGTTATGGAGGAGGAAACCGCACGCGACCCGGACATGGCATGCCGGAGCGGGGCCCGGGTTGGATGGGGAATGAGGACGACCTGTGGGAGCCAAAGTGTGTTAAGTTAGAGGACATTATGCCGAAGCCCGATGGAGACTAACCGTGCGTGTCCGCGGTCACTGCGAAGAATGGAACAAAGTATTCAATTCCCACTTGGCGGGTGTCTAATCGGGAATAGGACCAATATGGACGGCTTGTTTGCAATCGGTTCACAAACGAGAATCCAGACACTATGATTATTATTCTCTAGAGCACCATACACCCAGCCTATGAAACAACAGGAGTTTAGACTCGCCAAATAGGAGAAATTGCGGTTCATGACCATCGAATTGGGTGGGCGAAATTAAGTCTCAATGTTCTGGCTGGCAGTTCCTGCCTTACTTGTCAGTCTTAGCTGGCGATGGGGATTTATAACGTCACACCGCTGGACAGAGAAGGAGCAACTGTGCAGCCATCTGGACACCGCTCTACGGGTTTAACTATGTCATCTAATCTGTGAATTCTTTTCTTAGACTCTCTTGGAGCTAAACTTTGGGGGCCACTTGCAACGTGACGATTATCATCTACACCATTCGGAAGAGTGATAATGGCATCATACTTTGGAAGGTCATGTAAGATTGTTGCATTGAGTTTAGCATTCGGTGCAGCTCAAGGGGGCGCTGGGCTCGGAAACAACTCCCAATCCATACGGTCCTTCAATCCGGTTTTACACCTGAAACTGACCGCAAAGGCAGTTCCGTCTCTGGGTCGACTAACACGCGCATCCATCCACTCGAGCCGCCACATTGTTACCGCAGACCCCAGATGTAGAGGCCATCATGCCCACGGGCGGCGTCCTACTTACAAGCAAAGGATGCAATTCCCCTATTGTCTCCTCATCACCCCTATGTTGCTACAGCCCAGAGCAATCTCCGTCTAGGTCCAGCCGCTTGTTTTGTGCTCGAAGTTTATTATCTCTGCTGAAATCGTCCTTCACGACCTCCATTACGCTTAACAGAACACGTAGACTCTTAGTGCCAACGTCTCATAAGCCTCAACTCGTCTGCCTCCCGAGGTTAAGCTATAAAGTTCGAGGTGTATTATGTCTCTTGATCGACGTTGGCCATTGTTGAGTTGTATGGATTTCTTACTATACTATACCTTACATGGCTTGTTGGATTCGCGAACAGCGTAGGTAGTGTAGCGGTCGTTGATCCTGTGGTCTTGTTTGTAGGTCGGGAATGCGAGTGAAAATGTTCAAACTATGCCACACCCTCTGTTCCTCCTGACACCACGCACCATGAGAAGGTCTGCTACAGCATCCTACTGCTCTTTCAGGCAGTATCGAGTGTGCTCGTCAAAAAGTGAAGAACACGCTTAGTGACATATTACATGCTTCTCTGGCGGTGTCACACGCCACGTCCTTCTGGATATGTCTGAATCGGGATGAAATGACCCACTTTTATCGCAGGCCAACTTGCTGCGCGTATGAGAACGGTCCCGTCATTTGTAGTTCCACAAACATGCCTGTTCACGCAGTCACATCGATTATTCCCGACAGGCTCGGAAGGGCCCGAGTCGGGTGTATTTAAAGTCGCAAAAAGAGGATCATGCAACAATAAGCAAGGTACACTGCAAAATCCAAAAGATATGGAATAAACGAGTCGAGCTCGTAAATTGCATATGTAATAACTCGTAGATAACAAAACAAGGATAGCAGAACACACATGGACTGATAGCAACTGTTGACTGTGTTCCGCTGATATACATTTGAACCTTCAAATTAAATAGTGGGAACTCAAACAGACATATTCGGCCATTTCGACAAATTGGAAACCATGTAGGCCCGAAGCTCCTCAGCCGGCTTGAACATCGTGACTGCACCCATCTATGTAAACGGAAATAGTCTACACGCGAAGGTTTTCAGATTGGCGCCTTTACCTATGTCTTTGTTCATCAATATACCTGAATCACACATACAAACCCAAAGCTCCCATTAGCGGCAGTTTCTGACTAGCCACAATGTTCTTTTTTTGAGCAAATTAATATCGCCCTGGTGGCTGCATCGACCGGCGTTCAGGCTGTTTGTATTACTAGACAACACACTTGTGATTCTAACTCGGCATTCCCTCTTAATTGCGGAGCCGATGAAGAAGTCGGTGGTCATTCCATCCTTTGCTGCGATAGTCCTTGCCTTCCCCGTTGTATACGACGCTACTAATCGCATTTTGAATCCGTATGTTACCGAGTTTCATTCTCGATACTGATAACATATATACTGATTTGTTTCAATTCCATACAGGCTATGTATTATAAATACAGAAGCACGCGGTAGGAACACGGAGGTTGAATTCGGTGGAATGTTGAGAATAATAACGGTAGGGGTACTCCTCTTATCATCACACGCAGTTAGCATACGAGCTATACCTGAAATTCTAGCTCTACGGGATGGAGGTGACACCCATGCGTAATGAACTAGAGAAGCTTCTCGATATTCTCCAATCCGATTGCCACGGGTGTGGGAGACAGTCTGCTTAATATACATACATCAAGGATCTGTATGCCTCAATAGAGCGCAACTAGTCCTCGACACAATCATAGAAACGGTCAATCTATGCAAATTCCCTCTTTAACACCCCTATCCTGCATCTAAGACACAATATTCACGATCAACCGCCCACCAGGAAAAGAGCACAGTATTTATCAATATATTGATTGTATCAATCAATGAAGGGTGGTTGCAGGGCGTGATCTTCCCTATCAACTACTTAGAAAGCTACAATATCAATGGGAATAAGTAAAGAGTATTATCCACGTACTGAGGTTGCTGGTGCTACAACAGTTTGAGCCATCCCAGTACCTAACCGAACAAAGTAAAGCGGTCTGCCGAATGGCCCACCGCCGACTCAAACGCCAAAGCGCTGTTTCCACTTTGAAGCAAATGAAGCCCCCCTGACGATCCTCCATCTCTGTTGCTCACTGTTCCACTGCTCTGGCCCCTAGCCCACCGTTTGCGCAGAACTCGAGTAGCGTGATGGAAATCTTTGCCAACTGATACATCACTCATTTATGTCTTTTGTAATCACAGACGTCATTCTAGCCATGTCTGCATGTGTTGAGATTGACGGAATGGGATGCTCTCGGTATCCCATCGCGTGCCAACTAAGGCCATTTTTGCCGAGACCTGTATTGTCCACTTTAATACCCGGTTCTACTCCGAAACCGTTATTTGGGAGCTATTGATTGGTTTGGGAATTGGGTCAATGAATCCAATTGGCCTATTGCGCCCTTGACAAATTGCATTAGCGAGCATCTAGTTTCGCAGTTTACCTTGGGGAAACAAGTGGATTGTTCCCTGGCATACCGAATCCAAGCCAATCATTCGGTGCAAATTTTTCCGAGCAGCTTTGTCGGCCAGAGCTGAAAGTGGAGACGTTAGAATTGTACAGCGATTAGTGGATGCAAACAGAAGAACTGAGAGAGGTGCCAGAAGACTCTCAACGGTGCCAGACACCGCTCATAGACGCAGCTTGAGATGCATTCGAAAACATAGCCCGGCCTGCTTCTGCACATGGACGGATGTAACGGACAGATCAGTATGACGGCAACAAACGAGACAAGGATGCAACGGATGCCGCCGAAGCCCATGGCTATGCTTAAAGGAACGGGCGGCATGCCCACATCATTTCGCTTCGCCGCCATCGACTGATGTCTATGGCTTTCGAGTTGTAATCAGAAATTTCACAAGTGTTCAGAGTTTTTCGGGTAATAGATGATCCTTGTCGATCGATTCATGGCGATGCACAGGTCGCACTTGTGTGTTTGTTGTCTTTCCGATCGGGCCCCGCGCACCGCAACTTCGTAAATGCGGCATAACACAAACCGCGTGACCGAGGGGTGTTGCCGGATCCCGCGCAACACGGGTATTTAAACGACCAGCAGCTCATCATAGGTGGGGTAATGCGTTCGTTCCCCGCAACTGATGGGTTGTCAATGGCCATCAATAGGAGAACCCCATGCCATGTCTTCGAAAACCTGACCAGCTGGTGGGACGAGATGGACCCCAGGGCAGAGAAGCTTGTTTCGGGTGGCTTCCCTAACAGGGAATGGGCTCATTGTAAATTGACTCACCCCAGGAACATTTCGCCAAAAAAAACCCATTCTCTGCGCTATTTAGTAAACCAGGAAGGTGATTGGCTTCCATCGCTCGGGGCTAGAGTTACGCTCGCTTCCTCGGATCGAGCTGCCCCTGAATTACATGGTGGAAGGAAGTCAGACGCCGAGGGCCCCGCTGTTAATGTAGGACGTTCGAATAAGGATGATCCTTGAGGCCTGGCAGCTTGGTCGTCTGCTCGTATTCCTAACCCGGGCATTCGAAAACGTTCTTGCTAAAGGACACCAAGCTGAGGCTAATTAATGCGGCAGGGGTCCCGACCAGGGTCATGACTGCAGCCTAGTAACAGCTGTATGGGGAACTTCTGACCTTTCATTGCCCACCTGCTACATAGAGTGAGGCAACTTTCCAGCTGTTATTAGTACACTTGCCGCAAAACCGGGCGATATTCAGCCGCTCGTGGCTCCGTCAGCAACACACCAAAACGTTGAAGCAGGCATGCGCCTAGGCGAGAGTGCGGCCTGGCACAGAAGGATGTCGCGACTGGGACCCTACACCTCCCTTTTTAGGTTTTGCAAATTTCCTGATTCCCTCTGCTGTTCTTGTTTTTTTTCTTGTCTTGTTTACCAGCTGGATTCGTCGTAAGAGTAGGCCATGCGAACCGTTCTTACGTCCACTATTTGACTCTTCGTTCTGTCACACCCGACACGCCTCTGCCAACCCCTTTCAGCATGCTCCTTGACTCTCGACGTAGCCACTCATCGCTAGGCCCCGAGAACGGCAATGTGGTTCAAACTACAGCTCCACCGCTACTGTGGACTCGACTGTTGGTGTTTGGCGTGGGCTCACGCTTTACCAACCCTCGATTTATCTTCAGCTTAGCTGCGCTCGCTGTCCTTGGTGCCAAAATTATCCATATCGGCACCCATCTCTCTGCTCTACCAACGGTCCATCTGGTACGATGGGGCTATTCCTTCTTCGCCCAAGACATAATCTTGCTGATTATTCTACGGCTACTTCTTGGAGGATGGCTCTCTTCTGCCCGTGGTGAAGGGTTGCTGCGGCGCATGACACTCTTTACGGGTTGGTCCTTTGTCATCTTCATCATTGGTTTGAACGTTATCAACATTTGCTTTTTTGCGGTGGCCGGCTCGGAGATTCATTGGCAAAACATAGGAGTTGCAGGTGATGCTGCAGGACGCGCTCTTTTGCTGTCGGGCTTGGTCTCCTCTGTACTGGTCACCAGCGCCCTGGTCCTCCTGGCCTGGCCCATGAAGGACATATGGTTCGTCTCCGTGGGTCTGCTAGCAGATATCGTATGCTGGCCTCTCGTGTTTGCAGCGCGTGGTCGCCTCGGCCAGTCCCAAGCTCAGTGGTCCTATACCACAACATACCTCAAGGTCCCGCAGGAAGATGTTGAACATGGCACCAAGGAAGAAGACGATCGAGAACAGCCAAGCTTCAATTTTACTGGAGGCTGGGTGGGTGTCAAGAATTGGCCGTGGATAAGGATGTTTTGGCTCGCAGCGTACGTCTTGGCTGGTGTTGCGCTGCTTGCCCAGATTACCCTATGCATCCTCCGCCCTCACGAGAGCTCTATAACCTACATGTCTTGGACCGCGGCGCTTCTTCCCTTTATTGACTTCAAAAACTCGTCTCCAAGTCTTGAGAAACTCCTCCCCCATTACAACTCTGGAATTAACCGCAATTGGGATAACCGGACTGCACTCAGCGAGCCGATCGCCCTCCCTTGGCTACCAAAGGATTATATTCCCCAAGGCTTCGAAGATTGGTACAACAATAGGACACACTACAATGCGGCGGCTGATCCGCTCAGAATTCCGAACCTGGGCGACGAATTGCTTCCCCAACTAAGGAAGCTCGAGGGGGTACCGATTCGGCATATCGTGACTATCGCGCTTGAAAGCACGAGGAAAGACGTCTTTCCCATCAAAGACGGTGGAATCAACGCAGCACGTCTCAAAGAATCGTGGGATGACGGCAAAATGCCTCAAGATGCACTTGAGCGCCTTAGAACCTTAACACCAGTTGCCAGTTTCTTGACTGGTGATCACGACGACGGATTCGACCACCCAGGCGAGGAAAAGAAGAGCAGAGGCGGCCTGAATTTTAACGATGCATACACCACTGCGACATATACGCTCAAAAGCCTTGTGGGATCCCTCTGTGGCATCACACCTCTAGTTGCCGACTTCAACCTCGAATATCAACACCATATCTACCAACCCTGTTTACCACAAATCTTCGAAGCTCTCAACACTCTCGACAAAAGCAATGCGCCTGGCTTTACCTCATACAAGTGGAAATCGTCATTTATGCAGTCCGTGACGGCAAACTTTGACAACACCGGTCCACTGATGGAGAAAATCGGATTTCCTGCGGACAGTATTATAGACAGCGAATACTTGAGAAGCAAGTCGGCCAAATTTGGCCCGGTTGACCTGAAAAATGTCAACTATTTTGGCATGGAAGAGACGCCTCTCGAAGACTACATCCGGGATCAGTTTAAATCGGCCCAGCAGTCAAACGAGCGAGTGTTTCTCACTCACATCACGAGTACGAGCCACCACCCATATGGACTGCCTGAAGGCGAGAAATACGTGCCCCTAGGGAGGGGTCTGGATGACCTCTCACATTACATCAATGCCATTGGGTATGACGATCGTTGGCTCGGCAAGATACTCAACATGCTAGACGACCTCGACGTGGCGAATGAGACGCTCGTGGTTTTGGTGGGAGACCACGGCCTGTCAATCCCAGAGAATGACATTCTCGCTTCGTATTACAACCCCAACGTAGGGAGTAACCACGTTCCATTGGTCTTCTCTCATCCCAAGCTTCCACCTATCACTATCGACGGTGCCGTCTCATCTCAGCAAATCTTACCCACGGTGCTGGATCTCCTCATCGAGACGGGATCGTTATCAAAGCCTGCTAAACGCGCTGCAAGCGATCTCCTTCACAACTACGAGGGGCAGTCGCTAATTCGGCCTGTGCACAAGGCGCGGCCAGCAACAGCCAACCGAGACACCGAACAGCCATCTTCATCCGCAGACTCGACACCTCTCGAAGTAGCAAATTGGCAATTCACAGTCATCAACCCCGGCCGCGCCATGCTTGGTGTTCGTGACGCGCGCCACAAGTCTTGGAGAATAGTTGTTCCTGTGCTGGACAACGTCGAGTGGCACTTTACAGATATCGCCATGGACCCGCGCGAGGCGGAACCTGTGCTCGGGTTCGAATTTGCCGAGTTCCTCGTGAAGATCGAACAGACCCATGGCAAAGACGCAGCAAGCTGGGCTGAGGAAGCGGCATTTATAGCAAGGTGGTGGGTAGAAGAAAACAACAAGCGATGGCGTTACGGGCCGTATGCATCTTATTAGAAACAAATTTTAAAGTTGATAGATTCAGACATTTCTAGCCACAGTGTTTTGTGTAACCGCCGCCTTCTCCGTTGACATGCGCTAAAAGGAACCTTTACAATATTTACAAATCACAGCCAATCCCGACTTGAAGTAAAATGCTCAGATTAATGGGGAAATAGCGGCTTCTGCATCTGCCTGCCTCAACTAGGGTTCCTGGGCGCGATGGCATTTTAAAAAAAGCTCCTGGATCGGACGCAACTCCAATAGCGACCCGTACCCTTTCATCTCCTGATGAATACTACGGACTTGTAGCTAAGTCGAGGATGACCAGCAATTTACCACCGAGTTTATCTCTCCATTGTCCTTCTCTGCTACAGATTCGGCAGTCGGAAACAGTTGGTAGCGAATGTACTACGCCTAAACATGGGACTCAGCTTGTTTCCGACACTACAATACCATGTTGCAATCAGATGCGTTTTCACAACATTATTTACGACTTTGCTCATCATTTCCGAGTAAGTTGTCTGCCTATGGTAGTGGCTTTCTCATCTTCCTATTATTTTTTTCGTGGAAACGTTGAAATTTTCCTTTGTTTCTGGGTTATTCGTCCTGATTGTAGTACTGGGAATGTAAACCATTAGGTCTTGGACTAGTCCATTTGCTTCGGGTTTCTCGTGACTAGATATTATGAGGTTAGGCTCGTCCTATCTTTGCCTAACCATCCTCCATCAACTCGAACAAAATTCTTAGACACAGAGCGAATTCCTTTGTTGGCCTAATTGTACTCTATTGAAGATTGCCTGTTTTGTTAAATGGGCAACCGAGGGTTAGGGGTGGTCGCTATACCCTTTCCGGTGTGTTTATTTGCACGAGAGCGGAATACGTTCGAGGGCGTGTGACTTACGGAACTCTTCCGGGATTCTTATGGGAGTTTTATCCTACAACCGGAACCCAATCGCCCATTTACACAATTTCGAAAGGCCGCATGTCCTTTCCTACAAAAGAGTCCAGTTCGTACCGGACAAATCCTTCGCCAGCCCATTTCATCACCGTACTCAAAAATAGAAACTCATCTCTGGACACGGGGCGGAGAAGGACAGGCGCACTGGCACCCTGTAGGGAACATACAACATCCCCAACGCGTGGGCCCACGCCTCGTCGCATCACCTTGTCCACTGCCCCTTTATCTGTTGCCAGCACACAACCCCCACGAGCCAGCACATCCCCCCCGATCGATAAGACCATTTGTCCGCTTGGACATACTCGCCAGTCAGCACCGAGAGCAACAAGGCATCTCTTAACGTGTTGTACCCTTCATCCATTCCCTGTATTTTGAAGCCCATGATTATCCACGAGCGGACAACTTCCTCGAGCTGCTGGTCATTGGTTGCAGAGACAGTTTTGAAGAAAGAGTGCAGAGATTTGAGCTGGGCTGTCAGCCATGCTTCGCTACCAGTCTTCTCAGCACACTCCAAAGGGCTCCAGACGTGGGTGCAGCTCTTCAATACTGTCCCATGTACCAGCAACTTGTCGCCGGGTAGGAAGGTAATCCCGGGCCATTGTTCGTGCGATAAGCCCCAAGGATGGTAACGGTAGTCTGGGACCCAAGATGGCACGCCCGTGACGGAGCCATCCAGCCGATCCCACAAGGACAGATCTCCCCACACTTCGAGACAGCACCTCGTGTAGTCCCTGTAAACCTCTTCATAAGGCCGTCCGTAGTCGGGTACAAGATAGTTCGGAAGGTCGTTGACGCCCGCGATTCCAAGTAGCCCGTAGAGCTGGTCGTGTCGCCTGCTGGACTGGAAAGCCCCTTGCGTAGCTCTGAGATACCGGTTCAGGCACCAGCCCACGGTTGCCCGTTCGTTAGAATCACCCAGGCCTTCAGGGGCGTTCTTATACACCTTTCTGAGTCTGAGAAACACATCAACATGATAATGATGCGAGGTGTAGTCGAAGTTGAAGTGAGCGGCCTGTCTCGATCGCTGAGCAAGCTGCCACACTCGGCTCAGAGCCGATAGCTCGAACCAATACGGACCAGCCAGTAATACTGGCTCGTTTTCCCCCAATGCCCTGGTTCATCAGCGTAGTACCGGGTAGGTTAGGCACAATAGCTTGACTTACATTTCCTGAATGATCCAGACGCGGCAGAAGAACGGCCGCACCAGCAGTGTGTACAATATGCCCAGAAAGTCCTTTATCCTTGTTGCGATGATGCCGTAGAGTTTGTTTTTGTACGTTCGATTTCTCTACGGTTCCTCCATAACCGGAGCCTCGATGCTGCAGAGCTTCATCAGGAGTTTTACACTCTCATCCTCGGTCTTCTCGTTTTCTCCGAGCCAGCCGAGGACGCGTTCTGCCCGCCCGTAAATTTCCCCCATTCTTGGGATCTCCCTCTCCTTCTTTTTTTCATTGAGTTGATCGAGACACAAATAGTCGGCCCAGATCCAGAAGCTCTCAAACGTCTTGTCTGCAAAGGATGGAGCCGAGATCGAGTCGGCATTGCTCAACATCTGCCGGAACTGTCGAAGAGCTTCGTAGAGGCCTTCACCCACACAGCTGTCTTGCCCATTGACCACAATCTTGGTATCCTCATACAGGTTGTCCCTGGCGTATGATAGCGCATAATATCGGGGTGATTCTCGCAACGGCCAATGTTGGATATCGCAAGTGATAACGTCATCCCACTGGCCAGAGAAAAGCCTCACCAAACGAATCTCACCCGCTTCCAATGGTTTATAGAAGTCAGTGGGTTTCATACTAGGCTCTGCCGCTGATATTCTCGTGTCGTCTGAAGAGGAAGACATGAAGGGTCTCAGAAGGTCGGCACTCCGAAAGAAACAATACCACTTGACAGTTATGGAGCACTCGGTGCAGCCTGAAAATAGACGAAAAGGTAAGATCAACTCACCTTCGCTAACCTCAAGCAGGCTCCCACGCAGGCCACAATCGCATGTTACAATTGGTTTAGGTACCGCGTGGGTTTATTCAATCATCACATAGGCATCCACGTGGCGAATAGAGAAGCATAGAATCACCCAGTAAGATCATGCAGGTAACCAAAAGAGAATAGAATTATGGAGATAACTATCTGAAATAAAGATGCAAAAATATAACAACACCAGGTATTCGCTGAGTGTCACCAACCCCACTGATGGGGCTGCCTGTGATTTTTGCAACACAGCGTCATCAGGATTATGGGTTACAAAAATGGTAATTGCGGATTACCAATCTCTCGCAGAGGTTTGAGCTGGTAAGATTAAACAAACACATGGGATTGTAACGTCAGTACGAGTACTACCCCTAGTTTATGCCATCTCTGCTTCTTAATCATTTTGGATATAAGCTGAAAGCAATGCAGTTTAAGAGGCAACTAGCCTTATATTTGCGACTTGAAGTACTATGGGATTGTAAAGCGGACAATGCGATACTTTCGCTGGTTCTGTCTCGTCTCAATGAAATTTGTCAGGCCTGACTCTGAATGCTATGTACCCTATCCTTAGCCGTAGAAAGTTCCCATCATGGAGAGAACCTTGACACCCAGTCTCAAGCTCTGAAGAATCGGTTGCGGTTGCGGCAGACCAGGTCATGCTGACCAGTGCAAATGCAGTACTGGTTTTCATTACAGACATTGCGGATTACCCATTTCCCGCCGTCGCATTGGAGCTGTTGCAAATTTCAAACATGGTTAGAGGGAAATCCCATGTGTTTAGATGACAGGACCAAGGTAGATCACTCACGACATCACGAACGCTGCCAGCGCTACAGCAATGCGGTCCGTTCGGACTGTATTCACAGCGGGCCCCGATTGTGCAGTAGGTGCCGGGGCAAACATCAGCGGCAGACACAAGGCTCAACGAAGCCGCGGCGAGGAGTAGGACATTGTTGAAGAAACGCATGGTAGCGCTACGATTTGGTTGTTGTTGAAGTGATACTTGACAAAGAGCTAGAGGAGGATGGTAAGGAGCAGAAAATTCACCACCAGCTGCAGCGATATTGAGCGAGTTTATATATTCAGACATTGAAAACCTCCCTTCTTTTTCTCTTTGCTCGTCTTACCACATACGCATATCGGCCGTATAGTATTGTTCTAGATGGAGGGTTGCACATTGCTTGGTCTCAACATACAATGGCATTTTGATTGGTAGATGTCAAACACATACACAGTCAGACGGTACTGTAAAGAGTGAATGACTTGGTGATCAATACGTACATCTAAGGGTGCAGTGGTGATCAGCATTCGAATCCATCACCACTGGATGCGGCTCCGCGCGCAAGGCTCTACCGCTTATGTGCGCGCCGTCTGACGATGATCCGTGCGATCACCAACACTTTCCCATTGTAGCCATGCAGCCCTTTGACGTTTAGGCCGAGGCAATGCACACCATCTTGAGTTCTTGTCTTAAATTCGCTGACGTGATAGTCAGTGTCCGTCTAGTCCGAGGGGGTTGCATGTGTAGATGTGGAGGCTAATATAGAAGAATCTTACACACTGACAGGGCTATGCTAATGAACATCCGGACATCAACTTTAGTTTTCCCCACTACGTCTACATTTGCATGCGAAGTCCTTTTGTTCTAAGCCAGTAAAATAACCATTCTAGTGGTAAGGATGGGATCCGGAACCCTCTCCGACGCCTCAGCCTGATGGGTATGCTGCGCTGAGGTGGAGACAGGCGAGCTCTGCCTGCCTATTTCCGCCTAACATTACATTGACATAAACACAGCCAACAGTCGCCATCTACTGGATTCATCGTTTGCAATATAGTGGAAGACATTTAGATACCGAAAATTGTAGGTCACTCTTTAGCAAGAGGCTCTTTTAATTGTTAGAAGCCTTTCGGATAGAGCTCTTACATTCACAGAGCTCCTCAAGACGATCATGGGTTAGTGGGGCTACTGGTGCTTTGCTTGAGCTAGTCTTTGTAGCGCTTTCCTAACACAACCTTCAAGGCTTAGTGATTTTGCAAGATATGCTCGGACGGTTATTCCACATCTTGAGTCTACATCAGACGCGCCTATTCAGACCTACAGGGCTCTACATTTATTAATCCGAGTGTCTAACGGTCCAAGGCAAGTGTGTTTGCAACAAGCTATGGCCACTACTGTCAAAGTACGTCAATTGATAGGATAGCCTTGGTGTGGCTATTGGTTCTGTGTGTCTCTCATATAGGAAAATCACCCCATCTGTCGCTCAAACTGCCCCACTTTCGTCTAGGTTAGGCTGCCGCATTGTCCACTTCGAATACAACTAGTATCCTCAGATGAGGATTAGAAGGGAAAGTTATGGATCTCCACCTTGCTGCTGGCCTGATCATGGCCATGCCGTACTGGCCATCGGATTGTCAACATCTTAAGTTCCGCGGTAGGCCTGACCAGGCTTCACCTGTAGGTAACGCGTCGTGTGACCCTGGCCGCGAAGTCCAGCAAGGCTTCATGATAAGTTACATTGCATCTATTAGATATGTGATACTTGGCTTTTTGGCAACTAAATACCTATCGACAGATGGGAAAGGATCAACGCATTCTCACCAGCACTGCGGGGAAGAAGGACTTTTTGAGACCGTAGAGCATGATGGGGACAAGGCTAGCGATGCGGTTGCAATCGTTTGGGTCATGAGAGTGGCCATCGGCAGTTCGGCGAGATGCGGGATAGCGAGCGGCAAACGGCTCCCCTTGATTTCCAGAGAGGGCGCCTCACGATGATGGTATCCACCACAATCAGCCCCAAAGAAGAGCAAAGCCCCTGTAACCACAAGACGAATGGGGTTGAACTAAGTGACCAGATGAAATAATGTTATGAACACGGCCGCCCAATTCGTCGAGGAGGCTTCCCCGCGAGAAAAACGCAAGGATGCCTGCAGTAGTGATGCTGCAGTAATGCTCGGGGTTTTTGTAGTGTGAGCGCGTGATGGTGGGCGTTAGTTGAGTTGGATCGGAGCTGGGGTGAGATTGCCAAGTAGGGGATGCTCGCTAGCAAGTGACACCTTCCGTTTAGGCAGATGACCTGCGAGCGCAAGGCTCATTGATAGCATCAGCGGTCTTGCTGGAGCATGCCATGCATGGTGTCTTGGGCAGTTGCTTACAAGTCGGTCTAGTGGAGTCGGTGCCTGCATGCGAGTCCATCCTCGCACGTCCTCGGGTTTCGGGCACAGCGGCTTTGTCTGTATGACTAGACTGAACTGAATGATCCAACTTGTATGTGATCTACGCTGATATTACTTGCCCAAGCTGGGTGGAGTCATATATACGAAGGCAGCACCAGATGTGAACCCCTCTATACAGCTCAGAGCGAAGAAAAGGAAGGCTTCGGTTGTATTCAGAGAGGGGAAAGGAGGAGATTTTTTCCTGCTGTGCCCTGTTTGTTCTGCTGCTCACTAATGAGTTACGGTAAACACAACCTAGATAGGCCGACACGGGAAGACTGTACGACGGCTTTTTTGCAAGACCTCCACAGTGTAAGAAAAAAAGGACCGTTTGATTCGTTTTGAAACTCGGCCAACTGATAAAACGTCACAATTAGTCTTACGGCATGAGACATGTGAACCATGGAGACCCGACACACTATTGAATACCATATAGAATCCTTGGGAATCTTTGACAAACACCATCTAAGCTTTTTTGTTCCGATGTCTATAAACCCCGCCAACCACCAAATGCCTAGCCTGTTCATGAGCGCAGGTACGCCTTCATCGCCTTGACCGCATCTCCGTCGTTGGCCTTGAGAAGTTCCGTGGCCTTGGGCTTGGTGAGCTCGAGCTCGTCGACCTGGCCGTCTGTCAGCATCACGTGCTCGCATTGATTCCCGTTTCCCTTGCGCGTCGACCGTGTTGTCGTGTATCATTCGGAACGGGCTGTCACTGACCAGCAGCGCAACGTCGGCAGCGTCGACCTTGACGTTCTTGACCTCCTTCTTTGCTGCGGTGGCGCCGCCCAGGCCCTGGATGGCCTTCTGCGCGGCCTCGGCGTCGACCTGTGTGTTGCCAGAGTCGTCACCGCCAGCGTCGAGGCTGGCGAGAGCGGACGCGGCCTTGCGGTCCTCGGCGGACTTGGCGGGCTGGACCTCCTCCTCGACGTCACCGGCAGTGGCGCCCTCGACGACGGCGGGGGGCTGCTTCTCGGACATGGTGTTATGTGTGTGTGTGTGTGTGTGTGATGATGATGATCGTGCTCGGCGGATCGGGTCGGTCGGGGAGTGCAGGGCGTTGCGGGTTTGGGGAGGTCGATCGGTGGTGTAGAGGGGAGCTGTGTTGGAGATGGTTGAGCTCGATGTCGCGCGGTCACAGCTGTGAGGAACAGTGATGGGAATTTGTGGTGGGGCAGGTTAAGGTGGGGGCGGGGAGGGGAGGGGAGGGGAGAGCTGCTCTCCCACCTTGGGAACACCGACACTGACCTGGGTGCATAGCTCTCTACACCGATGGTGAGCGTTCGAGGTAGGTCGGTACGCCTCGGCATAGCGTTGCCCTGGAGGATGACGGGGGTACAACTTTAATTGCCAAGTGCCCTGCTTCTACGGTAGGCAAAATGGCTCCAAGCGACCGACGGATGGTCTGGTTCCTGAATGCTTTTCATAGCGCCATTTCTTCAGTTGTCATTGGTCAATGTCAAGTGCGCGCCGTTGAACCCAGAGGCCCTACTTTTTTTCCCTTCGTCTTCCTCGCATCCGTCTCGTCCCATTCTTCGCATCGGAGTATCCCAATTCGACCACATTGTTTGTCCCTGCACAGACAATTGGATAACTTTGAAGTTGACTCACTGTTGTAGCTCCCACCTTCGCTCTGGTCTACAACTCAATTCAAAAAACTACTTTGACTTTGCTTCGGTTTGTCTCATTTTTAAGTCTTGACGAAGAAGGTCCACACCATCTTCTCATCACCTCTGTCTCCATTGACTCATCCTAGTGACGGTGAGCTAGCACACAACACCACATCATGTCTTCTCCCGCCTGGTCACCCGACTCCTGGCGATCAAAACCCATCAAGCAAGCGCCGGGCTACCCGGATGAAGCCGCGCTCAACAAGTCAGTCAAGGAACTTTCACGCCTTCCGCCCATTGTTCACCCCAAGGAGATTGTTGCATTGAAACAGCATCTCCGCGATGTGGCCCTCGGTGAGGCCTTCCTGCTGCAGGGCGGCGACTGCGCCGAGCTTTTTGACTACTGCGAGCCCAACGCCATCGAGTCGAAAATTAAGTTACTCCTACAGATGAGTCTGGTTCTTGTCTGGGGCGCCGACAAACGCGTTGTGCGCATTGGACGCATGGCCGGTCAGTATGCGAAGCCAAGGTCAAGCCCGACGGAGATTGTCGACGGAGTGGAGCTTCCGTCGTTCCGGGGAGACATCCTCAACGGCTTCCACGTCGACGAGCGCGACATTGACCCCCAGAGACTCGTCAAGTGAGTCGTCACGTCTGAAATGTGCAAAGGTCCGTGGGCTGACCGCTACAGGGCCTACCAATACTCGTCAGCAACTCTCAACTACGTCAGAGCATGCCTCTCGTCAGGCATCGCAGATCTCCACAGGCCGCTTGACTGGGGCCTGGGCCACGTTCGGGACCCCGAGCTGAAGAGAAAGTACTCCGAGGCCGTCCTCTCTCTCACTGACATGCTCCGCTTCCTCCACACGATTGGCGCCGACAGGAGCGACAAGATGGACACGGTCGACCTCTTCACGAGCCACGAGGGTCTGCTCCTCGAGTACGAGCAGCCGCTGACCCGCCTGCTGGAGACGCCGGCGCCGCGCCCCACAACCAATGGCGCCCGAGACGGCAACGGTAGCACCAAGGCCGCCGAGACGAAGAAGGAGTACTACGACACGTCGGCCCATTTCCTGTGGATTGGCGACCGTACGCGACAGATCGACGGCGCCCACGTCGAGTTCTTCCGCGGCATCGCCAACCCCATCGGCATCAAGGTCGGCCCCACCACGCCGACCGACGACCTGCTCGCCCTGCTGCGCACGCTCAACCCGGACTGCGAGCCCGGCAAGATCACGCTCATCACGCGCTACGGCGCCGCCAAGGTGCGCTCGCTGCTGCCGGCGCACATCCGCGCCGTCGAGGACAGCGAGTACAACCGCTGCGTCGTCTGGCAGTGCGACCCCATGCACGGCAACACGCTGTCGACGGGCAGCGGCATCAAGACGCGCCGGTTCCGCGACATCTTTGAGGAGCTGCAGGAGACGCTGCACATCCACAAGGAGCAGGGCAGCTACCTCGGCGGTGTGCACCTGGAGCTCACTGGCGATGCCGTCACGGAGTGTCTGGGCGGCAGCGAGGGTTTGGATGAGGACGACTTGTCGACGAACTACACGAGTTTCTGTGACCCGAGGCTGAACGAGAAGCAGGCGCTCGAATTGGCTTTCCTCATTGCGGACCACTACAGAAACGAGAGACGACCGGTTTTGTGAATAACGGGTTTTGGTAAGGGCATACACGAACGCATACGGGAACATTGGGCAATGATTTGGTTACTAAAAGTAGTCATTGGTAGATGAATTCATCTGACATATCACGTAAAACTCGTCGCTCACTAATGCCAGGCACGCGAGAGCTTCCATGACATAGTCATAGCGTGACCTAGAAGCCAGCCACAGACACCGAGCCTCTTGCATATTCTCATGGGGCACATATAGCAGTTCGGGTTGTCAGAGCAGACTAGGAGATCGTATTTGCTGATGAAACATGCAACCGAACCTGGCAGCCGCTCGATTGCATCTCGGCTCACTCCAATTCACACTGACCGTGGGAGAACGGGTGGGGCGCCTGGCGTGCGTCAACGGCACACCGACGCTCTTACAAGCCCAGCAGGGAAGTTTCAGGCGGATATCAGCGGGCCAGAGATAAGGTGCCAACGCGCCCTTACGCCCTTTGCCCCAGCGGCCGATAAGGTGAGAGCGGGGCTTCCCCGCGACTCCGGCAGCGTCCCCCGTGACCGTGTAAGTACCTACCTCCCTCTCTCCCTCTCATGATAAGTCCCAAGCTCTTGTCTTGCATCTTGCATCTTTCACACCTTCACACTTACAACTCATCTCAATTGACGCTTGTCCTGATGAGTTCGGAATAGCTTCAAGTCCAACATACCCCAACCCCTGTCACTTACACACTGCATGCCAAGATGGTCTACCCATTCGACTATCTCCAACACCGTCGTGACTGGTCTGATGTCCCATGCCCCTCTACCATTGCCCGGATGCATCAAAGTTCACTAACATGAGAACTCAGCCAATTCAAGCAGTCTGAACGTGCGGAGAGGATCCGTCGGCTCACAGCATACCATGGCCCCTTCTCGGCCCAGGATCGTCAGATCCTAGACCGGCCCATCGAGGAGCTCGTGCAGGATGTCCACAAGACGGTGCTGAAGCCAATTGACATTCTCAAGACGTACGGCAAGGTCGCCCTCAAGGCTCACGAGCGCACAAACTGCCTGACTGAGGTCATGATTGCCGACGCCGAGAAGTGGGTCGACGACGGCTCCATCGACATGAAGGGTCCACTGGCCGGTATCCCCGTGAGTCTCAAGGACACCATCGTCGTCGGCGGCTACGACACCACCGTCGGCTTCAGCAGCTTCGTGGGGAACAAGACGCCCGTCGATGGCCCCGTCGTGCGCCTCCTCAAGGACGCCGGCGCCGTGCCGTATGTCAAGACGAACCTGCCCATCACCCTCCTCAGCTTCGAGTCCACCAACGACGTCTGGGGCCGCTGCAAGAACCCGCACAACACGCGGTACTCCCCCGGTGGCTCCACGGGCGGCGAGAGCGCCCTGCTCGCCATGGGCGGCCGCATCGGCATCGGCAGCGACGTCGCCGGCAGCGTGAGGGCGCCGGCACACTTCTCCGGGTGCTACAGCCTGCGGTGCTCGACGGGGCGGTGGCCGAAGCTGGGCTTCTGCACGAGCATGCCGGGGCAGGAGGGCGTGCCGTCCGTCTACAGCCCCATGACGCGGACGCTCGACGACCTGCGGTACTTTACGCGCGCCGTCATTGGCATGCAGCCGTGGAAGTACGACTACAGCGTCCACCCGATGCCGTGGCAGGCCGACACGGAGAAGAGCTGGCTCGAGAAGCCGCGGTTCCGCGTGGGCGTGATGCGCACCGACGGCGTCGTCGACCCGAGCCCGGCGTGCCGGCGCGCGCTGGAGATGGTGGAGAACGCGCTCCGCAAGGAGGGCCACGAGATCGTCGAGGTCAGCCCGCCGTCGCCGTACGAGGGCTTGCAGATCGCGTCGTTGGCGCTCAACGCCGACGGGTGCCAGATGTTTAGCACCTTCTTCCGCACGGGCGAGCGCAACGACCCCGGCGCCGCGCAGATGAAGTTCCTCATGAACCTGGCGAGCCCGCTGCGGTACCTGTACTACCTGTGGGTCAAGTACGTGCGCGGCGACGAGATCTGGGCGGGGCTCGTGAAGGACTGGCGCCCGCAGAGCGCGTTTGAGAACTGGAAGCTGGTGGCGCGCAGGGAGGCCTACCGAGCGAGGTGGTTTAACTGGTGGGACTCGGCGGATGTGGACTTCCTCATCACGCCGCCGAATGCGACGCCTGCCGTGCCGCATGACGGCATGAAGGACGCCGTGAGCAGCTGCGGCTACACGTTCCTCTTCAACCTGGTAAGTTGGTACGTCTTGTTCTTGGAGGTCTTGGGCTAATTGTGTTGCCAGCTTGACTACACTGCTGGTGTCCTTCCGGTGACACACGTGGACAAGGATCTGGACCAGCTGCCCGGCAACTTCAACATCAACAAGCTCAACGGTGTCGCCCGGGGCGCGTATAAGCTGTACGACCCGGAGGACATGCACGGGCTGCCTGTCGGCGTCCAGGTCGTTGGCAGGAGGTTGGAGGAGGAGAAGGTGTTGTCTGTCATGAAGAGGGTCGAGGATGCTCTCGGCGATGACAAGTACAAGCTGTTGGAGATTGACTGAGGTTCGACCCTTGGGATATGAAAGCTGTGTATGGTTTGGGCGGTGTAGCAGCTTTGATAGGCTTGATCCAGACCTTTTGAATGGCAAAAGATTTCACGCCGATTTCTATCACTAATCCACAGCACCAAACGCGCCCTGGAAATGAAACTACCTAGTCTATGTCTTGTTTGCCGGATACAAATGCAATCAGGCCCATTGTAGGTTGGGTCCTCGGTGCCGTGGACCGGTTGGTCGGCAACAATGCGGGGACGACGGTGCGGCCGTTCGAGCAGGTCCGAGATCGGACAGCCGCTGCATCCTTCAACTGCACATCCCACTTAACCTTCAGGACTGCGTGTAAGTCGTTGGGGAATACTCGACAAGTACAAAAGAAGCGGATTTCCCTTTCGATTTGAACCAAATTCATCAAATCATCCTCACAAATATTACACTTGGCAATCTTGTAGCTCAAACAATGGCGGAACAGAAGCAGGATAAGTGGTCATCCGAGGTGCGTTTCCTTATCTGATTTGCCCGGCAGGCGTGTCTTCATCGAGACCAACACAACCCAGGCCTATCAGCACTCCGCCTCATTCGTGCCCAAACTGGCCACGAAGGTAGTGCAATGGCTCGACGTCCAAAAGGACGATGTCATCCTCGACGTTGGCTGCGGTGGTAAGTCGCAACCCGGATCCGCTTATCCGACTTCATCCTTGAGAGACCAGGTTCTTCAATATAGCGGGACGAATATTGACGTATGAGCAGATGGTGTCCTCGACGTTGAATTCGGCAAGGTCCTTGCCCAGGGCAAAGGCTCTCTTCACGGCATCGACGCCTCGCCCGCCATGATCTCTGCCGCAAAGAAGGCTGTCGAGGGCGCGGGACTATCAAACTGCGAGTTCGAGGGTAAGCCAACATCTGTTCGTTCATCTACCGTCACACCTGTTTCGGCTGACACATCCACACCCAGTCCTCGACGCAACCAAAATCAAAACGTCCCAGACCCACGCCCTCCAAACCCCAACCTTTACGAAAGCCTTCTCCAACGCAGCCCTGCACTGGATCCTCCGCCCGCCCGGCTCACACGTCCCCGTCTTCACGTCCATCCGCGACGCCCTCCTCCCGGGTGGCACTCTCGCCCTCGAAATGGGCGGCCTCGGGAACGTCGCCGAGATGCGGACGGCCATCATCATGGCCGTCGCCAGACGCGTGGGCATCCAGAAGGCCGTCGAGGTTGACCCCTGGTTTTTCCCGGACGAGGAGTGGTTGACCAGGGTCCTGGAGGAGGAGGTCGGCGGGTGGAAGGTCGAGAAGGTCGAGCGGGAGTGGAGGCCGACGACGGCGGACAAGGGCGGGGTCGAGGGGTGGGTGAGGTTGATGGGAAAGGAGCTGCTGGACGCGGTGCCGGAGGAAGACGGGCAGAGGGAGGAGACTGTCAGGGAGATTGTGGACGTTCTGAGGCATGTCTGTAAGATTCCCGGGGACGGGGAGATGATTAGCTATGTCAGGCTGAGGTGTTTGGCGAGGAAGCTCTGAAGGGTTTCACTGCGAGGAATGCAGGATGAAGGAGCAATGATTTCTCAATTGTCCTTCTTTGGTCTTGACTTGGGTTTTGTTGCCCCATTGCAGTGTTTTCGGCAAGTATGAGCGCCTTGACATCTTTCTGGTCAGCCGATCGAAGGCCAAGTCATTCAGGGAAGATGAATAGAGGCCGATGATACGCTGGGATACTGGTGCAAACTAGGGTCACCCTTCATGTAAATGTAGGCCAACCCGACTTCGCAGCTAAAACTTTTAAGCTACTTTACGGACGCGATTCTCCGCCTCAGTCACTTCTTGAGGTGCCTGGGTTGTCAAAATTCGGATGTACATGCTGGCCCTTGGTTATACATACGGCCGGACAGACAACCGGGATAGGGGCAGGGGCGGTCAAGTCCGCAAGCTACGTTGTCGACTGAAGTGGACTAATGTGACTGGCTATTCCTCGACCTTCGTCAAACTTGAGAAACTGGCTGCCATGCATAGCGAGATGCCGGGTAACGATACTTGTAGTTAAGTTGCAATGATTCTATTCAAGTTGAAAAGCAGAACCGGAAAGACATTACGGGCTATCTAGTTTGAGAATGAGGGCCTCAGGAACGTACGTTCCTGCGCTATCTACCATCAGGATTGACGACCGGCGTGTATTACAAAGGCTTCGTCGCGAAGCCCAACTGGTTGTTGCCGCCGTGGAAGACGACATACTGCGACTTGAGAAATACGTCGCCGTAAATCGCAAAAGGCAGCGCCGCGGAGCTCTGCAGCCCGCCAAAGCACGTCGTCGACGTCTCGACCGTATCCCCGTCCACGGGCGCAAATATCATAAAGTCGGGGGGGACGACGGCCTGGTATGTGCCGAGGTCGACCGTGAACGAGGGGATCTGGTCCTTGCAGTTGAACACGAAGCCGCCGTTGGTCGAGTCGAACTTGGCGCTGGCGATGCGCTGGTAGTACGCCGAGACGATGGCGTCGGGCAGGAGCATCAGCGTCGTGCCAGTGTCGGCAATAGCCTCGTGCGGCGCCGAGGTCGGCGCGCTGCCGTTGGAACCGATGGCGAAGCCCTGCGCGGTGAACTGCCAGAAGCCGTTGGTCGTGTTGGCGGGGACGAAGTGTATATCCCCGGTGAACTCCGTGGGGTCCAGGAAGCCGAAGTTGTAGTTGCCGGCTACAAGGAGTGTTAGATGAGTTGTTCTGAACGGCATGATACTGGGGTGATGGCTTACCTGCTCCCTTTTTGAGATTCGCCGTGAAAAGCGGCGTCGCGAGGTTGTTCATGGCGTTCTCGAAAAACGTCTTTTGCTTGGCCGGTTTCACGGTGTTGATGGTCCCAAAGGCGAGACCAACCAGTCCGGACTGGTTGGCGTTTCTGGAAAAGGATGCCGAGACCTGGGTTGCTGCTTCGACGGCCTGGTTCTCAACCGTCACGCCGCCAATGGTGACGGTGTCCATGTAGACGTTGCCTTGCGACGAGCTGCCGTCCCCGTAGGAAATGGACCACGAGGCACCCTGCAAGGCCTTGGCGCTGGAGCTGGCGTTGATGTTGTATATGGTCTGTCCTACCACCTCAGTTACTGGTGTCTCGCTGCTGAAAACCCAGAGATCCGACGATCCGGTGTCGAAGTTCAGGTTCAGCGTTTGAGGCGGCGTGCCAATCTGTACGGGACAGAGATACTGGCTGTCGAACTCGGCAGGGATCGCCGCGACCTCTCCTTGATGATTGTGAGCTTGACTGAGACGCAAGCGTATATGAACCCATGAACTACTTACCTTTGGGAGGGGTGTTCGTGCCGTTGCCCTTATTGCCTCCGCCCCCCCTGGCGTCATTGTGCTGTTTCCTTTGCCCTTGCCTCCATGCATCTTCCCCTTACCTCCATTGTGCTTACCACTACCCCTATCCAACAACCCAAGTTCCTCGAGAATCTGGTCGATAAGCGAGAGGAGATTATCTGGGATCTGTTGTCCGAACTTGGAATAGGCTCTGGCCAAAGCGATGGGCCCTCGTCGAGATCCGTAGTAGAAGTCCGGGTTGGGCATCTGTTCGATCCGAAAGGCCGCGCCGCCTAAGGTAGCAATCTCGACTTTCGAAGGCGCCGCATTCACTAGATGGGCCACGAAAGGAGGGAATGCTGCCACTGCAGCCGAGTTGGTGAACCGCATGATCCGTGAGAGAAGGCAATGAATGGCCTGGCGAAGGAATGAAGCCAGGAAGAAAGCTCACGGAGCTCTACGATAACAAGACTGAAGGAAATGTCAAACTTCCGACAGCAAACGGAGGAAACAGGAGGCTTGGAAAAGCGGATGGTCCTGGGGAAATAAGCACACCAAGCTTTCGCCAAGTTGGGTTTCCATTGTGGCTACGCATAGATCGACCCCGAGTGAACCGTTTCGAAATACTTGATTGCTCCGTCGCAAGTCGGATCACCAACCAGACAGCGACGAATCGCAGGAGGGAAAAGGAGATACCGCTTCCTGCAACACGGCAACAAGAACTTCAAATAAGCGCAAGGGGTAGCATCGTTTGACTTTTTTCAGTGGGCATTGGGCGAACCGCTTTCAAGAGAGCCACATCAACAGACGACCTGCGACAGTCGATCATTCATATCCACCTCAAAGGAGACATAACTCTGGACACTGTCCTGTACAGAGAGGCGACCAGCTGGGTTGGCCGTACGCCTGGCTTCCGAAACACTGTAAGTCAGGCATGCGACCCCTGTCCACTAAGGCAGCCACCTCGCGATGCCGAGGTTCCGGAGTCAGTTACGGCGTGTCGGTCCCCGTCCTGTTAGCGGCAGTCGGCAGTATTATAGAGTCAAATCGTAGGCATCGGTTGATGCCGAAGCAGAAATAGAGATTCCCATCATCTGAAGTCTAAGGAAGAGTTGCGATGAAATCGGTCGGGTCGAAGATTGCCCTGCTCTGCCATAAGATAGCGTGAAGTCTAACGGGAAACCCGATTGTGATTGTTCGATAAGGGAAGCTGGTCAGGGGTCGACGGTGTTTATGCGGAGGTGAAACCACCACCGATATTCGATGGTTCATGTGAATGAGCACACCTCTTGTCCCCCAGCCGACTTCCCAGAATAGCACGTGGGCTGTCCATGAATTTGTCACCAGAAAACCCGGCGACTTTGTGCATCCACGGGAAGCGATGGGCGAGCCACAGGACCACTCTCACTCAGCCTCAGGCCCAGAGCTCGCATTTGACGTTGCAACGTTAGTCAGTCTGCACCAGTCAATTTCGTAAACTTGAAATCAACTTTGCCTGATCGGCTCAATAGCCGGATATGTTGAAGAGACGTCGTCGGATTTGAGATCAGGAACAAGCGAGGGATAGTGCCGTCGCTTGGCGAAGTCGATCGCTGCAGGTTAATCTTTCCAACATGCCGCTGCCTTGATTTTTGGACCGAATCCTACTGCTAGGCCTGGCCCGTCTTGCCATGTATTGGCCTTTCCTCGTCAAGTTCTTGGTAGAACAACCAATACCGTGCCGTCGGAATTTTATTGATTCAGGGTTCGAAGAATGAAGGGTTGGTGTTCGTGGGTAAGGTGAGCTGGAATTGTCAGCGCAATGAATCAATTCCCGACAGTGCACTGAAGATGGAAAGTCAGAGACTAAGATGGGCTTCTGCTTCTAGAATGCCGTGAATTAGTCATCGCCTGCCCCGCCACCCCGCCAGCAACCGACACTGCCAGGTTTGCCAAGACCCTCCAGGTCAGTGACATTCCAAGCCTCACCGCCCGATTAAACGTCCTATTCCCGAAAGGCATCAGGCCCTCTTACGCGTCTTCGTGCGTGTCGTTCACTGCTTGCTTACGATGTGACTGTCTTTCTGTTCCTTTTTTTCTTTCGTTCATCTATTCTCTTGAACCTTACGTTTTCTCTTCGATACCCCGTCATTCGTAACTAAGTTCTGCATTCCCTTCTGCTCCTTTTTCCGGCGATATCGGGCCTTGCCCATCACATCTTTCGCTGACGACGACCTATCACGACGCCAAGATGCCGGAGCAAGACGCCCTCATTCTGACGTTCTCCCATTTGGCGGACTTTCCGCGCGCAAGCGATGCGCTTCATATGCTGAAGAAGGTGGCTTCTCTGGTCAAGCCCATCATGCGAGTGCGAGGCTGGAAGGTGCGAGAGCTTGCCGAGTTCTACCCGGATCAAGCAAATCTCCTTGGTTAGTTTAGCATTGTCGACTCTCGTGACTGAGCGCTAACCACCGTTCAGGTCTTAACATCAACAGGGGCCAAAGGATTCTGGTCCGGCTACGGTACCCCGGGGACCGATCGCTCTTCCTGCCTATAGAACAGGTAGTCGACACGATGCTTCACGAGCTTTCCCATATCGTTTTCGGACCGCATGATGGCAACTTCCATGCACTCTGGAACCAACTACGAGACGAACACGAGTCACTCATACGCAAGGGATACACAGGCGAAGGCTTCTTGTCAGAAGGTCACCGGCTGGGAGGTGGCCGGATACCCATGCACGAGGCTCGCCGCCTTGCTCGGACAGCCGCTGAAAAGCGCAAGTCGTTGACAGCTGGTTCAGGACAGAGGCTCGGCGGTTCTGGTCCCAGTATCGGCTCAGACATCCGGCGGACGATTGTTGGTGCCATCGAACGCAGGAACAACACACTGCAGGGATGCGGCAACACCAACCACAACGATCGGGAAATCCAGCAGATTTCCGAGACGGCCACTAGAAACGGCTTCCGCACCCAAGCTGAAGAAGATGCCGCCAACGAAGCTGCCATCGCGCAGGCGCTCTGGGAGCTCGTCCAAGAGGAGGAACGTCAGCGCTACGGTGGCTACTACATCCCGCCAAGCGCACAGAACCCTACCGGCAATGGTGGCGGTTCAGTCGTAGGAGATTTCGGATCCAGAAGTAGCAGTGTTCCTCCTCCGATCCCGGGACCGGCAACAAGGCCCCCACCGGTGCCCAGTCCCCGGACTCGACCGCCGGCTGTTTCTGCGCCGGCGTCCCAGTCGGCTCCGCAACGGGGTTGGACATGTAGGGTCTGCACTCTTCACAATCCCGCAACGTTCCTCTGCTGTGACGCGTGCGGCACAGAACGCGGCCAAGATCCTCAGCGTCAGGTGTGGACACCAAATGCAGAGAAGCGCGAACGTCAGCGGGCATCAGTAGCCCCAATGGCGAGAAGCTCAACGAGCCCAGAGACAATCGACCTGACGAGCAGTCCGCCAAGGTCGAACAGCACTGGCAGGGTAAATGGCAGTGTCCGTCATCTCCCAGCTCCAGGTGTACAAAAACCGGCAACTTGGCAATGCTCATATTGCGGAACGGTCATGGAACGACAATGGTGGACATGTTCGACATGTGGGGTGATGAAGGACAATTCACGCTGAAAGAGCGGGGATGCCGGAAGAAGCAAATGCTGGACGAACCCGGGAGAAAGGGGTCCCTTCTCTGGATCCTTCAGGGTCCAAATGACGACATGACCGACGATACCCTTGCAAATTCGAGGGGATACAGTCCACGCTGCATCACGTCGTCTGTTGGTACGTAGGGGCAAGAAACGTAGGGCTGTGCCGCGACTTCGAGACGAAAATGACATAAGGATCGGGCGGCTCGAGAGGAGACGCAGCTCGTTGTGACCTAGTGCAATGCTGACAAGACCAAACCATTGAAATAATACGAGTCATTGTGTGGATGACATGAGTGGCATGCACCAAGCACATGCATGTCAAACAAAGCGGCGCGCCATCGCACGGAAGTTTCGAGTGGTACAGGTTCTCTCCCTTAAGCCACTGTGCGTGTCCGAGAGGTTGGCGCCTGGCGGATTTTAGACGCTGTTCTGACAGATGGACGGCACACCGACACGCATCGGACCTTGCTTATGGCATCATGACGTAGCCGCTTGCCTGGCCGACACGCTTGGGCGGGCAGAGCCCGTACTGGACGGAGTGTTGGCCCAACCAAGGTGATTGGTCTCCAGTCAGTAGCCCAGGGTCAGATGATCTGCGTTACGCTATGGAGCTCTGGTGGCACTGAAGGCGCGCCGATATGGAGAGAACCACCAGGGCCCTGGTCAGGTCTGTGGCCATCCCGGTCTAGGCGTCTTGGAGTGCCTGCAGGCTAGACCGGTTGAGGTGGCAGATCTACGATCAATGGAGTGGCCGTGAGGTCTAGACGCAGGGTAAGTTTGTCACCAAACCACGCCAGTCGCGAAAGGTCAGAGCCATTCCTTGCGTTTATCTGAATCCAGCGTAGTAGCAAGACTTTCCAGGTGTTGAGAGCTTGTGAGTGGATAAGAAACGCTGCAAAAACTCACCGAAGGAAGATCTGTGTCGCAGTCATGCGCCCCGGAGGGGCCAAGCGAAGCGGTCACGGCCTCGGGTATGCAATTAAGCGAAAACCAGTGCGTCCAGGATGCCCGGCGTGTCCATACTACGTTGGGGAATCGACGAGGACAAGTAGAGGCAACACACGCCAAACTGACGGGATCACCCAGACACGCGACGTTTGTGAGGGGCGATTGAGGTTGCGTGTGACGGACACTGGTTCATCATTGTGTTCTCATGGACTCAAACTGTTGCGGCAGATACCTACGTAGAATGATGGGATCCCGCGGTGTAGGGCGGCTGAGGCCCGGTAATCGCCCGTCTCTGAATGGAGAGAGCAACTCGCGACAAGGGTGGCACGGCCAAGACAAAGCCTACATAGCACAGGCTCGCTACCAAGTTCTGCTGCCTCCCCCGGAGTTCGAGACACGGACGTCGTGGCCCCCAGGTCAGAGACGGTTTCCATCAGTGATCGACGCCTGTCAGTGTCGGGATCCGGTGAGAGATACCCACGGAGGGAGATTGCTCAAGCTTTATCAATTTTATTTCGTCGTTATCTCTCGCTGGGTTAGCGTCCGCTCAGAGGGGCCTCTCTCTCCAACCGCGCACTGCAGAGGCCAGAGCTCTTTGGCGCGGTTCTGTCACTTTCTCAGCCCCCGACAAAGAAAGGTACAGAATCATACTGGACAATGATAAGAGGCTGAGACCCCCCTCGAAGAACACAAACCAAACAACTGGCAGCCAAGGTTGAAATTTTTTTTTTGACGGTTGGGGATGCCGATTAGACAAAGCTGACGGTCCCAGCCAGGGCACGAGGATCTTAGCAGGACAAAGAAATGATCAGCAAGGTGTCGCTTAGGGAAAGGAAAATGTCCCGGGTGTTGACCGGGATGCAGGTAGCCGCCTGTTGGTGTACTTTATACGCTGTCAGGGTCGTCGGCCTGCAACTCTACAGCAGTTTGAGCGGTATGGCGCGCTCATCTTTGCTCGAGTTGGACAGGACGCCCGCTTTCTTCCCAACTGGTCCGAGTGGTTTCCCATCCGGAGAATCCCATTGCCCATTTCCTGAGGTTCGCCTCGCCGACTAGGATCCTCTTCTGCCGTCATCACCGTCGTCACGCAGCAGCAAGGCAAAGAGTTAGCCGACCCACAGAGGAGCCTGGTCGCATGGCCGAGTTTGGGCAGCACGGCAGCACAAAAAAAAACCAAAAAACCACGAGGGAGTCCAACGTCCATGGCCGTATACGTCGAGGCGAGGCCGGTAACGGAGCGCTGTAAACGAGGCGATGCTGAACATACGAGGAGGTACACGAGCCCCGCCGGATCTCCCATTCCAACTCCTGGGTTCGTTCGGGCTCGGGAACTGGCGGATTTCACTTGATTCTGCTCATTTTGCAGGTGTCTTGTGGGATGTTTTACGGGTGGGCCAACACCATGGGAGCGGCTTCTATGCACCCAGAAGGGATACGCCGTCGAGATTTACCATTGAGTTGCAGGGGAGGCGAGGCGGCTTAGTGCATGAGGTGAGTTGTACGTCCGTCACACAACAAGGGGCTGCGCTCAGGAGAGGGGCAGACTCCACTGCAGCAAACTGCAGCATCTCGGACACTTTGCAGGCGGAACGGCCGGCAGGAGGGGTCGTTCGCTGGCAGGATAGTGGTACAGCAGCACGACCAGGCACTCCCAAACGACCTAAGCCTCGATGGGGAAAAAACGAGAGAGAGAGAGGGAGGGAGAAGGTTGGGGACATGGGACCCGAGGAGCTTTGGGCTGTTTGCTTGCAAGGCGAAAAGGAGGGACCCCGATTTGGAGAGGGAGAAGTTGAAACCGGGAAGCAAGCCGGCGCGGGCGGCGTCTGGTGTCCTGAGCTCGCGTCGAGACCATGGAAGCCCCTCGCCGAGGAGGCGCTGAAAGTTGGCATGTCGGGGCAGTCGATGGAGGAGAGCGGGCACGGCATGACGAAGGCTGTGGGCAGAAAAACCACCAGTGTGCGTCGAGGAGCTTTTTGCGACGGGGACACTCCTTGACCGGACGTGATCCGGGCACTCGGCCGCCACGGCGTGCTGGGGCGCGGGCGCAGGCGCGGACACGAATTTCCAGCGGTCAGGGTCAGCTACGGCCCACCGAAGCACAGGTGGGTAGGGCGTCATGGGGTGGGCTACACAGGGCGCGACACTCCACTGGCAGACCGCTCAAGGCGGTCCACGGGAAGGGGGCAGAGGGGAGCGCATGGCAAGCATTCATTGCTGCGGTGTGCCAGGTGAGGGGAAGAGACCCTCGGTGACGAACGGGAGGGCACTGCACTGCAGAGGACAGTCCGTAGAGGCGAGGAGAGGAGAGGAGAGGGAAAAAGGAAGGCCTCAGAGGAGGAGAAGAGTGTGACTGACAGGACAGGACAGGGATGGCTGGGTAGGTATCCAGGTACGTACCTAATATAGGTAGGTAGGTACTGTGTAGGTTAGATAGCTAGAGTGGTGGGGTGGGGCACGGGGCGTGGGTACGTACCGTTTCGATCTGATCGACGTCTTTCACCAATTCGATGGTCTTCTGCACTCGACTTGTGCATCCCGTCACCCACTTTCCCATGGCGACAGCCCGGGAATGCGTCCTGGAGCCAATGCGGCCCTGCGCCCTCGGATACAAGGATACCCTACGACAGAAAGGTAGGTGTACTCCCGTACCTGACATGATATGCAGGAAAAGAAGACACACCACACACTATGGTGGGTGTACACTGTACAGCACTACCGTACATAGGTACGATGGGGAGGAGGGGGGCGTACGTTTCCCGCGACCGCATTGTTTGGCCACTGAAGATCCCCTCTGGAATGCCTGGAGTGGCATCGACGGAAGAGCTCTGAACGCCGCTCGTTGTCGCCTCGTTGTCGCCTCCCCCGCCCGTCGGTACCGTACTCTTTCGTCCACCGACAGCGAGGGAGGCGAGGGCCAAACGGCCACCAAGCAGCGAGCATTGTTTGGTTGATGCGCGGAAGTTGCAGAGGCGGGAGATGAAGAGCAGAAGAACAGTAGAACACAGATCGTGCCTACGTAGAGAGTACCTACGTAGAGGGCTCGACAGGGCCCGGCGTGTTTGCCTCCAGGTTCGGCCCTCCTTTCTCCTCTCTTCCCTTGTTCCTTGTCCTGCCATGAACCAGAGCCACGAGTCCAGTCCGGTTCTGGCCCATTGTTCCACCCTCTTCCACCGCCGCCAAATCCCACAGAAGTACACTACCTTGCTCACTCGTTCCCAGCTCCCCAAGCCGTGCGTGTCGTGCCGCCGTCCATCCTTCCATCCACCAGGGCAACCCCCCCCCCCCCCCCCCCCCCCCCCCCCCCCCCAGACTTTGCATGGGTTCGACCACTCTCTCCTGCATCCTGATGCTTGATCACCGTCGACAGGGGTGGCGGAGGGAAGGACCTTTACTTGAACAAAGTTTGGACTATGACGGACCCATCCCTCGCCTTGGAGAATCTGTCTCTCTGTCTGCCAGTGCTATCCCATAGGTAGTACCGGTAGGCAATTAACGGATACCGCTTTCTCTGTGCTTCGAATCCCGTTTTTCCCCATCTTCCCTCAACCTCGTCCCCACGGTCCGATCTCGAATCGCACAGCCTATCTTGGTCTTGAGTTTTTTCTTCTTTTTTCTGTCTTTCTTTCGCCCTTCTTCCTTTTGTCAATCGTGAGAGCCTGGTCCCCTCTTCTGTTTCTCCCCATCTCAAACCCGTCCTACCATCTAGCTAGCTTTGTTTCATTCACCACTGTGCTGCTCCCCCCTCCCCCCCCGAGAGAGAGAGAGAGAGAGAGAGCCAAGACCAAGGGTGCATACGACTGCTGCAGACTACTGCACACTGGCGTCTGAAGCTTGACGAGCGGCAGTCGTCTTTGTCGACCTCCTCCCGCTGCGCCATCGCATCTCACCTGCTTTTCTGCAGCTGCATCCCCTTCTGCTTCTGCCGCTTCCGCTTTTCATCGTTTCCTCCCCGTCTCCACCAGCGTTCTAGCCCCCCCTCCTCCTCTTCCTCCTCATCACCTTCTTCCCTGGTTGTCGCGCTATCATCTTAGACCTCCCACCACACCACTTCCGGACACCAACCCGCCATCCGACCACTTCAGTTTCTCAGTCTAGATACTCGCCCACCTGGACGAGACGACGAGACACCGACACGGACACGGACGCACACATCTCCTTAGTAAGCCGCTACTACCACTACTGACTCTTGTACCTTTACCTCCTCCTCCCTCGTCCCGTCGGCCGCCTTTTTCCCTCGACGCCGCCGTTTGCAGTTGCACCCAAAACTTGTTCGAGAACCCCCCCCCCCCTCCGCAGCGCCTCAGTCTCATCCTCCTTCGCCTTGTCCGCTGCTGGATGGGTTTCTTGCGGCTGCTTGCGCCTCCCCTTGCCAACCCTCGCCAGTTCCAGCCGCCGTTATCACTTCCGCCATTGCTAATTCCTTTATCCAAACCAAGTCGGGAGGCTTGTCAAGTAGCTGATCGGAAGAGGGCGCCTACGCAAACCTCGATCCCCAGTGCCAACCTGCGCCTAGGCCGCACACAATTAGAGCACATTCCCAGCGAGCATCCATCCGGAGACCGGCCTAGAATCCGGCAGTCCAGACCGCACCCCCAAGCCCACCCACACAAACACACGTACAGACACAAACAAGGCGCCGCGCCATGCTCTGTTCTGCCTTCTGCTCCCCCACGATCCTCTAGCAACCCGCTGTTGCCACCGCCGCCGCTGCTTCCTCCGCCTTCCAACCTTGCTCGCCTCGCCCACCCGCTCTGTCCAACTCGTCCGGCTCCTGGGGATCTGACCTGGTTGCAATACTCGCCTGCCGCGTCGAAACCTCCCCTACTCACATCTTTGACCAGCTCGCTTGTACACTGACGAGGTTCACTTGCGAGCCGCAGCTTCCCATGCGCGAGCGAATGCCGACATGCCACCCCCCGAACCTCTCATTACCAGCAGCCATGCCCACGGCAACAGTCCCCTAGCCGCCCCTCTCAAAACCGCCATTCTGGTAGAGGAACCTACCAAGCCGGCTTCGCGCCCTTCTACTGGAGACAGCGGTTTCAACTTCGACACAATATCGCAACCCGATGCCGGTTCGCTGCGCAGCGATGGCGCCCCGAGCACGACCAGCAGCGGTCGCTTCTTCCGCGACAACTTCAACCTGGCAGCCGGCGACGGCAAGCGCTCACAATCGGCAAGCCCGTTCCGTATATCGATGCCTTACATCACCCCGGGTCAGCTCGCATTCTCCGCCATGCAATATCTGCCCGTCCCGTTGTTGGTCCTGAACAACCTCAAAACCGTAGTGCTTGCGAACGAAGCGATGGGCAGGATGCTTGGCATGACCAACGACGCACTCGAAGACAACTCCTACGTGGCCGAGAGGTTGAGAGGGCAATCACTGTCCCAAGTGGGCATTGACATGATCCAGGAAGGACGCCCGGTATGGGTCGGATGGGAAGCGTTCTTGGACTCCCTCGTACTGGAAATGGGTGCGAGACAGGCATCGAAAGACGCCGGCGACATGTTCGCTCAAGGCCAAGGCGGAGAAGCGACACCAACACCCAATTCTCTGGCCCCACCGTTGCCGGACGCGCAGTCGAGCCCGTCGATGGTCAAGGACGCCGTGGTCGACGTGATTATTTCCCGGAAAGAGCTTGGCAAGCCCGGATACGATCCTCGGAGAAAGACTGGTGCATCGGAACACCAGGTTTACGCCAAGATGATTGTGACGATCTGGGAGATTGAGGATCACCAGGTCTACTTCACGTTGACATTCACGAGCTCCCAATCGCCGACGTCATCGCTCGTGTCAAACCGCAAGGCTGTGGCGAAATCCAACATTCTGGAGCAAGCGGACCGCAAAACGATTTCGAATTCGAACCCGCCCTCCGTCAGCTCCAGCCACGACTCGAGTTCGCCGTCTTTCCGTGTAAGCCCTAGTGCGGTTTCGCTGTCGTCGAGCCCATTCCCTCCCATGGGGCCGCCTTCAACGGCAGCACACGCGAGCACGCCTTCGATTTTGCAAAAAATGATTCTCATGAAGGACGCCTTACTCGACAACACGACAATGCCGATTCTTGCCATGTGGAAGGACGGCAGCGTGACGTTTCCCAACCGGGCCGCCCGCATCCTCCTGCGCCAAGAAAGCGACTTGGAAAAGTCTTCGGACGGCTTCGACTTACTGCCCGGCTGGACTATCTACGACGGGGACTTCACAAGGGAGCTGGACGTTGGCGAGTATCCCATTTCCATCCTGCTGCGAACGGAGACGCCCTTCAGCAACATGCGCGTGGGCATGATCGATCACAACGGCAAGAGGAGAGTTTACGATGCCCTAGGAGAAGCGATTCGTGATGATAGCACAGGCGAATTCCTGGCCGGAGTTGTCACCTTCCGAGATGTCACCAAGATGACGGAAGAGATCACCGAGATAAAGGAGCGCGACGAGGAGCGTTTCAAGCTGATTTGCGACACCATGCCGCAATTAGTATGGACCACGAGACCAGACGGCTACCACGACTTTTTCAATACCCGTTGGTACACGTATACGGGCCTAACGCCCGAAGAATCATTAGGCCTCGGATGGAAGCATCCATTTCACCCGGACGATATGCCCGAAACCACCAAGAGATGGTTCCATTCGCTGGCAACCGGCGACCCCTACGTGACCGAGTATCGGTGCCGCAGCAAGACTGGCGAATGGCGGTGGATGTTAGGAAGAGCTCTACCGCTAAGGAACAAGGAGACTGGCGAAATCGAGAAGTGGTTTGGAACCTGCACGGATGTAAACGAAGGCATTGAGGCCAAGCTCGCGGCCCGAAGCACCAGGCAACAGCTCCTGAGCGTTCTTGCGCACTCGCAAGTCACGATATTCACTGTCGACACCAAGCTCAAGCTCACAATGTTGGAGGGTGCTCTTATCTGGGACAGCAACGGAGAAGACAGTACGTCTTATCATTCGAGCTGGTTCATTGGGCAGGACATGTATGAAGTCTTCAACCGCCTCAATCCTCAGCTCAAGTCCGGAGAGCGGCCCAAGTTTCTGCGACCCGTCGAAGACATCTTGGCGGGTGGAAAGACGGAAGAAGTGGCAGAACACGGCATGGATGGCCGATGGTACCGCACGAGGTTTTTGCCGATCCTCGGCAAGAAGGCCAAAGAAGGCATCGTGACGAACGAGACTTGCATCGAAGGCGTAATCGGTGTCATTATGGACGTCAGTGAGCTCAAGGAGAAGGCTGAGGATCTTGAGGAAGAGTCCCGCGAGAAGAAGCAAGCAATGGCCAATGAGGCGGCTGCCAAGGAGGCCAACAGACTGAAGAGTCAATTCCTTGCCAACGTGAGTGATGGTCTTCAAGGTTCAAAGAAGGGTATACGCTGACAGTCCCATAGATGTCTCACGAGATTCGGACGCCCATTACTGGTGTGATCGGCATGGCCGAGTTGCTGCGGGACATGGAGCTTGACGACGAGCAAACCGAGTATGTGGAGAACATTCAGCGGTCGGCCAACGCCCTCTTAACCGTCATCAACGACATTCTCGACTTCTCAAAGGTTGAGTCGGGACGCCTTGACATCGAGGAAGTTCAATTTTCACTATCCGTCATCGTGACAGACGTGAAGAAGATGCTGAGTTTTGCTGCCGAGCGGAAGAATCTCGACTTCCGTTCCGATATATCTGGGGAGGTCGAGAACGATTTGGTCGTTATTGGAGACCCCGGTCGCGTACGCCAGATCATCACAAACCTCCTGACTAACAGCATCAAGTTCACAAACCAGGGCTATGTCAAATTCTCAGTCCAGAAGGAAAAGGAAACGTCAGACAGCATAGTGGTCAAGTTCATCGTTGAGGATAGCGGCATTGGCATTGAGGAAGAGGTCCGCAAGAAGCTTTTCCAGCCGTTCAGTCAAGGAGACGCATCCACAGCGAGAAAGTTTGGCGGCACTGGCTTGGGCTTGACGATATGCAAGAACCTTTTGGAGCTCATGCACGGTGACATGACGTTGGAATCGACACTGGGCAATGGAACCGTCGCAACGTTCTGGGTCCCGTTCAGCAAGCCTCAACAACAACGCGGCGGCCCCCTGGTGGAGATTGATTCCATCCCTGACAGGCTCCAGTCCGAAATGAGTGTGTCCTGCAACAGCTCAGAATTTGAGCAACTGCTAAGTACACCCCCAGCCTCCGGCGACTCGTCGCAATTCCTTTCGGACAAAAACAAATCGCCTGTTCGACGACTATCCGTACGAACCCCACCAGCTTCGGAAGAAGAGATGTTGCCACGTTCTGAACGCGCCAAGATCCGTGTCCTGGTTGTCGAGGATAAGTGAGTTCCTCTCAGTACGGCATTCGTGTCTCTTGTTGCTGACCCCCCTCCCAGTGCCATTAACCAGCAGATTGCCACCAAGACAATCATGAAACTGGGCTTTACTGTAACAGCAGCTTGGAACGGGAAAGATGCTCTCGAGTATATGGCGGCAGCCCAGCAAGGCAGGCACCCCAAGCCGGACATCATCCTCATGGATGTTCAGATGCCCGTTATCGATGGCTACAAGTGTACGCATCTACTGCGCCACCATGTGCCGTACAAGGCCTACGTACAAGACGTACCCATTGTGGCGATGACAGCCTCGGCGATCCAGGGCGACAAAGAGAAGTGCACCAGGGCGGGCATGGATGACTACCTTGCCAAGCCGGTCAAGAGCAAGACGTTGGAAAGGATGTTGGTTCGATGGAGCTTGGTCAAGAGGCCACAAACACCAGCACTGAAGGTCTCGGACGGCTCCATATCGGATTGCTCAGACACATCCGAGCATTGCAGCAACGCGGACATTCCTGGCATCGCGCACGACCAGCCGGATTCGCCATCGCCCCCAGATTCGACGCAAGCTGCCGCAGCTTCAAGCCGGCAACGAGGCGAGAGCCGGGAGCCAGACAGGGAGAGCCGGGGTGATCCGGTGACGCCTCGGCCTCTTACCAGGAACAACTCTTACGAGCCGTCACCATATGATCCTCCGACCGCAGGAGACCCCATCAAGCCGATTCGACGCTCCGAGACGGATGAGCTCGCTTTGCAGGTACAGCAAGGGAAGCTCATGGACGCGGCTGGGGACAAGAAGCTCCCGCGGCGAGGAGAGTCGTTCCAGACAGTAGTCGCGGGCGATTCCTTGACGGAAGAAAACGTTGAGAAACTGGAAAAGGAGGAACATAATCGAAGGTCATAGACGCGAGGAGATCGAACAGCATCCTACCTTTTGATGTCTATCAAGGACAGTCAGTATTACAGCGAGGCGCAAAGGTGAAGGGTCTCTTTTAATGTCTTTTATCAAAGCAACAAGACTGTACATACGCCCGGAGGAAATAAGGGAACTGGGACTGGAGCGCGGCAGGTCATGTTGCATTCTGGCACTTCGATCGGCGTTTCATCAGGCGGCGGGCTTGAAATTCCCGAAAAAAAAAACGGATCGAATCTGGAAGCAAAACGGAACGGCCCCATCACTTTCCATGGATTCGGGTTGCTTTTTTAAATTTTCCTTTCCTTTTTACCTTCGCAAAGGGGGAGATGATAACGATTTGGGGTTATACACATTTGGAACCGGCATAGAAAGGAAGGGTGGGGGTGGGTCTCATGGCACTGGGCGTTTTCAAACATACATCTTGGTAGTGCGTGCCAGGACAGGCTTGCTTTGCAGCGACGAGGTTCTGCTTCCTGTTGCTCACGAGCTCAGGCGTACTCAATTGATGATGGTAATTTTTTACACTCGCGCTTGTGTCATGGATGTGTTTGCAAGGTATTCCATAAAGTGCTGGATGACTCCGTTTTCGCCAAGGGTGGGGGTGAAGCCAGATAGATTCAATGCCTGAAAAAGCCTATGAATATTTGTCTAATACATGTCTACATATCGGCGTTTTGGAGTACAAACTGGTAATTCAGGTTGGCAAAAACATGGGCAACCGGTTTGCACAGGTAGCCCGCACAACTTATAAGGCTTTCACTTGCAGCGCAGCCACGTTACTACATGAGACTTGTGAAATTCAAGAAAAATAACATTAAAACAAATTGAGCTCTACACGGTACATTGTGTCATTTTTCAGAGTTTATGGTATTCATATGCTGTCCTGTTCCTGAACAGAGGTCTTCCCGATATTAGGATTTTCTTAGTGCCCAGTGCTAAAGTGTCCGGGGGGAGGGGGGGTTGCAAACCGGGTGATGGGATTTGAGAAGGCCAAACAGCTACGACATGAATTTGAGGGGTTAAATGCGGCTGAAAGATGCTGTCAAGGCGCCGATGTGTTGTGGTTAAATGACTGGATTACCCTTGTTGCATACTTGCTGGTGTCTTCTTGACTTGTGCTGTTATCCTGCCATGAAGAGCCATTTAAGTTGTCAGATCCGTCCCAACTATGCGTCCGGCATCCTAGGCGGCTGTACCCACTTTGGCTAGCAAACGGATGCACGTACGTACCCTTCGCCTAGATAAAACTTTCCCACCATACCATAAAGAGGAGAAATCAAGTATGGCGACTTTACGAGACTAGACTAACCTCATAGCCCACGGCGGTGTATCACCACTGAGTTCAGTATGCGACGCGGTATAACATCACACTCAACATGAACAGGGTTTCTGTAACCATAACCACCCTAGGCGTAAGCAGCCTCTAGTGCGAAAAAGCACGTGGTGTAAGCAATGGATTAGATCCGGGAATATGATTGGTTCCTTCACCAAGCTGACGGCGTTCATCCAAATCGCACTTTCGTGACTCGCTGGCCAAGAAAGAACGTCAACATTAGACTCGCAAGCAATATTCCAGTTCAAGATATACGCTAGCCAGGTTTGTCAATACAGCATGTTGTCAGCCTCGGCGGATAACGCCACTGCCAGCCGCTTGGCTCTGTATGCCGTTGGAGCGGCGGTCCTGGCTGCTCCGCTGGCATACCACGCGTTCCATTGCGACATTGATGGCTTATCGTCGCGTGTTCGGCGCCTCGTCCGACCTCCACCGCGTTATATCCATGAGCCGCTCGCCAAGGGGCAGTTCAGGCTACTTCATCTCCTTGCTGGGAAGGAGGAGGACGACGAGGTCCATGTAAGGCTTACTGCCGAGTCCATCGACACAGCCGTCCAGTACCACGCCATCTCTTACACCTGGGGCGTTGATGGGGAGACGGCGTCCATTTTCTGCGAGGGAAAGCACATACGGATCACCAAGAGCTTGTTCGATGCTCTCAAACGATGGCGCCGAGCCGACGAGGAAATTGTCCTGTGGGCAGACTCGATATGTATCGACCAGCAAAACACGTTGGAGAAGACGAACCAGATCATGCTCATGGCGGAAATCTACTCGAGGGCGGAATCCGTCTTTATCTGGCTCGGTAACGACGATGCGCACCTCGAGGGGATCGAGGATCTGATCAAGGCTGCGTTAGAGATCATCCCCGAGGTCGTGGACGACCCCAGGAAGAACAGGGAAAACGCAGCGTTGGCCGACATACGCATGGAAACAGACGAAGTACAGGATCTGAACTGGGGCGCGCTGAGGTCACTGCTGAGCCACACGTGGTTCGAGCGCAAGTGGGTATACCAAGAAGCGGTCCTCAACGACAAGACCTGGTTCTATTGCGGAAAGTTCGAGCTGCCCTTTGAACCCGTGGCGGAGCTCGCCTTACGAATGACAACGTATGGTGTCCAGCCTGTACCCCAGGATGGGTCGGTCAATGACACCCACTTGTCCTACTTGCTCGTACGCATATATAACCTCTCCATGATGCGCGCGAGCCAGTTTTTCCGCGGCAAGCGACCGTTCACGCTGCTAGATACCGTCAAGGGTTCGAGAGGGTTCCGGTGCACCGATCCGCGAGATCACATCATGGGGATCCTGGGGCACGCGACGGACGTCGAAAAAGACAGCATCATTTCCCAGGAGAACATGTACTCGCTGTCGGTCCAGGAGTGTTACCTGCGCTTCGCCAAAGCACAGCTTCTGGAAAAGCGTGATTTCGGCGTTTTGTCGCTGGCACCGCAAAAGTTCGTCAGCGACTCTGCGTATCCATGGTACTACCGCCCGTACGTCCAATGGCAGAACAGACGGCTGCCGAACCTCCCGTCCTGGGTGCCCGACCTACGGCACCAGGAGATTGACACTCTGCCAACCTACTCCGTCCGGTATGGGAACTTCTCGGCCGGCGGGACGCAAGCGGGGGAGGTGGAAATCATCGACGACAAGATCTTCAAGTGCAGAGGGTTGGTTGTCGACGCGGTCGAAGAAGAGGGCGTCTTCTGGTTCGACCTGCCGCTTCTGCGGGCGCCCAAACGCGTCCCGCCGCCGATGGACAAGAAGGGCCCCTCCTTCATCAGGCACAAACTGAGGCACCTCAGCTTCTACAGGGCGTGCGTGCGGTTGGCGTCCGGCTCGGAAAACGTCAAAGACATGTCCCCGGAGCGGCTCGTGGCGCTCTGGAAAACGCTGACGTGCGAGAGGGGCCAGCTGAGCGACCGGATCGAAATTGACCTCTCAGAAAGCTTCAAAGACTTGGTCTCTGGGCTGGAAACGTGGCTCCACTCGAAGGACCCCGAGGAGGCAAAGAGGGCGTGGGCGTCGTTTGTGGCTTCGGGACAGGTCCATATGAGCGTCATCGGTCACGCGATGCCACGAAGGATTTCCCGCACGAGGGGGGACAGGCTCTGCGCGATACCGAGGGATGCGAGGGTAGGCGATGTGGTCTGCGTTCTGCTCGGGTCCGAGGTGCCCTTTGTCATCCGGCCCACGAGGCAGGGCATGTACGAGCTGATAGGAGAGGCGTATGTCAGTGGCATAATGGATGGCGAGGCTCTCTCCGCTGGCATGTATGACGAAGTGTATGTACTTTTGGAATGATAGTGCTTCCGATCGAGGGACTCCTTCAGTTATAAACTATGCCACATTTTTGTAAAAGAATCAATGAATCTGGGGTTTGAGTTCAGCGCGCAGTTGCACCAGCGACAGCATTTTTGAAGAGATGCCATGTATAATGAGCTGCGGGTGACTTTTATAGATGAAGATTTGGAAAATTCAAAGATACAGCATAATACCATGAAGATGGTTGCCTTCAAGATAATTAAGCAACCCTCAAACCCCCTCTCGTGAGCAACCGCCGTTGACCATGTCTCTCATTTGGTAATTTATAGAAATGAAAGACTGAAAACGAGCCCACAAGACTTAACATCGACAGGAGAAACGCCAGCTCGTCGTGTCGTGGAGTTGACTCCGTGTGTGCTCAGCGTACCCCGATCGTTCTCTCAGTACTCGCCAGTCTTGTTCGCGTAGTCAACCTCAGCCGGACCCCACATAACTATCACACTCCGGGAACATCGACTCCAACCCGCGCGTGGGAACATTTGCGCGGATCGATCCAGATCATCACCTAAGGTTTAAAGGACCGGATGGGATGAGATTAGGCAATGCCGGAGTCGATCTCCTCCTCCGGAGTGTGGGGGTTCCCTGTCGACAACGGGGGGCGTCTAAGTGAGTTCGGCAGTGTGGGATTGATGGACCTGGGCTGGGGTATTTTGGGAGGGTCGCCCGGGCTGAGGTTGTCGGAAAGTTTGAGTTTCAGGGGACATGGGAGTCGCTGGTTAGTGGATGGGCCGCGTCAGATGGGACGGGCCGACATGGGGCTTGATACTTTCCGACATGTCCCAGAACGCAGATCGCATTGTGTAGTTAGGATTCCGTCTTCAGGGAGTTGAAGCGATGGAGTGAAAACTAAAGCAGAGGATTTGTGCGTTACCTAAAGAAGCATGGAAATTGTTGGACGAGAGGATTATTGAGTTTATCCACTGTCGCGGCTAGTAGACTTTGTTCCTTTGGTTGAACATTGAAGCTTGAAAGACCAGAAACCTGCAAGGGCAAGAAGATAAACAACACATGGTTTCACAAGTTAATGTATCCTAGATGTAATATCGACATTATGTGGACCCTCTTGCTTATGTAGTACGTTGCCGCTTTTGCTCAGGCCAGATCCAGGACTGTTCAGGCTCGGAGGAGGTTCAATTCACTTTGACTTGCCCTGCTTAGCCCAAGTTCGCCATGTGCTCACCGTTGCTCAAACCCGTTCTGGCTCAGTCACAAAATATTCAACCAAGCATCGAGAGGGCATCAGAGAGCCAAAGTCTCGGGAGATTCATAAATTTCTCATCTTTCAACTTCCTACCTCTTCCTAACCATCCACTCGAGCCCTCTACACCATGAACTACTAACACAAGAAAGGCGATTCCGAGAGTACTAATCCTATGGACCCGATTAAGGCGACGGTCCTTTACGGTCCTTACAGTCTATCCGAAGTCAATTTGCGACTGGTAACACTCCAGTATTCAGCAGTCTTTATACCAACTCCGAACTAAAGTATGAGATATTGATGGAGTATTTGGTGAGTAATTGTAATGACCGAAAGCTAAGTATGGATTTGCAGACCTAAACTACCTTGTGAATACGGAGGTTGGGTCCGTCGAAGATAAAGGCCGATGAATTGTTGTACAAGATCCGACAGACGCTTAACTGAGGCAACATTAGATAAAAATCTCAACAGGCTAGCTTTTAGGTCTGTGCAAGTGACGTGTTACAGAACAGGCGCGCCCAGCCCGTACATAAAATCTCAGCGTTCGGTGTCGGTCGATAAGAGACTAATCTCTGAACCAGCAATGAACCGAGAGACTGAAAAACAAAGAGACTTCATGGTGTAAGAGTGAACTGGTTTACGTACTGATCAGTGATCAAGTTCACTAGGCTGTCTCAGTTTCCCGGGTCTGACTTTTGGAGACCTCCGCTATACACTAAGACGTACTGAGAGCTCTTCGCTCTTGATTCTCGCACAAGGATCCGAATTCAGCATCTCCACCAACAATCGATTGCCCTTATCGCCAACAGTGCTTCTCAACTCCTCGATCTCGTTCAACCAAGCCACCATCTCCGACTTCACATCCTCATCTTCAAAAACGTGCGGTAGAATCCAATCTCCGGCAGGCAGTGGAACATGTCCGAAGCAAAACAACATCGTCACACCAAGACTCCAGATATCGCCTGCAAAGTCTTTGCACTTCTGGAAGAACTCTGGAGGTGCATATGGCGGTGTTCCAGAGGGCGTCCATCCATTCAGAGGTAATGTTGAGGGGTTGATGAGAGCGGCTCCAAAGTCGATGAGCACCGCTCGTGGTTGCGGAACAGGGGCAAAGATAATGTTATCAGGTTTAACGTCATCGTGGACAATGTACTTGGAGTGGATGAATGCTAGGGCTTCGGCCGTTTGCTTCCAGATGACATTGCTTTCTGACGAGGACAGGGTGGAGTTGTTGGCAGAGTTGATGTACATGTTTAGACTGCGACCGGGTTCATAGCGGAGAGTAATTGTGAGATTTTCGGGGTCTGATGTGAGGATGTGGGTGATATTTTCCTGAATATGTGTTGGATAAGCCTCGTATTTAGTACATGTAGCGTGGGAACTTTTTTACTGAGACTTACATGAGAGCCAGTCAAGTTCAGGGCATCGGTTTCATTGCGCCAACGTTGAAGGGTTCGGGGATTGTCGCGATGATTGAACCTCTTGATAACAGCGATCGAATTGTTCCAAATGCAAGTTACTACCACTGAGTGATATGTCTCTGCGATGAGCTCGGAGAAAGCTGACGTCGTTTCACTCGATTCAGAAACAATGGGACCTCTGTGTTGGTTCTCCATGGCTGGTTTGACGGCAGGTTCAAATGACCCCAGTGACTATTGGCTTTGTTCAGGTGAGGGGGGATGTCACGAAGCCACTCGGCTAAACAGAGCTGATTCTTCCAGGTCTCTGAACAACTTCCGAGAAGACGAGCTGTGGCAGATGAACAGGATTGTGCATTTGTATTTGATAAGAAGCGAACCCGGCTCCTTGTTTAAGCTGGCGTTCCAGCTTCGGTACCTAAGCGGCTCCAACGCGCCGGAAGGATCCAATTACTTTTGGGTGAGTCATGCCGGTAGGTAAGATCCTATCCTGCATAGTGTCCATAGGTACCCGGGCCGATGTGGGGCGTTAGCGTTCCAGGGAGACCAGTGCCTCTAGTTATCAAAGCCCACAACTTAGGTTCGCGATGATGCATCGAGTATAGACGACCCAGCGGACTTGTATATTGATCATGGAAATCATGGCGAGGTGTCTGGCCTCCCATGAATCTACCCCAGAATCATATGGATATCGTGACGATGTCTCATCAAGTTGTAAGCCTGGAACTAGGCGGTCTCAGAGCAAGCTGGCAAAGTAATATGGTGTGCTCCCTAACTATTTTGTTCCAGTATCCAATGGATCACAACTACTGTAGTCTTTTTCGATAGACTATTGGGCCCGCCCACCAGATTTATGAGAAGACTGACTTGAGTGGGATTGTTCACGAATTAATATCGAGGTAGAACTGCAGTATCAGCGAAATGTTGACGTGCGTGTGTGGACTACCATCCGTAGCTCTGAGAGCCATGAGGCGGATAGAGAGAACCTAAATAACAATCAAGCATGAGCCAAAGACCGAGCTGCTGTGATGGCACTTTCTTGTGGGTTTTTTTTTTTAAAGGTATGGATCGCCAATCTTTCTCAAGTTATCCGCTTAGCTGGCGCAGCAATAGGAAGGAGGTACAGTAAGCTGGAGGGAATGGAGGTTCTGGCAGGAGGCACACTGGCATGGGCAGAATCTCTGTATGTTTGCGCCCGAATGCGACGAAGAAATCGTTTCCTACAGCTCCTTACGGCTTAAACACCTGCGGAACACATCTTAATGGCGCTGCACGTCCAGCGACGGTCACAGAATAGCATGCGTATCTAGGTCGTCCAACTTGGCGGGCATGAGCTAAGCCGTGATGACTTCGTCGGTGCCTCCTCGACGCGAAATGAACAAAAGTCTGAGGGCCATCACGAGATCAGGTTTAGATTCCTCTACCCCAGACTGCGGACTTCGCGGGGATCTCGGGTAACAGCCGCCGAGTGGAACGCTGGAACATTGCCCCGAAAATTGCATTAGGCGCTGGCACGGAGTGCTATCTTTGGAAATACCGAACAGAGACAGGTCTTTGACGGTGTGTAACAAGACGAGATTCTCTTACCGAGAGCCCCTGATCCCCAGACCGATTGATGACACTGTTTCTCGTCCGTTAACCAAGACCATCCTGGACTTCTTGTCTTGACGTCGTTTGCATTGTTGTTTCTTTTTGCACAGCGGTCTGGGTTCCCATTTTTACTTGTGCCGCACCATCTCACCAGACCAGGTTGGGACTGTTTCGTCACGTGCAGCTTGCAGGCCTGACGATCGCCATCCACCTTCCTTGCTAGGGTACCTTACTCAGCTTCGAATCCGAGTCGCCTTCCGCCTCTCACATCTCCTCGCTCAACCAATTCACGTCGTCAATTCACTCGCTCGCGCTCCTTTTCTTGCTTCCTGATACCGGTTGACCTGTGCTGGATAATTGTCGTCGAATTCCTCTCATTTTCCTGCACACGGATTGAGATCTAAACCACCTCAGCTTCCCCCCTCTGACGACATACACAATGCTCGGCTGGTGAGCTTCATCTCGGCCCTAATGTCACCAAGGGTGCGTCCGCTAAAACATCAATTCCAGGTATCAGGCAAGACTCGCGGCTCGTCCGCTGCTCACTCAGAGCATCACCACCGCTGTCCTTTTCGCGACTGGCGACATCACCGCCCAGCAGCTCGTCGACAAGCGAGGCCTTGAGAAGCATGACCTTGGCCGCACCGCCCGCATGTTCCTCTACGGTGGCGGTATGTGCCACGAACCTCATTGCTGTCAATTACGACTCCCAATCGCCCTAGGTACTGACTTTCTATAGCCATTTTCGGCCCCATTGCCACCAATTGGTTCAAGTTCCTTCAGCACAATATCGTTCTCAAGAACAAGAACGCTGAGATCCTTGCTCGTGTTGCTGTCGACCAGGGCGTCTTCGCCCCCGTCATGATCGGCGTCTTTCTGTCCTCCATGGCCACACTTGAGGGCGGCTCGGTCCAGGAGAAGCTTGACAAGAACTACAAGACGGCACTCACCTCCAACTACATGCTTTGGCCCTTCGTGCAGATGGTCAACTTTAAGCTCATTCCTCTTCACCATCGTCTCCTCTTCGTCAACGTAATCAGCATCGGCTGGAACTCTTATCTTAGCTTCTTAAACAGTCAGTAACACCTTTGATTGGGCGTTCGCTTAGCTGCAGACGGGCAGACAAGGGGTGGGAATACCCATCTGAAGAGCAGGAAGAGAGATAGCGAGTTTATGTTTCGTTCAATATGGATCTTGTATTTTGAGGCTTCGGATTTGGGGGCATTAGAACCGGGATAGACTGGGTTTAGTGGACACAGATGGCTAGGGGCAGAGCCAGCGGGAATATACCGCACCTTTCTTTTCTGCATAAGCTGAACTGGCTGCGTCCTCGATATACATTTTGAGCAAATGCTTTCCGATGTCTTTTCATCGTCATTGACCGTTGGTGACAACGTTGCAATGGTCCAGACTGCCAGAAGAGTTTGGAATCCCCAATAGCAGCCAAACTCAACCTCGAACCGACGATATCCGTTGTTAATTTCGAGTATGCCCTAGCAATTACGACTTGAAGCGACGGCATCGAACAAGATGGTGCTGATAACACTGATCGTCCGGACCACGAGAGAAGACACGCAGCTGGGCCATGTTTGATCTTTTATAGGCATTATGCCATCTTTTAAGCGATGCTGTTGATTGATGGCCTTGGCGAGGGAATGCAGCGGTCCAGCGCCGGCCCAGCTCCATAAGGCCAATGTGCTCGGAGGCGGGGGAAGGTGAGGAGAAGCCCCGAGCAACCGGCGATGACAGCCCGCAACTTTCCTTCATCATCACCTAGGAACATCTCACAGCACAACAAGTCTGCCGAGGCACTGAAGCGAGACTCGATCTAGCTCTCCATCAAGACAATCAAGTGGGCACATCCGTTGTAGTGCCCCGCGTTCCTTATCTCAAGTCGGACTACTTACTTCAGCAGCACCGTTCGCACCCAACTATCCCCTCACAGACCCCACCTCAGGCCGGGATCCTTCCGTGACGGAGTCGGCCGCTGCAACGTTGCAAGCCAACTTGACGCGGACCTGAGAACTGGAGGATTCCTGCCACGAGAGCAGAGCGAGGAGCAACCTCTTGCAACACGCAAGTCTCAATTTCATCTCAACACAAGTCATCACAACGACTATATAATATGACGGCTTCCGATCTTCTCGACCGTCTCAACAGAGATGGCTTCGTGGTCATTCCTTCGATTCTCACGGAGGAACAACTCACGAAGCTCCGGGACGCCACTCAACAAGCCACAGCGCTGGCCCGAGCCGGCAAATGGCCAAATGTCCGGACCCTTCCGAAACAGTTTCCTCCGTGGCCGGTTGCCACTCCCGAAGCACCCCCTGAAGGTATCTGGGGAGTGCAGAGCATGATGCACCCAGATATGCCCAATAGCAACGTCTTCATCCAGACTTACTTCTCGGATGCCGTTATCGAGCCTACAAAGCAGCTGCTGCAATGCACCGACAATGATCTTGTTATGGAACTGTTCAACCTGCTTGTCCGGCCGGACCACGACTTCGAGCTCCGATGGCACAGAGACGACATTGCGGCGACAGCTGCTGCAGACGAGGAGCTGGATCGCCTGAACAAGCCGGCATACTCGGCGCAATGGAACTTGGCTCTTTACGATGACAATAGTCTCATTGTCGTTCCGGGTTCGCACACCAGAGCCAGAACAGACATCGAGCGCAACGCGGATCCATACGAGAAGGAGATCCCGAACCAACTATTCGTCGAGTTGAAGGCGGGCGACATAGTCTTCTATAACAACAATATCCTCCACCGTGGCGCCTACATAGCCAGCAAGGAGCGCATGACATTGCATGGAAGCGCCGGTCATGTCAAGGGCAGCACCCTCCGGGCACGCAACGTCCTTCAACACGGGCTCAAGGGCTGGGTGGACAAGGTCGATTTGAGTACACTAGGTGAGAAGGAGAGGGCGAGGGCAGAGAACATGCGGAGAATGCTTGTTAAGATGGGACAGGAAGCGGGGGAGGTGGGATACTCTCTGGAGGGGTAGATAAGATATGGATATTTTTACGAAGCCAACCTGGTCGTGCTGGCCAGGCTAATATGAGAAATGCGGGAGTTTCCAAGGACAAGAGGCTGGGAGTTGTTACCGATCGGCGGTGTGTCACAACCGAGCGGTGAATTGCGCGAGTCTTGGTCATGTGCTGCCGGCGCTTAGCTGGGTGCCCCGTGACAAAGCGACTTAAGACACTTTCGATTCCACGATGATAAAGAAGCGTTTTCGGCCTCCAGGGTTTCTGGAACGCCAAACAACGTCATTCTTCTGGAATTAATAGTTCGACTGACACTTCTGGACGTGAACGTTGTTTCATCTCAAGTCCCTCATCCATCTCAAAGCCTGGGGAAAGCGTGGAAGTGGCCTGTGCGCAGCGGATGCCTAAGTAACGAGGTGTCAGTTGACCCGTGAGCTTTTCCCGTTCGCGCGGCCAAATCCGGGTTTGCCAACCATCAACCGACTCTGTCGGCAACACCAGCGTCAACCTCAACCACCTCCAAACCCCTTCGAAACCGCCCCGACTCCTCGAACTCTGCACCTGGCGACAATGTTGCCCTCATCGGTGCGGCGCGTGGTCGCCTCGGCGCCACAGTCTCCTCTCGTCGCCTCCCTCAGCACCTCCGCTCCGAGAGCGGCTACGGCGACCATCACCCTTCAGCAGAGACCTGGCGGCCACCAGCGACGATGGTCCTCTTCAAGCCCGTCCAGTCCGAACAACAACGGCTCCAAGGACATGCCCGGTCAGGGCCAGTCCGTCCACGCCTCGACATCGTCCAACTCGAGCAACAGCAAGTCGAACGGCGAGAAGCGGAAACGGAAGAGCAAGGATAGCGCCGAGAGGGAGGCTGCGCAGAAGCTGCCCAGCGTGCCCAGCACACAACACCTGTCTCAAGAGGGTATGGTATCACCAAGGAGCTACTGCGCGAGGGAAACGCTAACAAGAGACGTGCAGCCCTGGGGTTGTCGACCTTTTTCTCGCTCCATCGACCGATATCCGTGACCCACAGCATGCCCAAGTCCGTGACCGAAGAAGCCTTTGCCGCAATCTTCAAGCCCCGAAACAAGGCGAACAAGGTCACCGACGTCATCTCAACACTATCGAGGACGACCGACGATCTCGAGGGCGCCATGGCCAAGATGACCATTGCCAGCCAGGAGGCGGATGCATCAGGCGAGCCGGTTCAGAAGATCGACCTCAAGCACCCCGACGGCAGCGAGTCGAGCGTCTACGTTCAGCTCAACGCCATGGCCGGGCAGTTCATCCCCTTCCGCCCCCCTCCCGCGCCGGAAGCCATGGGCGCCGCCGATGCCCATGCCGAGTCCGCCATCGAGGATGTCCTTGACGAGGCCCCCCAACACCGCGTCTACAAGGCCATGTTCACGATCGAGGAGACGACCGACGCCGACGGCCAGGTTCAGGTCCTCGCCCACAGCCCCAAGATTATGCAGGACGAGGTCCCCCGATCGTTCCTCGAGCGCATGGCCCTGCGCCAGATGAGGTTCGACGAGGCGCAAGGCCACGACACCATGCAGGCGATCAGCGTCAAGCGCCAACGCAAGCTGAAGATGAAGAAGAAGAAGTACAAGAAGCTGATGAAGCGCACGCGCAACCTGCGCCGCAAGCTGGATAGAATATAAGTTGGGTGTGGCTGTATATACAAGCCCGCGGTTTTTCTCACTTTCTTCTCGAGCATATTTGGGCAGTCGGGTTCTCTCATGATTGGTGTTGGGCCAGGCATTACTGATGGTTTCATATCTTTTTCTTTGGCCAGTTCTTGGGCTTCATAGAGAGAAGAGAGAGACAGCTTTGCATCAGATAGCAATCATCCAACTGTTTGCATCCGGAGCCATCACTCATGACTGTGCCGCAAACCCCAGAGAGAGACTTGAAACCCGGGCGGTGCGAAAGAGAAAGAGAGATCCTGTACAACACTAGAGTGTATTACTAGTTCCATGAGGAAGGACGGAAGGAATTATTCTAAGTCTTTTGAGATTGTCCTTGGAAGCCGCTTTTGTCTTGAGCGAATAGTCCCTGTGATTTTTTTGGTGATCGCCCAAGGGCGTGGCGACAAGTGAGCCGTGGGGTGGCCATAGCTGAAAAGTTCCTGCACCCCACCAAGGTTCAGCGGCCTTTGGGCTCACCGCTCGGCAGAAAATGTTCTCTCCGCCAAATTTTTGGATTTCCTCGAGTCTGCCTCGATTGTAAGTTTGCGCCGACCTCAGCAAGCCCGTACCCGCCAACTTCTGCTACCCCCCGCCACCTGCGAGCTCTTTCCAAGATGTCGCGCAAGGCAGTGTATGTCACATTTCCAAATATCACATGCGATTGAATTCAAAACCTGACATTCCGGTACAGAGACCAGCGGATCCCGAACCTCATTTACAACGGCTTGCAGGAGAAGAAGCGAAGCTTCTTCGTAGTCGTTGGAGACCATGCCAAGGATGTTATCGTCAACCTCCACTACTTGATGTCACAGCGAGACATCAAGCAGAACAAGTCTGTCTTGTGGGCATACAAGAACAAGCTCCTTGGCTTCACCAGGTACGAAACGCTCTCCAGATGCACTTACACAGGACCTCGAGCTGACAGCTATGCCCCGCCAGTCACCGCAAGAAGCGCGAGAACAAGATCAAGAAAGAGATCAAGCGCGGCACCCGCGAAGCCAACGAGTCCGACCCCTTCGAGCTCTTCGTGTCCCTCCACAACATCCGATATGTCTACTACAAGGAGACCGAGAAGGTGCTCGGAAACACCTTTGGCATGTGCATCCTGCAAGACTTCGAGGCCATGACGCCGAACATCCTCGCCAGAACGATCGAGACGGTCGAGGGTGGCGGTTTGGTTGTCCTTCTTCTCAAGGGTATGACCAGCTTGAAGCAGCTGTACACCATGTCCATGGACATCCACTCGAGATACCGGACGGAGGCGCACGACGATGTTGTCGCCCGTTTCAACGAGCGCTTCATTCTCTCCCTTGGAAGCTGCGAATCTTGTCTCGTCATTGACGATGAGATGAACGTCCTGCCCATTTCGGGTGGCAAGAACGTCAAGGGACTGCCGCCGGCCGACAAGGACATCGCCAAGACCGAGACCCAGCAGGAATTGGAGGACATGAAGGAGGCCCTACAAGATACCCAACCAGTCGGCTCCCTGGTTACCCTTGCGAAGACGGTCGACCAGGCCAAGGCGCTGCTGACCTTTGTGGACGCCATCGCCGAGAAGACTTTGAGGAGCACGGTGACCTTGACGGCCGCCAGAGGACGCGGAAAGTCCGCGGCCATGGGTGTGGCTGTTGCGGCTGCCGTGGCGCACGGTTACAGCAACATCTTCATCACCTCTCCCTCGCCCGAGAACTTGAAGACCCTCTTCGAGTTTGTCTTCAAGGGTTTCGATGCGCTCGGCTACGCGGATCACGCCGACTACTCGATCATCCAGTCCACGAACCCCGACTTCAACAAGGCTATCGTCAGAGTCAACATCCACCGGGCGCATCGCCAGACGATCCAGTACATTAGGCCTCAGGATGCCCACGTTCTCGGTCAGGCAGAGCTGGTCGTCATCGATGAGGCCGCTGCTATCCCCTTGCCCCTGGTTCGCAAGCTGATGGGCCCTTACCTGGTCTTCATGGCTTCCACGATCAACGGTTACGAGGGTACTGGACGTTCGCTGTCATTGAAGCTGATTAAGCAGCTGAGAGAGCAGTCAAGACCCGGAGCGAAGACGAACACCGACACAGAGGTTGCTGATCGCACCACGGGCAAGACTGCCAAGGACCAGGGCTCAAGCCACCAAGCCAGCCGCTCTCTTCGCGAGATCACTCTGTCCGAGCCCATCAGATACGCCCAGGGCGACGCCGTTGAAAAGTGGTTGAACAAGCTCTTGTGCCTGGATGCCACTCTCCCCAAGGCCAAGGCTAGCAGCCAGGGCTGCCCCGACCCATCCCAGTGTGAGTTGCTCAAGGTCAACCGCGATACTCTCTTCTCGTTCCACCCTATCCCCGAGAAGTTCCTGCAGCAGATGGTGGCCCTTTACGTCGCCAGTCACTACAAGAACTCTCCCGACGACCTCCAACTGATGAGTGACGCGCCCGCGCACGAGCTCTACGTGCTTATTGCGCCGACATCAGACGGAAAGCTTCCCGAGCCTCTATGTGTTATCCAGGTCGCCTTGGAAGGTAAGATCAGTAGACAGAGCGTCATCAACAGCTTGAGCAGAGGACAACGGCCCTCTGGTGACTTGATCCCGTGGCTCGTGAGCCAGCAGTACCAGGATGACGAGTTTGCCTCCCTGTCTGGTGCTCGCGTTGTGAGGATAGCCACGAACCCGGAGTACGTGTCCATGGGATACGGTACCAAGGCTCTGCAGCTGCTCACCGACTTCTACGAGCAAAAGTTCACCAACCTGTCCGAGGATGCCGACCTCACTATGGAGGAGACGCTACCGAGGGTGACGGATGCGGAGCTGGCCAACACTTCTCTGCTCGCAGACGACGTCCACATTAGAGATATCAAGAAGCTGCCGCCGCTGTTTGCCAGGTTCTCCGAGATCAGACCCGCTGCATTGGACTACGTCGGTGTCAGCTACGGTTTGACGCAGCAGCTCCACAAATTCTGGAAGCGGGCCTCGTTCGCTCCAGTCTACCTTAGGCAAACCGCCAACGACTTGACGGGCGAGCACACATGCGTTATGCTCCGGCCTCTGGAGAACACCGCAGACCAGTCGTGGCTCGGTGCGTTTTCCAGAGATTTCCAGCGTCGCTTCCAGTCGCTACTGTCCTACCAGTTTAGAGAGTTCCAGTCGGTTGTGGCGCTCAGCATCGACGAGTCCGCCAACGCGGGCGCTAAGCTCGATGGCACTGAGCCTACGGCTCTGACGAAGGCCGAGCTCGACAGACTCCTTACGCCTTTCGATCTGAAGCGTCTTGAGTCTTACGCCAACAACATGCTGGACTACCACGTCATCCTTGATCTCGTTCCCACCCTTGCTAGCCTGTACTTCACTGGCAAGCTCAAGTCCGACATCAAGTTGACGGGTGTGCAGCAGGCTATCCTGTTGGCCATTGGTCTGCAAAGAAAGGATATGGACGTCATCTCCCAAGAGCTGTCTCTCCCATCGTCGCAACTCTTGGCCATGTTCATCAAGATTCTGCGCAAGATCACTGCTCACTTCGGCAGCTTGGTCAACGCTGCCGTCGAAGCCGAGATGCCCAAGGCCGATGCCATTGGTGTTAGCCGGGAGAACGCGTCGGGTGCCCACGATGACGAGGTTGTGGACAAGAGGTTCGCTCCCCTTGAGACCTCTCTCGAGGACGAGCTTGAAGAGGGAGGTGATGAGGCTCTGGCCAAGCTGCGTAAGAAGCAGCGTGAGCTCATCGACTCCCTTCCTCTCGACCAGTAAGTTATTAAATCCCACAGCTTTTAGACGGTTCCAAGCTAACAGTTGCCAGATACGAGGTTGATGGTGATGCCCCGCGTGGGCAGAGGCTGAGCAGGCCGTCAAGGAGGGCAAGTCCGGCGTCGTTAGCATCAAGACAAGCAAGTCGAAGCGCAAGGCCGGACCGACGGCAGCGGAGATCTACGACGAGGCCCTTGGGGAGAAGAAGTCTCACAAGAAGGCCAAGAAGTCCAAGAAGGACAGGGACTGAAGAGTTACATGAGGCGGCGGTGTGGTATAAACAAAAGTGTAAAAGCGTTCCTACTGAGAGAAGGGTAAAACGGGTATTTCTCCCAACATTATTGGGGCGCCTCTGTACGGAGTTGGCTCGGCATTTTTTTATCAAATTCAAGAGGGTTATTGTTTCCAGTTGGCAGGAATGAATGCCGTTGCCGTCTGAAGAAGCGTCAGGATTCTCATGGATCTAGTGAATATGATGACTGGTGACTAGGCTGGGGAAGTAGTTTCCCAACGGGGGAGGGACGAAGGTGAGTTGGCAGACGCGTGCCTTCCCTTGCACCTTCCTTTCCAATTTCAACATGGCAACGATCTCTCTTTCCTTCGTCCGTCGAAACACTACGCCACTCGAGTTTCGTTGAAACGTACGTGATCGCCTCGGAGGTTTCTATCAAACATACCAGTGGAAAGCCTCCTTTATCTTGAATCCGACACCAAGCTCATGATTGTGTTCCTCTTCCCGCCACAACGAGGACGTTAAGATATTAACATTACAGCGTCCCTCGCGATTCGATACAACTGCCAAAATCTCGAGTTACCCACGAACTCTTGGTGCCGCTCGCGACACCACGAATGTGTACCGAAACCATCGCCCTCTGCGAAAGCTGCGGCTTCCACAGGCACATGCACTACCACCGCTGTATGGCCTGGCTATGGACCTACCGCCAGATCAAATGGGGATTCACCACCCCGCTCGACTCAATCCCAAAAGCCAAGAACTGCCCATTTCTTGACGGCGAGGTCAAACTAGAGATAGAGCCCGGCCGATGTCCCGATGCACTGTGCCCCGGCCACAAGCTCAAGGCAGAGATGGACGAGGTGTCGACTGACATAAGAACGGACGCCGATAAGATTGAGGAGCAGCGAATCAAGCTAGGCTTAAAGAAGAGGACGAGACCACAGGGGTTCCAGGATCCTTTGGAGGTCGGTCGGCCGCATCAGCGGAAGATTCCAGTTGTTATTTTGGATGGGCATCCCAACGATGTCTCTGGAAGGAGTCAAGGGAAGCAGAGAGTTTGGGAGGATCAGGCACAGTACGAAATGCTCACTCCGGAACAGGAACATGCTGGGGGAATTGCGATTCCATTACACTCACCCGCCGCTGAGGCACCAGTTTTCAGACAAAGGAAATTCAATGGGCCGATGATGCTGCCGCACTGAGACGAAGACTGCAAACCTACGAAAAGAATGCGCCGACTTCCGGGGCATGAGATTATGAATAAACGAGAGACGGCTCCAGGCATACCAGGAGTCCTACTATCGACGCCAAACAAATTGAGGGCGTTGATATCAAGCGCCAATCAAGTGTTCTACTGCTTAGTACAATGCTTACTGATTTACTGCATTGTGCTTCGGAGAGAGTGAGGCTCAGCTGGAGTTGTGAAGTTGCTTCTGATTGTTGTTCCTGTAAGACAGGTCCATCCTCCACCTTCCGTGCGATTGACCAATCAAAGCCGGTCCGTCGGAACCGTTCGATCGCCTTCATCGAAAATGTTTCTCCCTATAGCGCAGCCAACCGGCAGGGTCTAGTCAGCCAGCCCATGCTCCAGCGCCATTTAAGCCTGTTTTCGACGCCCGTCCCCATGAAGAGCCAATCTCGGCAGTGGGGAACATCCCCTGTAGACAGCCAATACCATATTCCCCACAGCGCTCAGGTCCTCCACTGAGAGCTGGAGGGATCATGCACGTCGCCTCCGCGACCTGGGGTGACATTTCTTAACTTTCCCCTTCGACCCGTTCGTCCCTTGTAAACATCGTCCCATCTCCTCTCCTCTCCTTACCCTCAATCGCGATACATTCATTTACTGCGGACGAAAGCCCGAGTCGTCAATCGACCTCTCCACGACGAGAGACGCTTCTGGTTCGAGAATCACCATACGCTAGTTTACTCTAGGCTATTTAACCTTAATCCCTTCGTTGCCAAGCCCCAACGCATCGCGAATTCGATTTCTCTCCGTCGTCACGATGCACACGCTCAACTTCGCCGCTTCGGCCGTCCTCCTCTTTCGGGGCGTCGCTGCCGTCCCCGCGCCGACGCTCGTTGCTCGTGCTGATGTCCTCGCTCCCACGGCGGCCTGGGTCAGCGTCAACGACAAGGGTGTCCCGACAACCATCACCCCCGTGCCGACCACCATCTCCGGCACCCCGACCTTCGCGTCGGCGGCGCCCAACGCATTGACGGGAAGCGTCTTCACCATGACCGATTTCCGCCTTGTTCAGGTCACCACGAGCACCGGCAGCCCGCCGTTGGCTACCGCCGACAACAAGAACGGTGCTGGAGCTTTCGCCCCCTGCAGAAACACAAAAGGAGACTTTTCACCCTTTTGTGACCCTGTCAAGGACAGTCAGCTCTACGTCGATGGGACCTACTACGGTATGCGACTCTCTTGGCCTTGTACATGAGGAAACGCAAATACTGACCTTCTCTAGTGACCTGGGACCCCACCGTGCTCATCCAGGGCAACAAGACCAACGTCCACGTCAAGATCCAGGGCAAGGATGTCAACGGCACCACGGTCGGCGACATTGTCCTCAACGCAGATACGGACAAGACCAACCCGGCCGCGTACGGCTACTACGCCTGGAATGTCAACGGCAACCTCATTCCCTCTGGTCAGGACAACGCCACTATTGAGCTTCTCATGTCGTACACCATCGACAACGTCGCGCAGAAGGATATCACCGGCCCCCGCGTCCTCGTTCTCAAGCGCCCGCAGTACCATCCCCAGCCCGCTAGGCTGCCCAAGGGCGCCGAGCTGTATATCGCCCTACCCACCGTCTTCGGCTTCATCATCATCGCCGTCATCGGCGGCTGTCTCTGGAACCGCCGCACTCGCCAGATTGGCATCGGAAACATAATGAGCCGCTCACGCCACGGGTACGGCGTCGGCAAGTCGCGCGCGCAGCGCCTGGGCGCCCGCGTGCGCCAGAGCGTTTTCCACGGTCGCAAGGACCGCGGCATCCAGCTCAAGGAGCACGAGTTGGGCCCCGGCGGCGGGTACGTGTACCGCGACGAGCCTCTCCCTAGCCAGCAGCCTGCTGGTCGTCCCAGGAGAGACAGCGATTCGCTTGGCAGCTTGGCAGGCAGCCCGACGTCCACTCACTTTCAGGACCACGATGTTCAGGGTGGTAACGCCTTCCGGGAGGAGCTGAGGAGACAGGAGAGGGAGAGGTATTAGACGGAGAGGCGTCGCGGCCCAACGCGCGATTGCAAGAAAGGAATCCATGATATTGCTCAGAAGAACACTATGGAGCATAAGGAGAAGGTGTGTCACGATATTCTGGACGACGCCAGCTCCAGAGACGACAATTGGAGCTCGTCTATACGTAATATGTAACAATAATGAACTCATGAAGAAGCCAGTTGCTAGCGCTGATGATGACTGACGATCTGGGCCAATCATCAAGGGCAGATTATCATGTGGAAACAAAGCTGCAACCCAGTGTCGGTAGCACAGATCAGCTTGCCTGTCGAGTACGTCTGTCACTTCTCGTCCGTGGCATGCGGATGTGTATTTGATGCTGAGCACTCAGGATCCGCTAAACAGCTCCAAGCACGATCACAGCAGAGCTATATGCATCTTGCCCATGGGGTAGATTAACCCTGCGGACTGCTTTGTTTCCATAGAGATTCCGCTGCCTTGGCGGTCTTTATACTGTTTCGAAAAGACTGGCGAGGGATGAGTCCTGTCGGGTATAGAAGTGTGTGTTCTATCGTGTCTAAGAGAAGATGGAAAAGGGCAGGACAGTATCAGACCTGGTGACATCACATTTTATATACAGCGATTGCTTAGTAACTGATCCACAGACGAAAATGACTTTCTGGGTCGTTTGACCGTCTTGTTGGACTCTTCTTGATGAAACTGATATATGCCACTGATAACATGCACCAGCCCCCACTTCCCGTCCTCAGTATTCTGCTACAATTACTCGTCTAGAGATCAGTTCAATTGCAACTGGGGATTCTTGTTTCAACTGTGTAAGTAAAGTGTTCCTCACCGTCCTGAAACAGGTGAAAGGGGGCTTTCCTGTGGCGCACCGTATCTTTTGTAGTATCATTGTTGGTGTATTGCTTGAGGATCTTCAGCTGAGGATTGCGTAACGCTGCGTTATCAGAAGACAGGGCATCTGCTCTTGTGATTGTCTCACATTCGTGTCCTTACAGAATATGTCTCATTCGGGGTCAGCCTGAAAGTTAAAAGTTGGACCGTCCTTAGTCTCAGGCAAACCGGTGAGCGGGTAATCTCTCTTTGATATATCACTTTGCCTTCATCAATGTCCAATACGCCTGGATGCAGCGACGAGGTCTTCACCAGCCTAAGCCTACCCTAGCAAAACTTCATTGACGTCAGTCCTGCGGTATTCCAAATACTGCGGACCCTTATGCGATTGATAAGATCCAGCGGCATGAGAACCCTTGTAGACTCGTGGCCGGTTCCCGACACCGGACTGTGTAGATGGGCTGTCGTTGCTCGGAGCACCGAGTTGCGTCACTCGGGCGAGCCTCGGCAAGTGGAGACCCATTCTTGGCCACCAACGGACCGGGACTCGGTGCTTAGATAAGCCAGCCAGTACGGCCAAACGGCTGTCCGATCACGCATGGGTAGGCGGGCTGCAAGCGTGGGCACCCTGAATCGCGCGGCTGCCCGAAAAATTTCAGGAATTCTGGAATCCACCACGGAAGCCCAGCAACAGCGTGTTAGCATCAGCAGATCCCGGCACCATTAGAAATCCAATCGCAGAGGCGTTGCTTGCCCACTTTCGAGTCAACCGCCGTCCACTGAGAAGCCGTCCCTGGCACGCCTGGCCCTTTGTAGCACATCATCCATCCCGTTCACGGTCCCCGGGTCTACCGTTGACGACAGCAGCTCCGCGAGCTCCTAGGCCTTGATTGGAAGCAGAACCCGCAAGCCCATCACCGTCGCCGCCCTCCTCCTGCGTTTCGCACTGCGTTGCCCCTCCACCCCTCACACGCCCCCCTAGGTGGCCGACCCCCCCTTCCGATACATATAATCTCTCTTTTTCTGATACCCCGCCATCATAGAGGATAGTGCGTGTTCCAAACGCGCATATCACCGCCAAACTGTTCTCCTCAACCTTTAGACGAACATTTCTTCGCTCCAGTGCGACAGGACTTTCTTTTGCCGCAGCCACCACCTCCCTCAAGAAGAACACCGCAAATCCTGCCGAATTAAAGACTAGTGCCCGCAACATGCATAGCAAGGTTGTCAGTATGTTATGCCACTTCCATGCCGTCTCCTGCTGCCGATCTCCGCTGCGGTCGAGCTATGATGGCCTCACCTTGCAATGCGCCCTTACTGACATGGTCACGCAGTCATTGGCTCTGGGCCTGCTGCCCACACCGCCGCCGTCTACCTGGCGCGTGCTGAGCTGAAGCGTAAGCCTCCCCTTATCCTTCGACCATCCTGATTCGAGATAGCCAACTGACCATCTCGGTTCCAGCCGTCCTCTACGAGGGTTTCATGGCCAACGGCATCGCCGCCGGCGGCCAGCTCACCACCACGACCGATGTCGAGAACTTCCCCGGTTTCCCCAAGGGTATCATGGGAGGCGAGCTCATGGAGAACATGAAGGCTCAGTCCGCTCGCTTCGGCACCGAGATCATCACCGACACCGTCTCCAAGCTCGACCTCTCCTCCCGCCCCTTCAAGTACTCGACCGAGTTCTCCCCCGACGAAACCCACACCGCCGATGCCATCATCCTGGCCACCGGTGCCTCTGCCAAGCGTCTCAACCTGCCTGGCGAAGAGAAGTACTGGCAGAACGGTGTCTCTGCCTGCGCCGTGTGCGATGGTGCCGTCCCTATCTTCCGCAACAAGCACCTCGTCGTCATTGGCGGTGGTGACTCCGCTGCCGAGGAGGCCTTGTACCTTACCAAGTATGGTAGCCACGTCACCGTCCTCGTCCGTCGCGATGTCCTTCGTGCGTCCCAGATCATGGCCAAGCGCCTGCTCGGCAACGAGAAGGTTACCGTGCGGTGGAACTCCGTTGGTAAGGAGATCAAGGGCGGTGACGATGGCCTCATGAGCCACCTCGTCGTCCAGGACACCGTCACCGGCAAGGAGGAGACGCTCGAGGCCAACGGTCTCTTCTACGCCATCGGCCACGAGCCCGCGACATCTCTTGTCAAGGGTCAGCTCGAGACCGACTCTGAGGGCTACGTCGTCACCCAGCCCGGTACCCCCCTGACCAACATTGAGGGTGTCTTCGCTGCCGGTGACGTCCAGGACAAGAGGTACAGACAGGCCATCACCAGCGCCGGCACCGGTTGCATGGCCGCCATGGACGCGGAGAAGTACATTGCCGAGCTCGAGGACGGCGACCCCAAGGACCCCAACAACAACCCCCAGTGACTAGATCATCACCTTTAAGCTGCGATGGATTTGGAGCTGCTTAATGATATAGAAGGCCCTCTAGACTAGACGTGTGGGAAGAAAAATAGACTTTTGAATTCAAGCGTAAAGACGGGGTATTTTCCCAATGCTCGGAATCAGGTCCGAGCTACACCGAGGCAGATCTCGGAGATATATCGTGATGGCCGCCCATACTACTTATGCCCGGGCTTTCCCGGATCTAGGGTTGCTTTCCCTTGGTTGATTGCTGTAAGCAAACCGTCAGTGTTGGGGGCGCAATTTATTATTTGAAGAGCCGCTGTTCCCTGGGCTTAAATCCCAATGCCATGCTGTCCCAACTTTTCCAGAAATGAGAGCTCTGATTTCCCAGGCTCCCCTTTGACATTGCAGCATCGCATTCCCCCCTCCCTCCACCTCTCAGGATCCTTCTAGTCCAAAACATCTGGTGTACTTCCAATCTTGACCCCCACATGAAGCTTGAAGCATCATACCGAATGGGTAAAAGCCAGGCACGCCAGGCCCGAAATGCATAGCCAGCTGCCAGCGCATGCTTTTTTTGCCTCGCTCGGCCCACGAGACGCTTTCCGTGGTCGTACCGTTGCGCTGCCCCGTCGTCTCCGTCCGATCTTTGAGTTCAATCAAGACTCTTCAACCGCCCAATGGCGGGGTAACGACGCGTTTCAAAAACAGACACATCGCAGTGATCAGCCCATGTGCGCTTGAAGGTTTCCCTTGTACTTAAGCTCCCCGTTTCCATCTCCACTTTGAGTCAAATGTGAAGCTCTCGTGCTCTCTCTCTCTCTCCTCATCCTTCAATGACTTGATCCAATCCGCGCTATTCCAAAAACCGGACAGTAGGGAATATCCACCCCAGACCGACGATATGCCAAGCACCAACACCTACACGTACAAGAGCTCTGGAACCAACAACCAGGTATGTAAACCCCCCCCCGACCTCCGCTAAAGCAAGCTTCGTCCCCTCGGAGAACTATCGTGGGACCGTAGAAACTTACTTACTGTGGGAAAAGGGTAACCACTACTGCGCCCGCGACTACGGCAGCAGCTCATCGAATTCCAACTCGTACCACTACTCCAATAGGTGAGTCTCATCCTCAACTCCCCTTGTTCATTGTCATCATTGAGCGAAATGAGGCTGATGGGCTTCACGGGCAGGAACGGGTCGTTTTATTACTCCAATCCGAACGGCAGCACGTACTCCAACAACGGCAACGGCGGATCGACCTATACCTCGGCCAGTGGGTACCGGACGTGCTCCGGGTACGGCAAAAAGTAAGTTGCCTGAAAGCTTCGCCGGCCGGATAGACCATCATGGAGGGCAACGCATATGATAGGCTTCGCAGTCGATTGATCGGGCTAACGTTGCATATCAAGTGTTGGCATGAAATAAACGCCCAAACCATGCGACGACGGCCGATCAGGCGAATGCGATTATGTGGGCGACATCGAGCGATGGCTTCAACTCGGCTGGCACCTTGTGATGCATTGAATGCAACTGGGATACGTGTAGCAAGTCGCAATCATGATACTTGATTTCTGTTCATGCTGTGTGCTGGAGATGAGGGCCAAGTGAGACAGATGCAGTCGGTATTTCCTGAAGTCCAACTGACTCGGTCCCTGATGCGTGGGACCCTGAGAATGAGGGGTCTCGGCAACTCTAGCACTTGCATGCACTGTTGCTCAACACTCAACCTTGCTATTGATTTTGGGTAAAAAGCCAAGAAACACACTCTGAGACTGAACGATACTGGTGGTCAGAGGATGTTATGGTTTACGTGTGCTTCTCCTCGAGCAATGAGTACATCTCAGCCAAAGCCAACACTGCGATCTTCCTCAGACCTACGAGGGTACCCCTTGTCCCGTTCACGAGAGTGTCGGTTTGCCGGACATGGGTGCATGCCAACGCTTTTAGCTTATCTCTCAAGACTACATGTCAAAGAAGCAACTTGCCTACATGCTTGCTTTCTCGCCTGCTTCTTCCCGCAGCAAACTTGCTTGTGATTGTCCACACTGACCAACAAGCTGCTTTTATTCTCACAACGCGCAGCTAGATATGCCTTGAGTTCAAACCTCGGCTGGCGCGGATGACGCGTAGCTTCCCGTCTGTCTCATGAGCCCCGCATGGGCAATCAATTGGTGATGCGGGGAATGGAAGGACGAGATACCTGGCGAGTGTTTCTATAATACCTATATAAGCTCTCACTTATCCTCCAAATACCTTCATCTTACTCCCGTCCTGTTTCCCTTATTGCCTCATCACCAAGACTCTTTTCCAGACAAAAAACCACCTCAAACCCCAAGACAGTCAGCAAACACTCACGATGCCCAGCGGTCAGGGATACGAGTACAAGAGCTCTGGCACCAACAGCCAGGTATGATCGCCTTGAGTCTTCAGAATCCTGCGCACGCGACGGAATGACTGACGGGACACAGGGCAACCACTACTGCGCCCGTGACTACGGCAGCAGCGCTTCCAACTCCAACTCGTACCACTATTCTAACACGTAAGTCTTTCTTGGCAAAAGAAAACCTCGCCATCTGACGTCTCCGCCTTACCTGCTGGTTGCTTCGGTTCATGCGCAAGTAACTGATACTTGGTATCGCAGCGATGGGTCCTACTACTACTCCAACCCCAACGGCAGTACCTACTACAACAATGGCTCCGGCAGCTCGACTTACACTTCCTCCGGCGGCGACAAGTCTTCTTCGGGCTACGGCTCCGGCAGCTCCGGCAAGAAGTGAGCCTTCCGCGTGGTGGTCATCCTGGTAACACACAGGACGGGTTCGGAGTTTGGGATGGGATTTTCGATGACATGGGATCGGGATGACTTTGAGTGAAAGACTGAGAAACAGTCGGGTCATAGAGAAACGACGATGACATGAACTGATTTGTCCTTGCTAAGCATACAATTTTGTGATGGGACTCGGACGCATCCATTTGATCTGTTGGCTATTCGCCCTGATCCCAATGCAGATCTCAACCTCGCTTCTTGTTCACCACGAAAAACGGGCAATGCTGGCCTCAAACCAAAGTTTGCAAGATGTGGCAAGCCTCGTGGGTATACAAAGGGCCAAATAAGGAGCTAGCTTCCATATTTTGTTTCCGACCTTGGTAAGGTGAATACAGGGAATTATCGAAGTGTAGTGAGACTTGACGGGGAGATGGCAACATTGTCTGATCACCGAAGGACAGCGTCAACTTGAAAAGCGACAATATCAACATAGCGGTCCTATCTCAGTACTAAAACGCCAAACCCGGCTACAACCAGTCTCAATTCCACTCAACAGCTATTCAAACAGAGCTTCGTCAGCTAGCGACCTAGCTTCGTCATAGGAGGGCCTTTCCTATAGCGCTTTGATTGTACTCGGAATCAACATACTAGTCACCTCGACAATAGCAACGCCCGTGGCCCCTTTGACACTTCCTTCGACATACAGTCTCTGCTCGCCATTGTGTTGACAGGCCTCCGCCAGACAGTACCAGTCTAATCATGGTCATGCAAGGCTCCCGGCACAGTTTTTGAACACTGACGAGAGGATAGGAGGGTGTTGACTATAGATCTAATGTCCATGTGGACAATTGAAATCTTTTGAAACAAGGGCCATTCTCTGACCGGTTTTTCGCTATCTACCCGCAACCCATTGGTATGCCGACGCTACAAATCAGGCAACCCAGAGATAACAACGGCGCTGATGAAATCCTTGGGATGCCCCTGCGTGTCCATCTTGCCGGTCCCGTTCTTCAGATAACAGTACTCCCCAGGGAGCTTGATCATGGCGACAGATCGGCAATACCCTCCACTTGCAACATTGCCTTGGGCAAGATTGTTGTTGTACTCTTGGTTATACGCCGCACACAAATCCATGCACTCTCTGAAAGTTGGGACGTATACCTTGAAGATGTCGTAGAGCTCTGGGTTTCCGTACGCGGCGCCTGAGGGGTAATTGACTTCGCAGAGTTGCTGGAAGGACTGGGCTGAGCCAGAGCCAACCTTCATTGAGTTTCCGTTGCCGTTAGTGGGCGTGTATGTGGTCTGGTTGATGTTGGGACAGCCGTCGTCGGTTGGGGCGGAGCGGACGCCGGTGGGTACCGAACGGGATGTGGATGATGTTGCGGTTGATTGGGAGGAACTGGAGCCGGAGCTTACCCCAGACGCTGTGGGTACTGGCTGGGATTCAGCTGTGACCGTGATTACCGATGGCGAAGCGCTGCAAATCCAAGTTAGTGAACACATTGGGATTTTCAATCATGAGACTTGGAAGGCTTGTTGCTTACGTCGATGAACTGTTGGCTTTCTGTGCTGCCAAACCCCCTGCAACACCTCCGGCGATTCCTCCAACTAGAATCACGACGAGTGCGATAACGAGGCACCAGAAAAAGGGTACGGTAAGGCCAAGAATTCGTCGTCTTTCCAATGGAGTAGAGGGGGAAACGGGGTATGCGTGGCTTGAGGTCCACACTGACTTCTCCCTGGGACTTTGCATCTCGCTGGGATCGTACGGGATCGGCGCGGTTGAGAATCGATCTGGAGCTGCCTCAAGGCCTGACTGGCCTGACTGTTCCCACTGACCCTCGCTCTGGGTATGTATGTGGTCGGCCATCCTGCTGTCTCGTGTAACTATAGGTGAGGAAATGGGTGCCGGTATGAATAGGGACCAACACTTAACCTAAGATGAAACAATGCGCTGGTGGTGATCATTTACAAACTTGCAGTGCGCCGAAATTACTTGATTGGAAAGAGGAAATGGAGGTTAAAAAAAGAAAAATAAAGCAGGATGCTATGAATATGCTCGAGAACGGTTGCCACACGCGTGTAATCAGTATCTTTCGCATGCGGAAGTATTAGGTCGGTGAAAAACAATTTGGGTAGGATATGCTATAAAACTTGTTTCGACCTTGATCCAACGGGTCAGATCGGGCAGGTTTTGTGACTTTTGCCTGATAAGGAACCGGGCGCGTAGTGGAAAGCAACGCTGGTTGCGATTTCAAGACACACCATCGAGCGACACATATTATTCAGGGGCCAAGGTTCAGCCAAAAAACCCGTGCTTAGGGTATTAGGGGTGCTCCTTCATTCCTCCCATACGTTGTTTCTTAGCACCAAGGCAAAGGCAAGGCTGGAAGGGGCTTTATGGAACAATGTCGAACACTCAAATCTAACCTGAGATGGCAAATATGCGCTAAGACTGCCCTCTTTGACATGATGATACACTTGGCTGACTAAAGTATAGTTGTGCAAGCTGGTTTCCTTAGTATAGTAAAAAAATCAACTTTTTAGGCTAGAGGACTTTTTGTTAGCTTTGCTAGCTTCTTCCTTCGGGCCACTGGCACAATTTCCTCATATTTGCAAGTTTAATCATATGTATAACAAACGAGTTTTGACCCATACTGAGGACGTTTACCAGAACGTGTCTTACTAACACAGTTTTCCCAACCCGGTATCAAAACCAGGTCTTCCTACTTGAAAAGCAATTTCATTCTTTAGGTCCTAGATGCTGTTTTCGAATTTCCAGTCATGGCTGAGTAGTCCAAATAAGTGATAGCGCCGAATCTGTCTTGTATTTGCCGTCCCTGTATTCACACAGGATATGGTAAGCCGTATGATCAATGACTTGTCAAGTAAGTATATGTGCTGCTGATCTGGCCTTGCGCGGCTTCGACATTTTATCTTTACTGACGTTCGAGAGACTATTAACAGGGTTTAAACCCCAGTGTGGCAAGTTGGGATGCTGTGTTGTTCACTTCGGTGAACCAAGAGTCAGTCCACTGCGGTCAGCGACGAGGAAGGGGACATGAACAACGGCGTCCGTTCAAGGACGTCGTTCGAGAGCTTTACCCAAAAAAGTCCATCTCCACTCTGTACACGGCCTTCTTCCTGTCAACCCCCTCCAACGGTACATCAATAGTCTTAGATCTACTATTCTTCTTCTCCTAGGTACCGCCGTTGTATGTTACCCTGATGATAGATTGCCCTCTTTATATCATGATAACACCCAAGTGATAGGTTCAAAAAACTGATGCAGTTTATCGACATCGGCGACGGTTAGACCATTGATTCTCCCATTCACAGTGTTTTCGCAGCCAGGGATGGTCTTGGCCGCTGCACTGAATACCCAAAACGAAGGCATGGGTTCGGTACTTACTGTATCTACTCTGTTTCAGCAGGCCAGCACTTGGCTTGTTGGACAAGGGGTGTGTAGCGGTATTGTAGCCGCGCTTACTCACAAGAAAAAAGTCTGGACGCGCATGTACTTTCGCTCACTAGTTTTGCGCCAGCCTGTTCCGTTTTGCATATACTACTCTTAGGCTTCAGGTACTTAACATAGCTGAAGGGAGCAACTTTACCTTGTCACATCTCGACTGACGGAAGCAAACTTCTGTCTCATACTTCCTTCTTCGTAAGCTGTTTCTGCACGTCGACTGTTTTGCGCAATCTGTGATTTGAAGAACAAACTCCAATCAAGAATTTGGACAAAGGTGAATAACATGTAAGTCGGCCCAAGCTGCTGGCGCTGTAAATGATCAAGTATACACAGTATATGTATTCTACTGTCGGTTTCCAGGCTTCTGAGCGGCGGACCTTCAACGTTGTCGGGTTCGATGCTGTTCTCGACATTTCGACGCCCTCTCGGAGATAGTCTCAGCCCTTTGCACGGTTATCTCCAAAGGGGAAGCAAGGATATTGGCATACTCGCATAGTTCGACATTCATGTGCTCCTTGATCAGCCACTCTTGGGGAATTCACAGACATCTCGTTGATTCCTATACGGGATTATATCTATATATATGCTTCCGCCTTTCCCGCCTACTTCATCCCTTCGTTGTTCGTTTTGCGCATTAGTGCGTCGCAGCGCTCTTCCCCAATCAAAACCAACATCTGGACTGCGTGCTGCAGCGTAGGGCGCCTTCAAGAAAGTTCGTGTCTGCCGTTGTGATTTTCGGGCAGCTCGGGCGGCACTGTGTGGCTTTGAATCTCAACGGGCGCGTATGCCGTTCGTTCGGACTTCGCCCACGGCGCTGCCGGGCTATTGCCATCATATACTTGCGCCGATAACGTCGCTCTTGTCTTCTTCTTCTCGCGCAGGAGCAAGACCGTGAGCAGCCCGACTGCAAGAGCCAGCGGAGCACCGACGCCCACGCCGATGCCAGCTGCCGCGCCCGTTGAGATACCGCTGCTGGCCGCCGCCGTTGATGAACATGTCGCAACGCTGCCTCCGCTGGTGATTCCTACAGTACTACCGCTCGTGGTCGCTGTTGTTGTTGCGGTTGCAGTCGCAACGTCACCGAGGTCCGATTGCAAGTACTTGTTTAGCAACATCACTCCTGCGGGCACTCCGAAGGTGTAGTTTGCGCAATTGCTCGAAGTTTGGCACGCATACTTGCTGTCACCACATAAAGCAATGCCGGCGTGGGCGCCGTAAACTGCGAAGCAAAATGTCAGCCATCATGCTCACCAGCCGCCAAGATCAAGACGCAAATTGATCGAAGGGAGGTTCCGTTACCTCCGCCCACAATATCATCTTTGTCACAATACTTTGGGCAACCACTTGTTGTCCAATTCTCATCTGTACAGGCGCCACGGTAGAAACTCAACTCGGTCTTCGAGAAGCAGAGACCGTTGCTCATGCAATAGTGGTTCGCAAAACAGCACGACGCGGCTGTAGTGCCGCCGGCGACAGGGCATGCCACTGTTGAAGTCGCTTTTACGCCGTTGGGCCAGTAGCATGTCTGGCCGGACGCTAACGCGGCCAGCGGGACGGTTGCGAGAAGCCAGCGCGGCGGGTGCATTATTGGTGTTGCGTCTTGTTGACGATGGTTCGGACGGCGAAGAATGGACGAGATTGCGCCGAGCCACACAAAAGAGGCGGTGATTATTAAATGCAGAGGAGCCGGTTCGCTTGCTAATAAGCCTGTTGCACTCATCTTGCTTACCCTGGCGGCCCCCAAGCTTCCAAGACCTCATTCTCACATTGCACCAAGCGATTTGCGGGGATATTGCATGTGAGGGATTCTCATCCCTGACCATTTGCTTAGCCCTTGGCGAATCATACCGCAAGACATTTGACTGGACAAGTTTCGAGCATTAGCTGCGCCTCCTGAAATAACCTTACAAGGCAAATCGAGGTCCAGCTGTTCTGCATGCTGTTCCTGCAAGTCTCCATTTTCAATAAGCACTGGGGCGCTAATTGAGTGGCCTGCTGGAAACGCCGGCTTGCTTCCTCCACCGCCCCAAACATACAATCGAAACAGGGGTGGTGGCTTCGCTGCCTTACCTGGAGTTGCGATCGTTATCGGATCTTTAATTTCGCCTTGGTTAAGCGAATCAGCCTGCATGTATGTTCAGGCTAGCGAATATGGCAAGCGGATGGGGAATGGCTCAGAAGCCTAACGGATAAGCCTCAAATCATGAATGGTCTTCTCCATCAACCGAAAAGGTCCGTCGGTCTTTGTTCAATTCATTGCTTTACTATTTACACAGCTTTCTTTCCCTTAACTGACTTCCATTCCATGAAGCAAGCCGCAATAGCCGATATGCCAGCCAGGGGAACCGCTGCCGTGAACGCTACCCGGAGAGCCTCGTCATACACGGTAAGCAGCGTTGGAAGCGCGCTGGCTGGGACCGTAGTACGGAAAGTTGTCGCTCCAACCTCGAGAACCGCACGAATGTCGACGCCCGGAACCATGTTTTGCGCCGAAGCCTGCAAGAGATGATTCTGGAACAGAGTGTTTCCGACGGAGATGAAGATGGCACCTCCCAAAGACTGCGATGCCACAACGGCCGCGGTTCCGATGGAGATCTCGTCAGGGGGGAGGATGGCTTGGACGGCAGTGAAGCCTTGCTGAATCGACATGCCAAAACCCGCCGATACGAGAATCTCGAATCCAATCCACTGCGCCGTCGAGGTATCCTGTGACAGTAGCCGGAAGACACCACACCCAGCTGTTGCAATCATGCCTCCAACCACAGCCGGCGGCACAAAGTAGCCGACAACGGAGACGAAGATGCCCGAGAGAAGGGAGAAGAACGCGTTCGTGGCAACGTACGGGATCATGTCTATACCCGACGAGATGGCGGTCTCACCTTTGATGGCCTGAAACCAAATTGGCAGGAAGTAGGAGTGTATCAGCAACGCCCCGTACGTGGTGAACGCGGCGACGCATGATGCGGCTACTGTTCTCTGCTTTATGATGGCCGGCGGTATCAAGGCACCATCCTGCTTCCACCACTGCCACGCTGCGAAAACCGCTGCCGTCGCGCCGGCACCGGAAAGGAGCCCGATGACCCTGGCGCTCGACCAAGCCTCGCCCTGCGTGGTGAACTCGAGCGCCAGGAATAGCATGACGCAGGCGCCTAGCAGAAATATATTGCCAACAAGGTCGAGATCTAGGAACCTGTCGAAGAAGCTCTGCTCGTGGCGCGATTGCCGCTTAGGGTGGAAGAACAACAGAAAAACTGCGATGGTGACAGCTCCAATTGGAAGATTCATGTAAAAACACCATCGCCATGTCTGATGAAGAGTCAGACCAGGAACCCATGACGATATTTTGGTTACTACTCACGACTAAATCTGTAAAGACACCTCCAAGTAGAGGACCGACCGTGGCTCCGAAGCCAAACCTGAAGAACATGTGTGTCAACAAGTGCTAAAATGACCTTTTTTTTTGTTTTTGTTTTGTTTTGCAAAACACTTACATTAGACCGACGATAGCGGTATAGATTGGACGCAGCCGCAAGGGTACCGCTGTCGCCACAACGACGAAGCTGCCAGTCAGAATGCCAGCGCTTCCAAATCCAGCTACGGCGCGGCCTACAATGAGTGTGACTGAATTTGGGGCAATGCCGCAGATGAGCGATCCAACGAGGAACATGAACATGGCCAACATGTACGACCACTTGACAGAGAAGAGCATAAAGACTCTGCCAAAGACGGGTTGGAAAGCGCAGGCTGTGAGCAGATAAGCTGAGCCATACCAGCCAATATCCGCCGTTGACTGGAATTCGGATGTGATATAGGGAATGGCCTGTACTCGTTAGTTTCCCGTCCTCTGCTTATATCAGAATTTGTGGACGCGCTTACAGTCGTAAGAATAGTCCGGTCAACTGATATCAAGAAGACCACAAGACAGATGCCTAGCAGGAGGAACGCGAGCGGCCAACCCTCTATCCATTCTACTTTCTCATCTGCCGTTTGAGCCAACTCGGAATCTCGTTTCTCTGTCCTTTGCTTCTCTAGGTGCAGTACCTGCCGCCGGTAATCCGAGCCGTCATCCTCCTCATCAATGTCTGGTTCAAACGGCCTCGTAAAGCGGCTGATTCGCACGCCGGCCTTCCCCGGGTGTCTCTGCTCCGTGACAGGAGTGATACGCTGTTCTGTGTTTGGCGGTGCTCCTGTGGACAAAGAGCCTTTGAGCGACGGGTTGCTCGCGAGATGCCGCAATGGCGTGGCGAAAATGGATGATATGATGGACGCGGTCTCGGAATGTGGCTCCGAGAATGCGCCTTTTTCCACTGCGCTGTGGAACGTTTGCACATCTGACACGGTTCGAGAGGGAACTTTTTTAACAGATAGGGGGAAGGCGCGCTGGGTGCCCGAAGGCGAGACTGGACTCGTGCGCGGGAACAGGGACAGAGAGGCTGGGCGTTGTTGATAGAAGTTGCGCTGAGATTCTGTAGGCGATTGTGGACCGTGGCCTGGTGTGACTGAGGACCTGATGGATCCGCGGCGGTGGTGGCCGCAGTGAGAGCAGCGGGAGGTTGCAGAAGAGGCCCTGCTCCTCTGCTGGGGGGTTCCATCTGTCACTAGCTCCTTACACTGTAATTCTTTGCACTCGGCAGCTGCATCTTCCGCGGCATACTGTCTTGAGAGTTGGGCCTTTTCTTCCCAGGCTTCGGTCAGCGATGCCGGGAGAATGCCGTCCCCATCATCGTCGTCTTCCTCAGAATAGGACGAGGAGTGGTTTTTGTCGTCAGGATCTGGCGAAGCGGCCGTCCTCTCGTCCGAGTCGGAGTTGAAAATTGAGATCCGAGATCTTTCTTCGCCGAGAAAGTCGGATGATGCCCTGTCTTCGAGGGACGGTCGTTGCGGAGTCTCTCCGATCCTGTGTGTGGTGGTCTCGCTGCCGCTTTCTGGCTTCTCGGACTTCTTATTGTCTGCCATGCCAGGCCAGAAGTCAAAGCATTTGACTTCTGTGGGTATATTTGGATCTCAAGAGGCTGAAAATGTCTGTGTGTCAATGGGGAAATGACAGGCCGGGCTAAAGGTGCGGTTCAACCTGGTAAATAAGTTCGGGATGCCTGGTGGCTTTCCCCTCTAGATTCAAGGAAACAATCCGAAACACCCAGATCACCTTTCACCCATTGCTATATCTAATGGTTTCAAGCAATTCACCGGCGTTAAGTCAACGTGGCGTCCGAAGTCGACTCCAGCCTAAAAAACGGTGTCATCATTCAAGCAGCGAAGCAGTCTTACTCCGTCCCACGCGATCGTCGTCCAAGGACTTCTTACGTCTTACAAGACTGAATGCCAGATCTAAAACCACCGGGGCCGACTAGGTGGAAGACGGCGTTGGTCTCTATCGCAAGGACTAAAAAGAGTAAGGGTCTGTTGATTGGCTGTAAATGAGAGACAGAGGGCGACATGGCCAGCCGGGCGTCATTGCGCCGACTAGAAGCATGCTTGCTAGTCCTAACAAGGAGTAAAGCCGCCGGTTCGGGCTTGGCCGAGCAGCTGTCAGCTGCGGGGATGTGGAGTTGATGTCATTGAGCTGAACCTGGTATCTGAGAACGGGACAAAGAGACAAAGGACGATAAAGGCATGCGCTAGGGAATGGTGAGGGGAGGTATGGCGGGAACGAGTGTCGCCCAGGACCGGCGCCAGGTCCGCGGAACGGGGGTTCGGTCTGTGGGAGAGTTGGGGTGAGACTCCAAGACCGATTGCTCGGTATCTTAGGTGGGGGGTTTAGAGACATTGCACCACGAAGGATATGAGACATGTATTGTTCACATTGGGGGTAACTGTCACTGGGGACATTAGGGATGTGAGACAAGTGAAAATTTACTAACTGCTTGGGTGTTCTTAATTAATCGATTTAGACTTGACCAAACTCTCGGCTAAAGATGTCCCGACCAGAACATTGCTGAGGACAAAATCTACTCTACAAATACCATTTCCTCTTTAGGCCAACCAGTTGTAGTAGTGTGAGAACCACGCCGGCGACTCCTGTCCCATCCGTGTGTCTGCCGAGCACCTCGCCCTCACCACCGTGGAACTCGGCTTCAAGCGCAAGCTGGTTCTCTTTGGTCAGCATCGACGCAAGCTTCATACCGCACTGGCGATGCTCCTCGAAGTCCCGTATCTCATTGTCGGTCTCTTCGTCCGATTCAACAGACGGAGCGTCGTCATTGGGCACAAGACAGGCCATGCGGAGCATGTCCGCCGGAGATGCGGTCTTGCGGCCCGACTTAAACACGCAACGGCTCAGGGCCGTCGCGTATAAATCTCTTTCCGCGTTGAACGACTTGGAGCCTCCTCGCAGCCCCTGGTCAGGATACAGGCTGCTCGTGCCCGGGTTGCCGGCGCCCTTGCGAACGAAGTGCGTGGCGATGTAAAACCACTTGTCGTCCCAGGACAGAATGCGGGTCCACATGTCGAAGGAGCTTCCTGGGTGGATCTCGCGACGGAAAGAACACGAAACCGCACCCAGTGCAAGGCCGAAGAGGGGAGCGCCGGCTCCGGTGTAGGCTCCTGAACCACCGCGCATGTGCTCTATGGCTGGGGCGAAGAGGGTTGACATGAGGTGGGCGCGGGCGATGTCTGCATCAGCGAAGTAGGATGAGTTTGTCTTGTGGAGGTTAAAATCCATTTCTGCAAGGTCGGCTGAGGAGGAAGTGATCATAGGTTGGAAAACCATTGAGGGACGAGGCCGTACTTGTGGCCGGAGGGTCCTGATTGTGAAGCGGAAGGCATTGAGGACGCGGAGGTGCCAGATGAAGGGGAAGGACTTGCGGTTGAGAGCGCTGAAGAAAATGAGAATAAGAATGAAGATTGGGTATGGCCTGAGCAGAGTAGCGAAGTTTGCAGGATCTAGATATGATGTGTGGGAGGCGAACGAGAGGCCATGGGTTGTTTCGTGGTTTGTCCCAAATTTGGGGGATCCAGTTGGGGTGACGGTCCCGTTCAAGCTGCTAAACCAGAGTACATCCGACATGGTCTTGGGAGGAGCTGAATAAGATAGGAGATTGCAGAGTGAGTGCTCAACGTGAGTTGCTCGCCTCGTTTGCCTCAAACCGTGAAGATATACGTCTGGGCACCGCGTCAACAGTGATGTCCTCTCGAAAAACACCAACCCCTGAGCTGCATAAAACCACTCACCATCGGCAACTACTGGGCGATCCTGTCTTAATTCAGGTAGTATCACGATGAAGATGAAGCATTTGTGACGACATTGACTATACGAAAAGGCCTTTGGCGTTCTTACCTGATGATATACTGCGAACGTAGATACCGGCTCGTTGACCTCCGTGCAGTAGCCCAACACCACAGACTCCAGAGGATGGGTGATCGACGCTGTGGTAATTTCGGATTATTGATTATTCTCCATCCACGATCCGATTCGAACCCCTTCAGCCTGAGGGCGTCTGAGCCTAAGCGTCGGTCAACTTGGCGTACGACATGGCTTATCTCTCACGCTACGTCATAAGCTTCAGTCTTGTATTCCAGCTGCAAACTAGAGCGTCTACTTCATGCCGTTCTTCTGGGAGTGTTCAGGAGCCAGCATCAGCTGGGACATATCCATTGGGGCTTCTAGAGCTATGTCTGGTCTCCGTTTGAAGGACTTGTTGCGTCGAAGAGTAATGACCTGTTCGGCTATTTTGGAGCCGATGAGGAACATGTCTCATGCCAAAGAGGCCCTAAAGAATCTCGCCTGCAAACTGCTGATGCCGCTAAACGGTGAATGTTAAAGTACCAGTCTAGAGGCGCAGATCTATTCGACAAAGCAGGATCGTGGTGATCTCGCAGGTCCATCCGGGCACTTGCAGTCAGGTCTCCGGAAGGAGGCAGCAGTTTACAGGGTATCTTATTGACTGCATCGGATGTACGTCTCCCAAGAAAGATAAGTGGTCTAGCTCCGCGGCGGAAAACGCACTTTCCGCCGATAAGAACAGGGCGGAGAGGGCTGATCCGAATGCCACTGGTGTCACGAAAACGTCGCCGTCGCCAACGTCTCGGAACTCGCGTCGCGCATTTGCAATAGAGTCTCGATCGACTCCTTTTAGTTTATGAAGTTCAAGGAATTTAGCTAGCGAATAAAGGAACAGGCTTGTCCTCGATCCGTTTCCTTAGGTGCTGTTGATCCTCGCGCGAACCACCCGTTGCCGGAGCATAGTCCGGCGCCTTATCGAGAAAAACTAGTTCCAGCGTGCCAAGTGTGGGCTTGTGTACACCGTCGAGGGGAAACATCGCCCATTTTGGCATGTGATCGCTTATGCTGTCTCGGATAATGCCCAGCAACAAGTGCTTGTAGACGATGGAGATTGGCAGCTGTTCTCGGTTCCAGGACCATGGATTTATTGCAAAGACATTTTGCAGCGCCAAAATAGAACGGTAACCCGATCGGCAACGTCTTTGGTTACCCGAGATAGAACCATTCACGCCATAGAAACTTGATGGAGCTTCGCAAGACATGAACATGGAGAAGCTGGGAAAGGCGCTGAGCGAGAAAAGGGAGGAAAGAGAAAATCCCCCAAAATACCCCAGTTAGCAAGGTCCGTCAACTATAGCACTAGTACCATCTGGGCTAGCGCGATCTTACTGCGATATCCCGTGCGTTTCCCGTCCCTCCTCCAATCGGGAATGCGGTGCTAGGATGCGGCTCCACTGAGACCCGTAACGCTAATTCTGTCGACCAGCCTCACTCTCTGTAAGACTTCGGATGACTTCCCCCTCACTTCCAGGCATGGCATTTCATTTTAGCATCAATATCTGAGTTTAACTTAATTGATTAGATGTCTCTTCTTCTACGCGTGTACTTGCTTTCTAATCTGAAAGTAACTGTGCCTCAGTTTCGGCCCAAAGTCGTCCGCATTAAACCCCATTGCTCCTTTGGCTCAATGCCGCTCGCCGAATGCCACCAACGTCACCAACCGCCTGTAAAGATCTCCAAAGCTAGGTTCACTAGACCATGATGGCCTGCATCGCTTTAATGGCTGGTTTGTGATTTCGTCCCTTCACAGAGTGTCCCTTCACGTCTCAAGCTCAGCCGTGACGCCATTAGCTGCCGCTGCCGCAAGAGAGCTCTTCTCGCTGGAGACAGCTAGCTTGGACTTCTGCGCAGCCCTACGGCCCGCCTTCTTGTAAGTGGAGATGTAGAACATGATGAAGAGGACCAGGTACGACGTCAGGATGGCGCCGCCAGTCACTGCGGCAAAAAACTCGCCGCCACATCGGCCAACGTGGGGTAGGATCTCCTTGAAGTAGGTGTCCGCGAAGACATCGTAAAAGCCAAAGTAGACGAAGCCTGGGCGCGAATGAAAGTTAGTCCCGGTATCCATTCCATACTTTGAAAGAAGTCCAACGTACCAAGATCAAGCACAAACTGAGCGATCTGCAAACGGGTAATCCACTGCTTCCACCACACCTTGATACCCCGCGCGGTCTGGAAGTAGTACCAGTACATCACAACATGGACGGTCAAGTTGAGCGTGATGGGTACCCAGGAGAGAGGAGTGCCTCCAATCAGCTGAGAGAAGCAGAGAAGCGCCGTCGCGGGATGGTGGTAGCAGTGCAAAAAGGTGAGAGGCTTCTTCTTGACCATCAGGAAGACGGTATCGATGAGCTCGTAATATTTGGTAAGATAGTTGATCTATTCATCGTTGTAAGCTCTTGTTTTCTTAAACCTCAACTTGTTTACTCACGTAGTACAGAAGAACGAGCGGCTGCGTCCAGCCGGAGGCCCCGCAGATGTTCTCGTAAAGGCCGCCGCGCCACAGGCTCGGGACAAGCTGCTCGATAAACAGCACCAGCAAGGCACCACTCAGCAAAGAAAGGAAGAGGTTGTGTATCTTGAAAAGCGTGTTCAGCTCCATTGGCTTCCGGTTGCGCATCACCTCACGGCCACCAAAGATGACCACCAGGTACAACACCACCATGGCCATGGCTCCGCTGAAAGTTGAGAACGGTGTGCGGCCTTGAACGAACTCGAAGTCCTTGGCTGGGTATCCCATGACTGAGGTGAATATTTTGTCGAAGGTCTTCCATGGTGACAACGCCGATGCGGGGGTTTCTCTCCCCACAGTCAAGGGGGAGTTGGTGTTGTTGGAAGTGAAGTTGTCGTAGAACATCTCTGAGGTGCGAAGTGTGTGCGGAGGAAAGACTTTGTCAGAAAGGGCAGATGATTGATGCAGATGCTGATGTGGATTGATGCAGATTAAAGGTACCAGGATTTTACGAAGGGTCAGGCTCATTATATGCTCCAAGCTGAAGCATCTCGATGCCTGTTTCAGAGCGCAACTCAATTGCTTACAGTATCGCCCGATGACGGCATCCTTTGCTGCCCAGCAGTTCCTTAGGGCGAACAAGTGAGAGCCGCAACTCTAGTTCAGGATCGTCGCAACAATCAGTCAGTTCTTGCGGCTTTCGAACGACTGTCGTTTCCATCGCTTCTTTTGGAAATTCCATATTCACGAACGTTACCGGTAAGGAGATGTGGGTCGAGCCGGACATCTCATACGATCATGCCTTAGCATACAGAGTACGTAGGTGGACCTCCAACGGCCCCCTCGGGGTTTTACTTACAGACTAACGTCCCACGGACATCTCTTTAAGCGAGCGACAATCCTTTCTCTTCCTTCCCGCAACGTTTGTTGTACGGCCCTCAGGGCTCAACAGCTGTCGATGGATCGGCGGCGCCGGTTCTTCCGATATCTGTGCGCCGGGAAAATAACGCCGTTTGCCAGGCGAGGCTGCGCTAGCAACAATCGGTACCGACAGCCGAATGCCATGCCTCATTGTGCAATCATCTATCTTATCCCTATCAGCTATACCAAAAAGTATCTTCGTTGAAAGCGAAAGCCGTTTCACCCACTAACCACCAAGTCAATCGTGATGTAAGTCATCAAAGCCGAGTCAAGACGTCACTCCAGAGCAAAGGCTGAGCATGGAGGTTTCCAGTGTCCGTATGTCTCCTTACGGAAGTGTTGTTTCCGAAATCGACCTCCGGACAGCACGCCCAGAGACGGTGTGCGACCTAGTATCTAGCTTACCGTTTTTGTGAGATTGGCTGCTTTCATTCCGAGTGGATCTCGATTATATTCATCTCGTCTCCTAAGACGTACCCTTGGAAACGCTTCCAGCGAAGACATGGCATCAACATTCCCGAGCGGGATATGTCACTTCCTGCTTGGCAGTCAGATCTAACGTAGAGATCTACACCACGGACTCATCTTCGTCGATCTCCTGAATCAGGCCGCCGAAATGGTTTTTGTCATCGAGTCTCGAGGGGCTCTTTAGGGTCATTGACTGACATCATCGTGTATGCTCCTTTCTCAAGCAGGGAGCTGCCAGTAATCAGCCGAATCTGAGGATTACGGAAATCTACACTCTTGGATGTATAAAGCTCAAGTCTATTACACCGTCGATCTGAGCCACTCCGAACACCATCGCTGAGCACTCTTCAGAAAGTAACGGCGATCTCCCAGCTTCCTTACAATCACAAGTCTCCTTTCCATATCACAATCTACACACTCTTCCGTCTCATATTCGCTTCTATTTCACGTCTTTTCCCTCATCTCGCTTCTCTCTCAACACCATTACACTTCAAACCTCGATTCGCTTTCACAATGCATAAAATCTCTTTCGGGCCAGTGATGGCTGTAACGACAATGGCATCTTTTTTAACTGCTCGTTTTCTGGACCGCAGCTTACTCCAAACAGTCGGCATCGCCTGGGCAATTGTCGTCCCCCTTTATGTTGTCGTCTGGCAATGCTACATTTTCCCCTTCTATGTCTCTGAGATGCGACATGTCCCTACAGTTGCGGGCTTCCCACTATGGGGCCAATTCTTCGACATTATTTCACACGAGGTCGGCGAACCTCAGCGCAAGTGGCACGAACAGTACGGTCCCATCATCCGCTACTTCTTTCCCTTTGGTGCTGAGCGCTTGTCCATCGCCGAAGACGAGGCCCTCAAGCAGATGACGGTCAAGAATCCGTACAACTACCCCAAGCCTGTTCGCGCAAAGCTTTGGATGGTCCGAATTCTTGGTGAAGGCGTCCTCCTTGCCGAGGGACACGAACATGTCCACCAACGCAAAGCCCTCGCCCCTGGCTTCTCTATTCAGTCCATCCGTGCGCTGACGCCCATCTTTTGGGAGAAGTCACTCCTCCTAGCGAACTGCTGGCGGAAAGAGATGCATGCTGATGGTGTGTCGACGAAATCTTTCGAGGCTCTTGACTGGCTCAATCGTACCACGCTTGACATTATCGGCAAGGCCGGCTTTGGCTACGACGTCAACTCCCTTGAGAATCCCGATGCACCCTTGCGCGAGGCTTACCGTCTCTGCTTCTCCTTCGACATCGTCTCCCGCATACTCATCGGGCTTCAAGCTTTCAGCCCCATCTTCAATCACCTGCCCTCCAAGGTCAACCGCGATCTCATGCAGTCACGCTCTATCATACTTAGTAAGGCGACCGAGATTATCAAAGAGAAGCAAGAAGAGGCGGCCAACAACACCGGCGGCAAAGACATCCTTGCCCTCATCGCACGTGACAACAAGAAACTTAAGGAGGCTGGCGAGGCGGGGCTGTCTTTCGAGACAATGCGCGACCAGGTCATGACTTTCCTCGGCGCGGGACACGATACCACCGCTACGGGGGTCGCCTGGACTCTGCATTTGCTCTCCAAGAATCCTGTCGTCCAGTCGCGCCTGCGCGAGGAGATCAAAGACCACATGCCCTTCCTCCTGGACAAGAACACGCGCTTCGACGCGAACCTCATCGCAGCCGCTGACGCTGACAAGCTCCCTTATCTTGACAATGTCTGCCGTGAGGCCCTGCGCTTCATCCCACCCATCCCCATGACGGTGCGGCAATCCGTCAACGATGACATCCTGGGGGGTACAAGGTCCCTGCAGGAACCGTGGTCTACGTCCTTGCCAACGCCATCAACCGACTGCCCATGTACTGGGGCGACAGTGCCGATGAGTTTGACCCGGACCGCTGGGATGATCTGCCGGCGACGGCAACGCCTAATGCGTTCATGACTTTCTTGCAGGGCCCGCGTGGGTGTATCGGACGCAAGTTTGCAGAGACGGAGATGAAGATTTTGTTGTGCTGTTTGTTGAGTATGTATGAGTTCCAGCGAGACTTTGAGACGCTTGATCCCGAAGATTGGAAGATGTGGAGGCTTGTGCTGAGACCTAGGGATGGCGTTACTTTGAGGGTGACCGCCATCTGATAGTCATCGAGAGTGAAAATTGGTTTTCTATCTTGATTTAGACAGAATTGCTACAAAATTAATTCTTACCCTCGAACTATCCCCAGCCAGCAATATTTTTTTGACTACTTTCTTAGCTGGCTATACTCTATGTATTGTAACGTTTTGTAATATGTTTTCTACATCCTTAAGTTCATGCATACAGGACTTTGAGTCTTGGTCGCCGCCGTGAAACCGGAGCAAGCTGGCGTGAACAAGCAGATGTTTCATGTTGAACTGGGTGTTCTCAGAGTGTATTAAGTCAGTTTGCGGACTATAAGTGTTCCTATGTATCTTCCGCTCTTATTCTTCTGTCCAGTGGCTTTTTGTCGGATTAGTAGCCAAAGCTAATACGATGAATGGCCCAAAGACGAGGATCAGGGACAGTAAGAACACGTCGGTGGGTTTCGACTATGAATGGTCCTCAATATGGCTTTCTGATCCTTAAGATTGAACCTTCAATTGTTACCCTATTGATAAACGGTTAGTGAGATCATCATTATTATAGAATGATGACATCTCTATTTTGAAGACTCTTTAAGAGCAACACCTTAGTTGTCAACGGTGTATGTTTTCATTGAGTGTTGTCTAATTACCTTCCGTGAACATTCTGTTTTGCTGTGAAATACGATGACTTGCGACGTAATGTTGACCCCAGATTCCTTTGGAGTATTGCTCTTGATTCCAAATATCCATCTGTCGACAGACGTGAGACATATCGGAGCCTGTGAGATAAGAACAACCACAATTTTAGTCTGTCGTTAAAGTCTCCGGCTACCCGTTTATCAGTCTTGGCTCTTGCTCTGACCAAAACTTAGACATGAAGATCTTAGACGGTTTGGATAAGACCAGCGACAGCACGGGATGCAAAGCAGAGTATTCATGCTTCTGATCTACGAAGGAAACTGCTACGATACGTCCCTGGTTGTCTCGGTGCTTCGGAAACATGATTACACGTGTCAGACTAAAAGTAAGTCAGTGCTGTTTTCGAAATGCATACGTACAGCAAATGCCGTTTTGGGGTGTTCACAAAGCAGACCTCATTGTTGACAAATACCTTACTCATACTAAAGTAATTTCAATGTTTACACCAACAATAAGTGCCTTACGAAAACGTCTAACTACTCTTGATAAGTGGTTGACAACAAGTCCCAAATGGCTCTCTTGGTTCTCAGTGTTACTATCGCTGCTGTTAAACATCGGCATCCGAAGCCCGCCAACTGGCAAACAGAACACCAGTGCCGCGAGCCTGGCCTTCTCTGGAAGCAGAACATCTCATTTTCTTGGTTGACTTGAATGAACAGGGCACTAACAGGATAGGAAGTCTCAGCTGCAGTTGGCCTGAGTCCAGTGTCTTGCCGTTTGCAGCTTGCGGCTCTTTTGACTTACTTCTATCGACACAATATGAGCGTACTCTAGCGATCGATGAGAAGATGTTTACTGATCGTTTCAGTCCTAGAAATCAGAACATTGAGAGTACCAGTAGATTGATTGTGGAAGGCTACTTTGGGTCTCTTGGCAACTCTCAACCGAATCATCAAAACACGACTAACGTCATGCGATTGTGTGATAATAGCAACAGAGTCCTGCTTCCACGCTCTGCATGTTCCATTATTCCAATTGAGGCAACTGCCGGCTCGTTGTTAATTACCGGGTCTGGCAGGCTCCCAACGACCCACTCAACGCCGGGATCCGCACCCAGGCGGAGATATGGTAAACATCCAGACCAGGGCACAACTGAGACTCCGCAGCTCACCCACAACTTTAGAAAATCAACAAAAAAGCTCCGAGCCATTGAATGGCTACTGTTAACTCCTCGACGGGGAATTGAACCCCGGTCCCCTGCGAATCGTGTTTAATGACAAGCAGATATCCTCACCACTAGACTATCGGGGAATTGGTGGATGTGTGCATCCAGTGATAGTTGGTTGTGAGACGTGACCGCAAATGCTACCATATACTAAACGTGCCTCTTTTCTTACCACCAATAGCTTGCCTATGAATTCGAAAATCTCAAGACGTGGTTCAAGAAACTTTCGATCTTCATTTATCAGAGTGAGTGCCTTGGGGGAAAGACATCAATACACAAGCGGCGATGTTAGAATCTGTCGATTAGCAACAACACAACAACTTTTGACACACAATAACATAATTCCGCTTCTTTATCTTTTTAGAAGTTGAAGTTTCCGCTTTTTAGCAAGAGTTTTGACTTTGAATTTCGTTTCCATCAACTGTTTTGGGATAAGCTTGCTCTGGAGCCAGACAAGTTGTGACTTTTGTGTTAAACACGGTGTGGTATTGCAGACTAGCAGAGAAATACCAACGCCCCGAAGCTCAGTCTCTCCTACACTGTACCAGCTCATGAGCTCCCCTCCCTCTTATTCACAGTAACCGGGTTACAATTCGCTATCCCAACACATTTCAACAATCCATCAAGGCTAACATCAGGGCTGACAATCGGCGCGACATTGATCAGTGAGCCGTCTCCGCTAGATCCCGTCTGCTGCGGCGGTGCCTGTTGTTGCTGGCCCGATGGGGTCGGGCTTTGATTACCATTGTTCACCGTGACTGGGTTGCAGGCGGCAACACCCACGCATTCAGCCAAAGGACTGAGCACGTCGATCTTGGGATTGACTTCAGGTAAAATATTGATGAGGCGTGGAGAGATTGGTAGGGCGGACGCCGGTGCCAAGAAGAGTGTTATGAATTCAAGACGCATCTTAAGATTGTATAAAAAACAAGACTTTGATGGGACAAAATACGAGACACCGGAAGACAGGAGAGACAGATGATGAGATTGAAAGGAAGCCTGCATGCGTGATTTACAATGCGCCTCGTAGGGATCATTTTTAGAATTGAGTATCCGACTTATAAGTGTCAACCCTAGCTTGTCGGCCTCCTATACCATAGTAGTCCCAGAATGGAGCGACATGACGCAACACGGTAAGAAGCGCCGTCTTGGAGCACAACAACAAAGCAGCCACATCTTTCGGATCTTCGTCATGTGTAATAACGGCCGTTCCAAGTAAATCCTTTGGCCCCCCGACTTGCTCCGAGACCCAGCTGCACATGAAAGCCGATGAAGCGGCTTTACGCCTCGCTGTCATCACGCCAAGCAACGAAGTAGCCGCAGAGCTAGCGGCTCTTGGAATCTAAGACAGACACCAATCCCAGGAAACCTTTGGCCGCCGAGGTAATGCGGCACCTAGCGTATCCGAGGTCCCAATAGTTGTTGGACGGCGTCGCGTTGTGGCAGATCGTGGCGCCGGTAATTATGCACTAGACTCCCTTCGCTAAAACAGCTCGATTGACCCCCAAACCTCTCGTGAGGAACTTAGCTTTGGAAAGACTTTCAGGTCGTTTTCTGACCCTTTTTGTTTTTCTCGGAGTCAACTCCGTCCCCTTAATAGTGTTGCCATAGTTGTGCGGAAAGGGAAGTCTTGCAAGGAACTTGGGAGAGATTAACTCTCCACCAAGTCCAACTGACTTAAATTGTTATGACCTGATGGCGACCTTGCAGTGGCTGCAGGTGATCATTCTTTCTGTAACTTGGTCCCCGGAGTGTTTTTGAGGCAAACCACGAATATAAGTGAGCTCCAGAAAGCCTAAACTCCACATACTTCGGAAGAGAAAACAAAGAAGTCGGACACACCGACGCACATTAGCGGGCATACAAGAACTTCGACTAAGTCGGGTACTTGGGTTATTCTGATATGAGGATGAGACAGCGAAAAGGAATGAATCTGTCGATATAGGAAAGAAATTAGATAAAGGTTCGCATAACTAAAAACAGAGGTTAAATCCTTAGACTATTGCGCGCGATGCCTCACTTCAACTTGAAGACATTGATAATGCCGTCTATGACGCATCAGACAAAGCATATGATCAATACCGCAACAATGCTATTCGTGCTAGAGATTTCACCATCTACAGACACAAGAAACGCCTCGGTAACCAGCGAGCTCTAGCCTACGTGTGTCTGCCTCCAAATGTTAGGAGCACATCTTAACCGCAGTTCTACATCGTCCACAATGCCCGGGCGCGAGCAAAGATACAAGAGATTCGCAGCCGGCGTCATGGAAAGTTTCTTACTCAACTGCGGCACTGTCTACCTGCCTGTTCTACCCTTGCTCGTCTACAACCATTCGTCATGTGCGGCCCAGAGAACACCATGGCGACCTATCGGAGCACCGAGTGTGACAAGCGTATTCATGCGTTAGTGCTCCTCCACTTGGCAAAAAATCTTGAAAATGACCTCACTTCTAGAGGAGATATGGTAGTAACATTGCGACAACATCTGGTTAGTGACCCCACAAATTGAACGAGCAAGGTGGACGTCTGGCTGGTATTGTTCAAAGTCACTCTCGACGACTCACGCAGTTTTCGTGCGCGCAGTCAATCAGCATTTCATCTGCGCCGGAGGTCGATGAAGCTGATGCATGTAGGTACCTCGAAGCGCGTACTCCAAAGCCGTCAAAGGCTTCACTGATGAGCGGGGCTCTATCGCCAGGTTCTGTTGGCTCCTCGGTCTACACTTCGAAGAGCAATGCAAGGCAGTTTTGTGCTTCGACAACGCGTTTGTGGACGTGAGTAGCTACTAAATCGAGAAGATGGAGCCTTGGGAGCCCGAAATTCCTGGCCGAAAGACACTGTGGCTTGCCCGATTGGCTGCTACCCATCTCGCAACCCAGTTCACGTGGTCTCAAAAGCTCATCGACAAGGCCAACCGTGATACCAATGAGCGAGCTCGTTACCTTGCACGATAGCAATCTGCAGCAGGGCGTAGGCATCAAAAAGCCAGCGGTAACGGTGCCTATGAGCAAGCAGGTGCCAATTTCCGTCCACGCCGTTCTGCAGCGCGAGGATCTTTGAGATACCGACGCCGACATATGGCGGTCTGCGAGGTAACAGTCGCCGAAGCCGGGGTCAGGGTTCAAACTCTTCAGTGCTAGTTGAAGGAGGTGTCCTGGGTGTGAGTATTTCCCTTCCCGAACATATTGAGTATCTCGAGGACTGTATGTAGAACCATAACGAGTGTCGAGGTGGCGTATGTGTTGTTTCGGTTCTACTACCAGTATGATGCCATCAAGAACGCCAAACAGGGGCAAAACAGGCTGAAGCTGCATACTGTCTTTGACGACCGGAACTGCAGCGACGTGTATTGGACGGACGGGAGGGGAGATCGCGAAGAGGGTGCCAGGAAGCAAGCCTTAGAAGACTAGAGACAGGCCGCGTGAAGTGTATTAGATGACAAGGCCAATGACCAAGCAACACGCGATGCATCAGACGCCTTGATTCCCTTGCACTGCCACAAGATTCCGTCCGTTATGCAGCAAGATCTCGGCTGGGAGCGAGCTTCTACCCAAACCCATGCCCCTGGAGTATCAAAAGCCAGCTCGCAGGTGACCTGTGGGCGATCTAGAAAGGTCTCGGCCAAACTCTCTCGCTCGGGCTAGAACATGTCGTCAGCACCGGAAGAACCCCCATTCTGAGACAGTACTCTGATGTCAAACCTGCCGAGGGAGAAGTGTAAGGTTGAGGCATTGATAGGTGCGATCAGCCACAGATGCGCTCCACCGACAGGGGTCCCCGAGCACCCTGCCCGCCCGCATAATCCAACTCTGACGTCACCCGCCGCGAGCTCACCTTTGAGTGTGCTCCCTCATCGTCCATAAGAAGGCACTAGCCACCATCGACTTACACGTCTCATCCACACATCGCATCCTCAAGATACCTCAGAAACCCAAAAGTTTTCTGAAAAAACAAATACTAAACAGTTGAAAAAACTTCTCTACCCAAGAACCAAACAACCTTCTACAAAGACCACCATCATGCCTATCGGAAACAACGACCAGAACAGCGGCGTCACTGGCGGAGCCAAGTTCGTCACCTCTGCCCTCGGAAACACCGTTGGAGGAATCACCAAGACCGTCGGTAACGTCACCAACGCCGCGACCACGGGTCTCGGCGACACCATCACGAGCGCCACCGGCTCGGCCGGTCGCCCCGTCGGCGACGGCATCACCAACCTGGGCCAGGGCCTCGGAGGCGCCCTTAACCAGGTCGGCAAGGGCGTCGAGGACGCTGGACAGTGGAAGCGATCCTAAATATGCGTTGGGGATAATGTACAATGAACAACCACGGGAAAGGGACGTGGTAACGAGGCACGACTGGGAATGCCGAGTTCGGAGGTTCTCTATTTGTGTTATTAGCAGCGTTATTGCCAACGGCTCAGAATGAAATGACAACTACAATGATTTGCTCTCATACTAGTTGCTTTAGTTGTGAAATCTGGATTTCCCTACAATGTTGTTGATCAACAGATTAGATTTGCACAGACACGAATTACACTGGTAAAGTTGCAGTTTCCTTGAGGGATGGTATAGGTATAACAAGTGTTTCCTTTTATGTATCATCTACTTTTCTATCCTTGTGCGCCGCCATGATGATGCATGTGTGTAGTGTACGTAAGATTACAGGTATGTGACAGTGTTGGTACATTTGATAATGGAGATGAGATGGACGTCTCGTTACATCAATCCTTCTTGCGGAACTGCAAGTTATACGTCTCGAGTTGTTCCTTCGTCATCTTCCCAGGGCCTCCGGCGAACTCATCCACGCCGTTGTTGTTCTTCGGGAATGCAATGACGTCCCGGACGGACGACGAGCCGCTCAAGACAGCAACGAAGCGGTCGAAACCGATGGCAAAGCCCGCGTGTGGCGGGCACCCGGCACGCAGCGCCTTGAGCAGGTGCGAAAACTCCTTGATCTTGTCCTGGCTCATCTTCAAGATGTCGCGGAAGATGAACTCCTGTATCTCGGCAATATGAATACGTCGGCTGCCGCCGCCGAGCTCGACGCCGTTGAGGACGAGGTCGTAGTGGTCGGCCTTCGCCCTCAGCGGGTCCTTGAAGAGGAGCTCAAAGTCCTCTTCGGAGTGCGGGGCCGTGAAGGGGTGGTGGGTGGCCGAGAAGCCTGATGCCCCGCCTTGCCCGACGTCGCCCTCCTCTTCCGGAGTGAACATGGGGAAGTCGGTGACCCAGAGGAACTTGAAGCTGTCGTCCCTGTCCAGTAGGCCGGCTTCCACAGCAGCGTGATACAGCGCAATTCTCGTGTCGCCGAGCTTGGTCGAGCCACCTTGCTGAGGCTGGTTCTTACGAGCCTGGAATAAGACGATGTCGCCGTTGTTCAGCGACGAGAAGCCAGAGTCCTCAGGGAGAGAACCGAGGATGCTGTCCAACCCCTCCGGTCCCAGAGCTGAGAAGCCGTTGAGCGGTTTGCTGCTGTCAAACACCAAAGCTGTGGGTGCGCCGTCAGGGTTCTGGGACAGCACCTTCGGGAGTTTTTCCATGAAGTCGATCACAAACTTCCACACGTCTCGTCTGTCAACGTCTTCATGTGGGCTGATCTTCCAGACCTCAACGATCGGTGCCTCAAGGTCAGTAATCATGCTGATAAAGTCCTTGTTAAGGTGCTCGTCAACCCGGCATATCTGGGTACTGTTAGCGGAGGATGGTACATTTGCGGGTGGATGGGACTGACTCTGTTGGGAATGCGCAGGTCCGGCTTGTCCGATCCGTAGAGGTCCATGCAGTCAGTATACTTCATCCTCAGGAAGGGCGTCGAGATCGTGGGGTATTCTTGGTAGATGGGTGCTTTGGCGTTGTCCTCGGCGCTTTCTTGGACGCTTTGCTTCCAGTCCTATCTGAATCAGACCCGGCATCACAAGCCCTATAAGTGTGGAAACCATACCTGCAATGATGCTTTCCTGACAGGCGCGAACGACTCTTCGCCGACCTCCATGACGTATTGTTCTCTCAAAGCATCCCATGCACGGCCAACGACGTACTCGACGTCCTCCATGATGGTTTTGCCCGTCGCAAAGGACTTTTCCATATCCAGCTGAACGATCGACGGTTAGCAATGAGACTTGAAAGGGAGTCCGAAGTGAATACCTGAGTGAACTCGGGCTGGCGGTCCGCGCGGTGGTCCTCATCGCGGAAGCATCGCGCAAACTGGTAGTAACCTCCCATGCCAGATGCCATCAGAACCTGCTTGTACTGCTGGGGACTCTGTGGCAGAGCATAGGCGTATCTTGGTCGTCTCGTGGGAACAATAAACTCTCTGGCGCCCTCCGAGGTGGACTTGAACAGGATCGGCGTCTCAACATCCATGAACTCTCGGTCCACCATCGCCTGTCCCATAGTGGACTTGAGCTGGGCGCGGAAGCGGAGTCTTTCTCTCAGTTTCTCGTGGAACCGCAGCTGCAAGTGGCGTTGTTCGGGAGGGAAGACCGTATCGGGACCAATAATGATGTCCTTGGGAAAAGGATTCAGATATTGTATCGACTCCATGTCCATCTCGAATCGTGTGGCACCCGATGCCTCCGTCACAACACCCTTGGCCAGAACCGCGCTGAAGGGGCGAATCTTGCCCAGAAGAGCCGCGTTCTCGCCTTTTGCGCAGACCTGTCCGATTCGTTCTCCGTTGCGCTCCAAATGGGCAAAGGCTAGGTTCTTGCCGACCTTTCTCGTTCGACCGATGTGTCCGCTGACAACAATTTGGCTACCGGGTTTGCTCCATGTTTCGGGAGAGGACATTTGAGGGAAGGCGACTGTTTGGAAATCGTCAGCAGGATGCTTCCAAGTCAACTTGCCATCCTTGAACTTGCTCACAGCACTCCTTGAATTCTCCCGACAGTTGTGTATGCCTTGTATCATCTTGGGCGTTCTTCGATTGTGTTGTTGACAAGCAACGAGCTTGGAAGCTCGACGACAGTGATTCGCTGCATTTTTGCTGTGGTAGTAGAACGCCGCCTCGACTGAGAGACTGCGACTGCAGCATCCGGGGGTGCAGGGCAGCCAAAGCTCTACTGCGACAACATTGGCGAAGCATTTGGAGCGTCAGACAGAGTCGAGTTTGGATCAGTTCGGTGCGCGGGAGCTCTGTTTCGAATATGTTGTATATAGCGCCGGGATGCGCAACTTCAAAGGGATCAATGGCGCGGATTGCAGTCGTTGTGGTCGACCTGGGATCGCGTGTGAATTTGTGACATTTGAAGCTATCGCAGCTCAGCCCACTGCAACGAAACCCTGCAATGATTTCGGAGTCAATGCGATAGAGGTGGATTGCTGCAGTGCGCCGCAGCTGGGCTGGCACCGCTGGTTGGCGCTTGCACCTGAGGCAGCAGGTAGGCCCCAGTCCCCACCAAAAAAAGTGATTAGCGCGGGGCAGATCTCCCGTATAAAAGTCTTGCAGCGAGCTACTAAAAATTTCTTTCTTTTCCTCTTTATGATTCTTCCATTTCAAAAAAGTGTATGTTTGGTCTCCCCCACGCCCCCGTGGCAATCTGCGCGAAAGCGAGAAGCTAACAAAACGATTTTCTAGGTGATGATAGCCACGTGGATAATATGATGCAGCCGCCTCCGTCTGAGGCATCCAAGCTCTCCCCTTCGGGCGGCTTCAGGGCGAAGGTGCCAAGGGCGGAGGAGGCCATGAAATAGGCGTTCGACACGACCTTGTTACAGCATCGGACGCGATGAAAGGCAACTCTGATTTTTCACGAAATGGAAGATTTCTGGGGTTCTGGGGGGCAGTCTGCAACACACAAACACTCGTCATCAAGTGAGTCGAGGGGTTCGTGTTCATAATACTATTACACAATGGTGCAGCTGTGGTCGGATACGTTGATACGTTTTTCCTGACACAGCACCGACCAGAGAGCGCGAAGGGCTGCAGTCAAATACTTCTGACGTTTGTCCGACGCGTCGACAGCCCAATTGCAACTATTGGAGGTGCGTGGTGGAATACGCAGGGTCTATTTAAGACCGAGGCCGTCCGTAACATGGATGGCACCGGTCTGGAATACATGTACAGTAAATTGTTTGATCATGTCGATGTATGCATATCGACGGGGATGGCGCCCTGAGCGGGCAGCTTGCCTATTTCTAGACTTCAAATAAGAATCAATCAGACACGATGATGGGATCAAACGCAGGGTCCGAGAACCGAAGGCAGTGCAGCTGCTACGCGCGACATGTGAATGGGGATGATTCAGCAAACCTCATGTTCCCCAAGTGTTTCAATCATCTTGGTGCTGTTTGGTGGGCTAAGTGTCTGTCATGTTGCTGAGCACAAGACAGACAAGGAACCAACAGCGTGCAACATGAGTCTCAATGTCGTCTGTTTGGCCAACGAATGCTGATTAGTGTGTGGCTCTCATCTTTTTCGGATGAGCGGCCGTGATGAATGGTCACCCATGAGGCAGCGACAGCAATGACAGCAGGGACAGGATAGGAAACTATGCATCTCCCGGCTCACCACCTGCTCCCCACACACACCTAGCGAGATCGTTGGAGGACCCTGGCTCGTTGGAGCTGCCAATGTTTGTCCGTGTCATGGAGTGTAGGATGGGCCATTGCAATGGAACATTCGTTGGAGACATGCACCTCGCGGCTGCACCTGTGCCAGTGCCTGTGCCCACCGCGCCAGCCCTGAGCCTCAAGCGTTCGGGGTCGCGTCCTGCGGCCCACCTCGTACACGGAAACAGGCGCTAGATTCGAATGAGCATCGCCTTCAGTGTGTGTTGGAGAATCTCTTCAGCGGCGGGCGGTTTGTTGTCGCAGACTCGCTGTCGCAATCGCATAACGCCGGGGCCACTTTTTGGTGGGAGGTGCTGCTGCTACCTTATAGTGATGGCGTGCCGGATTTCCAGCCCGCCGGCACCTTGAACCCGCAACGCAAGGTCCCCAATTGCTGTGGCCGGCCGGCCAAACCGTGAGCACGTACCGTTCACCTGCGCTTGGCACCTGCTGGACCAGGAACTGCGACGTGTGGATTGCGCGTTTGTGATTGCATAGCGCCTTGGGCTTGTCAACGATGCCTGCTGGAGCCAGGAAGGGGAGGAAGACAGAGACTGAGCGAGGAAGAGGTGGGACTGCGCGCGGGAAAGAAACACCTGGGCCACCCACACACCCACACCCACACCAGTAGCACCCTCGGTCGGCACCCATTACCACCACCACCAAGCCCACCACTCCCTCCCGCAGACAGCATAGCAACGGGGTCGCCTCACCTTACGTAGGCTCAGCCCAGCCCAAGCCCGACCAGCCGACCTCTCCAAATCAAGCCCGTGGCCCGTCCTCCTCCTCCACTCAATCCCACCACTCCCCAACCAGCGTGGCCAACGTCAACGCTGACGCCAGTCCGTCCTTCATTTCCCGCCTACCCAACGAAGCAAGTCAGGCCTACATCGCGATAACGATATCCCAATCCGTATCCTTAATCGAAATCAACATTGCATTGCGACCGATTCGACGCCCTGTCATGGCCCTAGCCCCCAACTCCGGATCCGAATCATCTCTCCTGCATTGAAGCTTGTCGGGGCCCAATTTCGCCGAGTTGAGGGTTTCCCTGGCCTGCAACCTGCCGTCGCACCCCGTCACCGATACATCTCCACCTCGCTGTCGCCCACGACCCGAATCGCGCACCTCGCGTAGGCTGTGACCTCGTTTTGCGTCAACTCTGTCGACGGAACCAGCTCGATCGCGATACTCCATCGAGGCCCGTGACGGCCAGTCTCTTCGACCGCTTTTGTGAGACTTTCGTCCGAACCGCCGACGCCAACTGGCTTTCCCTCTGTCGCCAGGCTCACCGACTGCCACGAGATCCTCACCTCCACAGACTGCTTCGTCGAACACCTGGCAACATGTCGAGCTCCTTTGAGAAATCGGTTAAGGGGGCCACCAAGATTAAGGTCTGTTGCAGGATGGCGCTGGTTTAGCCAGCGTATCGGTGTGTCTCTCCCGGCCGTGTTGCTGACTTGCATCTCCAAGGCCGCGCCGCCCAAGACGAAGTACATCGAACACATTCTCGTCGCGACACACGCCGGCGAAGCTGGCGTGGCCGAGGTCTTTCGCGCCCTGCAGTTCCGCCTCCGAGACTCGACATGGACCGTCGTCTTCAAGAGCTTGATTACCGTCCACCTTATGATCCGTGAAGGCTCCCCCGACGTCACACTCTCCTTTCTGTCGAGGCACCCAAACACGATTGCCATCAGCAGCTTCACGGATGGTTCGTTCTAGTTCCCCGCCCAAAGGCCAGTCTTCCCGCGCATACGCTGCGATGCTGACGCCGTGTTATAGCCCAGACCCAAGGTCGGAACATCCGGCATTACGCCAACTACCTCAGCTCAAGATCTAAGGCCTACCGCGAAACAAAGTGCGACTGGGTCCGAACCAAGGAATCGAGGTTGGAGAAGCTCTCAGTGGACAAGGGCCTCCTCAGAGAGACGGAAATCCTCCAGTCTCAGATTTCGGCTCTGTTGAAGTGCGATGTAAGTTTGGGTCTTTTGCAGCTGAGCGCGACTGCTGCTAACCCTAGCCAGGTGCTTGAAGGCGAAGTCGAGAACGAGATCACGGTTACTGTTTTCAGGCTGCTTGTGCTGGACCTCCTGGCTCTCTTCCAGGCTCTGAACCAGGGGATGATTAACATTCTTGGTAGGTCGACGACGCGGCTTTTCTCGCGACGATGGCTAACATCTACAGGCACCTTTTTCGAAATGTCCAAGGTCGACGCCGAGAGGGCCATGGCAATCTACCGCACCTTCACAAAGCAGACGGATTTCGTTGTACAGTACCTCAGCGTTGCGCGACAGTACGAGCACCAAACGAGGGTCGAGGTCCCCAAGCTGAAGCACGCACCGGTGAACTTGGGTCGACAGCTGGAGGAGTACTTACAGGACCCGGACTTCGAAGTCAACCGGAGACAGTATATCGCTGAACAACAAGCTAAGAAGAGTGGGAAAGGGGGTGTCTCTAAACCGTCCAGCAGCGCGTTCGACTCGAAGCCGGCGCCCGCAGCCAACAACCCTTTCCCGAGCACCAACGGCTTGTCGCAACCGAAAACCGAAACCGCCAAGGGTCCTGCGCCGGACTTGATTGACTTCTTCGAGTCCATTGAACAGAACCAGACGACGATGGCTCCAAACGCTCAGCAACATCAGGAGCAGCAGCAAATGCCAATGCAGACTGGGTTCGCGTCCAATAGTCCGTTCCAGCCGCAACCTACCGGTTTTCAGCAGAATGGCTTTGCACCACAGCAAACCGGCTTTGTGCCTCAACAGACCGGCTTTGGGACCAACCCATACCAGCCGCAGAGCACAAATCCATTCGGCCAGCCGCAACAGCAGCAGCCGCAGCAACAACAAGCGCCACAGCCGCTACAGCCCAGCTTTACCGGAGCTGGATTCGGCGGCTTTACGCCTCAGCCCAGCTTTCAGCCAGGCACGCTCGGCTCAATACCTCAAGACTCGGTGGCAAGCTTCCCAACGGGTAACACGGGCATGCTGAGCCCCCAGGCCGGACAACAAACCACCAATCCTTTCCGGGCATCCATGTTGATGGCCCAGCAGACTGGCATGTCTACTAATACCGCCTTTTCCAACCCGACCAGTCCCAACCTGCAGAGGCAGTCGACGAACCCCTTCGCCAGATCATCACCACAGGCGCAGCAGCCTTTCTCTCCCGCTTCTAGTAACTCGCCCTTCCAGTCACAGCCGCAGCAGCTTCCGACGATCGCTCCATTGCAACCCATGATGACGGGTACTAATCCCTTTGCGAAAAACTTCACCGGCATTCAGTCACAACAGCAACGGCCCGCTACTAGTTCTGGGGCTCTTGCCCCGCAGCCGACAGGGACCACAAACCCCTTTCGTCAGGGTGCATTTGTTAACCACCAAACCGGTATGGGTTGGCAACATAATCAGCAGCCCATTGGCGGCGGTCTGGACAATGTCGAAACGGTACCCGTCTTCCCACGGCCCATCCAGCAGAGTCCGTGGCAGACGTAATAGTATAGGCCCCCAACCACACGGGCTAACTGTTCCGAATACACCACACCTATCCATCAAGGCAACTTATCTCAATATTTTGAATCAAAGCGTGGCGTTCACCAGGGTTTTGCTTGTAAACTTGAACTATGCGGAGACGGCGAGGGGTTGTCACGAACACAAGAAAAAGGCTCCACGACTCGATGGTGGGACTGGTTTAGGCCGGCGATCGTCAAAGCAAGAGTTTTAAAAATGTATTATCTAGTGAGCATACTTAAAGATGTAATTCTTGCATGGTGGGATTCGGTTCCCGCACAACCATTCCTGGTGACTAGCTGAAGGGCGAAGGGCGATTTCGCCTTTCCTGTTGTCGTCTAGATGTTGATTTCCCATCGCAATCCCATTGCCCAAAGTAACTCCAAACGCCTTCGCTATGCAACCCGTTTTACTCAAAGTCAAAACAGTACGACGGCAGTCGGACACCTAGAAGACGTCGTCCACGTCCATCCTCTGCGTGGTTTGGCCCGTACTTGCCACCTGCGCGGCCTCGGTAGTGGCCACCCTCTCGGGGCCCTTCTCGTCCTCGATAAACACAGCCAATCCGGAAAAGGCCTCGAACATGGCCCGGTTGAGATACTCGTCGGCACTGTAGCCACCCACGACGATGTCGTCCTTCTTCCTCGCCTCGTCGACCCAGTGGTTGCGGTACTCCTCCGGCGGCCCCATCTTGTACCTCTCCATGTCGAGCTTGAGCCCGCCAAAGGGGTCGTACGGCTTGTTCTCCTCCACCACGCGCTTCTTCTGCTGCTTGAGGCCGCGGATAGACAGCCCTGGCGCCGTGGTGGCCTCTGACAGGGACCCGACGGCGGAGTTGAGGCGGTTCTGCCCGCGCTTCTTGAGCAGCACGCGGTTCAGCGTCTGCTTCGCCTCGCCGGCGTCGCTGCTCGCCAGGCCGTTGAGCATCTCCTCCCGCATCCGCTGTTCCTTTTGCTTCTCCGCCGCATCCTCCTGCATCGCTTCCATGCGCCGCAGCCTGGCCTCCTCCTTCTCCGCCTCGAAGCGCGCCACGCGCTCGGCCTCGGACTCCTTCGCCAGCCGCCGGTTGCGCTCGATCTCGGCCTTGTGCGCCTGCTCCCACTCGATGAGCTTCGCCTCGGCCGCCTTCTTCTCCGCGTCGGTGCCGGAGATGAGGTCAAAGGTGAGCGTCTCGACCCATTCGAGGTACTCGTTGTAGTCGTCCAGGGTCTCGAAGTCGTCCTCGACCTTGTTGAGCACGGCGGCGACGCGCCGGCGGATGTCGACCTCGCGCTCGACGGTGAGGTCGCCAAAGTAGGCCGACTTGAAGCCCTTTTTGCGCAGCGTCTTGTGGCATCCGGCGTAGGGGCACTGGTTGGGCCCGTCGGAGAAGATGCGGGCGACGCAGTTTGCGCACATGGGGTGGTAGCACTCTGGGTTGATGAGGAACTCGAGGTCCTTGTTAAGGTAGCGCATGGTCTTGCAGACGGGGCAGATGTCGTTTGTCGACGTGGGCGCCGCGGTGGCGGTGTTGGAGGCGCGGCGGGTTGCCATGGCGTGCGGTGGTTCGTGTTGTCGCGGTGGAAAGGCGGACGGGTTTCGGGGATGATTGGGGGCGATGTTGATCAGGGCGGCATTGGAGGAGGGGATAGTTTGGTGTAAGAGGCGTTTCTGCTTTCGACGGGGTCGAGAGACAGAGCTCTTGCTTCCTTGTATGAAGAGGGTTGATGATTCTGAGAATACTGCGTGAAGCTAAGGTTCTGGAGGTAGACGTGCAAGGCTGATGGGAGGTTTATTAAGCGAAGCTGATTGGCTGGAGCTCTCGAATCAAATGCAGGGGAGGGGCAGGGGTCTTTGCAGCTACCCCTCCAAGAATTCCGTCAGCCTTCTGTGCTTGCTGCTTCTGCTGCTTTCGACCACACCCAACGTCTTAGCAATCCAGAATCATGGCCGACAACGACAAGCCTGGTGCGTGTACTCCTGAAGTCTCCTGGAGACAGAGAGCGCGATCAGATGTGCTTCTGGATAAGCGCTAACCTTATGCTCATATAGAACTCACCCCCGCCGAGGAGGCCGCCGCCCGCGCCAAGGAGGCGGAGGAGCAGAATGCGCTCCCGTACAAGTGGCAGCAGACCATTTCCGACGTCGACATCACCTTTAGCGTCCCCGGAAACTATAAGAGCAGAGACCTTGTCATCGATCTGAAGAAGACCAAGATCTCGGCCGGCGTCAAGGGACAGGAGCCCATCATCACCGTCAGTTGCCCCCTTCCACTTCCAGCCCGACCGTCACTTGACGGGCAACGGTGCTCCTCATTTTCGCAGAGCAATCAGTATATAGGCACGCAAGGCTGACGCAAGACACAGGGCGACCTCTCCCACCCCATCATCGTCGACGACTCGACCTGGACCCTGACCTCGGCCTCGGACGGCACCAAGACGGTTGAGATCCACCTCGACAAGGTCAACAAGATGGAATGGTGGGCGCACGTCGTGACCACGGCGCCCAAGATCGACGTCTCCAAAATCACCCCGGACACGAGCAAGCTGTCGGACCTCGACGGAGAGACCCGCGGCATGGTTGAGAAGATGATGTGGGACCAGCGCCAGAAGGAGCAGGGGCTGCCCACCTCGGACGAGCAGAAGAAGTTTGACATCCTCAAGAAGTTCCAGGCCGAGCACCCCGAGATGGACTTTAGCAACGCCAAGATCAGCTAGATGGCTCGCCGTGCATGAAAATTGAAAGAGATACCAAGCGGAATCCGTTTTCCCCACTGATACGCATGCAAGATTCACAAAAAGGCGGGTATCCATTTTAACTTTGACGGTCATCTTGTATTGTGTTATATCATCTAATTACTCTGTAATGAGTGGAAATGTCAGGGGTGAAACGAATCGCCGAAACCACGGGACGAGCATAAGCTGAGGGTTATGGCGTCAGAGAGCCCATGTGAGAACCATTGCTCTTGGATCCGCTAGTAATGGTGAAGCAGATTGAAAGCTGCAGCCCATCAATTGTCAGATTAAGAAGCGGTCCGTATTGCCAACACGACCAGAGCCGAGCCTAGAGCCAAGCCGAGAGCACAGCGACAGCCCAAAGCCGTCTTCACCAGAGGAACGCTGTGTGATTAGCAAACAATAGCAAAGTTTGAGAAGCAAGGCACGCCAGGATCCATGGACTACAGAATCGCTGACCAAAAGACCCAACATGAGGTCTATCAATCCATTTTCTATCCGCTCTATCCACCCTTTCACGTCCAGATGGATGGCGTTGCAGGAACAGATCAGGACGGGCAGTAGGTTGCCACTCGGACTCAACTGATGCGAATCACTTCGCCAGAGAACTATGATGTTTTATTAGCCACAAAATCTCCTCGATAGATTGGAAACAAGAGAGTACAATGGGCAACGAGATCAGAAATTAGAACCATATCCACACAGAATGATTGAGATAGGGATAACTGTATAATAAAATTGTCTTGGTCATCACTTCGAAGGGGAGGGCATAGGAAAAAGAGCATCGTCTTACCTAGCATAGTACGTCAAGAGGGTTGCGGTTCAAAGAAGGCGCATTGTGTTTTTGATGCTAACGTATTTTATGAAAACTGAAACAGGAATTAGCCGGGCTTCTTGACACAAATGTCAAAAAAATTGAGCAGTGAGTCCAAAATCAGAAATTAGAACCATATCCACATAGTAGGATTGAGATAGGGATAACTGTATAATAAATTGTCTTGGTCATCAGGTTGGAAGGGGAGGGCGAAAGTGAAAGAATTAGGTCACATACCTGATGCTTTCGAGGTCCGGCCAGTTACTGCTTGGAAAGTCGAGCAGCCTTGAACTTGCTGATTCGCTGACCGCCATCAGCTTCGTCCAAGGGCCGGACCACCGACGTGTCTTCTTGCAGAAAGCCGCCTTGCTTCTGAATGAAGTTCCGTCGTTGACGGTGGTATTCGTCAGCAAGATCTTGGTCGATGAACTCGTCATCGTAGGCATCTTCGTCATGAGGCTTGGTCGCCTTCTCAACGACCGCATCCGCCAGCGTCTTTCCCTCAGGACCAGTCGGGGCTGTCGGCCTGTCCTGGTCAAGGAATCGCGAGGGGACGTCGCGCGGACCCATCGGGACGAACTCGTCATCGACGACAGTTGGTGCGGCCTTCTGCTTCTTGAAACGAGACGCCTTCCGGCTGGAATTGACTCCTGTCTGCTTCGCGGGACCAGTTCGCTCGACAATGTCGCTCAGAGGTTCCACGAAGGGCTCAGGTGCAGGCTGCGGCGCAACCGGTGCTGGAATCGTTGCTGGAACCTCTGTATCGGGGGCAATGTCCAGGCTCTGAGAAAAGCGAACGCTCTTCTTGCTGTCATCCGCCTCGGTTGGCGAAGATGTGCGTAGAATCGATGAAGTGGGAGCAGGCGATGGCTTGGCAGACTCCACCGCCTTGCCCTTGTCGCCGTGGCTCACAACAATGCGACCGATGCCTTGCTGGTCGTCGTCTGACTCATCCGCCTCTGCTTCGACCTTTTCAGTGAAGCGAGACTTGACTCCCAGCCGCTTCTCGAGCTCCAACATCCGCTGATGGTATCCCTCGTCGAGTACGCTGGTCTTGGACCGTCCATATTTGTCCTCTTCGTCGTCCTCGTCCAGGTCAGAGTACTCATACTCCCAGTCGTCATCATCATCGCCGGAACCTTCTTCAAGGTTGAGCTCAGCCACCACTGCTCCGACTTCTTCCATGCCGTACTTGAGCATCTCCCGACGGAGAAAAGCGTCTTCCTCGGACTCGCCCTCGGGTATGACAGGCGGTTGGCGGCTGAGCTCTTCCTGGCTCTTGGCGGTTTGCATGATCTCTTCGACGCGCTGGGCAGTCCTTGACACCTGCGGCTCCGTCGGTGGTTTGGTGTCCTCGGCGAAAGACACAGACTTCTTGACAGCAACGGTATTGTCCGCCTTGGCCTCGACCTCTGCCTCTTTTGTAGCCGTAGCCTGCTCGGCAGGCGCCACAGGCGCCTCAGCGGTGGGCGCATCTGTAACATCCTCGACAATAGCGTCGGTCTTTTCGGTTTCCCGAGACTTCCCGGCGGGGATGTCCTTGACGCCTGCTTTTTCCAAGATCTCTTTGAGCTGGGCGCTCGAGTCGCCAGGTCGCTGCAAACGACTGGAGACGACGTTGCCCTCCTCGTCAAGCTCCTCGATAATCTCCGTTATAGGCAGGCCATCCTCATCCCGGACGTCTGGGTTGCTGACAACGCTGGCAGCCGCGTGTTTCTGTTCGGCGGACTCAAGCTGCTTTTCTAGTGTCTCAATGTTCTTGGACACATAGTCGATACGACGCGACAGCAGGTTGACAATCTGCTCGGCTGGCTTGAGGTCGATGCGGCCGAATAGGTCGTTGATCTCCTTCTTGTCGACGACCTCGCCCTCAAAGTCTCTGCGAATGCGCGCAAGGTCCTCTCGACTGGCAGGCTGAGGGACAGACTCAATCTCCTCTTTCAAGGATTCATACTCTGCATCCCATTTTTGCCAGTGCTGCAAAGCCTTTTGCAGCTTGGCAATGCTGTCCTCTAATTGCAAACGATGCCTTTCGAGGTCAAGAAAGCTGTCTCTGACTGCTGCCATGGTGAAGAAAGGGAATGAAGTTGGGAAAAGGGGACGGGGGAGCAGAGAGGTAGTGAAGGAAAAAAATTCCTTGGGTGGAAGGTAGGGATTCGAAGCTCCAAGAAAAATTAGGTAATCTTTTTTCACGGCGGATCGACCGGTATTACGTAAGTGACGTCAAGCAGTCAACTCGGTTCACCGTTCTCACCGAGACACTTGCAACGACCTCTTCGTCTTTCGACACATTTCAAAGGGCAGACCTTGCTCAAAAGCCCTAACACAATACTAAATCGGACTTGATATAATGTAGAACACACTATCAGGGACTTCATTTCCATCCTTGTTCTAAGTCGTTGTAGCTTTGCAGAGAGGTGCGGCAGCTTACCTGCTAAAATGCAAATTTGTACCTCAATTAGAAGATGCCTCTTCTAAACCATTAGAAGAGCTCTTTGTATGCCTGGATTCTAGCGGTGAAAACTTTTTCGTTCTGTTCCATATCTGAGGTGTGTTTTGATTGCAAGAATTCGTGCCACCTTGAATAGAAATAATGCAACGCAAAGATTAAAGAGCAAGAAAAGTTGCTGTAAGAGATAAACGGAGTTTGACGGGCTCAGCTAGGTGTGGGATGAGCGGTGTTCGATCATCAGTGCCCACTCTCAGTGGCTGAATGGCGCCAGACGGTTGTCCTGGAAATTCAACCCCATTCTTCTGTCTGCATTACCTCGCCTGAACACTGCCAGTGAACTCTAAGGCTACTGCCTCCAATCATGAATCAAAATCCGAACATATACACTTCACTCATTTGTACAATCATTGAGCAGGCGGCGACAGTATGTTGACTTTGCTGAATTGGCACTGTTCGTTAATTGAGTGTCTATTGTTGGTCTATTCGTCTTGTAGAATTTATGCCCATCTGATTGGACTGATAACATGACGCATGACATGAGAAGCGATGCAGACTGGCAATCAAAGCCCAAAACTTTACCCCCGACCTTCGTTCTCTTTCATATCCACATTCTCTCCGAGGTTTTCTGCCGTAGGCATGCCTGTTTGTGGATTTATCATTCTGCTCGACTGGTTGGCTAGAAATCGGCTGTTAAGGAAGCTTGCGTTGCCTGTCTGTTAGAGAACCGGGGCCACATCTGGGGCCATAGATCCGAGGGTCGATAACAGGGCTGTACCTGATTCCAAGCCAGGAATGGAAAGACTCGTCAAAGGCATGCCTGGTTCCCACAACGCCTTCAATGGCCTTTGGAAGAATAGGCAAGTCGATCCGGTCCAGTGTACTCCAGCAACGAAAGGGAGCCCTAGAGCTGGCGGTGTCCACCAGTATAGCCCCAGCTGTGGATTGTGATTGATCTGACATATGCCGATATACATCGATTCCACGTCCCTAATAAGCCCATAGAACTCGGTGATGATCTTCGGTAGGTACAACGACAATTGTTCTGTTTGTGGGAAGGACCGCCGGCACCATTGATTGAGACGTGCGATCTCGCCATGGGTAAGAAGCATCACTACCTTCGGACAGTTTTGAAACAATGTTGTGAATGAGAATTTACTGGTCCCTTCGAGGGCTGATTGATTGATCCAGTGGCAGAGGAATGTCTCAGGGTTGTGTGGCTGTGTGATTGTTGCAAAGAGGGTTGCCGCAGAATTTCCACTCAGTGTTATACCCGGCGGGCAGGCCAGGAAGACGAAATGCTTTGGTACTTCGCTCATTGTGAATGGTTCTGGAGCTTTTCGTGACTGTCCGATATCTCTAGACGGTAGAATAGCTGTATTATTTGGGGCAATTATAATGCGGATGAGATTTTCAGCACCAAGGGCTTTATTTCTATGTGGTCATGGAGACTTCAACTCAGATCTGGTCCTTGATTTTTGCTCTACCTTTGCTGTCTTCGCAGCGTTACTTCTAGAGCGTACCTTGGGGTGCGAAAACCCAATCCAATCCAATCTTCGACGTATGATATCTCAAGGAGACGTTTATTTCAAAAGTTAATTATTTTGGAGTCCCAGCGCCTTGGGTTTGGCCTCCATGGTAGCGTCTGTGGTTCTGTTGAAGAAGCTACCAAGGAAACGAAGAACCATCATGAGTGTTTATAGCACCAGTTTTGTCTGGCTGCGTAGTGATCTTTGACAACGACCACAACACCATTAATCCAAAATGTAATACAAATACCATAAAACGGTCCTTTGAACTGCGATGGTAAGAAGGTTGTTGCGATGCACCGTTTATAACTAAGCTTGTAAGCAGGACTGAAGTTGCAAACCAATAATGTAGTGTAGGAATAATCCTCCCTGTGAACCCATGCAATCGGGATTTGTAGAAACACGGGTAATCAGCTCTTTCGGGAAGAAAGAAGCAAGCCGAGTTCACCAGCAGCTCTCACTTCACCTCCAGACTGTGCGTTAGTTAGTGTATCATGCTGCAAGTATATGGAGCTCCACGAGGGCAGTTCTAGCGACTATTTCCTGGAAAATAACCAACTACACATCCCCAATCCAAGTATGAGGTCTTGACAAACAATTGACTTACACGCGCTCGGGCCTTTCTTCGGGGGATCGACGACCCCATGGGACGACGTAGAGCCGCGCCGGCTGCGAAACTCCGCAAGACTCCGCATCGATTCCCCCAAACCTCTGTGCCATTTCGTCACCACCCTCCCTTGCGTTAGCACCTTGCTCTCATAGCTTGCATCAGTCACATTCGCCGTAAAGTTCGCAGAAATTCTTAGCCTTACCGCCTACAGTAATTTACCCCAGAGGAGAGGACGAATTCATCCCCAGAGGAGAGTTTAGCCATTCTCCGTCTTTGCCCTCAGGACTACTCTCCCTGTCTGCATTAGCCTGTGCGGGGAAGCGTAGCTACACCGCAGTCCGGCCGCCCGTCCTCACAATGATGATGAGCTTTTTCTTCCAGTAAGAGAAACGAAGCAGGTATTCGTTGGTAATTCGATTATTACAATCATACTACCTTACTCCGACGAAGATGACGCCAAACGATTGGGTCAATTGGGGAGGATGGAAGGGTATAAGAGGGGATGATGCGACGGCGTTCTGGACGACCTCGATCTGGTGGATTGCCGCACTCATCGCCCTCTCGCAGTGTATCTGGATGCTGTATTCTCGCCGAACGGCAAAGCAACCATTCGAGAAAGGACAGAAGCAGCAAAGCATGGTCACACGCGGACCCCTTCTCCTGTCGGCAGTCGCCATCATGGCGCTCTGCACGATGGCGAGAGTCGCGGATCTGGGACAACCGCTTGTACGCCAGTACCTGGCCTCAACCACAATCGACAGCAGCATCTCTCAGTTCACAGTTCCCGCATCGGCAGATGAGGGAGCTCCTCTCATCCCTAACGTCAAGGACCCCGAGGCAATTGACCCCCAAAGTGTCTGTCCGGGATACACTGCTTCAAACGTGCAGACGACTTCACATGGATTCACTGCCGAACTTGACCTTGCCGGTTCAGCTTGCAATCTGTATGGAAACGATGTCGAGGCTTTGTCACTCATTGTCGAGTACCTGGCAACGGACCGCCTCCATGTCCAGGTTCTGCCGCGATACATCGGCACCGATAATTCCACCTGGTTCATCCTCCCTGAAGAGCTCGTCCCGAAGCCCGCTGCAGACGGTGAGGGGTCAGATGGTGACTTGGAGTTCAAGTGGGCGAACGAGCCGACATTTGGATTCAATGTCTCGAGGAAGAGCACAGGTGACGTCTTGTTCACAACTGCTGGGACAAAGCTGGTGTTTGAAGATCAGTTTTTCGAGATTGCTTCTCCGCTTCCCGAGAACTACAACCTATACGGACTTGGCGAGGTTATCCATGGCTTTAAGCTCAACAACAACCTTACCCGTAAGTGCAAATATCTAGCTGATGGATTTCGTCTCGTCTCACTCTGCTAGGAACCATTTATGCCGCTGATGTAGGAGATCCGATTGATGGAAACATCTACGGTTCCCATCCTGTCTATCTCGACACGCGCTATTACCAAGTGGATGCCGATTCCAAGGAGACCGTCTACGTTGCAAATGCTACCGACAAGAACGCAGAGTACACATCGTACACCCATGGCGTCTTCATGCGCAACGCTCACGCACAGGAGATCTTGCTGCGGGAATCCAATATCACCTGGAGAGGCCTCGGCGGCACCATTGACTTGTACTTCTATGCCGGTCCGACCGCGGATGCCGTGATGAAGTCTTATCAGAAGACCACTGTTGGGCTGCCCGTGATGCAGCAGTATTGGACGTTCGGTTTCCATCAGTGCAGATGGGGCTACACGAGCTGGGACAACCTGCAAGAGATTGCGGACGAGTTTGCCAAGTTTAAGATTCCTCTAGAGACGCTTTGGGGTGAGTTGGGATTTTTCCAATCTGGAAGGACGAATGCTGAACCATGACTAGCGGACATCGACTACATGAACCAATATCGGGACTTCGAGGATGACCAAAACTCATGGGGTTACGAGGATGCCGCTCGCGTTCTTAGCAACCTACACAAGAACGGGCAGCATTTCGTACCCATCGTCGACTCCGCCATCTACGCCCCTAACCCAGAGAACGCCAGTGACGCCTACGCGACATATGACCGCGGAGTCGATGCGGACGCCTTTGTGCTAAATCCTGACGGATCCCTCTACATTGGCGCGGTCTGGCCCGGCTACACCGTGTTCCCTGACTGGGTTGGTGCTGTTTTCAACGGAAGCAAAACCTTTGAGTGGTGGACGACGGAACTAGTGACTTGGTTCCAAAAGGTTGCGTTCGACGGCATCTGGATCGACATGTCCGAGGTATCGTCCTTTTGCGTCGGCAGCTGTGGCAGCGGCAACCTCACTCTCAACCCCGCCCACCCCCCTTTCTCGCTGCCCGGCGAGCCCGGTAACGAAGTTCTCCAGTACCCGGAAGGCTTCAACAGGACGAACGGCACCGAAGCCGCCGCGGTATCATCTCTCTCCTCGTCCCTCGCTGCCGCGCAGTCCACCACCGCCGCGACCCCGTCATCCTCCACAACAACGTCATACCTGCGCACCACGCCAACCCCAGGCGTTCGCAACGTTAATCACCCACCCTACGTAATCGACCACATCCAAGGCGACCTCGCCGTGCACGCCGTGTCACCTAACGCAACCCACCACGGCGGCTCCCAGGAATACGACTTCCACAACCTATTTGGCCACCAGATCCTCAACGCAACCTACCAAGCCCTCCTTTTCGTCTTCCCTGGGAAGCGCCCCTTCATCATCGGCCGCTCGACCTTTGCCGGGTCCGGGAAATGGGCCGGCCACTGGGGCGGCGACAACGCCTCGCTCTGGGCGTACATGTTCTTCTCGATCCCGCAGGCGCTCAGCTTCAGCATCTTTGGCATCCCAATGTTCGGCGTCGACACGTGCGGGTTCAACGGCAACACCGACATGGAGCTCTGCTCCCGGTGGATGCAGCTCAGCGCCTTCTTCCCGTTCTACAGGAACCACAACGTGCTGGGGGCCATCCCGCAAGAGCCGTACCGGTGGAGCGCCGTGGCGGACGCGTCGCGGACGGCGATGGCGATCCGGTACGCGCTGCTGCCGTACATGTACACTGCGTTTTACAAGGCGCATACGCTGGGTGACACGGTCATGAAGGCGCTGGCGTGGGAGTTTGCGGACGAGCCGTGGCTTGCTGCCGCAGATAGGCAGTTTCTGCTCGGGCCGGCGGTCCTGGTTACGCCTTGCCTTGAGCAAGGGGCTAGCACCGTCGATGGCGTCTTCCCTGGTGTTGGCAAGGGCACGGTGTGGTATGACTGGTACAACCAGTCTGCGATCACGGGTGTATCATCAGGGCAGAACGTCACCATCAACGCTCCGCTCGGGCATATCCCGGTTTATATCCGTGGCGGTTACGTTATTCCAACGCAGGAGCCAGGTTCGACGACGTCGGAAAGCAGATCTAACCCCTGGGGCCTATTGGTCGCACTCGATGGTAAGGGCGCTGCCACGGGCAGTCTTTACGTGGACGATGGCGAGAGCTTGGAGCAGGAAGCGACGCTTACTGTAGAGGTACGTTGACATCGACTCTGACCATGGAACCTTGATTTTGACATCGTGATAGTTCTCCGCTTCTGCAAACGCGTTGAAGGCCACTCCGTCTGGCGATTTCAAAGACTCGAACCCTCTTGATACCCTTACGGTTATGGGAATCCAGAGTGGTGTCTCGGCGGTAGCTCTCAACGGACAGGATCTCGATGGCACAGACTGGTCCTTTGACTCGGCTACTCACGCCCTTCAAGTGACTGATCTGAAGTCTCTCACTTCCGAAGGCGCGTGGTCAAAGTCATGGGAACTCACCTGGTCTTGAGAGTAATATTTGAGCGTCGAAAGGTGTTACAGTCTCCTTTCTGTTGGGCGCCATGGGGGCATACGACTGTAGGGCGATGCGCAGACATAGATTGCCGGGTCACCTTGGCACGGCATGCTTTCGACATCGAGGGGAAGCTGGAACGCCGCCAGCTTCCTTCTCCACTTGGAAGTCACTTACAGCTCCTCATGATGGCATGCTGTCTTTGCGAATGGAAACGACTTCAGACATAATGCGAGCATTGCTCTCCAGCAATGTAGACTTTTGGTAATCTAAATTAAGAGAATATCACTTCTAGGCCTTTGAAATTACCTGGATGCTAGATGTAACACATTTTCTTTGCCAAAGACCTGATACCTTTGCCTTGAAAAGGTTCTGAGGCAACCCCAAGTAAGTTGTATAGCCCCCTTACGGAATGAACCTAGCCCTTCTCCAAGCTTTCCAAGCGTGCTGCTGCATAGTAAATCAAGCCATGAATTCTACGTCGCATAACACGGGACTGTGGATCCTAATGACTTTTATCTTTACGGAAACAAACTCCGTTTAAGTGCCCCTAGCCTAAATAGTCGGTTGGGATGCATTGATGTTTGGGGTTCTTGGCACACCATCTCTGCTCATGACAGACCGGCGTGACAACAGATTTGAGATGCAGATGAGCGAGGATGAGACGTTTCGAGACTGCTTTCGGCCCAGAAACCGGGTGAGTTGAAGTGGCCCTCGAGGGGACAAAGTATTTCTATCGTCACACGGCATCAATCCGTTTAGGGGTTGTGGTGATCATGAGATTCGTATCATTCAGCATGCAACGGCCCTGAGTCCGCCCATACGGCTGTACTTCACCAGCTCTTTTCCGGCCATCCTTGGCGCCGGGCGCGCTTCTCCCGGTCCAAGTGCCCAGCTGAACAGACATCTTTATAAAACCAAAGATGCTCCCATCGCCGCTTTCCAAACGCCCGCCTCAGTGACCGCGCCCGCGGAACCTTCTGTTACCCCGATCGCGCCACTTGCCTCCACGACCGCCGTGTCTCCGATCCCCGTGCCCGCGGTCATCATGCATATCCCCCCGCCGCTCGCGCTGCTGCTGGAACATCTCTCCCTCCTCCTTCTCGGCGTCCCTCTTGGCCTCGTCCTCGCCCTCGACCTTGGCGCTCGGCTTCTCCAGGTCCGTCCTCCACCGCGGGTGCGCGCCGTACTTGCAGCCCGGCCCCTCGGGGCAGAAACCGACCAGGTAGTACGGGCACAGCTTCCTCCTGACGTGCTTCTTGCTGCAGCGCGGGCCCAGCGGGCAGAAGCCCTTGTCGTAGTGCGGGCAGGGCGGCAGCTTGGACTGCGGGTCGATGTGCAGGTACAGGCACTCCTCGCCATTGGAGCAGTAGCCGTTGCGCATGAAGAAGTTGCACTCGGGCATCTTGCGCAGATTGTACTCGTGCAGGAACTCGCACGACTCGCCCTTTTTGCAGAGACCGCGGAGCCAGTGCTTACAGACGAGCGAGGGCCCGCCCGACGGGTTCGACGAGGTCGAGGAGGCGTGGCGATCCGGGCAGGAGGCGCCCAGGGGGCAGTGCCCTGCGAGGAAGGACTTGCATTGCGGGCGATCGGAGGAGAGCTCGTGGCGGTAGGTTTGGCGGAGGAATGGGGTGAAGGAGAAGGAGGTCGCCGTCGGGGCGTGATTGAGGATCTGGGCTGTTTCTGGCCGGGAAGCGACGGCTGTCATATTTTCGTTCGGTGCCCCCGGAGGAGCTTGCGGGTGAAGACGATCTTTCTGGCCTGGTGTTGTCGTCGCGACCAGTCGTGCTGGGGATTTGGTATCTCGGAGTCGCGTGGTCGTTGCGCTTGTTCGGTGGTCTGCGAGAAGTGTTGCGAATACAAAGTGAATTATCGGTTTTCGGTTTGGGTTTTCTTCTGTTATGTTTGTTTGATCATCAAAATGCTGCAAAGGTTCACGTGCAGATTGGAATTCTTTCCAAAAATGATTTGCGAGACTCAAGCTGAAGCATTGCAGCTTGGATCGGCTCGAAGCTTCAGCATTCGCCCCATAATAATTAGTCAGCACGTTAACTCAGGCAATCGGAGCTGTAGTGGTGTCCAGCTTGTTTACTATGTACCTAAGGTAAGGTACGTTCAGCTGTGAGGTCCAGGCCCGTCCACAGATGCAGGTCAGCGTTTTCCCCCTTCACTCAACCAGCATCCCTAGGGGGCATGTGAGCGTTGGCAAGGCTGACAATACTCGTCCTGCAGATTCAGGACCACGGATTTGGATTTTGCTATGCAGGCGATGGAAGATATCTGACGACCGAGAGCTGACTCCCAATTCGGTTATCTGGGTTGACAAACGATCCGCCGCGTTAGGTCAAACAGTCCTCTTGTCCAGCTTATTTACGCTATTACACCTCGCCAAATGAACGGGTCGACATGCTTCAAGCAGCGTGCACTTCTGCTTGCAGGAACTTCCCCAATACTATCGGTCCGAGTAACTCGCAGTGATTTATTCTACCAGTAATTCTCTACTCCACGATGTAGGTAATCAGCTGGTGTCCCCAGCAATCTCTTACTGCCAATTTCGGGCGAAAGCCTCAGGCTGCCTCCTCATCAGAAGAGCCTGCATCGGGACCGTCATTCTCGAGCGCGTCTTCCGGCTTCTGGGCGTACCAGAAGTACTGGTTGAAGTAGCGATGCTTGCTTCTGTCTTCTAGGGCTTTCTTGACAGTTGCCAGCCACACCTGCCTCTCCACCTCCAAAAGACCCAGTGCCTCAAACGGCTTACCAACGAACGCCGTAGCGATACCGGCAGCGGTCTCTTTCATGTAATTGCCAACGAGGCGCAAGGTGTTGTCCTTGGGCCAGGTTCCAATGGGAACCTTCTTAACCTCACACTGGATGTTCTTGAAGCCGGCCGCCTCAAGACGAGGCCCCAGATCCCGGGCGTTATGGAAATGCAGGCCGAAGCGACCAAAGGCCTCGTTGCCCAGCTCCCAGAAGCGTTTGACTGGGTCGTCTTCTGCTACAGTACCGTCGTCGCAGTTGACCTGGCCGTGGATTTCCTGGAACTCGATCCATCCGCCAGCCTTCAAGTGTCTGTCAAAGTCGCAAGATGTGAGATGGAGCAAAGTAGGGCGATTCCCGTTTTCTGCACGCACTTGTACGAGTTACCAATCACTTTGTCGAGCCTCTTGAGGGCCATGCCCATCATGCGGAAGTGGACAAAATCAAAGTTGTCTCCGTTCAGCCAGTCGTCTTCGGCATCGTCCACAAGGAACTTGACATTCGGCGGAACCCACCCCGGCTGAATTGGCGATAGGTCAATGCCTAGCACTGATGCGGCGGGGAGGAGGTCGGCGACTCCATTAAAAGTTAGCGCCCATCCTTCAGTGCATGTCGGTTAAGGAGGAGGAGAAGTGCAGCTCACCCACCTTCGATTGCCCATATGCCTAGTAAGTCCAGTCAGCTCCTGTGTTATAACCCGCATTCACATGTTGCTCACCAGTGCCAGTCCCAATATCGATGATTTTCTGGGGGTTATCCCCGATTGGCGCGTAGAACAGCTTTCCATCCTACATCATCGCAACGTTAATCCAGATCGTGTGGGTACGGCCACGCACGTAGCGCATTGAGGGACTGACGGTTAATTCGAGGTTCATGACGTGCTTCATGTTCTCTCTACCCTGCTCTTGGTCATCGTTTGGCAGAGGGTATCGGCCATGGCGGTAGCTGTGATAGCGACGTCCATTCTCGTACTCGTGAGAGTAAACGCTAGAGGACAGCGACGCCGAATCGACAGATGACACGTCCCAGTCTGCAGGGTCGAATTCGCCGTCGTCGATGGGCCCTGCGGCCGCCTCAATGGCTCCGGTAGGGTGTTGAGCAGCTAGAGTGCCGTTGCTAGACATAGCTCCAGATTACCGTCAAAGGTCCTAGGTCTTTTGTCGAATGCTGGTCAGCGAGGACGAGCCGGGGGAATCCCAGTCCCGAGTCAGACACCATGAAGGCTATTCTCACCACTAATGCACGCCGTGGAGCAGCTAGCGCTTGGCAAGCCCAATGCACCGATCAAAGGATAGTCTCTTGGGGGGGTGTTGCTGTCGTAAATTCACAGTGGCTGGAAAACAGCAGCTGATGATGGCATCAAAATTCACAACCACTGCAGAAAAGCAAACCCTCGGGGAGAATGGGAGAATGGGAGAGTTGGAGATGGCCTGAGGAACGATGTCCCTTCTGTCAGTTCTGTATCCCTCAGACGAACTCCATTTTCCTGCATTGAGGGGCCGCGATGCAGCAACGTCAGGCAATGCTCCAACGGGCACAAGCACTCGATTGGTAGCTGTCCGAAGCGAGCGCAGGAATTGGCAGGAGAGTGAATGAAAGCAGGGGGCAGGCTCCGCTTTTCGACGACCAACCTGCACCGGACGGGTGTCTGTCACAACGAGAAAGGCGGGTTGGTTGGGCTTGTTGGCTCAAATCTGTGATGCGACTGAGAGATGGGAGATCCAGACCTCCTTTGTTACGAAACAGAACATGGGGCGGATTGAGGAGGGGGTAGACTTGGCTACCATAGGTCCCTCTGGAAACCATTGGCCAGATTATATGTTTGGTTCCGGTTCAAAACACATGCGTTCTGGAGCGTTTAACCCAGAATGCTCTAATGATCGGTCTACCTATCTTGGTGAAATTCAAGTTGATGCCTGGAAGGCTTAGTGGTTCCGGAATGCCCAGGGAATGGAGTGAAGGGAATTTGGACGCAACGAGGCCTTGATGGCTATGGCTTTATGGAATGGTAGAGATGAGCATCGTCAGCTGTCTGGTTGCTGTAAAAACAAAGTCAGGATTTGAAGTAAATTAGACGGAAACAAGATGTCAGACCAACCGCGTCTTTCGGTTTAAGCCACTTGCCCATTGACTACGTTGATCAACAACTCCAGCACACCCGGCTTGCGCTCGGCTTGAACCTGTTGTGGAGCCAGGCCTGCCATGCGTGATCCATACCCCTTGACGCCTGCAGTCTCTCAACTTTCCACTTCTTTAACGACTCGTGGGTATGTGCGTTGGTAAATCAGTAACTCATGCTCTGCAGACTCGGCACCGCGGTCATGGATTTCTTTCCGCAAGGTGCAATAACTCATACATCATACGCAGGGTTAGCTCCCAACGCAAGCAGTGATGTGGATCTGTTATCAACCCCTCCACAATGCTCTGAAGACCTCGCCTTCAGACATCCGCATTCCTCGCCATGGTGATAAGATCGCACGTAACTGCTTCAATCTGCGAAGTGGCCGAGCGATACAGCCCTCATAGAAGATCTTTTGATAACAGATCTAGGGTAACTGTCATGGTATTGCGCGGATGGTGATGATGACGCACATTGTTGATTTCTGCCAGACCCCTTACGATTGTTGATCAACAGACGAGGCCAATCCCTGGGTTGCCTGGTCCTGTCCTCTCTTCCCGTTTCATTGCAATCGCCTGGCTCCAGCGGGTTCATGGTTTCTGTGCGTACCAAAAATAGAAATTGAAGTAGCGGTGCTTGCTGTTATCCGCAAGAGCCTGCATTGCCAATGTCTGCCAGGCCTTGCCGTCCTGTGCTGAGATGCCGTGTGCCTCGAATGGCTTTCCAACAAACGCAGGAATGGCGTCTGCGACAGCTGATGCCATGAACATGCCTACTGAGCGCATCTTGTCGTCATTGGGCCAATGGCCAATCGGGATTTTGAAGATTCTGCAGCGTACGTTTTTGAAACCGGCCACTCCAAGGTAATGGCCCAGGTCTCGTGCGTGATGGAAGTGCATACCGAGGCCCCCGAAAGCATCCACGGTGAGCTTGTAGAACTTCTCTAATCCTTCTTTCTCGGGCATTGTGCCATCGTCGCAGTGGACCTGACCGTGAAGCTCCTGAAACTCGATCCACACATCTGACTTCATGTGCCCGAAACCGCTGATAAGCCCGAGAATAGTGGGAGATCGAGGATGGAGCAGACCTACTCGTATGTCCTGTCGAGAACACGATCTAGCCTCCTAAGAACAGGAGCAACGGAGCGTAAATAAACAAAACCATAGCCGTCCCCAAGCAGCCAGTCGTCATCTTCAGCGTCATCAATATAGAACCTGAGGTTTGGAGGCACCGCGTTTGGTTGCATGGGAGAGAGGTCGGTGCCGACGACGGAGGCGCCGGGAAAAGGATCGGCCACTTCGTTGCTGAGTTAGCATGATTTCCTGGCAGTAACGGGCTGCTTGAGCTGAGCTGACCTCCGTATGCCCAAATCCCTAACCTCTGGTGTCAGCACGAGTAATAGAAACCTTGACTCCAAGGCTGCTCACCAGTCCCTGTTCCTATATCTAGTATCCTCTGGGGATTGTCACCAATGGGCGAATAGAAAAGTTCTCCATCCTGAAGTATTATCAGTATCGGTTACGTAGGCACGGCAGAAGCTGCACGATAGGGATAGACTGACCGTCAGGTCGACAAGCATGGCGTGCTTCATATCCTCTCGGTTTTGCTCCGTCTGGTCATTCGGCATCGGATACCGGCCATGGCGATATCGGTGGAAGCTGCAGCCATTACTGTTCTCGTGAGCGTAGAGGCTGGAGTTCAGTGAATATGACGAGATGGAGTTCGCATCCAATTCTTCGGGGTCGAACTCGCTGTCATCACTAGGATCATCGACGGCCTCAATGGCGGCAGCGGGTTGCTGGACGATTGGAGTGTTGATGTGGGATCCAGACATGGTTCGGGGTATCTCCGAGACCCACGTCCTTCTTCTCAGAGCTGGCCAGCGGGGAATGAGCATGGATATCCCAGTTTGGACCAAATATCGTTAGAGTGCTCACCAGCAATCAGTTGGTAAGCGCCAAGTATACTGAATCATTAACCTGCTTTGGTGGCTGTCTATGTTGTCGAGATGCATTCGGCATTGGGATCCGATTGATGGCCAAGAATGAGTCCAGAGTCGTCAAATTAGTAGGAAGCTGAGAGAGCAGAGTTGGCAGACTGGCCACAGTATCATGAGCGGGCTCACTTGAATCCTTCATGCTGCAGCGGCTATCTACAGGCAACTGGTGCTCCCACTTGACTGGCTGCTGGTCGGCGGTTGCAACGAGCGTGTGAAGGCTGGGGATGAGCCCCACAACATGCGGCCCAGCCGAGCAAAATGTAGTTCGGCCACAGTTGTAGCTCGGTCAAGTCTCTGTTGGTTCGCAAAGGTAGTCGGCTGTAAGGAAGTCAGCCGTGGACTCTGGAGGACTGTAATCTGCCATGGCCGTCTGACATGTGCGACTTTGAGGCATGGGCATGCCGTGTCCCTCCTCACTCGATCTGGAGAGAGCTCTTTGATGGGTGCCCCCCTGCTAGGTGTGTGAGGGAGACGGCGGAAGGTAACGCATATGGGTTGGTCGAGTAAGGAGCATTCTTGGGAACCGAGAAACACTCGTATGGTGGTATCTACCTGAGTAGGTTTCATTCAAGGTGCTGAGATTCCATTCTGGCGGACGTTGTGAACCATTGATGCAAGTAGTTGTGTTAAGGCAAGAGAGCACGGCAAGGGCACATCCGATCGATAATGGCTGGATCCAGATGCTCGTCAAGGGCAAAGCATTCGCCCGCATACCGGAGGCCAGAGGGGCTTGTTTGTGTCCCTGGAAAAAGACCCTTCCCGTACTCTAGGCTGGTCCATTGCCAGTGGGATGAATGCAGCCTAGAACATCTGGTCCTTTCCCAGGTTGGCTGGTCTCTGGCTTGCGGCTCTTCTGACAATCAACAGGTAAGGTGATTCGGCGTAAAAGAAGGAGAGGTCATCTGTGAGCTCTCTCGAGCATGGCAGAATCAGAGGTGAAGAATGTGGGGGTCGGGTCGACGTGGAGGGAGGGCGTGTCCGGAAAGAGGACGAGGAGGAGGAGAAGAAGAAGGAGGAGGAGCATTCGAGCGTGGCCAGGAAAGACCCACGTTCTTTTGCAGGTTCCTTCCCAGGGTTCAATGGACCCATCCTCACTTAGCTCGCCCGGACTGCAGAATGACTTGCGCTTTCCTGCTCAGTTTTCATTCCTTCCATTTTTTCTTCTCTTGCATTGGCATTGGCGTTAGGCGTGGACCCCGTCGTCGGCTTCTTCAACCCCTCCTTCGGTGGGGGGAACCAAAGCCAAGGAGGGGTCTTTTCTCCGTCCGTTTGCTCCTCTGTTCCACTCTCTAACTCTCTACACTCTACACAGTGTGTCTCTCTCTCTCTCTCTCTCTCTCTCTCTCTCTCTCTCTTTCTTTCTCGCGACGCACTGCCGTTCTCTCTTCGTCGCTTTCTTTTCCTCCGGGCAAAATCAATCATTGGCCGACGCAGCCATCACTGATCAACCAATTTCCTTCCCTCTCCCCCTTTGGAAAGATCGAGGTACACGACATGATGACAAGACATTCCGTAACACCTCTCCCGAATTACCTTCCCTCCAGAGCGAACGTCCAACCCGGCGCCCCTGCATCTGTCTGAGTCACGCCTCGTAAAGCTCCTGCCGCTGGAACGGGAGGAAATGACCCCGTACTTCTCGGCCGTCGACAACGCCGGTTGACGCTGGATTCTGTTGTTTACACCAGCGAGTCCCAAACTCAACGACAACCTTTCTTTTTGCCCGTCTCGGGCCTCTCATTAAACATGAATCACAACGGCTTTCCTGTCTATCACCAATTTCTCCGCAAATTTCTCCCCTCATCTCCCCCTCCAACGTTATGGCTGTTCTAGCGTGTTTCTCCCAAGCCCCTGCCTCCTCCTACTGCCTGAACGAGCAACGTAGGCCGCGGTCGGCGCAAGCCACGCCCGAACTCATGCCGTTGGATCCCTTGCGTTGACCTCATGGCATGCACCACTCAAACACGGACGAGCGAAGAGTCACCACGATGCATGGCGATGCTTGTTGACATTGACTGAAAGTGAGCTTGCCGGGGTGCCTACCGCTGGCCTAGCAGCCTTTCGCACCCAATGGATGGAACTCGACTACTGCGACTGACTTACATACGGAGCCTGCCCGCATGCCTTCGTATGCGTAGACCACAGGGAACGCCAGGGTGCCGCACGCGCATGCGGGATGCACACGGATGCATCACGGAGCCACATCACGGATTAACGATGCCTCAACATTCGACAAAGTTGATTGACCTCCCTTAGTGAGTGCGGCAATCCATGGATATATATCATGTATGTCTCGTCGACCGATGCGACCGAACCGGCCTCGGCGAGACCGGAGGCACAGCCAGTCTCCAAGGACATGCGCTCCTCGACGAGTCACGCTGCGCCGGTGATTGGCTTGCATCTGTGCCGTCAATGAGCAAACAAGACAACAATGTGCCCTCCAGAAGAGGCATCAAGTCCATCACACCATGCGGTTGCCTCCTCCCTGTCGATACCCAACTCGACCCCTCCTTGCTTAATGACCTCATGCTTCCAAATCGTCGGATTTCTCCCAGAACTAAGGGCCGCTTTCAATGTACGGTCATGTGCTGCCAGCGTGGCATGCAGTCGTCTGCACCTGTCCTCCACCTCAACCCATCGACTCTCTCGGCTGTTTCCATCGTTTGGCGGGGCCACTCACGCAGCCAAGCAGCTGCTTCGTGCCCCCCTCGACTCGCGCTCCCCTGTCATTGGGTCTCAAGCACACGGCACTGTCCAGATGGCCGACCAAGACGGCCCTCTCTCGTGGCCCTGTCGCTGGTGTATCGATTTTGCTCTAAAAGCGATGCTCTCTGCCCAGGCCGGCTTGCTTCGCGCTGAACTTCACCGCCTGGAGTCGATTCTCCATGCGTGTCCGTGTGTGATTCACTGGCTCACCCCGGTTTCCCGGCGCATGAGCTGGGATCTCCCCACCCCAGAGCACCAGACACCGCCGTACCGCCCAAGGGTTTCAGTGCATATCAATTCGCCAGTTGGTCCACTCTTTGCACGTCAGTGTGATGAACACTGTCCGTAACTGCGCAACTCAAAATTCCGGCCAACTCGGCGTCCAGTCCAGTTTGAACCGGCAAGTGACAGTGCAGCAGCTGAGACCAATCCCACGAGGTTAGGAATGGATGGGAGACACCAGCCAAGGCAAGGCGGGACAGCACACAGCTTCGCGCAGGGAGACGACATGTTGCTTTAAAGTTGGTGCACCAGGCCGGGTTCACCGTCTCGCAGCGCGTCGTCTCGTTTAACCTGGGAACGCCTCGTGGATTCTTCATACATGCTTGCTTTTCCCACGCCGGGTTGGTGCTAACCTGGGACGACCGGACCCGGAATGGCGACTTCTCCGCTGGTCTTGAAATTCTCCATGCACTTTAGCTCCCTGGTCCCGGCATGGACCCAGTTCGACCGGTCCCGAAGACCGCTTGTAGTATCCTGCTTGTCAACGGTTCTCAGGTTCGCCTTGTGGCTGAGACCAGCACGTGTCGAGGTAAAAACCGGATCTGCGAGGAAACATGTCTCGAGCCCGGCAAATTTCGTCTAGGAATTGGCCGTGAGTGCCTCGTGTCAACTTTTGAGACTTTGGTACTTACGGCAGACCGCCCCGACGTCAAGGATGAAATATCTCCAGCGCTGCCGTGTCCAAAATGGAAGAACCGCCTAGATGAAGGGTCGTCTGTCTGTCTAGATGGTCGCCGAGCAAACACGTCTATCTTGCGCTGGACAGTTTTGACCGGCAAATGATCGCTAGAAAACCGAGCACTGTATGTGCTGGACCTGCCTCTGCAAAACACCGTAGGGCCATGATAGCCGTCTCCGCTGCCGCGGGTCCAAAAGCCATGTTTGCATTGGCCGGACAAGAGCAGGCACGGAAGGAATGCGGCTATTTACCACCATGTCTAAGAACAGCAGCACAGGAGGTACAGAAACGGGCGGCGGCAGCCAGTACTTTTGGAGCGCCGCACAACTCCCTAGATGCCTCGTAGTTGAGACCTGCATGCACGGCCGGGCGAGCGTGGAGAAGGCAGCTGGGAGATGCAGAAGAAGTGGACAAACAAAAGAGGAGGGGGGGTGGAGGAGAGGAAGTAGCGGTGCGGTGCGCAGGGATGACTCCTGTTCCCTGCAACCCTGATCGTCGACTGCCGCCAAGCGGAGGTTCTTGTGGCCGTGGCCGACGGCCGGGTTCAAAGTGCGAGAACAGACTCGCGCCGGGCTAATAACTCACGGACAAGAGAGTCAAGACGAGCAGACTAGTCAAAGCAGCGGCGCCATAGTAACGCAGTAAGGTGACCGCGCCCAACCACGATACCTTGCAATTTTGCTCTGCAACCCTCATCGCCTCTCTTCCGGCATCCTTACCTCAGTCCCTCTCCTTGCCGGTACCTTGGGACTTGTCGCGCGTTCGGATCACTGATATACGATTTGACAAAAGTCTCACCACCATCCGTCACCCCCTGCAAGCGCAGACTGCATCAAAGTACCGTCCTCGCACCCCCATGATCCATCTTCCACCCCCAACCCAATTATGTCATGCATCATGGCTTCAGAGCATCCTGGGTCCTGTTGTAATTTTGATACCCGTTGTCCCCACCGCCTCGGACAAGGCCTTATACTACTTTACCCTCCCGCGTTCGCTCACCGTAGCATCTCCTTGTCAGTCCCGCGCTGCCGTGTCTAGCTAATTATATAGACCATCCTCCACGCTGCTGGAGCCACAGAGGTTCGCGCTTGCTGCCTGACCGAACGGCTCATTGCTCAAACATGCAGCCTTGGGTCCAAGTCCTTCCCTTCATATACTGACTGTCCTTACCACCTTTCCCTTCTCCACGCTGACGTTCCGGGTTGCTCCTCTTTTCTGCCGTTTTGCTTTGATATCTCTTCTCACGTCTACCCCATGGCAACCAGAGTCAGGATGAGCTCCTCGTCATCGTCGTCGTCGCGCAAGTCGCGCAGAACAACTAGCATCTCCAACGTCATGTACACCAACGCCGTCTACTTCCCCAACGAACGGATATACCAGGGCGACACGCCCGCCGCCATGAACTATGGGTGCATCAACCATGTATACTACGCCTTTGCAAACATTTCGCCCGACGGTGGTGTTTTTGTGAGTCTTTGAAACCGAAATATCAAGTTCCTTGGCTGATCCCGTGTTGGTTTAGCTGAGCGACGAGTGGGCCGATGCCCGCGCGCCAGTTGATGGTGTTCAAGGCGGCCTGGGATCCCTCATGCATTTGAAGCAGAAACACCCGCACTTGCAGGTCATCTTATCCATCGGCGGCGGCAATTCGAGCGCCGTCTTTCCCTCAGTGGCCGCGAACACGCTGTACAGAGACAACTTTGCCAGGTCCGCGAGGGGTCTCGTGGATGCGTCGGGCCTTGACGGCATCGACAGTAAGTTTGCCAGCTTGCAGTAGCGGACGAGTAGCTGACGTCTCCGAACCAGTCATGTGGGAGTATCCTTGCGACCCCGAACAGGGTCACCATTTCCTTGCCCTTCTTGCTGCGATTCGCCTCCATATGCCGGACAGCCACTACCTCCTCACCGCTGCGCTTCCCGCCGTGAGAGCAGTCTTGCAGTACATTGACCTTCGACGGACAGCCGACTATCTAGACTATCTTAACCTAATGGCCTACGATTTTGCCGGCACATGGACGCACAGGAGCGGCCACCACGCGCAACTGTACGCGATGAGCAAGGACGAGACTTCGGGTGCATCAGGGGTACAATATCTGGTTTCGCAAGGCTTTCCTTCGCAAAAGATCCTTCTCGGCATCCCCCTATACGGCCGCAGCTTCCTGCACGCCACTGGACCAGGTCAGAAGTTCAAGGGAGCGGGCGGGAGCAACGGCACTTTTGAGTACAACCAGCTCCCCCGTCGCGGGACGAAGGAAGCGGTGGACAAGAAATCCATCGCGGCTCAGTGCGTCGGGGCGGACGGCGGCTTCATCACCTACGACAACCCCGACACCGTGAAGATGAAGGCGGCATTCTGCAAACAAAAGAGCTTGGGGGTACGTGCTCGGTGATGTACATGGAGTGGTACCATTGCTGACATCTTCACCAGGGTTTGTTCTACTGGAGCGGGCCGGCGGACGCGAAGGACAGCTCTCGGAGTTTGATAGCAACCGGGTTCAGGGCACTGCATAGCTCCTGATCGGTATCTTATCGGGGCGATGCACCTTGGATGCGCCCAAGACATTCAGCACCAGCCCGCCGACCTTTGTCGGCAAACGTCGGCCTGCCGGGCCGACGCTCAGCTACAGAACGATAAGTGCATCTGCAAGGCGCAAGGAAGGATCGACAGCATCTGACGGGGTCACGACTCGGCGTTTGAATTCGGCGACTCGCATCACGGGCATTGGGCGTTTTTGCACGGCATTGTTTTTTCGGTTTTTATTTTTTTTTGAATTCTGCGGCTGGTTTACATTGATTTTGCATGGAAGTATCTCGCTCGGGTGGCATGTCTTTGGGTTTGTTGTTGTTGTTGTTGTTTTTACCCCCTTCCATGAGGGGCAAGGGACCGCTTACCATATTTTGGGGCAGCTGATGAGATATCCCGCATGGACACGAGGTAAACTAGGAGCGGTGTGGCTTGCCTTTCTGCATGGCATCATATGGCTTTGGTTGGTTTCTTTTGATGGTTCGCATCATGACTCACATTGTAGATGGAGGAAAGGCTCCAGGGAGTGAGAGAGTAGGATCGGGAAGGAGGAAAGACGGGAGGGAATGGGACGGAATTTCTGTGTAACTCTGTGAGAGCGTCTAGACGCCGGCAAACGTCGTCTGAATGAGAAGCCGCACGAGTCGCGCGGCTCTTTTTTTGAGGCCTGAGCAACCGTCTCCCCTGGTTCGGAATTTCTGCCCATCGACCCATCGTGAGATTTTGTGTGCGTGTGGTGGTGGAGGTGGGTGGTGGGCGGCGGGCGGGCTGGGCAGGCATTCTGGTGGGTGTGGATTATGGAATCCGCGCAGGTGCGTTTGAGAGAGTGCGAGTGCAGTGCAGCGCCAGGCGCAGAGACGAAAACCCACGCAGATCGTTGCGTGCGCGCGCGGGGCGAGTGAGTGCGCGCGTGTGTGGTTTTGCTCGAAGGGTGGAAAAGACCCGGGGTGGGGATCGGAGCCCACTCCGAGATACGGGATGCGGTACGGCGGTGGTGGGTGGGGGGGAGGGGAAGGAGAGAGAGAGAGAGAGAGCAAGGGGACGGGGACCAGGCCCAATCAAGAAGTCGGAGGTTCGGTCGATCGATTCGCAGGGGAGAGGAGGAGGGGGAGCTTTTGCAGCGTGTTGCTCGATTGTGTGGTTCCGTGTCTTATCCTCGCCTGGGGGGGAAGGATGGTGCTGTCTGGACAAGTAGCTGTCCAATGGGGTGCTGGGAAGAACCATGTAACGCGACCGATTTGGCATGCGATCCCATCATCGTTACCATTCCATTCCTTTTTCTGCCGTCTTCCCAATGCAGAAGAGGTGTGGTGTGTGTGTCGTCTGAAAGCGTGCTGGGCCGCGGGGGGGGGGGGGGGGGGGGGGGGGGCCAGACATGTGGTGCCCTCCGTATTCCCATCATTTGCCGTTCTTGCACCTCTTTCGCGCATCTCCCTCGGTAAGCGAGGGTGTCGGGATGGTGCGCCGGGTTTCCTTGATTTGACGACGTGTCGCTCTTTTTTTTTTCTTCTTCTTCTTGTCCTTTGGCGAATGCGGGATCTGGTTAGGCATGGGGGATTTCTAAGTGATTGATAAAAAGCCATGTCCCGATTTTGTTTACTCTTGTTGGTTGCTGGGCCGCGTTTTGGGCACGGAGAGAGTCATGACCCTGCATGCGAGGCGTGTGTTTCGATCCATCACGTCGTCGGGAGGGGAGTGGGCTGTGGGATTGGCACGTATGCGTACGTGATTTTGTCGACCTTTTTTTTGATCGGTGATGTTTCCTCGGATCAGTGGAATAGGTCGGGAAGGGGGGGCTGGAAAACGCCTCGAGTTGCTGGGTTGGGCTGGATCGCCCCAATGAAGACGGGCAGTGGATCTGTCGATCGGTACGGGTACAGGAGAGATTGATTAGATTGGTCGCATCGACGGTGCGTCGTTGGCGCTTTTTTCGGTTCCGGACTCTGTGGTTCCCTGGGTGAGGGTCCTGGACGGGCGGCGGCGAATGTACATCAGTAAGCCCGGGAGGATTTGGCTCGCTCGTAAGATTTCCCATTGTACAAAGCCCGGTACATGCGCATTCTCGGGCTTCCAAGTTTTGCTTCCAAGACGGACGAAGGATGGAGGGATGTGCTCTGCAGAAAACAGCTGCGGGAGGCTGGATTGGGGTGGTGGGTGGTAGCGAGACAGGGGTGCTCGTTCTGGAGGGCGGTGATTGATGACGGCAAGAGTGGGTGTGCTGCACACGTGGGTTGGTATCACGGGAACAGGTACGGCAGGATGGGATGCAACACATTGGTCGATGATGTTGGTGACGGAGCGGTGAGGTGTCGGTGAAGGGGGGAGAGATTAGGTGAGATGAGGTAAGATTCTACCGTGAGCGTTGCGGTGAGGTTTGTCTTGAGATGTGAGAACTGTCGGTCTGCTCCATTGTGTTCGTCCGCCCGGGCTCATAGAGGATCGAGGTGTGTGTACCGGTAGTATGTGTCGGGACGCTGGGACTTTGGGGTCGGTGTGCCTAGCGTCCCGTGGAAACTTGTTGGTGCTATTGTTAGTCGCTTGCCAGGCCTTGTCCAAACGTAATCTTGGTGATCCAAGGCGAACCATCTTAGGTACTGCGGCAATGGGCTAGAGGATCTTAGTCCCAGGAGATTCGGAAATAGTGACACGGACGGTGTGTTTGAAGCCCGATATAGAACGTCGGGCGTCGACGCCCCTACTCCCTACATCATAAAACGCCTCATTTTCCTTCTGCCTGGTCTTCGACATGTGTTCGAGGCTGCTTTAGCCTGCCGCTTGGGAGACTCAAGACGCGCCCTCTACTCATGGTAGCCTGATTACCACGAGAGCAGCAAGCCGGGGCGGGTGCACTGACTCGGTGAACGTGTTGAACGGCCTCGAATCTTCTCTCTCCACGTGGAGAAACGGGCCGTTTGGTTTGGCATCAATGCATATCTCCGTTGGCTCTATTTCCAACGCGACGTCGCCTTGGAGAATGGACGAGGCGCTCTGCCCGGGCGTGGCACGTAATCTACAGCGTAGGTACGGTGGGGTGGGCATACTTGGGAACATGACTATCCTGGCAGCTAAGCAAGGTGCGGTGTGTGAAGGGTAGGGCGAGAGCAAAACCAGGCGCGGCTGCCGGGGGGGGGGGGGGGGGGGGGGGGGGGGGGGGGGGGGGGGGGGGTGGAAAGCGGGATCTACGCTACTTCTCGGGCGAGAGGGGCGAAGAGGACCCAGATTGGGGAGGAGTTCCTAGATTCATGACTCGGTTATCGGGGAATGATGTACTTTGCTGAAGAATTTCTCGGGAACGGTTAATGCTTAAACCGACGTTTGTGCGACGAGGCCTTGGCGGGTGATATCATTGGAACAGTATAGAACATGGGCGAGAGGGTTGTCAGCTTTTGAGACGGCAAGGTTGGTCAGCACCAATTCGCTGTCAGAAATTGGATGGTCCAGTCTGTAGTTGGTCTGTAATGTGCTTACATGTTCGAGGAGAGATGCGGGCGAGGGCGGGAGAATGAGGAAGAGTGTGAGATCGAGAGCCGCGGTGCTTACTGCATTTGATTGCTGACCGTCCGCCTGGCCTCGAGCTGACGGCAGGGGCCTGGAATCCGGAAGATCGGACGTCACGCGTGGGACGGGGGTCGTGTTATTGCCGAAGCGAGCCGTGCAGGAAGGGCTTCTTTGAATACGAATTCGGGAGGCCGGGGTCTAAATTTGGGAGAGATATCTGTTGGTCGACCCAAAGTTGTGTCGGGATTGGATGGGAAACGACCCCGACAGAGTTCTGACAACTCAGTAAAGTCGTCACATATCGTTCTGGACTGGAGCCAATGGATCTCCAGACCCTACGGGCTGACGATTTGTGGAAGGCATCCTGGCCACAGCAATAACTTGGATTGTATGAGATAACGAGATCGGGTAAGGCTGGTGGTGTCTGGCCGTCGTCTGTTGTTTGTCGCCTGTCGCCTGTCGTCTGATGCCAACCATCATTGTTGGTCAATTGCCAGGTCACATCACCCTGGGCAGGTGGCCAGAAAAGGTTCAGCGATCAGAACATGAGTTGGTCTGGTGTCTTGAAGGTCTTTGGCTCAAGTCGGGATACCCAGGCGAGAGGGCAGGTGATGAGTCTGGTTATCTGACGAATATGACTCCTGACGTGGTCCTTTGGTGGCGAAAATGGTCTGCGATTCGTGTTCTCCTGCAAAATAACACATCTGATTCGTGCTTAAACCCAATTGCGTGCGTAAGCTAGGACGAAGGTTCAATGCATTGATGGTTGAGTGTCGATCTCACTGTTGGTTGTTGTCGGACGGGCTCCCAGAATGGTTGTGAGATCTGGGGCATGGCTGATCCACGCAGATGCCACGATATACACAGCAGTGCTTGACGAAGATAGGAATGGACCAGTAGGACAACCTGGCACCATCTTTAGCGTAGGCTCGTTCATTGGCCGACGGGGCCAGCCCCGACAGTGAGTTCATTGGTATGTGTTTCGAATAGAGTGGAAGAACATCGATTTCCACTCTGTGGTCACCAAGCTATTTCGCACCATGTACCGCATGATGTTTTCCCTCAGCGACCCGTTCATTTCCATTCGAATCGGCGCTTGGCTGTTCAAAGCCCATGTTGGTGAATCGATTTCTATCACGCTACTGAGCCAGAGACGCCTTACTAAGAGAATGTGTACCTCCAGTATTGCCAAAGAATGGGTAATTATGGTCTACAAAAATAGATTTAGATGAGAAATGCAACGCATTTGCTGTGAAAAGGCTCGTCTCCGTGAGTGATAAGGCGGATGAAATGCCAGTCAGTAATATAGTTGCCGGACTCTGGCATCGCGATGATACGATGGGGCGCACTCATATCTGTCAGCCGTTCCACAAAAGCGTGACCATGGCAAGTCCAGGATGGATGGGACATGTTACTCATCCGAAATCGCTTGCGTCGTTGGAAGAGTGACAGCTGCAAGCAGGGCCAATAGTTATTCCCTGGTGCGCTCAAAACCTGTTGTTGGCACTCGGCCGAAAGGCAGTGGAAGCCCGGCCGAGGCAGCAATCCTTGCCAAGTCTTGCCGCTGTGATGGATGGAGCTGGCAAAACATGTGGCGATAGCTTATCATTATATCATAAGACACGAGTTGCGCTTTTGGTCTATTAGAAATCAGTGCTGCCGGGGTTACATAGACAAGCAGGGGGCCAGGTTCAAGGGTTTCGAGGATCTTGACGATCTGCAAATCGTGCTTTCAAGACAAGACGGGCGATGCTGCTAGAGTGATCCGGTTTCCGGCCTCAAGTTACGCTTGGCTGTTTTCTGCCCTGCTGCACTTCAACGATGATGAATACTGGAACAACGGAGAGAGAGCGCCCATGCTCATCGGAACGTCGTCTTAAGGTTTAGTTGAAGCAGAGAAGAATACAAAATCCGACCTTCCCCAGACTATTCGAGGTGGGACGACCCAGTAAAAGATTGAATAGCGCCTACTTCCAGAAGCTGATAAGATGCGTCGGAGCGCAACCCGACTGGCCCGGTAGATCCCGTTGCAGCACCCCTGCATCCCGACCTGACACGTGACGACATCTCGACTCGGAGCTCTCAGACACGCAACCCAGTTCCGGGCATCTGACACATGCAGCAAACCGTCCGATCGACACCTGCCAGAACGCTGCAACACCTTACCGTCCCGGTTCGACACGATCGCCCGACATGAATGGGACTTCAATTGGCGGGAAAGCATCCCTCGATGCCGGTACTATTCCCTGTTCCGCCAGACACAGTTCGTATCTGACTTGAGGCAGCCAACTACGACCCCATCGACCACCTCAACCAACTCTTCCCGCACCCGTCGACCGTCACCTCGGTCAGCCGCGTTTCCGACACTCTGCAAACACACAAGAATGATCTCGCCGTCGAGATATCCGATCTCGAGGTCGCCCAGGCCTACGGGCCCGACTCGAGCCTCGAGCGCATGCAGTCCGCCCAGGCTGAATTAGCCCAGCTCTTCCGCAAGATCGAGACGGTACGATCTCGAGCAATTCAGACTGAGCAGAACATTACCTCGATGACGGCCGACATCAAGCGACTCGATGGCACGAAGCGGAATCTGACGCTGAGCATGACGGCGCTTAAACGACTGCAAATGTTGACGACGGCATACGAGCAGCTGAGAGGCCTGGCCAGGACGAGACAATACAGGGACTGTGCAAGTTTACTTCAAGCTGTGTTGCAGCTCATGAAGCACTTCAACAGCTACAGGAGCATCGAGCAGATCGCCACTTTGAGCAGAGGGGTTTCGGAACTGCAGCGCGAATTGTTGGAGCAGGTCTGCGAAGACTTTGAGATCGCTTTTGCCAAGGGAGAGGTGGCCCAGCGCAGAGGCACCCTGATCGAGGCATGTTTGGTCATGGATGCCCTCGGTGACATGGCGCGGACACGGTTGATGAACTGGTACGTGAATACGGAGCTCCGCGAGTACCGTTCGGTATTTAGAGGCAACGACGAGGCCGGGAACCTGGACAATATCGGTCGCAGATATGCGTGGTTCAAGCGCATGCTCAAAACCCATGAGGATGAACACGCCGCGATTTTCCCGCCCCACTGGCGCGCGAACGAGCTACTGGCGATGGCCTTCTGCGACGGCACAAGGGACGACTTCAAAGGCATCCTCGAGAGGAGCATGCGAAGGACAGATGGGCAGAAGATTGACGTCAACCTCTTGCTGAGCTGTCTGCAAGAAACCTTGGACTTTGAGCACGGCCTCGAGAAACGTTTCGCCAACGAGCCTCGAGCTAGTATCGACACTCTGAGCTCATCAGACGACAGAGCATCAAACTTCCACGGCTCCATATCCGCCGCCTTCGAGCCATATTTGAGCTTGTGGGTGGAGTCACAAGACAAGCAGCTCGCCTCCATGATACCAAAGTACCGCAACCAGCCCTTGCTTCCGGAAGACGAAGAGTTCTCGTCGCAGGCCGTCATTTCATCTGCCATTGAGCTTTTCCACTTTTACAAACTCACTCTATCACAATGCGCCAAGCTGTCCACCAGTGACCGATTACTGGATCTTTCCAGGACCTTGGCGAAGTACCTGGACGAATACGCACAGCAAGTTCTCTTGCACATTCTACAAAGAGCAGGACCTCAGGGACCACCGATTCAGGATGTCATTTTGGTTTTGAACACGGCCGACTTCTGGTCGACCAACACCACCCAACTGGAGGAAAACATCAAGAAGCGTATCGACAGCGAGTTAGTCGGCAAGGTCGACCTGTCATCACAAGCCGATGCGTTCCTTGGTGTGGCTAGCGCCGCTGTCCTGACGTTGGTGCGCAATGTCGAGATCGCATGCGAAGGTTCGTGGCGCGAGATGCGGAACACGGGCTGGAGCACAATGGAGAGTGTAGGTGACCAGAGTTCTTACGTCGGCGAGCTGCTGTCCTCTGTGAATAGCAAGGCCGAGGAAATCTTGGGGCTTGTGGTCAAGCAACAATATGCCAGGGCATTCTGCGACAACCTCGTGGACCATCTTGTCAACGCTTATATCAGCAACATCGTCCAGTGCCGTCCCGTGTCCGAGGTTGGCGCTGAACAGGTAGGCCTCCATTCCTCGAGTCGTCTTAGCAACCGCTGACCATTTCCAGATGCTTCTCGATAAGTATGTCTTGACAAAAGCGTTCGAGAACCTACTCTCGTACCACAACAAATCCTCCACAACAACACACACAGCACCGGCAGGGTACGTAAGGAGAGTAAATCAGACGATGAACCGCATAGATCCTCTCCTCAAGACGCTACAAGTCCGTCCGTCGCCACCAGAGGGTCTCGTGCAAGCCTACCTCATCCATATCGGCGACCGCTCCGACACCAACTTCAGAAAGATCCTCGACCTCAAGGGTGTCCGCAAGGGTGACCAAGGGCACTTGGTTGAGCTTTTTGGTATCCACCGCGAGGGTAACATGAGCGACAAACTCGTGCAGCAGTCCCCGCTGCTCACTCCGCTCATGGCAACGACGGGACTCGGCAGCTCTAGTCTGGGAGCCATCAACGCGAGCACCGCCCTCACGTCCGCCAGCAGTGCGATGCCTGGATTGCCGAGCAAGTTCGACGCGACGTCGCTGGGTGAGAAACTGCTCAGTGCGGCTAGGGACCTGGGACAAGGAACGGGCCCCGGTGGTATTGCGGGTACGGAGAAGGCGACCATGAACGAGAACCTCAAGAACTTTGGCAAGTTTTTTAGGAGAGACCTGGGAGGATTTGGCGCGAGGTTCGGGAAGAGGGATGAGAGTGCTGATGGGCACCGGTGATCTTGAAAAGTTTAGCGAGAACTCGCATCGAGTTGCTGAGAGGAATAGAAAGAATGGCTTGTTCCGCCTGCATCTGTCCTGAATGTCTTCACCGCATTCGTATAAAACTGTAGCAGTAAAGATGTCAGACCTAAACTGAGTCCGGTTCCAGGCCATGTTTGCTCAGGCTTGACTTGAAGGATCTCGTCGTCGATCCGGCATGGTGGCTTTGGGTCTATTGAAAGTTGGAAGCTTCTCACCCCTAGCTTCACATGGGTTCCATAGAGCTGGGCAGTTACCATGTATTGGCCTTTCGACTTGGTTCTCGCCGCCCCCGAGGGTCGGTTGTTGTCGTTTGGCAAGTATTCAAAGTAACTGTTCTACATGACGTGACATACGACAGACCTATGCTACACCCCGACTCAACACTCTGGTATCTTGCCTAGGCAACAAGAACGATGAACTCAACGGGCACGGCTCCAGTTACATAGATCAGATCAAGGTGCATCCCGAACTCATGGGTGAATGTGGCAAGTGATGCAAACATATTGACCCTACCTCTCTTTATATCTGTCTGCCCTCGAGTAGTACACAGGACCATGAACATTCCCTCCAAGTACTTGAGCTGCCAATCTCGAGACGTGTTGACGATTGTCTACCTGCCAAGTTGCAAAAGGTAGATGAAACACATGCACATAGCACACGTGCAAAAACTATTCAGTCGTCTTTGACATCCTTGACAAGTCGGACGAGACAGGACTCGAACCCGCAACCCTATCTATCGGGGACCCGCTCGGGCTTGGAGAAGTTCAAGGGCTTGACCGGAAAGATAAGCGCTGCCATTGCGCCACCCGTCCTTGTTGCATTGTTGCATGAAATTGTTAAAGGGAGAACGTTACCTATGTTGGTCGATTTCAAATGAGTGGGTTTGAGCGGGTATCGTGATGGTTTTTCGCTACGTGGGTTATGGTTTGGTGGGGTGTTTGGTTCAAAGGCCGAGGTGTCTCCGTTTTCTCGCTCGAGACTCCAGTCCTCTTGCGTATTGAAATTGGGTAGTTTCTCACGGTATCATGGAAAGCTTGAGCAGATACGCCTGTCACCTAATTCCCTGCGTGTGCCGTCTTCAGAAGAGGTTGAACGGGAATTGGAAATTTCATCCAGGTGATATAAGTGAGAGCCTTTTCGTGAAGAGAGATGGAGCTACAAGCTTGGGGCAAAGGATCGCGAGTACAGGCAGAAACTCCACGCTACGCAAGGTGTCAGTGCTGCCATTGTACTGCATCTCAAATTACTCCTGAGCGCGCCGTCATCACCATCACTGGGCTCCAAGGAATCCGGGCGGCATGTTCCAAGATGCGGTGCAATCTGCTTGACTCAACCACGACATGGCATTGCGTTATTATCATAACTATGCTATCTCAACGAGCCGTGGTCCACTTTCCTTCGAGCGGAGTCGTCAATCATGTGCTTATTTCTGGCAATACTCATGCAATGTTCAAAGGTGATTAGAGTGGCGTCTTCCCCTCCGAGGTACATCGTGCCTTCAGTGTCGTCGGTACGACTAGATGGCTCATCATCCTACATTTTGTTCGGAACCCGACTGCCTGCACTCCTACGGCCTATGGCAACCTGTTGCAGACATTCCCGCGTCGTAGTGTACGAGTCTTGCTGGCTTTTCGGTTGGATCATGCCGTTGTTGTCATCAGATGGCAAGGAAGATTGTCTCTGGATCTTCAACTCAGGGCGTCGTCCTCTAGGACGACTTCCAAACGTTGCTGTCCAACTTCTCGTCCGGAACCGCAACAAAGTCCTGACCTTCCTCGTTCTCACTTCCATCGAGCGAGCCGTCGTAGGAGCTAGTCTGCCACGCAGACAGCTCGTCAACGCGGCGGATGCCCATCATCCACGAGACCAGACCACGTGGTACCCATCGGCCGACAAAGCCGTAGACGCTGGCGCCAAGACCGACACGGACAGTGCCGCTGGTAATAGAGCCATCGATGACGTCAAAGACGGCGTTGTGCAGCTGACGGAGAGAGCTTCCCTTCAGACCACGGATGCGGCCGGCGGAGATGGCGGAGGTGCTCTGCATGACGAAGTTGCGTCCGTATGCGTGACGGGCGTTCTCGGGCCACATGAGAGTCTCGGTAGCATCGGCGTCGATGCCGGGTGCGCCCTCGAGGAGGCCTCTTTGGGAAGGGTGGGTGTGCTTCGCGGGCTGGAAGCCTGTGAAGTCGAAAGTACCCAGCTGCATGTGAGTTACTGGGATACCCAAGGGCCGCAGCTCCGCCGTCAAAACTTCGGTGAAGGCTGACAGGGCGGATGAGACGGTAGCCTCGGGGGCGTGGAAGGGGGGGTTGATGGAGGAGATGATGGACGGCGTGAAGACGAGCACCTTCGGCGGTGTCCACTTCTCTCCGGGCGGGCTCAGACGTGTCGTCAGGAGCGGCAGGAAGGCCTGAATAGTAAGGATGGGGTGGAGAAGGTGGGTGTTGAAGAGGTCTGCAAAGCTGGAAGCGGGATGGTGGCGATGGGTGACGTCTGATAGTTGAGCGAAGGGATGAGGATGACGGATTTCAGCTGCAGGTGGTTGGGTCTTGTCCGAGGTGCCGGGGCGTGGGGTGACTGGAGGTACTGCGCAAAGCTATCGATGGCTGCGCCGGCTCTGGGAGGCTGTGATGATACGTCAGTAACAAGTGATGCACCCGGTATCTCGAGTACTCACATCCGTAGTGTCGATGGTCAGAGGCAAGATATCCGGCCTCGCCAAGCTGTGCACCATGCTCTCGTCTTCCTCAGCGTTGCATACGACGTAGACGATGAACCCTCTTCTCTCAAAGTCCAGAGATAGCGACCTCGTCAAGGGCAGAGCTGGCGATCCAGCGATGACGACAACCTCAAGGCGTCCACCATTCCTAGCTCGTCTCGCCCGGCGCGTCTTCTTGCAGAACCTGCTACTCCTGTATGACCGGTAGGCGACGACTCCTACTACAGCGACGATGACGCCGGTCAGGAGCTTGTGCTCTTTCACCCAGCCGTGGATCCTCTCGTAGCGGCCCATGGCTATCACCTCGATGGGAACATGGCGGACGGGGGGCTTCGGCCGCACCGAGTCGGGCAGCCATTCTGTGGACGCAAGGGTCTCTCTAACGGCCTGCGCAGCCTTGTCTACATGCGGGTTGATGAGGTTCGCGAGGTCGTCGGAGTATCGGCGGATCTGGTTGGGCAGCGAGGACAGCTGTGGAAGATGGTAGCGTCAGTAGAGCTCTCGTGATCACAAGCTTGAAATGGATGGGAGGTGGTGACGCTTACGACGTCCAGGAACTGCTGGTCATCCGCTGACATGGTTGCGGTATTGACCAGGTATTATACAGATAGATGCTTGAATGAGGAGATGTTGAAGCTCCCGAATATGACGTTGGAACACCGAATCGACCTTGCAGAGGTAGCTCGAGGCGAGGTAGAGATAGCTGGGCAAGTGGACTCGCGTGTCGGCAGGAAAAAAAGGTCAGCGACAGACCGACCAGGTTCAGCGGCCAGTGCACCTTGTGCTCTCGCCCTTTTCCCGAGAGAGATGTGGGGAAATCCTCCGCCGTGCGGGTCGAGTTTCACTGGCTGCCGCTGCACCGAAGGGGCCGGCTCCCATCCGGCACTAAGCGGTGATTGGTCGACGTCATCGCCCCGCGCCCACCTGTTATCTCAACTTTGTTTTGTTTCTGCCGGCCTCAACGTCACTGCCGCTGCTCGGTGCATGAATCTCCATTTCAGTTGCTATGCTCGTTCACAAACGGCCCCTTTTGGGACCCCTTTTGGGACCCCTTTTATTCTCTCCTACACCTGAGATGTCAATGATTTTTTACTAGCATTTATCAGAACTATTGGTTGTGACGCTACAGCCCTGTCAGTTTTAGTCAAAAAGAAAGACAGCGAATAGAAATCGTTACATATGGCTTTGCTCCGTTTACGAGATGCCAGATTGTTTAAACACCCTCTTTTTTTTACTGCACAACATTCTTCGTTTTTATCGTCCTCATTCATTTGTTACCATACCACCAACGTCCCTAATCTGACCAAGTGTTCTGCATGTTACCGACAACCTTTTCTACGATGATAACAGTCATGACGGTTGGAACACGAGACCCTTAGTCCGATCCACATTCTTCAAGTTGAAGTTTTTATACCATAAACACAGCAGCAAAACCAACGACCATGTGTTCCTGCAGCAAGCATCCTTGTCTGCGCGTAACCGTATGCTTCCTGGATTGCAAATTACTCCTCACTGCCGACGGGGTAGCTCAACTGTATACTGAGGTCCGAGTATAGGTCCTCCAGACTCTCCGGTGCGGATTCTGGTAGGCTCCTCTCAAGAGCTTTGTCGAAGGTATTGGTTCGAATCGTCGCAGAGATGGTGTAATCCAGAGCATCGCCAATGTTGGCGCAGACGCTCAGAGGCGCAAGGGCCGCGGCGACGTGATGGTGGTCGACGGCCGTGAGGATGACGACCTCTATGCAGAGGATAAAGACGTTTCCGCCGATAAACATGAATATCTGGCACATGATGAGATAGCCAATATTTTCTGACCGAGTTGGCGGACGTAGAATATCAGGGCCTGGCCGAAGGTGTATAGCAGTACGTCGAGAACCGGCCCGTCTTGGAGATGATGAGAACCCCATATTTTCACATTTTCTCCAAATTCCCACCATTCCGAAATTCTTATTGGGTATGAGTCCGAGCTATAACTTGATCGGAAGCCTACCCCGAAGGGCATCTCGTGGCATCAACTTACCAGGTCACTCTTCATTGCACAATTTTAAGGTGGTAGATGATCTGGCCGCATCCATAATTTTATATTTGGAGATCTGGGTATCTGTTCCTTCAAGGTATTCAGCAACTTGGAATACTTAAGCCATGTGATTTCACTTACCTCACTCATCATGAATCATGTTCTTTGAAAGTGTACAAAGTACAACAAGTTCACTGATAAACATTGGGAAGTCTTGGTATTCTGCATGTGATAGGCTTCTTGATAGTTTGCAAGTCTGGGGCATCCTATTCAATCTTCAGACCAAGCGTCTGCCGCGGTGGCTAGATGGACTTTGTGTGCACGCGTTGCAAGAAGCGACAAACAGCTTGCCACCATCAAAACCCAGGCGTCATCATAAGTAAAATGTTTGCAGCAACCACCAGGTGGAGCATACGGGTATAGCAGTGGTCCGCAAAAGATCCTTTCAACCTGGGTAAGTTGAACTACGGCCGAGTGCTGGTTTATGGACTTCTTGACTCTAGTACACAAGTACGTGAGTAATCACAATAAAAGGGAGAGACATCTCATAGGCCTATTTCTGACCCGTCTAACTTACGCAAAAACACTTTACATAGGCGAACTGTGATCGATAAAGTGGAGAGCCGTCTTGATTATTCCAAGTAGCTCTGCATGCCCAATATGTCAACTAGACAGTCGAAGTGAAGCGAAAAGCCCTTCAGTAGCTTTGGGATTGAAATCATGACAGTTAAGTTTGGAAAAATGTGTCGCCCTAGCGCGAGCTACTTTGAAGAGGTGGGGTTGCAGGTCCCTCCTGTCTGAACGTATGATTCGCTGTGATGTTCCCGCCCTCCTGTTCGTCAATTACCAGAACAACGTTCTTTTCTAAATTCAAGTGAATGAAATCAATTTACCGCTCACTACTGATTTTCGGTACGCCAACAGATAATCGGTTGTGGATGAGGGAATGGCGTAGGCTACGCAACCATCGATAATGCCAGGCAGTGCTTTACAGAGGAAGAGGAGCAAGGGTGTTCTGAAGACAGGCGAGTTGCTTGTCTCCAATAACAGGGAACCTGCAGTGCTGCCAGCAAGTAAATGCCTCTACCAAGACGTTAGTCATTGTCGAATCATGCATCACGGCTAAGCTATTTGCAACCAGTGATGGACAAAGAACAGCGAGATGCTGCATGTACAGGCAATAGTGCATAATATGCCGGTGAGATTCCCAAACAGGATATGCCCCACACCCTGTCTCTTGAGTTGATAAGCAGACTCGCTCTTACCCATCCCACTCGACAAGGGTTTCTACGATGCGCCTCTAAAGAAAATCTGCCTGGTTGCCTGGTTGCCTCGGCGCCTCTGCGACCTGCAGATGTTAGAACGCGGCACCCTTTTCAGTCAATACCGTCGAGCGGCGTATATATGTTGGACGGGTTACCCGATCCGCGCAATTCTCATTATCTACAACACAGACCCTACGTAGTACGCTTTCCAAGCAACAAAGGCTACTACCACGAGCCCTCATTCGCTTCGCAAACATGTCCGATCCTCAGAACTACACCGTTGGCTGGATTTGTGCCATCCCTACCGAATTTGCTGCTGCCCGTGCTTTTTTAGATGAACAACATCCCGGCCCCGATGCAATCGCGCAACATGACAATAACACTTATGCTCTCGGTTCAATGGGAAAGCATAACGTTGTAATCGCTGTCATGCCCAAGAAGGAATATGGGATAGCAGCGGCCGCTACAGTGGCGAGAGATATGGTCCACAGCTTCCCAAACGTACGCATCGGATTGATGGTTGGTGTCGGCGGTGGCGCTCCCAGCCCACAATATGACTTCCGCCTAGGCGACGTTGTTGTCGGCAGTCGCGGAGCTGGAAACGGCGGTGTCATACAATATGACTACGGAAAGTCAATACAGAACCAATTATTCGTAGAAACCGGGAGCTTGAATCAGCCGCCACCAGCGTTGTTAAATGCAGTAGCCGGACTCGAAACCGATTACATGATGGAGGGCTCTGAACTCAATGTCAAGGTAGACAGTGCGCTGGGTCAATGGACGCGACTCCGAAGGACACACTCTCGCCCATCTGCAAGCACAGATCACCTATACAGATCAAACTTCATACATCCCATGGATTCATCTGCAGCTTGCTCCCAAGCGTGTGACGTCAATACCCTAACCAGGTGATGAAAGATGCCGAGATGCGGGACAAGCTTTCGAGAGAAAGAGGCGTCTTGTGTTTTGAGATGGAAGCCGCCGGCTTGATGAACCACTTTCCTTGCCTCGTCGTGCGAGGTATATGCGACTACTCCGACTCCCACAAGAACAAGCAGTGGCAGGGTTTTGCAGCCATGACGGCTGCAGCGTATGCGAAGGACCTGCTTCGCCAAATCCTGCCTGACCGGATCAATGCCGAAAAGAAGATCAAAGATGTCTTAGGGTCTAGTTAGTATTTTGCACCTTATTTCACATCTGTTTCTGCAGTTAAAACGTCTCTGACTGTAACAAGTGGAAAGATCGATTGCTCGCATTGGATCTGTGACAGACGAGGTTAAGACCAAAGTCGATACGATAAGTTCTGACAGCCACGTTCAGAAAATCAAAAACTGGCTTTCACCCCCTGATACGTCTACAAATTCCAACCATGCAAGAGAAAGCAGACACGAAGGGACCGGCGCATGGTTCCTCGAGAGTGCTGCCTTCCGAGAGTGGGAGAGTGGATCTCGCCAGCATTTGTGGCTCCATGGGACGCCTGGCAGTGGCAAAACCGTCCTCAGCACTACTGTCCTCGACCATTTAGCGAAAATGGATGACCGCCTTACGCTTGATTTCTTTTTCGACTTCAGCGACACAAATAAACAGAAGCCAGATGACATGTGCCGGTCACTCGCATTTCAGCTCTACACCAAGCGAATTAAATCAAGAAAGGAGCTTGACGGTCTCCTAGCGTCTCATGACGATGGACAGAAACAGCCGACGACACAGACACTTTCTCGGACCCTCTATACGATGATGCAAGTACAAGAGAGACTGTGTATTGTGCTTGATGCTCTGGACGAGTGTGTTAACAGAGCTGAATTACTGAAGTGGGTACAGAGCTTTGTTCCCAGCTCTAGCCTTCACCATGTTCAGCTTTTTGCTACTGGTCGGCCAGAGGAAGAACTCACACGCGACCTTCGCAACTGGATCGGCGAGAACAACTGCGTTCCGATTGAATTAAAATCCGTTAACGCAGATATTCAGTCCTACATCAGCAGTAGACTTACAACAAGCAAAGAGTTTAGCAAGTGGGCATCAACGCCGTCCATACTACAACAAATCCAAGAGGAAGTAGGAGGTAAAGCGGACGGAATGTAAGTTTGAGCCACACCTTTCCTAGGCATAAACCTTCTACAATAATAACATCCAGGTTAGGTTCAGATGGGCAGCATGCCAACTAGACAGTCTAGAAATATGTCTCGACCGCGAAGAACTCGAAGCTGCTCTAAAGACTTTACCGCAAGACCTAAATGCAACATACACTCGCATCCTTCAGAACATACCACAGAACCGCCAGAAGAAGGCAATCCGGTTGCTCCAGTTTCTTGTCTACTCAGAGCGACCTTTAACTCTAAAAGAGGCCGTAGATGCGATAGCTGTTCGCCTCGAAGAGGGCCGGTCCTTTGATCCAGGAGACAGACTGCCTGATTTAACAGATATTACAAGGTTTTGTCCAAGCTTGGCTATTCTTGTAGAAGCCCCGGGCTCTGCTAGGGCAAATGGCGTATTGCAATTAGCTCATTTCACAGTCAAAGAGTACCTGTTGCATCATAATGCTATAGGGTTTTGCGGAATTGAACCGAGAATCAGTATCACACGGACGTGTCTATTTTATCTGATGAGCATCGAGGAGGACGAAGTAGCCGAAATGAGAAATCGGTTTCCACTAGCAAGATATGCGGCAGAGATATGGATGGACCATGCAAAAGCGGCTGAAAGTTCAGTTGACATTGCAGCAGCGATTGTGGACTTCCTGCAAAACAAAAAAGTATTTCGGGTGTGGGCTAGGCTATTCAATCCTGAGAGGATATGGGACAATGATCCGGGATTACCTAAGGCCACGGGTTTCTACTACGCGTGCTTGAAGGGGCTCACAGCAACAGCAAAAAGGCTGTTATCGGGTCAGCCAGACGTCAATGCCCAGGGCGGCTTTTGCGGCAACGCTCTTCAGGCCGCTTCATTACAAGGCAACCAAGAGGTTATCCAGATACTTCTCAATGAGGGAGCAGACGTTAACGCCCAGGGCGGCCACTACGGCAATGCCCTCCAGGCCGCTTCATTACAAGGCAACCAAAAGGTTATCCAGATACTTCTCAATAAGGGAGCAGACGTTAACGCCCAGGGCGGCTTTTACGGCAACGCTCTCCAGGCCGCTTCATTACAAGGCAACCAAGAGGTTATCCAGATACTTCTCAATGAGGGAGCAGACGTTAACGCCCAGGGCGGCCACTACGGCAATGCCCTCCAGGCCGCTTCATTACAAGGCAACCAAGAGGTTATCCAGATACTTCTCAATGAGGGAGCAGACGTTAACGCCCAGGGCGGCTACTACGGCAACGCTCTCCAGGCCGCTTCATCACAAGGCAACCAAGAGGTTATCCAGATACTTCTCAATGAGGGAGCAGACGTTAACGCCCAGGGCGGCTACTACGGCAACGCTCTCCAGGCCGCTATATCACGAGGCCGCCAAGAAACTGTCCAGTTGCTTCTTAGCAAGCGAAGTCTTCATTTAGAATACAGAAACCCTCGGTCCGGCCAAACTGCCCTTTCGTGTGCAGCAGTCGGTGGCCATACATCTATTTTGAAGCTTCTGCTAGAAAATCACGTCGACCCTAATTCGAGAGACAACATAAACCGAACGCCACTGTTCCTTGCGTCAAACCAGGGGCATAGCGCAATAGTTACTACTCTTTTGGAATGGGACTCGGCAGCTGCTGACTGGGCAGACCACTACGAATCAACCCCTCTTTCTGTAGCGGCTAGAAAAGGCCATGACAAGGTTGTTAAGTCCCTACTAGCAACTGAAATTGTGGACATCAATTCCCAGGATTGGTTTGGCCGGACACCTATCTGGTGGGCCAAAAGTTGTGGACATCCTGAAACTTTACAGCTACTGCTTGGATCTGTAAAGCAGAGAGGGGTTTCACTAGATGATTTGCAAACTGGTTTAGAGGTGGAAACAAGACCTCATAATGCGATGGCCCGATTTTGCGACATCTGTACGCTCAGCATTGCAGATAATATAAACTATTATCACTGTTCAATCTGCAACTGTGGGGACTTTGATATTTGCCTGGATTGCTTCAACTGTGGCGGCCGTTGTTTAGATGGATCTCATAAAATAGTGACAAATAACGTGTAAGAGAGTAATTTCAAGTACTTAGTATGTATTCATTTATGTTATAAACATAAAAACGCAAAACTGTAGGAACCCTACATAGTAAAGCGATATTAGGTTAGTTTGACTATACGTCAACAAAGCTGTTTATATCTACTCACTCAATTGGATCCGGTCATGAGACACCCCAAAATAACGGTTTTCGAATAGTTCTCAGAAGGAGTCTTTTTACGTATCTATCCCGTAATAATAAAGATTTCACTTGGAGGGAGATGTGTAAACATTTACACAGATATGTATCCAATAACACCTAACTCTTGGATCAGCTTTGATGAAGTGGATCGATGACACGTCGATAAATCCATGAGCATCATATCCTCGGATCGTCAGGGGGACACCATTGAGAGATATTTTGGTAAAGTTCTCGACGTTTGGAAAGAAATCGGGACTCAAGCTAGCTCGTTACAGAGAGAAAAGAACAAGATTAAAAGTATCTAGGAGAAGAGTAGAGCCTCTAATGTAACCAAGTTAGAAAAGTACATTCAAATATACACTCATAAGACTGAGGACTTTTGATCGCCGACCTCTGCCTGTGGCGGCGAAGGGGGCCGTGTTTACTGATGCTGTTAAGACTTTTTTAGCGACTGACCTGTCGGCATTAACTCCTGGGATGGGTTTTCCCGGACATGTAAGTCAAAGCACCCACTTTTCGGCCACCCCTGCATTTCGGCCACCAGAAATCGAAGCTATTGCAACAACACCACCCTTTTCAATTAACTATCGCCGAGGCCCAGATGCAACTATGATACAGCTTTCTGCTTCACTAGGGCAATCAGATGCGCTGTATTCATCTGTGTCAATCTCAACTTCGCCAGCCTCGATCTGGGCTTGCCGTATATCGCTGATGTTGGCGAACTTAGTATTAGGGTTGATTTTGACAGTCTTCCTCTTCCTTGCTGTAGTGTTGCTGACTTGGGCCTGGAGAAGCTGTATCTGATGCTGGGCAGTAGCCAGCTGGAAGGACTGCTCTTGGAAGCCTTTTTTGACCTTTCTGAAGAGCTGGCGTTGTGTGGTGATGCTTTGATTTAGCTTGCTGAATAAGTCTAGTTGACTATTAAGGTCCCTTATTTTCCTAGGCGTAGACCATACAACAGCAGATAAAGCAGATACCTATCCCTCTATATCCTGAGTATCTTGGATACCTTGGATACCCTGGGCAGCCTTGTTAAGTGGCGTTAATGGTGTTGTTGCTGGTGTTATTGCCTTGGGCAGCAGTAAGGAGCTTATAAGAGGTTTATCCATAGTAACAGGCCATAGTCCAGTGTATTTCTAGCCACTTAGAATGTTCTTTTTTGTCAGCTTAGCTAGGCATGCCAGCTAGTAATAAGATAAGAAGTGTCTTTTGTTTACTATAGTTGAATCGTTCTATTGGCTGAGGTTAGGCTGGAGCCTTTTGCGATAGGCTGCCTTGACTAGGCTGAAGACTGACTGATCTAGTAGCTGAAGGACATGGGAGGTATGTGGCGGCAAGAATAACAGATAGACGTTATTAATATAGCATTGCCACATAAATTCTGTCGTTATATGGCTCCTATGCCCATCCAGGACCAGCAGTCTGGCCTGATTAGGCTAGGAGGGGGTAGTCTGCAGCAAGAAGACCTTTAGCAGCCACTTAACAGTAGTCTTATTAGTTATCTATCTATTCTCTGTTGCTATAAACTCCTATTTATCATAAGGGCTAAGATCTAGAGGAAACTACTGCTGCTAGATTATCTTACCCTTATATATCATAAGCAGATGTAGTGCCAGGCCATTAGCTGAGATACACTCGATAATAGATACCCAGGCTCGCAATCCAGGCTATTTTTTACGTATAGACTTCATCTCTGCCCTGCTTAGTACTAGCCTGTTTACTCCTTGACCCTCAAGGATACCAGTCTCATCCATGTTGTATCTATTGGCTGGCTAAATGGCTGATATTGCTGGGATTGTAAGATACCTAAACCAGTCCCTGATAATCTTAGTAGATGCCCTATTAACACGTCTAGAATTGATGGATTGACTTCTCTGGACCTTGATAGATGGGTTTCTTTGTATAAAGGCATCTAACTATCTCTTTCCTAGAGGCCGGGTATCTCCTATAGCATTTAGGATACGCTAGGCAAATTCCTTGACTTGTTGGTGCATTGGCGCAAGCCCAAGGTCAGCCTGGATTTGCACCTAGCTAGCTAGCTTAGCCTCTTGACTAATAGAGAGCCTCTGGAGGTCTTTAAATGCTGCTGCTCTAGGTTGGGTACCCTTTAATCGGCTCTGGAGTGTTGATTGTGGTACTCCCTATCGCTTAGAGGCATCGCGAGCAGATACCCTATCCGAGATGTCAGCAAGCGCTCGATGGACTTTAAATTCTGTGTACTGGGGCATTAGGCTATAAAGAATAGATGCTGAAGAAATGAGATTGTTTGGTGAAGAATGGAAAATGTTGTGATGGTTGGAAGTTAGAGGGCATCTAGAAAATGGGTGGCTGGGCGGCATTTTCTGGTGGCCGAAATGCAGGGGTGGCCGAAAAGTGGGTGCTTTGACTTATGTAGTGGGCCAAGAGTGGTGAACACCCTAAAATCATGCGGTTGTTGCCCGAAACCAGAAATAGATAAAAGATTACCAAATGATAGTTAGATGGGTCGAGAGCTAGATAACATACTTCAACCCCGATCTTGCGATATTCGTATTTAACGTACAGCTTGCTGCCCTCCATGCTAATCCGCCATCATCACAGGAATATGTGCAGCAATCACTAGGTGTGATTCACGGGGATGGCAGTAGTGCGTAAAAGAACCTCGTTGACCAAGGTAGATTAGAGTCGGTTGAGCACTAGTACCCAAGTGCTTCAGTAATATAATTAAGGCAAGTAGCGTCTCTAAGTTCTAACTCTTTAGTATTTTTCACCTATTGGTCGCTTAAATTGGCGAGCTATGCATGATGGAGTGCGAAGATGTCTTAGTTTTGTTTATTTGGGGAGGGTGAGTTCTCAACTAGCTTTATACAGTCACAACTCTCAGTCAGATAGTCAGAACAAAACAGACTGCCTACGTAGCACTAGTAAGTTATAACAGATGGAATAAAGCAATCTTTATGAGAGACGTTTGCGCTGTGAAAGTGAGGGACTGTATGTACTTGGAAAGAAGTGCATATTAATGGTACGATGAATCCATGTCAGAGGCTGGAGTCGTACAGAGTAACGAGGTCGACGATGGGCACAGGTAGGGAGGGGTGGGTGTTGACTGTTATTCCAACCTGCCTTTCTCCTAGGTCCGCCGCAGCTGCTCCTTATATGCCCCCCAGGTTCCTCTCCCTTGACCGAGCCCAGTTCCCCTGGCTATAGGCACTAATTCAGCGGCGTTGTGCCATCGCCTTTCTCTAACGTTGGTCTCAATGACTAGCCTTTGTCGTCGAAGTCTATCTCATTCTGTCCAACAGTGATAATTGCGACGCAGGTTTACGCCAAAGCTAAAATGAATGGTTGACTAAAAGAGGGCTTATCAAGTAAGTCTTGTACAGAAGATATATGAAATGGTGGTGGTTGTCTAGTGGATACTTGTTTGACCAGCTAGTAAGCCCTTTTAGGGGCTCTTTGCCTCTCCACTACTTCGAGTCCTCTCTGGTCTCTCTCGAGTAACCCGGCATGTAATGGCTTATGAGCTAGATGCATCCCTCTGGCTCTGAGAGCTAGCGCTCATGGCCGTCCGGGAAGTGGGGAGGACCTGCTTGGACTGCTCCCTCTGCTTCATCTTGCCATAACCGTAGACAAGCCCGCTAAAGAATCCCAAGAGGATAGCCGAGACACTACCAAACGTGACGGGAGCATCGAAAAAGACGATGCCGCTGATGGCGAGCGGGAGCTTGTTCAGATAACCGACGAAAGAATACGTAGTCGACGAAGTCTTGCGAATGCACCAGGCAGACGAGTACGAGATGAAGATGGCACCCAGGCCAGAATAGAGCATGCCAATGATGAGGCCGTTGCGTGACTCGGCAGGGAAGTTCTTAGCCAGATTGGCCGAAGACCAGTCCTCGGTCACTAGGGAACAAACACTGATGATGGGGAGCGAGAGAACGTTGTTATAGAACATAGCTGTTCGATTCCTGTCAGTTTGAGTTGCAATGCTTGATGGGTAATTTAAACTCACTGTCCCAGTCCTTGAAGTTCAGCGAGGTGATGAACCTGCGCGTGCCCAGGACGTACGAGGCAGTGCACAAGACGTTAAGCCCCATCCACGCGTACCCAGCGTTCAGGGTCGAGATAGCGGCGGCAGTCTCCGTCGAATGCCCAACGCCATTGAGGGCCGCCTGTATATCAGCCCACGCAGCAACGACGGAGCTGAGCACCATGAAGCCGAACGACAGCAGAAGCAGCGGGGTGACTTTACCGCCGAACCATAGGACCTCACCATAGGCGATGACAACGATGGTCAAGTTCTTGAAGATAGTGTATACCGGAACAGATAGAAACTTAAGAGACTTTATGCCGGTGTAGATCATGCCGACGAAGAATACAGACACGGGGAGGCCTGGTTCGGTGTTAGCATGGCCAGGAATTGCACGAGCGTCGGTTGGCTGTCACAGGCATACATTTCTTGGCCTTTCCGCTTTCCAAGGCGGCTATGTTAGGGATTAAACGCGTTTGCTTCAAGACCAAGATTGCAGCCGTGCAAATAGCAGACTATCGGACAGGTGTTAGCTGCAGTGTCTTGATGTGATGCCAGACTGTCGCGGCGCATACCTGGATGGCCAGATAAAGGAAGTTCAAGTTCCAAGATGAACCCGAAACGACAAACTTGTTCACAATCGTCATACTGATCGAGGAGAAGCAGTAGGCCAGAACAGCGGCACCAGGGCTGTTCTCGAGTTGACGGGGGATGCTACCCAGGCCTCTATCGACGCGAGCCCGGTAATGGGGCGCAGGCTTCGGCAGGAAGCTTACCCGCTCATCAAACTCCCTCTCGCCCATCTCTGTCATCTCGATATCCTCGTTCTTCTTGTTTGACATTGTGATTTTGTCGTGGGACCCAGAGGTCCGAAACAAAAAGGCTCGAGGTTAAGTACCCCTCAGCAAGACAGGGATAAGAGAAGCTCGTTCGCTTAGGGAGGCGACATTTGAGACGCCAGGTCTGTGACTTTGAGTGAAGGAAGACAGGAAGCGAGGCGTAAATGATAGACGATGGGACCTCGTCAGCAAACTTGATGTTTTATTCACTCGCTCTGATGCTGGGGATGGGCTGAGCGACGAGCGCGACGCGTTCAAATTCAGGAGTTGAATTGCAATTGGCACCAATCCTAGCGGCACGGGCTGTGCCAGGAGAGGCTTGGCGGATAGTGGCTTGGAGGGGGGAGTGGGGCTTGAGTATGGGCGTCCCGTCGAAACACGAATACTGGAGCACACAATCAAAGAATGCGGAAACACGGCCGTCTCAGCAGGTACAAACAATCGCGGAACTTGCAGCTCTCTCACATACCTTGCCATCCTTCGGCTTGACTAAGCGTGGCACACCCCCGAAAAGCCGAGAGCCAAAGGCTCCAGGTCCTGTGCCTCGCAAGCGATTGCGTAGCTTTGGCACACGGCCTAGTGTTGGTGGACAGGAACGGCCCCGCTCCGGCCCCCGCCCCCGCAAAGGGCAGGCCTCCGAGTCCGAGAACTACCGAAAACGTGTCTTCACAGCCACCCGAGTCGCCAGAGAACACCGGGCAAAAAGTCGAAAACGAAGACGACGACAGCAAAGACGATGACGCTCTCTTCCTGTCGATTGGGTAGGTTTTATTTGCCAATCCACAGCACGCTCAAGACGTCATCACCGCCATCCGTGAACTACCGGTCGGAACGCAACAGCTCTTAAGGCAAAGTTGCCATTGTGTGCGAAGCCGTTGCTTGTCAAATGATAGAATTCCCGTCGATGATACTGGCTATAGTGACGATGAGGATTCTGATAGCAATGAGCCCGGTGATGAAGGGGGCTCCTCATCGAAAGAAGCCGCCGAATCCAAGAAGGCGGAGGTCGCGGACTCCTCGACAACCCCTGCACAACCGTCCTCATCCAAGCCGGGCCGAAAACGCGTCAAGTCAGAGAATGAGGGAGATGGCGACGAAGGCCAAGGACGTCACCCAAGCAAGAGAGCCAGTAGTGAGGGGAAATGTACCGACAAAACTTGGCTGTGTGCATATTCAGTCATGTACCCGCACCTGTATCAGGCACTTGTCGTCCCCGAACCAGTTTCAGATCGCTTAGTGACCTAAGGTAAGCCGGCTTACAGCCCTCGAATTCTGTGGTACGAGGGTGTGGTCTAAGCCCCCTCTGATTAGACGTCATTTGGATGACAGACACCGCTTGCAGGGTCAGCCATTTTCACTGGAGCACCCCGAACTATTCATGTCCGAGGAACAGCGTTCAGCGGTTGCAAGAGTAGCCGAGCAGGCCAGAAAAAAGAGGCCGAACCAAAACCCCGAGGCTACCTTTAATGTCTTTCGAAAGATCTGGTGGATACTGTTCCCGGAAGCACGTTTTGAGCCTACGTGTCCCTGTGAGTCTCAAGGCCCCTTGACGTGTCGACATTAGAAACGAGTTGATGGTTGGTCCCGCAGGTCATTGGCTGACATGTTCGTAGTTTGCGAAGATATCTACTGCGCACACATCAGTGTTCTCTCGGATATCCTCTTCAATGTGAGAGCCAACAGTGCTCTTGGACGCGACCGCCCAACTGAGTTGGAATACCGAGCGACCGGCGCAGAGGTCCGTGAAATGATGCTTGAAGTCTTCGCAATAGTAGCCGGAGCCTCACCAAACTTTTCGGAAAGGATTGTGATGGCTGCTTTATCGGCGAGAACAGCTACGATTATGGTACAACTAAATCTACAACCTGAAGGTCTAACGATTAAGGGGCTAGTGTTACCTGCCGAGGGAGAACTGCAGAGGCGCCAACCGACACAGTTGTCCGAATCCGACGCCCGGCAAAAGACCACCTACAGAGCGGTACCACAAGGGCAAATTCCGCTGTCTTCAAGAACGAGTGAGACTTTGCTCAGAGGAGACCAGGCTGCAGTCAATGTCCCCGTTCCCGAAGTCACGGGGGTTTCTGTTCACAGGGCTTTTGAGTTCCCAACCGCGCAAGCTGGTGCGACCTATCCGTCAGCACCAGCACTGCCAGACACAGTCAACCTTCGGGAAGTTGAGGGAATACCAAGAGGGACACAGTACGTTGGCATCCGCGTCCCGTTCTTTGGCACTTCGCTGGAATTTACGCCGTCGATGCCCGCATGGGGACAACTGATAGGCAGTCCACCACGGCTTACCCCTGAGATGCATCCGGATGATGACACAACGCCAGATGCCGTGGGTATAGTTTGAGTGTTCCACTGGGATCTGGGCTTGATCCGTATATGGGAATGATGCCGGGCTGGAACGAAAATGAAGCTTTAGCACCGCCGTCCGTGTATGACAACCAGGGCTCTGTGCCGGGTGAAAAGGCTGAAGACGATGATCTATGGGAGGAGTGGATCAATCATCTTGATACCGAGGCGTAGGACACGCAGTAAAGAGACAGATGTATAGTGCCAGAGGTTTTGAGCCGACGACTCAGAATCGTTATGTCGAGAAGGAAACTTATCTCGAGGGCTGATGGGTTGGTGTTGGAAACATGGTCGTCAAATCCATATCAATAGAGTTAGAGTTAGCTTTGTCTGATACCGAGTAGATAGATCAATTAGGAATAACGGGAGTTGTCTGGAGATGGGAATTGAACAAACAGGTCACGTCGAAAACTGACTGTAGCGGTCGTCACTAAACTGTCACCGCATGGTCTGCGCTAGGATATGTGGTAGATGTTATTAGGAACGCTACCATGCTCGAGAAGCACGACGTTGAGCCTCACCGACCAGCTTTCATCAATTCGTGCAAGAACCTCCACTCGAGAGAATCCTGAGGCGCAAACCCTTTTATTTACAACACGTTTTGGGAATTCCATGTCGGAGAAGCATTAGACTTACTGACGTGGGATTTATCAGAACAACTTCTGCGCTGTCCATCGTGGACAACCACAACCCCCAAAGCCTGATAAGACACACAAAGCCTTGTTCCGTCCTGTCTATATCAGTCGTTCTTCGCTTCTTACCAGCATATGCACGGAAGACGGCGTAGTTAGAAGGGGATTAGATAGCCGGTATCAACTCCCAGTGGCTTCATGTAGACATCCCGTATAACCTTAAGCAAATAGGAAACCTAAAGCTAATATCTACCGTATGCAGGTGGTCTACAACCGGCGGCTCCGTTCTCTGCGGCGAGATCTGCCAAAATCCCCGCCCCAGCTCTATCATATGGTATGACCTTCACCGCCATCTCGAATCTCCATCCTCAAAACATGCTCTTCTTATCAGCAGCGGTACCGACCCGTATCCCGGACATCTCGACGCGTCAACCCACAACTCTTCACCTACCCAGCCATCCAACAACAACCATCAAGCAATTCCCCATCGCAAGACTCATCAATGCGCTCCCTAGTGCAAAGCCACAGACGGCCGAACCCGGGATGGCCCCCGTCGACACACAGCGCACACGGCTATAGCATGACTCCGGACCCTATAAGATCAGACGAACGATCAACCAAACCGCCCAACCACACATCCCCGTACGCGTCCATCATCCCATCCCATCCCCGTGCGTCCTGTCAACTACAACCGCAGCGTCCACCCCCGCACGTGGGAGCCAGGACACAGTCTGTCGTCCAAGGCTCGTCCTACCCACCCCAGCCTCCGAGCAAGGTGGTCCCCAGATCGCACATCTATGTGGTCCGCATTCTGGGAAATCTCAATCTGTGAGTCATCTCTTCATAAACAACCATCTACAACCACTAGGCCTTCACTTCTCAAAAATGACGAACATTTCCCGCAAGCACCGAGCGCTCCACGGCGCCACACGGCCAGCTCATCCAACGGGGCCCGTCCAGCCCGTCCATCCGCATAACGACCGTCAATGCACGACCCCTCCGCTTCCGCTCCGCGAGCAGAAAGGGTTCCCCTGAGACAGCGGCCTGAACCTCCCCCCCTCCCATGCCCGTCGTTATCAAGGGGCCACTAAACCGCAAGACCTCATCAAGCATAACTCGATATCGAACCACTCATCTTAAACCCTGCGTACGCACATGCTACGGTTCGCGATACCCTGCAACCGCTCCCGCCCTCCCCCAGCCAGCCATTTGCAGCCCCCTTTCATGCTTTCCTACGCCCCCTTTCAACCTCCAAGCCGCAGCACCACCTCCCGTTATCCTTCTTTCACTTGATCAAAGAACCCCTTGCTCACAAGCCCGCATTCCCATTCTCATCCACTCCAACGCCGTTACACACAAAGGCCGTTGCAGAAAGGGGGGGCGCTCCAACCTCCAACCTCCCTCCGACCCAAAAATAAAGCAAGCCCCCCGTCATCCCACCCCGGTCGTCCCAAAGTCTGCAAATCTCAACGTACCCCCGTACCTTACCCCACCCTCGTCCGAAAACAGCCTAGCCCCATCCCACCACGACATCATTCCCACCCCAACATCGTCCTGTCACTCCCAAAATCGTCCCCGCCGCTCAGCTCAGCTCAAGCGTCAAATGTACTCGCTCTCAGCTCGACGCAGTAATCCTCGCTGCCGAAATTCCCAAACTTCCCAAACCCTCACAATGAACGCTCCAGAACTTCACTTCTGAACGCTGTATCACAACCCGACCTTCCCGCACCGACGTGCCCCGAATCCATCACAGGATGCCATGCCCGACACATCACTCGCATCGCGGCCTTTGCCCCAGCCAGTCGTCGTGCCTTTCCCACAAGAACAATCTCGCAGTGACATGCAGAAGCAGAAGCAGTACCTGGCTCGTTGCGGGCTCCCAAAGTCAATGCATAATCGATGGAAATACCCAGCACCAGACAAGGCCCTTTCCACCCTTCCCTCCAATGGGTGTCCTCCCGCCCGCCGCCGCCGCTCCATCCCGCACGTGTACGTCGCTAATGCATCAGCTATGATTAGCAGCCACCTTCCCAGGGGCGCAAGGGGAAGGGGGGGAACGGCTCCCGTGTCCAGCCTTGTCATTTCCCATGTGGGTTTTCGCCCTGGGTGCGACCATTGCCAGGCCACAAAGGCTGTTCACAGTTTAGACATCACTATCACACAAGCACACGGGAACTTCACATGGAACAATGAATGGATGCAGACGGTTGTCTCGGAATTAAAGCAAAAAAAGTGCAAAGAATTTTTACTCTTTTTTTGTGCCTTTGTACAACTACCTTACACAGGGGGGAGTGCAAATGCGGGTATACGAAAAGTCTCGAGGGCTCTCTCACCCCGGCTGGGGGGTATCAGACGACCTGAACGGGTCGTCCCCTTTTACGCCTCTCCGTGCCCGTCCCAGGAGTTTCCTTCTGGCCAGTGGGCAGCAGAGAGCAAAAAAGGAAAATCCAGCCTTCTCTCCAAAAATAACGTTGTGAGCCAAACCGATTCCGTCCCATCAAATCTTCCCACTGTATCCATTGTTGGGCCCATTAGGGGATATCCGGCCTTCCAATGACAATACGAGGAAGAAGAGGGAAGAAACTGATCCGTCCACCGAATCCCGGAATGGGGTAAAATCTCAAGGTGCGAAAAAATAGGCAAAACCGGCCCGGGAAGTCTTCGTGTGCTCGGTGGCCGCAAGTATCCCTTCCTCGAACCGAGCAAGGACTCTTTCCATGTGGTCGGAAACCGTCCAAGCCTGATCCATTCCGTCGAAAAAATAAACCAATTCCACTTTTTTTTGGCTCCTCAAGATTTCCCATCCGGTTGGATCTCTTCTTGAGACCCTGCAATCTGACCTTCGCTGGTTGTCGAGCCCAGTGGCAATCGTACAGTCGGGGTCGAGGTGTCGATATCTCGTCTCCTGGATCCATCGTCCGATTCCGAAAAGGGTCGACCGCGATGCTTCCAATTCTCCACCCTTCCTGGGGCGACATCTCGCGAACGTAAAACTCTTTCGTTTGGGGGGTTGTTGTGTAATAAAAGCCGCTGAATGCTGTCGGGGGGAAATATAAATGACTTTGAGGGGTTTTGGGGGGTATGATCCGTATTCCTTTTTTTGGGACACTTCTGCTGAGTGAAAAATGGACTTTGTTGCATTAAAATTCAAATCGCTCGATGCCATGACGTGCTGATGAAAAAAACCATTCTGTATGCATGCGGCAAACAATCTTTTTTCCTCTTTTCTTCCGCTTCCTGGGAGGTCGCTCAATTGCCCTGCCACGGGTGTAATGAGTGGAAGGCTTCGATTGCCCGTATCGTAGCGTTGGTTCGCTGGTGGGACTCCGCGGGCGGGCCGACAGTCAAGTCAGCCCTGGTCTCGACTCGGGTGGTCGACATTAGGCCAGGTTGTGACCCGTCGCGTGTTGGTGTACAAACGGGGCGTATTGTTGCTGCACTTGTTGCTGCACGTACGCCGCCGCGGTGTTGGGTTGAGGTGTGGGGGTGACCGGACATCTTGGGGGCAGCGGGTAAGCGTCCTTGGAGACGGTGCCGTATGCCGCGCCGTCGGGGGTGATGGGAGGGGTCATGTAGCCTTCCACTATTCCTTGGACGGCGTGGCCTTTGTGGGGGTGCTGTAGATGTTGGCATGTTTTGAGGCGGACTCAGAAGGCGGACTCGGAGGCCCCCCCGACTGGGCGCGGGCGATGCTGGCCTGGTGGGCCATGAAGGACGCGAGCTTCTTGGCGACGCCCGAGAGGTGCTGCGAAGCGTACTTCCTTGCGAGCGCGACGGAAGGGCTGTGCAGGTGCTGGGACAGAGTCAGGAGGGTAACGTTCTCGACGTGGTCCCACTCTCCGTCGTTGATCTCGGGCTCGCCAAGAATGGCTCTCGCCAGAGCCAGCGAGGAACGGGCCATGATGGACGGCTTGGTGGAGACGAAGTCGCGGTGGTACAGGGCGATCTCGCAGATGTAGGCAGCCATGTGCTCGACCTCGACCTTGTCGTGCTCCTCGGCGACGATGAGCTGGGTGAAGAAGTCGACGGTGGGGTGGCCAATGGTCCACTCGAGGGTGTTGAGGACGTGCATCTCCATCTGGGTGAACATGCCGGCGTCGTACAGGCCGCAGCACATGTTGTTGAGCTCGTGGATCTGGGGCACGCGGTCCTTCTTGTCACCATACTTTGCAGCGATCAGCAGGGCAGCGCAACCGACGAGCTGGTAGTGTTGCTTGTAGACGACGCGCTTTGAGCAGTACCGGTCGAGGAGGTTGACGGTGAGGAAGAGAGTCTCGGGGAGGAGGGCGAAGGCGGCATGGGCTTCGATGAGAAAGTCGATGAGGTAGGGTCTCATGTACCATTGGATCTCTCGTTGCATGTCAATGAGATTGGCATCAGGCATCGTCTCATCCTGGTTTACGCAGTCAGTATCCGACCATTGAGACGGAGGCTCCTTCCGTCCTTGCTCACCTCCATGTGCCTCATGTGCTTCATGATGTCCTCCAAGTACTCATCGCCGGCTATCCGGGAAAGCTCGCTGGCGATAATCTCCTGCCGTTGCCTCGCAATCATCTTGGCGGCGTCCCGAGAGCCCATCCGTGGCCGTTGGGGTTCGTCGTGGCCCTCTGTGAAGTAGGCGGGATCGGAGTGCGACTGCTGTTGTTGGTAGTACGCCATTTTTGATGTGGTGAGTGAGTCGAGGGCGGGTGTTAAGGGGTGGTTGGATGACGGGTCGAAGTTCCGTAATGGGAAAGAGTGACGATTAAGTTCTCCAGGAAGCTTTTTTTGGTGGTCGGAGACGGAAAGACGGGTGGGAAAAAAAAGAAAAATTCAGGAATCGGCTACGCAGGGAAAGAGCGGAATTGGGCGCGACCGAAAGTGATTAGAATATTAGTATTAGAAAGAGCGTGATGTTGAGAAAAAGGCGAACAGGGTCCGGCAAAAGAGTGACTGTGGCTGGATGTGAAGCCGAAATGGTGCGAGACCGAGTTCCTCGTACAAGATGACGGGCGGAAAAGGGTGGCCGGGAAACTGGCCGTTTAACAGGTCGACTGGAGGGCTCTGTGCGACGAGAGATTCTTAGTTAGCCTCGAGGTTTCTCTCAGACGATTGCAGGCACTCGAAGGGGCCTAGAGCCGTGGACGGTGTGAGACACGCAGCTATTCGAGGCCGGCGACGGGGCTTGGGCCAGGAGCAACCGGCACTGTGAAATACCGCCGGTGCCGATCCAAAGGGGGCAGATCGTTAACTCAGATAGCGTCGCCCTGGTTTGGCCGCTGGGCGGTGGAGACGGGTTGGCACGGGGGGAGATGGAGGAATCAACCAGATTGGCGTGTGCTGGACGGGAGGGCTAGGCGGGAGGATCGTAGGGGAGAAAGGGGGCGAGGAGAGGGCAGAGCTTGAGGGGGACGGGGGGGGCCAAGCTGGACGGTGTGAAGTGAGTGATGGTGAGGCTTACCGCCACGGAGTGTGGGAGAGTCCCGCTGTCAAGACAGACGAAATTGAGACAATTCCTGAGGGTTGGACGGGGGAAGCAACGAATGAACGTGTCCCGCGAGCGATCCTCACCTCGAATGGGGTTTGGTGGTTGAGGGCGTGGTGAATGTGGGGGAGACTTGTGGTCGTGGATCGAAAAGAGATACCAACGGCACGCAAACCTGTGAGGGAGAGAACGGGGTAGAGTTTAGAAACCGATCATGGCCCAGACACGAACGGGGTGGGGGATGTATGCTCAAAAAGGAGAGTGATGGTGGTGGTGAACGGGAAAGGAGCTTGGGCAGGGTTTGGAAGATGGAGACGAAGGTTCATCCCGTCATTGAGGCCCGACGCCGGAGCTGCCGTGATCCCTCCAACCTCATACACACGGGCTCATGTCTTCATCCGAATCGCACTTCGCAGTCATCAAACGTACCTTCACAGACGATGCCCTACAGGGACAGGGTGATGAGCTATAATCCTGACGGGATCATGTATGGAGTCTTCTCAATGGCTGACAAGGCTCGAAACGGGCGATGAAGCCGGGCAGGTCTTTGCTCTTTTTCTTCTTGGTCTCTTTCCTCGTCGTGGGGGGACGAAATCCAAGATGGCCACAGGGGACTCTCGGATTGGAATGAGGGCGGGGCGAATGGCCGTCGGAACGAAAGGGAGCAGGGTCGTCGGAGGGCGGACGGGGTCGTGGGAGTTGCACGTCTGAGTCGACTTCCTCGTCGTCGAAGCGAGGAATTCTTCAGGGGGTTGATTGGGTGGGATTGGTCGTCGTCGCGGGGAAGGCGGACGGTCGCGAGGGAGATGCAAGGAACGGGAGGGACGTGGACTTGTTCTTGACGTTGGATAAAGAGTGAGGAAAATACCAATCAAGGTCTTCTTCAATGCGCTTTATCTTTTTTTGTTCAAATCCAGTCTCTTTCTCTTGTTTCCTCTTGTTGCTTCAATGCAAGCTCGGGGACTCGAGGATTGTTGGTGAACCTTTTTTTTTTTACCGATGGCGGGAGGTCGGAGCAGGAGGGGTGTGGGTGCAAAGGTCGAAGCTGATCGTCCTTTGGCTTGGGAGGTGATGGATGTGGTGGTGGGAGCTGGAGTCGAGGGAGAGCTTTGGAGGTTTAAGTCGTCTCGGTTGAGGGGGGACTGTCGCCAGATTAAGTCTCTCGTTCCTTCCTCTTTTTTCCTGGTTCTCCGGGGGGTTAGAGAATGGAAAGACCCTTTATTCGGTTTCGACGAGCAAAGGAGTCAGGAAGGACTGGCTTCGAGGGGGAGAGAGAGGAAGAGAGGGAATGAATGGATGGGGAGGGACGAGGAGGAGGAGAGGAAGGGAAGGGCTGAAGGGGGGAGGAGAGGGTAGGTAAAGGGTTGGAGGAGAGCGGAGGAGATGAAAAAGGATTGGAAGAGAGCAAAGGTGTTTTAACCAGGCCGACCGAGTAAGTCAAGGTTCCCCGTCAGGCCAGCCAAGGTCACTTTTGCAGTTGGCACACTGTCGGGTGGGTGGGAAGGGGGGGGAAAGGTACATGCGAGGGGGGGAGCAGAGAGAGTACCTTGGAGCGAGAGACAGCGTGGGGAGTGGGAGTGGGAGTGAGAGTGAGAGAGAGAGAGAGTGAGGGAGTGAGAGAGTGTGTCGGCGTGTGGGTGTGAGTGGTCCCAGTATGGGAGACCCAGCCGTACTCCTGCAGCGAAGAGGTACCTCTGGCAAGTACCCAAGGGAGGTACCCGCGGGAGGTACCTACGTAAAAGGTGCAGCTTTGGCCCTTTTTTTTTTTGGTGCTTCCTGGGTTGTAGCAGAGGAGCAGGCGGACAGGCAGGAGGACTGGCGGAGCAGCCAGGACCAGCAGCGAATGCGTGTGAGAGAGAGTGGGAATGCGTGTGTGAGAGGGGGGTGTGTGGATGCGGATGGGATGAGATGGGACGAGCAGGGGGGAGGGGGGGAGGGGGGGAGGGGGGGAGAGTGAGAGCGCGCGAGAGGGAGAGTGAGAGTGAGAGTGAGAGAGCTGGGAGATGGGCGACGGGGAGGGGTGCAGGTGCCAAATGCAAGCCCGCCCAGGGCAAGTGCAAAAGTAGTGCTGTGCTGGTGCTGGGCTGGTGCAAATGCTTTGGTGCTGGTGCCTGTGCAAGTGCTGGTGCAGGTGGATGGAGACGTGTGTAATGTGTAATTCCCGTGCTAAGGCAATGATAAGGACAAGGAACAAGCTCGAACCCGGTCAGGAGGGAAAGGGGATGTATCTGAGCCGCCGCCGTTGCGGGCGGGGATACATGGCATAAAACGGTACGTACCCCCTGGGCTGCCTGTCCTGGCAGCGTGGCCGGTGCTCTGGCGCGCTGAGGACGCGCTGGTGATGCGCTGATGCTGGCTGGCTGGCTGGCTGGCTGGCTGGCTGACGGGCACCCCCCGGGAACAGAGGGATAGGGAGGCTTTTCTTCCCCAGCTGTGGTCTATAGCGCGCCGCAGCGGGTGGTGCGTCGTCGCCCAGCATTGGTCGAATTGCACCCGGAGACGAGAGCGAGGTGGATGGGGCCAAGGCACACTTTTACTTTACTTGCCGACCTGCCCTGCAAGTGCAGCGCTCCGAAGCAGGCTGCGATACATACAGATGGCGATGCTTGGACTTGGACTGGGACTGGGACAGCTCTGGCTTGCCATGACTGATACTGCGGATAAACGATGAATGGATGGATGGATGCCCGCGTACACTACACGACAATCGATTGTCACCGAGACGGCCCACCGCTTGCCCGCTTCTCAGCACCCTCTTGGCTGGTCTGATTGTCTGATTGCCGGCCTCGATGTGATGTACGGCCTCGCCCTGCCGCAGCTCTGCGTCTGCGGCGTCGACCTGTCTCGTCTGGTCTTCCTGTCTTTGTGAAAAAGGAAGCTACTGTTTGTCGCTGATGCGCTCGGCAACCCGGATGCCTGTCGACGAGACGCGCCCCCGAATCGTATACTGCTGTAGTACATACACGACTATGTGCATGGTATTAGGTAGCTGGCAGCGGAAAGAAAAAGAGTGGACCGCCCGACGTGAGTCGACACGCGCGACCTGGCCGTCGATTGGATTCGTTCGAGAGCTACAGCAGGTAGCACACCGGGCAGTCAGACAGGCGC